TAAAAAAGAAATACATTTAATACGTTAGATAAATCCTTTAGAAATTAAGAGATATCGGCCTTTAAATGGATATCCTTAAATGCGAATTCCATATTTAGAAAACTAAATTTCTAGGTCTATTAATATCTATAGACGGGTTATAAATAAACTCTATTAAAATCTAGGCTATTATTAAGTAAACTATATCTATTAACCTTAAAGAGATATAGACCTTTATCGAATTTTATAATTTTTACCGGCGATTTATTAGAGACTTCTCTAAAATAGTTAAATTTATAATAAAACTCACGATAAAAGAGGCTATATTTAATTAGTCCCTAGTATATTAAAAGGTCTTTTACTTTCTTAAAGTCGCCGTTACTAAAGCTTTAGTTCTATATTATTTCGATAGAATAAAGAAGATCGTTTTAGAGACTAACTCTTTTAACTACGTTAATAAAGATATTCTTTTTTAATACGATAATAAGAGAGTACTTTATTTAATAGTCTTCTATAGTAAAAACCTAATCTCGGCTAAGTATAATTACTAGATTTATAATAAGAAATTATTAATAATTATTCGCTATCTAGAATACTAACGCCTTAAACTAGAATATATAAATATCTTTATTAGAATCTTTATCGATTATAAAGAACTAATATATTTTATTAAGGGAAGAAACCTTAATCGACGTTAGGCCTAGTATTTAAATATATTATTAGAATTTAATATAAAGATTATTTATTAATCTAGACCTTAGAACGTTAAGGCTAATATACTTATATAAATAGCTAAATATAAATTAATCGACTTTAAGAATAAACGATTACGCTAATAGTATTAAATAATTCTTATTTCTAATCGATTAGAATTAGATAGCGAATATATCGATATATATATAATCGACGATTCTATCTATTATAAAGTAGTAGGGGTTAATAAGAAAAATAAATATTATATGAAAATCTATAAGGCTATCGCCGAAAATAAGAATAAGTTTCGAGAGATTACTCTTAGTAAATACTTTATATAAGACGAGATACTTTATTATAAGAATCGTTTATAAATATTCGATAATATATATATCGATATTATTCGAGAGATATACGATTAATCGTTTTACGACTATTTCGAAGTAATATATATCTATAAACTACTTAAAAGAAAATACTATTAGCGAGATATAAGGGCTATTATAGTTATCTATATTAAGAATTACTATATCTATTAGAGAATTAAAACGCCTCGCGATCGAAAGTATAGTTTACTATAGCTTTTATTAATCTTATAGAAATGATAGTAAGATATATCGATCGACTTCGTTATAGGCTTATCTATATTTAACGACTATAACGCTATTTAGATAGTAATTAATTAGCTTATTAAGAAACGTTACTACGTAGCCTATTTCGATATTAATAAAGATACTATCGCTAAGAAGATAATTAACTTACTACTTAAGAAAGTATTTCGTCTATACGATCTATTAACCTTAATAATATCGAATTAAGGCTCTTAATTTATAGCTATTATATAAAAGTCTTTTTATAAGAGATTAAATATTATAGTTAAGCTATTAATAGTCTTTTACTCTAAAATTAATAGATAAATCGAGCGAGCAAATTAGAATATAAAGCGTTATCTTTAAATATATTATAATTATATATAGAATAACTAAGTAAGATAGTTATTTATTATTAAGTTCGCTAATAATAATACTATCTTATCGATTATTAATATTCTATCTTTTCTTATTAATAAGAGATTTTATTTTTAAATAACTTTTAGCTCGAATATTATCGACTATAAGATTATATATAAGCGTCTTAATACTACTTAGACGAAGAATATTACGAATTATATAAAATAAGTTTTTAAGTATATTTAAAGTAATATAGATCGCGCTTAAAAAGCTATAATTATATAAGTTAATAAGTATTAATAAAAGATAACTTTTTAAGTAGGCGATAAGGTCTTTCTAAATAGTAAGAATATTATCTTTAATCGTCTTTTCCGTAAACTAGATTATAAGAGACTCGATTTATTTAAGATTATAGATCTTATAAAAATCTTATATCGTCTAAAACTTTTATTAAGTATAAGAATCTATAACGTCTTTTACTTTAATCTCTTAAGTCTCATAATAAATAACCTCTTATTAGGGTAGATAAATCTTCCGCCGAAGTATATTACTATTAACGATCGAATCGAATAGATTATTAAAGAAATACTTATCTTTAAATTAATCTATAGTCGTCTTAAGTATAAAGTTAAATAGAAAGATCTCGATAATAATATCGTCTAATATAATACGGACGGCGGTAAATTCGAAAATTGCTAAGATCTAATAGACGACTATTATAAATAATATTTCGAAGAGTCTTATCTATAAAGAGTTAACTTATAGAATAATAGAGCTATCTCGAATATATCGTTTTTAATTAAATTAAAATCGTTCGATATCTTTATAATAGCCTCATTTTTTTAGACTCGAGAATTAATCTCTTAGGCCTATATCGATTATTAATTATACTATATAGAGCCTTTCGCGTACGATCCCCTTATTAATAGATATCTAAATATCTTTTAAAGTTATAGCGCGTTATCTATAGACCTTACTATCGCCGTCGATAGCCTTTATTAATATCGATTATATAGTATTTCATAAAGAAACTTACTTAATATTAAATTAGAGTTTTTAGCGCTTACGGCTCGATTCGATTTAAGAGCCCTCGACTAATTACGTCGTATTATTTCACCGATATTTTATTCGCTTAGATATAGATTCGGAAATTACTACTAATTACCCCTACGCCTATAAATATTATTTTCGCTATACTATATCGATTTTCTCTCGATCGAGCTTTCTATATACGTCTAGATTACGGCTAACGACGTCGTTATAGTACGATTAAGAAGAGCTACTACCGTTATTAATACCGCCCTTAAAGAAAGATATTATACTAGAAGATTCCAGATACGATTATTTCTTTACTACTTTTACTATTTTTCAGACGTTAAGCGTATATATATATCCATTTTTCTATCTTTCCACTTATTAATTATAGAATATAATTTAATAAAGAGAGAGGGTAGTATTACGAGCGTACTCTTAATATACCCCTTAGCTCTATAGCTAGCGGGCCTTAACGGAGATATCTCCTATTATATTATATCTTCTTCTTATCTATATAGTTCGATACCTTAGTTATCTTATTTAATATACCTATATTAATATTATATCTATATCGATTCTAATAGTTTTATTAAAAGAGATCTTACTATCTTATAGAAATCGCTTAATAAAAATACTTAAAATAAGTTAACCCGTATTTATTAATAAGATTCTTAAAACTTATAATATAAGAAAGTGTTATATATCGTCTATCTTAATAAAATTAAATATAAATAATTATTTTATTTTTATACTTAATATATATATAGCTAATATAGAAGATATTACTATATTTAAGAGTAACTTAAGAAAAATTAATTATTTAACTATTTAGATATAATTAAATATAGCGTTTACTATTAATAAACTAGTAGTATTCTCTTTTAATTTAAATTATAAATATTAATAAGTATATAAGAGGATATTATAATATCTAATTAAAACTAGAATATATAGAGTAATTTTCGAAATTATAAAAATTATAATATTATAATTATTCGATTACTTAAACGCTAATTAAGCTAGTAAGATATCTATAATATAATTAATAGCTAAAATAATTATAATATTAAATAGTAAATTAATTAATTAAAGGTTTACTAAGTAGAAGACTATAATATAATCTATATATAAGATCGAATATATAATTACTTCTAATACTACTTAGAATATAATATAAATATACTATATTCTATTAAAGTTTAAATAATAGTTAAATAAATTATTTATAATATAATATAATAATAAGAAAGCTATCGATTTAATAAAGAATTCTATAGATTATAAGAGATTACGTTATATTAATATTAGCTATTATTTTATACGCGAATTAATAATTAATTAGACGCTAAGATATAAATATATACTTATAAAGAATATAAAGGTCGACGATCTTATTAAAGTATTAATTATTATAAAATTTAGTAACTTTATTAATATAATAAGTTTAGTAAATAAAGATTTAAATTAATAGGCTAGAATAGTATATAATTAAAATAGAGGTATTTAAATATTACTAGATAGGGGAAGTATTAGCGTGTCTAGTTTCTTCTATATATACATTCTTTCTATATCCTTTCATATATATTTTATTATTATTCCTTTTATATAGCTAGCCATAGATAGTAGTACTTTGTTCTCCATCAGCTACATAATAGCTGATGGTCCCACCACTGAATCTACACGCTTTCTATCACCACTGCTATGCTACGCTGAGACCAATCCTCGACGGCGTGCGGGGCTGTAGGCAGCACGCCAGCCCATGAACCAGTTGGTTCCAGGCATCATTCACCAAACTGGCACGCTGTCACGTGGGATCCAGGCATCCAGGCATTATGATGTAGTCCTCAATTCCGTAGGCCTGTCATTAAACGCCGTCGACTGACGAAAGATCAAAGGCAGAGGAAGGATAAGAAGACATTAGGCAACATTAGGGCCTCGGAATGCTCGAGTTGGGCTTGAAGGTTTGGGGTGCCTCGGGGTTGGTGGTGGGGTAAGTAATGCCCTCAAGCGGGACCCCGGGCAATAGGATAGAGTACCCAATCCCGCAAAAGATCGTGGCCGATCTCCGCCATTCTACTCGTAATTATGGATAAGCATCTGCCTCCTGCGTTGCTGCCATGATACCGCACTCCTATTCTTCTTTTCAGGAGCACCAAGTTCAATATTCTGTGACGTCCGAGCTGCATACTCTATCGCTTATCAGTGAAAAGCGGTACAGACATCCGCTTTTCTTCTGTATCCACAGGTGACCTCATCAGGGTACTTACTGATACAAAATGCCTTCTTCAATCCTTGAGACTTTCTCTACACCCAAAATCCTTCTACTGAAAATTGGCTGTTATAATGAGCAGTCAGTTGCATAACGTCAACCTCCCCATGATGGACGGTATCGAGAGTAGTGATGACTCAATCACCGTTGCTGGGAGCCCGAACGGCCTTACCGTCACCCAGAAGCCCTTCAAAACTGCAATCGCTGAGCAACCTGTCACCGAGGCACGGATACCCTTTCTTCCGCCACCAGCATCAGTGCTCCAAAACGCCGGCACTGCGAGGGCCACCTTGGCTGCATCCCACGAGAAGCCGAATGGCACAACAGACAATAACTATGCAGCCACTCACCAGAACCAGACGGTACTTATATCGGCCTTCATACCCAACCTCATCTGACACGGAATTTTAGGTCGTCCAACAGCACGTCGAGTACTGGGACACAGACCATGACGGCATCATCTGGCCTCAAGATACCTACATTGGCTGCCGCAAATGGGGCTGGTCGCCACCCCTTGCTGCCCTTGCAACCTTCATCATCAACTTCAATCTATCATATCCTACTCTCCCTGGGTTTCTGCCTGACCCGTTCTTCCGCATCTACGTCAACAAAGTATACAAGGACAAGCATGGCAGCGACTCTATGACATACGATAACGAAGGTCGCTTCAAACCTCAGAATTTCGAGGATATATTTGCCAAGTATGATAAGGGTGACAAGGGAGGGCTGGACATTTGGGACTTTCTGAGATTCTGGAAAGGGCAGAGGATGGTGTTCGATTTCTTCGGGTGGAGTGCAACATTCTTGGAATGTAGGTGTTCCATAACATCGTGAATCTGGAACTTGATTGACTGTGAGCGTAGGGCTGGCAACCTATCTCCTGCTATGGCCCGAGGATGGTATAATGCGCAAGGAAGACATCCGTGGGGTCTATGACGGGAGTATCTTCTACAAGAAAGCAGAAGAGTACGAGCGAAAGAAGGTGATGCGGCAAGAACAGCGTAAAGGAACCTCTACGAGACTCATCTCGATGGCTCAGAAGATTCTATGATTCAGCACTCGAGGATGGGATGCTTTTGGACAAGTAGAAACTTAGAGGATGACGGCATCATGATGGAATTAGACTGGGATTTAGAATCATGGAACTTTGAGGCCGGCAAGATTACATCTGTGCAACTCTCTTCCACTTGGCTTGGGCAGAAGGCCAAACTCCAAGGGTTCCTGCATAAGTAGGCTAGTGAACGAACAGCGGGCAATAGGATCACCCTCTCCTACCTTCCTATAATATTTCTTGCTACAAACTCTCCTAGATCAACGCACAGCTCGATCACACCTTAGACTCCGGAACATTGCTTCACAAACAAGGCGGCCGCGCATTTCATTGCCAAGCAATCCTTTCAACAACACAACAGTTTCCAGCATCACGCGCCATCATATATGACCTGTATTCTAACCCCTCTTTGCAGTTATAATCTCAAAGTCACTCAGCCTTCTGTCTCGTGCTCATCAACGGCTATGATCTCGAGGAGGCACCGCAGGACAACCGGACGTCGTACCGTCATTCAGTGGTGTGGTGTTCTCGCGTGGTGGCGCTGGTGTATTTCTGGGATCTGGGATAGGTTGGCGGTGTTCGAAGGGACTACGTTCGTGGCTTCTGCGGTTCGGCATGTGGTTTGGTTGAGTCGGGAATGGATATTGCTTCATCGTGTACTCTGTACCATCCAGCAGCCGTCTTGAGTGCTCAGCCAGGTACTGTACCTCATCAATATGCAAAACTTGATCGCCGGGTTTTGTGTCAAGGTGCAAGACTACTGGACTTTGGGATTCAATCGGTACGATAGTTTGGGATTTCTGCAGTATTTGCCAAATTGAAGACTCTTCTTTTCGCCGCTTGATCATTTGAAGGTCAACAGCTGAAAGTAAGGGGAAGAGCGGTGTGGGCAGCCATAATGGGACGGGCGTCACTCCTCGTGTTTAGCTGAACAGCACCTTCCAGCAACCGTCCGACCATCATCGCGCTTGCAATGTCCTGTCATTTGGGTGCTCTTTCAGGGCCTGGAAAGTCTACCATCATGTTCCATTTTATCCGAGAATCATACAGAAACATTCGATTCAAGCGCTGCATCCTATTTCTTGGGCTCGACTGTGGCTTCATACTTTAAGTTGAGCATCACTGAATTGTATGCTCACTGAATCGTCTATGTGAAACTCGGTATTCTCTTGTATCAACATGGCGTCTACTGCTTCAAGTACTGACGTGGGCCGCGACGCCTTACTCACCACCTTATCTGACCTCCCAAACGAGGTTCTTACCAAGATACTCGCCCGCACAGTAGCGAGCAAAGTACCCTTTCACCTGGACGGATTTATACAGTTAGGCAAAGTGTATCAAAAGCTACCCTCTCAAATGTTTAAGGGTCTTTCTTTGGCTGTGTTCCTCCGCGCGCTACCTTCCTCACAAAAAGAGCACTACCTGGACTGGCTCCTGGTAAATGGTACTGGCACTTCTCGCCGCGTCCGAGCTTGCGGAAAGTTGGCCTTCTTCTCGGAAAAGATCTTCATGATCTCGCCACGATTGTTGAAGACCCTGCAGGATGGCAGTTGCAGGAATATATCTGCTCCTGACAAGGCGGCAGTGCTCTCTCATGTCCAACATGTAGTCGCACCCTTGCCGACCGCCGACCTGGCCTGCCGCTTCTCGAGACTGTCGCCTTACAATGCTTTCACACGTATACGTGTCCTCAGCATCGAGCCTCAATTTCTCGATGGTTGCAACCGTGTATATTGTCAGGCTTTAGAAACTGCTTCGGCTCCAATACCGTTACAACCGCTGTTGGAGGATGAACCTGACTCTACTTTCCCAAAAGGCATCCCTAAAAGGCACTCAGCGCCACAAGAATTGCTGAGCTTACTCGAGGATGTTGGTCTGCAGGTGGGGCGAATGGAGGTGGATTTGATACTTTGTGATACAGAAGACTCGAGGCAATGGGCCATTGTGGAACTTTCCAGTCGCATCTATCCTTATCTGCAGATCATTGGCATGCTCATGCCGAAGACGAGATCGGCGCATGGTCAGAAGTCTCCAGCTCCAGTGTAGACCTCGGGCTACATGCGAAGAAGGAAAACATCAAAGTGCTGTTGATTGGAGCCGAGTTTCGTAAAGCAACTGTGCGTGAGACGGATCGCAGGGCAGGGAGCAGAAGTCATGCTCGATTACTTCAACCTTTCCATGGCGTCAAGTCGAGAAAACCACCAGCTGTAAGCTGACTCCGAAGTCTACCAAGGCTGACAGCCCGCTGACGCCGAGAAGAAAAGTATTGCCACTGAAAACATTCGCGCGTATCTAACAACACCCCGAAGAGCTTCTTGCGAGTGTTCATGATTGAGAGGGTAGCAGAGACGGTTAAGTATGGCATAAAGTCAAGACTACTAGGTTTTCTTACAGTGGATGGTCCACAATGGCCTCTTCAGATTAATTCCGTTGGCTGAGAAAGTGACCCACCCGGCAACTCTTAGATAGTAGCGCTAGAATTATCAACACGTGCCCCAGGGCTGCATCAAACATTCTATGTACACTGAGCCAAACTAAGATCACGGTGATTGTGCGCGGCTCTCAATCCATTCTAGACTAACAGCTCAGGTTCGAGCTACGAGCACCCTTGATAACTTGATAACGGGTTCACCAGAGTTATCGGCCTCCAAGCATGTCAGCGTTGTCTAACGAATGTCTTATCACGCAGCCGAAATAGAATCTCTTCTTCAAAGCTCAGCACAAGGCATGAGACATCAATGAAAAGGATGAGCCTCTAAGGTGAGGAAGACCATCAAAAATTGCGCGAATGAGGTGCCCGAAGGCAACTCAATGACTTTTGCCTCCGCGATGTGCAATGCAGGGCTCAAATCATGAGCGAAGGCCTTATTGATCGCCCAGCTCCTCACAAGGTAAGTATGAGGAGGGAAAGAAGAGTCTGAGATGGAGGTTTTATTTATACCCGAGGAAGCGGCGCTAAAGTCTCACTTCTGCTACCCGGCTCTGGCACGAAATATTCTCTCGCGCTTCTGTGCTCTGGTGTTAATCATGCAGTAGCATGATTCGCATCTGCCACTACCAATCACACTTGGGAGACCAACAGGATGCTGACCTTGAAGATCCGTCTCCCAGAGGTACCCGTCTCCTCTGCAGAAGACATCTACAGTAATGCCGTTGGTCTCCTGTTCCCAGACAACCTACGCACTTTCCATGGCGATCCCGGTTCACATGTTACCTACTTATCTAAACGCTTTGGAGATATGGATCTCAGCCTCGTTGATCCACATGATCAAGACGAGCGGGTGCTGTTCGCTCATCATATCTGGAACTCCGGTATACAGCTGGCCGAGTTCATCAGCGATGCCAGTGATCCTACAAAGGAGGGAGAAAGAGACGGTAGATGGGATGTGACTGGGCATTCCATTCTAGAGCTGGGATCTGGTGCGTGGAGACAAAGATAGCAGCAAGAGCTAGGCTTATACAGAGGTAGGTACCGGCTTGGAGGGGATTGTGAGTGCTTTGGCTGGAGCTGAAGAGGTCGTCTTGTCCGACTATCCCTCTCCCGCAATTCTAGCCAATACCAAGGCCAACGTCGAAAGGAACATCCCAAAGGAGCTGCAGCAGAAGCTGACTGTGCGAGGCCATGAATGGGGTGTCCTTACAGACGATTTCTCCAAAGACTACGCGAGTCACTTTTCTCGGATACTCTGCGCAGACTGTTTGTGGATGGATGGTGAACACTACAGTCTTGCCCAATCTATGGAGCACTTCCTCTCTCACAAAGACAATGCCCGAGTATGGGTGATAGCAGGTTTTCACACCGGCCGAGCAAAGCTCGCCTCTTTCTTCGACATTGCAGCTCAAGCAGGTCTGGAGACAGAATACATCTGGGAGCGAGATGCTGATGGAAATGAACGAGAGTGGGCCAGAGAGCGAAATGGCGGACAAGAAGATGCAACGGGGCGGAACAAGTGGCTTGTGGTTGCCATACTCAAACGCAAGCAGGCGTCGTCTACCGAGAAGGTAGGGAAGCATGAACAGTTCTTTGCGTCTATGCTTATGCAGAAGTCAAATCGGCATACTTAGAAGCATTCTCAGTGAATGACATCAAAGCGTTATTTCGGCTTGCGTTGCCCGTCCCAGCATGCTGGTTAGCCAAAGAGGAAAGATCGCGAAACTGAGCCATTCAACTGGATCCTTATCACCTGCCACAACAACTGCACCGGGCCTCACCACTTCCTTTTCCCCAATCTCCTAGTTCCTCCGTGGTGTTTTAACTTCAAGAGAAGTCTTGCGTTTAGTATCCATTACTTGGACTACCACACGGAAGCTACATGTTCACACATGTCATGGCTACAAGTCGCAACGCTGAATCCCAGCCCATCTCTCCAAGAACAGGGAGCATTCAATTTTCTCTTAGTATTTACTAGCAAAGCCACAGAGCTTCAAATCTCTCACCTCCTCCACTGGGGGCCCGAGTCAGCCAGGAGCGTGTTTCGGCTCACCGCACCAACAATCGCGCACCCAATTCCACGATCCACTGCTTCTGGAACCATACTGCCCCTTCCATTGTCAGCACTTCTATTCCCGATCCACACTATCACCACCTTGAGTAAGACCTCCGGTCCTGAAAATCCACAGCATGAGATCGGGTATATCAAATTTTGCAAGGCGATGCATGAGAGGTAGACGCCAACTGCTACTGAGAAAGCGGCTTGTAGCAGTGAACTTGGGGATCGGAGGAAGGGGTCGATGTGGTCGGAGGGGAGGTGATGGCAGAGGCGATGGATGCTGTTGGGGGTTGGCAACGTACGCTTGTGATCGCGAGGGACTGTTGTTGAGGCTCTGTGGAGGAAGGGGGATGAGGTCGCGGAGACGGGGTTGGATGCTAGGCTACCACTGTCGACGGCTGGTTATGATCCTAGCTGGTCAGTCAAAATTGTCGTCCAAGATGGGAATCGGCTGCGACCTGAGCGGGGTTTTTAAAGGAAGCACACTGTGTGCGATGTATGTCGATCAGTTCCTTTCATTTGGTGGGTATCTCCAGTAACAACTCCCTGCCCCTCAAGCTCTTGGCCATCATGAGTAACCACAATCGTAGCTCCCTCCAGCCTACACACCGCATCCTTCCCTTTCCAAACCCCAGACCCCCGCCTCCCTTCCCCTCCCCCCTCATCCCCTCCTCCGAAAAACCACACTCTGCACACTCTGCCCCTGCCTCCCCCCGAACCTAAAAACCGGATACTCCACCCTCCCACACCTCTCCAACTCCCCCCCACCACCCTCAAACCACCCCGCCAACTCCTCCTCCGTCCAATTACAGCTCGTGACAACCAGCACGCCCCCCTTCCTCACCAGCCGTTCAACCCTCGCCCTATACCCCTCACACACCCTCCTCCCCCGCCCGTCCGTCTCCCGACTAAGGCTCACAGCGTCAAAAGTGCCCTTGTCAAGCACGACGTCGAAGCCAGGTTGCGTCCAGGAGGACGGCGGCGGGGAGTGCAGGATATCCCATTCCACAAACCGCACACCGCTTTCTTCTCCTTCCCCTCCTCCTTCCCCTCCTCCTCCTCCCTCCTCAGACCTCGAGCGAACGCCCTTCTCGGCCGCCAGCCGCCGACACAGCTCCACGCTCCCGCCGGAGTAATCCGCGCCGACCATGCGTCCCCCGAAGCCGCCCTCGTCCCGGAGCAGGAACAGCATCTCGCCGTTGCCGGTGCCGAGGTCCAGGAACGTGGTCGTGGGCCGGTCGAGGTCGAGGCGCGAAGAGGGGCTGGTGAGGTAGTTGAGGATCTTGCGGGAGGCGTTGACGTCTTCGAACCATGTTTGGCCGGTGTGGGTCGGGGTGGAGGCGTGGGTGGTCAGGTCGTGGGTGTAGGTCGTGTCCCAGCTGGGGAGGTTTGTTAGCTTCTTAGCGGTTTTCTCGGTTTTTTTCGGGAGGGGGTTGGTACTATTCTTTCGTGCCTAGGTCGCTTGGTTCGAGGTGGATGGGTTTTGCGGAGGTCATGGCGTTTGGATCTTGGACGATTCTGTTACAATACTAGCCCCTTCGGCTATCGCATACATGTCGCGTATTACCAGGGCTAGTAACTACCAGCCACCATTAGCCACCTGTTTTATGTACATAAATATCCGTACATCCCATGAACCAATAATCAGTCTTTTAGTCACAATCATTCAATTTCTAGTCGAATGTCGATATAAGCCCTAGGGTACTGAGAGGAGGCTTACTAGGAAAGTACCTAGCATGCTGAAGTATGTTCCTAAGGGCCGTAAGTATAACATGTCTGGTATCCTACTTTTAACAGATTCTTTGATCGAGTGTTGTGCCTGTTTAATATATTTTAGATAGTGCTTTGATCGCCCGGTCCTCGCCGCTTTTTCTTTAGTGACCCTTTATTTTAGACTTTATTGATTCTGTGCGTATGTCAAGGTCTTTGCTGTATTCTCCTGTGTTTTCTAGCCGCATATTTAAACTCCCCAGCTCCCCCTTCCTTGTTCAATCCCGCTTTTTATATTATTTACCCCCTTTAACTTAAAACCCATAAATAGATATTTTTTACTTTTATTAATAATTTAGGTTTTAATAGTTTATTTTATTATTAACTATATTTACTCGTTTACTTTAGATCTTAAATAATCTAGATTTTAATATTTTATTATATTATTTAGACTTAATAATCTAATTTTAATTATTCAGTTCTTTTAATATAGTTTTTATTTATTAATTTTAAGATCTCATAAAATAAGAATTTTAATTCTATTTTTTATAGTAATTAATACATACTCTCGTCATAATACGGTAAAAATAGCTATCGCTTAGATATTCTATTTATAACTTATCGACTTGTTTAATATCTATATTGAAGTTAAAATATTCTATTTTTTTCTTGCTTAATCTATTAAGTAATATTATATATTAGAAATAATTATAACTACTTATTTTAATTTTGTATATATATTTATTATATAATATATATAATAACTATAATTACTGCTCTATATAGCTATTTTAGATGCTTATTATAATATTTTTTTTTTTTTCTTTTTAATCCTCTTATTGTTATTCTGCTTTTTTGTTTTCATTATGCTTTGACTATCCATAACTCCCTCGTCTCCACTTATTATTCGTTGTCTTGTGTTGCTCTACCTTCGGCTATACTATTTCTGCCTTCTTTGATCGAAAGTAGTGGAAATTTGTCACGGATGCTACCCGGCGCTGGAGAAAATGTGGCAGTCTTTGGCGCTTGCGCCTTTGGATTTGGACACCAATATGGGGACGAAGCCCGGTGATTTGTTTATTGGTATGGAAGGGAGAGTAAGTCACAGACTTCAGCTCTTGGCTTTGGTGTTCGTCATTCTGTATCCAAGGGTATCTTACCACTACGACCATCACATTCTCTGGCCTACACTCACTTCGACGGAGCCCACATGTCCGAGTCATATGCATGATTTAGGCACTCAGTCCTGATGTGATGTCGCCTAAAATCTATACACACCTGGCAGCCCGCCGAAAATCCCAGACTCGCTACCGAAATGTATATGCAGGAAATGTCCGCTTCTCAGGAGTAAGGGATAAATGCTGATATGGGTTGCTGTGCGGGTCATAGTACAAGCCTTCCACATGCCCGTTTGATCTCTGTAATGAGACGTAGTAGAAGCCACTGATAGTAAGGGCGGTGTCAGGATTGGAAGGGGTGACGAAGCATTTCTCTGCTCCAGCATCGTAAGCAGATTGAAAGTTTCCTGGGCAAGCATGCTGGGGCATACCTTTCCACCTCATCAGGATCCACTTCTCCATCAGCTCCTTCCGCAGCCATTCCTGGCTAAGTATGTTCCTCGCCATGGCCTCATCATCGTCTAGATCCTTAAAAGGGGGTAATTTCCGCCAATACATCCCGTCGACACGGGTGTCGGCTTTGAAACTCTTAGTCTCCAAGGTAAAAGTGCTGAAATCAATTATTTCGCCCTCGAGATACGTAGTGATGCTTGAAACCTTTGTTGGCGAATTCTTGTCGGGTACATCGAATGCTTCCATGGTGCCGGATAAGGTCATGGTGCTGTAGTCGATGCTGTCAACTGTTACCTTGACATCCCAGCGCTCTTCTGCAAAGGTAGAGGAGGCTTCCGAGGCTGCGGTGGCGAAGTAGGGAGCGTGACGGACTGGAGACGTATTTCTTGGTGGGTGGGAGCCGAAATGTGGGTTTCTGGCTCTTACTCGATATGTAGATGGAGGCATGAGTGGAGTGTATGATGGTAGTGAAGATGGGCAGGCGCCGTGTTGGGTGCCAGAAAGGACAGCGCCGACTTTGAGCCAGGAGCTCTGAGGCGGTGGTGGTACTGTCTGAACGTTCAATAGGAAGTCTTGAGGGTCTTTTGGGCAGCACTCTTCCGGACCTAAGCCCGCCTCTTCTGCATTCTCCAAGCCTTCTTGATCAGATTCGCACGAACGTAATCGCTCAAGATATTTTATGGCTTCATCGACCGGTCTTCTCTCGCTAGGAGGACAGGGCGAGGGTGTTTGCCAGTAGCGTCGTCTTCTGTTCTCACTTGGCTGGGCAATACTATGCCGCTGCTGCCGTAGTTGTTCCTCCACGTAGGTGCGGTGTTGTTGATGTTCCGCAATCAGGTCCCGATGCTGCTGAATCTCCTGTCGTACTGTAGCTTCGCGATGCAGTTGCCGCCGCTGGCTTTGCGAAAGGTTGGAATTCGAGGGCTCGATTGGGCGTGCGGAGCCTGCTCGATCTCTTTCGTCGCCTCTCTCCCTGTCAAGGATATATCTCTGGAGCTCGTTCCTTGAACGGGCCGAGAATTGTGAATTGCGTCTTACAGCTTGTAGTAGAGCGGTGGTTCGTAGCGAGGATTCCGTCACGATGGGAATTCCACCCGTGTCGTTCTCGATGAAGTGCGATCGTTCTCGAGGAGAGGACACTTGGGTAGCGGACTCGCTTGGTACACTTTCCCGCCATTCTAATTGTGTGGCATCCCTCAAGCGTCTCAGTCTCATCCTCTCCCTTAGATGCTCATCCCTCCTCAGAACGTGCTCGTCCAACAACGCTGCCGAAGATCGAGAGATGGCCCGTCCCTCAGGCCTATTTTCTTGCTCGTCATCAGATGTTCCCGGTGCCCAACCATGGTATTCCTGCTGCGATATTCGATCTGAATATGTTGAGAGGCTTCCTAACTCTTCCAATTGCGCGGGGGTGTAAACGCGGGGCTCGGCCATAGCATCTACGGCTCTCCGCATTCGCCGGCGACTCTCGTCAGCATCATCGCGCGGGCGAGATCCTTGATTATCCGGCAGTTCTGTACGTAGGAAGCTGATGTTGGCATCTTCGGCGTCTTGCTCCGCTTGTGTAGTCAGGGTCGCAGCGAAATTGGGTACTGGGCTTGCCAGCCGTGCCAGCTGCTGGAGATAAGGAATCGAACCTGTGGCGTCAGATTGCTGTTCCTGTCCAACAATATCAGCGACGTCGCGGGGTAAATGTTGGTGCAGGAGGGGGCTCTACTGTTGCTTCCGGCATTGCGGCGGTATGTCTCTCAGGCTTTTGAGACGGCTGCAAAGAACGAGATGGGCTGAAGCTGTAAGAATGCCAGTCTCATGGGTTCAGAAGTCAGGCCAGGGGAGAATGTTGTGACTGGAGTCATCTGAGGACAAAGGGATGTGGTTACTGCGACCTTTTATTGAGACTGAGGATCAACTAGGAAGCCTGAAGCGGCGGCAGGGGCAGGGCTGTGGTTGCTACCTCGCTGAAATTCTTTCTTCTACACAACGCCTTCTATCACCGCATCTATCTCTGCTTGCTGCTGCGTACATTTAAATCATGGTGATATTCCCACTGATATCCTTTCATTCACTGACAGATCTTGTCATGTGAGATGGCCTCGGGGGCAGGTGTGCAGTGTTTCAGGCTGCCTTGTCACGTTTCACATGCTCTGGGAGAATATAAATGCCCAACGACTACACATCATTCTGCGCTCTGAACGCCGTCTCAACATCAACAACAACGACAACAACTTTCTTGTCGGCACCACCATGCACCTGGCCCACTTTTAAATAGCGCCAGCGAGACCCACTTGGAGCCAGTGCCCTGGTCTCCATGACGTGCAGCACAATGTCGATCTGCCGCTGTCAAAACTCGAGGTTTGAGTATGCATGCAGTATGCAGCATGCTTCATTTGTCGTTCTACTGTCGGTACTCAGCTCCAACGTGACCGCCAATACACCCCGGACGAATTGAAAAACGCCAGCTGTGCAGAATATCCATGCTACCCTGCAGACATTTTGTTCCAGAAGCGCCGAGGCGAATCCATATTTGTCAATGTCCGCGCCACTCACAGCTCTCTTGTCATTGCGCATACGATTGCATTGGGGTTCTCCTTCTTCCTCTTTTTGCGTGATCGCCTCTTCCCCTTCTCCCTTTGATTTTCCTGCCTCTCTTTCTCCTCTCCTCCCTAACAGCCAAAATGGCCAAGATCAAAACCATTGAGTACTTCCGTGTCCTTCCACGTTGGCTTTTCGTCAAAGTCTGCGATGAGCAGGGCAATTATGGCTGGGGTGAATCTACATTGGAGGGCCATACACTCGCCGTGGAAGGCTGTCTCGATTCTCTAAGAGAACGCTTCGTGGGCTATGAAGCCGAGTAATCACACGCATTTCCCACACTATGCGCACATATGCTGATACGTCCTTCTTGGTCAGCGACATCGAACACCTCTGGCAAACCGCATACCGTCTTGGCTTTTATCGCGGCGGACCTGTCCTCATGTCGGCCCTCTCAGGTATCGACATCGCGCTCTGGGATCTCAAAGCTCGCCGCCTTCATCTTCCTCTCTACCAGCTCCTCGGCGGCAAGGTGCGGCACAAAGTCAAAGTCTATGCCTGGATTGGCGGTGACAGACCAAGAGACGTCGAAAGGGCAGCTAAGGAGCGTATGGCGCAAGGATTCACGGCTATCAAGATGAATGCGACTGAAGATATAGATTGGCTAGACTCGCCGCGCGCATTGGATTCAAGTGTGGAGAGGCTGAAAACGGTCAAGGCATTGGGTATGGATGCTGGGCTTGACTTCCATGGCCGATTGCACAAGCCCATGGCAAAGCAGCTGGCTAAGGCACTGGAACCGTACCACCCACTTTTCATCGAAGAACCTTTACTTTCTGAGCACTCGGAAGGCATCAAGCAGCTCTCGCTCCTTACCACGATACCAATCGCTCTGGGCGAGCGCCTTTACAGCCGTTGGGACGTCAAACGCTTTTTACATGACACATCTGTCGACATACTCCAGCCCGACATCTCGCACTGCGGAGGTATCTCAGAACTGTGTAAAATCGCTACAATGGCTGAAGCGTACGACGTCGCTATCGCGCCACACTGCCCGCTTGGACCAATAGCGTTGGCTGCGTGTGTACAATTCGCAATGGCTACTCCTAACTTCGTGATTCAGGAAATGAGTCTTGGTATTCATTACAACGTTGAGGCGGGACAGTACGATATAACCAACTATGTGAAAGACAAAAGCGTCTGGGATGTGAAAGATGGCTACGTGGAAGGCTTGCATGGCGAAGGTCTGGGCATTGAGGTCGACGAGGAAGAGGTTAGGGAGGTCGCAAAAACGGCGCCAGCCTGGACGCTGAAAGGGTTTACCGGGCCAGACGGAAGTATCAGGGAGTGGTAGCCCCTGTGGGAAAAGTTCTCTGATCTGTTCTATTCTTGAATTTTACATTTGCGCGTGTCGCATTGAGCAGAACTGTATGAGTTGACGTAGAGTCTCACCTCTCGCCTTGTGTAAGAGTATTATGCATTTGGAGCTGATGCACTTTTTCCTGAATTCCTCTGGTCTACTAGAGAAGCAGACATGACAACGCCACAGATAGACTTGCAAATTTTTCCGGCTGTGCTGACCATGTATCATCCCTGCCCAGTAAACAGGACAGCCAACACGGCGCCCTTAGAAAATTTGCGCTCAAGAAATTGTCATACATGTGGCTGCACCATTTAAAGAAAGATCCGGACCTCCTCAACATTCCGCTGTGCCGCTGAGTCCATCACTATCATCTCAGACTTGTTCTTCTGCTGACGTACGGCTTCATGATACCAGTGACGTTTGTAACGTCCCAGAGATTCACACACTAGATACTTGAGTATCAGTACATCACGCACGAACTACTCCTTTCGAGAACAATGACTTACATGTGCCGAAGGAGCTAGGAAATAGCAAGTGTTGGCGAACAAAGCATTTCCATTCGAATCCGGGCTTGTTCTGAGCAGGAACTTCGTACACTGTCCCTTGATATCGCCCACCGATTCGCAAGACGCCGTGTCTGCACATTCACTCCAGTCGGGGCGCTCGTCGTTGATCAGGTCTCGGCTGAGCCAGTAAGATGTGACATTCATGTCATGCTAGTGACGTAGTTCACGGCGATTGGAAGCGTGTCGAACAGTTCCCCAGAATGGAGGGGATCAACTTGATCTCCAGGCTTCTTCAACCCACAGTTGGGGACATCCCATAACGTGATCTTGATATCTGGGTAGGCTGTGGTGTCGACCGCATCGTATTTGGTAGCGATGGCATTCAGGGTCTGGATCAGGAAAAGAATGAATTTTATGATGCGCATCCCGGGCTTGTTCCAAGTGATTGTACAAGGTGTGTTAGAGCTGAATACTGAAGATTGTGGGAATAGGGCTTGATAACGGATCGAACTGAGGTATGTGAAGCTTTGAGCACTCGATCTGTCTTTATAAGCCTTCGTACTCTGACTCATACAGTGTTGTTGCCCTGTGCTGTTTCATGTCATCTCCTTCTTCCTTATTTGCGACAGCGGACAGCCGTGGAACAAGGCAAAATTCTGTTTCATCGAGTGCCTTATGCTACGCCAACTCTCATTCTGTAAATACATTCATTTATTTACCGCCCTATCACCTCTGACTCCAATCAGGACGGCGAAAACAGCATTCACTGAAGATCCACGTTTCAGAATCTCTCATACATGTGGTTGCGCCAGCTGAAAGGATGGCCAGAGAACCCCAGCGTCCTCCAAGATTTGTCTCGCCGTCTTGCCCACTGTCGCTGCTACCAAGCTCCACACTGAACCATGGCTTAACTGAATTGCGGCGGATCACTTCGATCGACCAGATTCACGCACTAAAGATAAGCATCAGTCATTCCATTTCGCACGCTCTCCGGACGGATGACTTACATTTGCCCCTAGATCTAGTTGATAGCATGTATTTTCCTGTAAGGACTCAATGCCACCTGGAGCCGTACGCATTGTCCGGAGAAAGTGCTCGCAACCGGGAACGATACGTTCTGAACGAGCTCTGTTTGCGCCCGGAGGATCTGCCGTGGCGGCACTCCAGTCGAGTTGCTCGGTGTCTCTTAGAACCCGGCTGAGCTTGAATGTATTGGTTGAACCGTTAGTGGGCTGCATCACGCCCCAGGACAAATGGAACTCGCTGTTCGGCTCAAACGTGGGAGTGCAGTCGATATCGTCCCAGACGGAGATCGTGAGATCCGCATCATGACCGAGTGTCCCGGAACCGCCAGATCGACGCTCATTTAATGCAGCTGTGGCGAGAGCGCCAGCGCTCAAGGCAAGGATGGTATGGATGGTAAGGAGAGTTGAAAGGATGGTATACATGAGAGGCTTGCTGTGAGTATGACCGGTCTACGAAGATTTAGCGTTGAAGGCTGTGAAGACAAGATCTGAAAATGGTTCCAATGGATAGGTGCGGTGGAGGGATCGCACAGTCTTTATAGACGCGGCAGGAGAGTTTACGTACTCTGACTCACAACGAGTGCCTCGTATCTCCTACAGTCCAATCCTCTGACATCACCTGCGACATCCGTGTCAAGTCTCAGATCAAGGCTTCCGGCCTCTTCCGTGACCCTTGTTCAGGCCATCTGTTACAGCTTTCGGTTTCATTAGCCTACGTTTCGTTTCAACATCATGTGACGACCTCGTACATCCATCCAATCTTATATGACCTCATCTTCGCTGACTTCACAGCCAATATCCAGTGGAGCCGGAGCGAGTCATCGGTGCTTAGGGCCGCCTGGGACTTCTGTGACCCAGTGCCAGGCTATTCTCCGTGTAGCAGCTGCTGATAAGCAATGGAAATCTTTGAAAATACCCCTTGTTTCAGAGCGCAGGCTTAGGTATAAAAGCTCGCATGTCTCCCAGAGATTCCCCAGGCCAGATCAGTGTCATGCAATTCTCCACTTACTGGACAACAGCCAAAAGAACAGCCAAACTCTTTCGACTGCTTTGCCGCATAGCAGGCTAGCATCCAAACACACCACCAACAGCCATACTGTACCATACGTTACCATAATACACCATACCATTCCATACCTCCCTCCTCAAGACCTACCGGAGTACGGCCAAAACCACTGCTGTCAGTACCCACATCGTCGACGAATCAGCGATCCAGAACGCACCGAGCACAGCAACGTACCTACTTACAAGCACGAGCATCATGTCCAAGTCTGGAAAGCTGAGAGAGGAACGGGCAAGAGTTCCAGCTGAGGATCGGAGAAAGGAACCACAAAGAACTGCAGCTAAGGATCAGAAGAGGGCAGAAAAGACACAAAAGGCAGAAGCTACGAGGAAAAGAAGGGAGCAGAGGAAGGAGCACGACAGGGAGAACGGTTGCTGCGTGCAGTAGAGGGTGCGCTCAGAGGGGGCAAGAGTGTACTGAAGCGAAGTATGCTGTATCCGGCTATCTGTGGTAGAAATTCAAATTGGTGTACATCTGGGGGACTTTAGATTGTTCAATGGCTGGTCTATAGCGTGTGATGATATGTTTTGTTGCTAGCAACAGGTCATAGATACTGGACGTTATGCCAGGGGTTCGGGAGGAGCTTGGTTGATGCCTCAGCGGTGGTGACAGAACTCTGTAGATAATGGACGATGATTTTTGCCCACATCGAAAAGACAATTCTCCCCTGTCATGCTTTACTCTATCTGCTTTAAAATAGTCTTTGTTTGTACGTGCGAATGTGGTCGTGTACTGGGCAATCATCACACATCACACAATACTCCCCTCAACAACCCTTTCCTGCTTTTTTTAATTCTCGCGCCTTAAGTATTTTTCGTTTCATCGGGGTGTGATGTATTTCGTCGTTGATTTCATGTACGTCTAGCCATTAGGAAACCCTTCCATGCTTCTATAAATATGAATAATTCTCGCCCGCCTTAAAGTCAGCCACTGAAACCAGATGTCTTTCGGTTTCATCGGGGTGTGATGTGTTTCGTCGTTGATTCATCATGCCTACACACCCATTCATTCTTCTTTCGACCTTATGATCTCTTACGGAACTTGTGTCACGTCGAACCGGCCTATTCCGGCGTGGTGACTGCTTTCGAGTAATGACACTCCTCACTGCCGCCGTGGTGTTTTAAAGTGCAGTCTTTATTACAAAAGGGCTTTGTCCGCCAGCAGTAATAAAGAGAATTCAACCCACTTCTCATAACACTTCAGTTTACATTCGAATCCTTTGTCGAACAGCACACTAGAAATCCAAAATCACCACCAAAAGCAACAATATTCTTCCCTTTGCAAGACCTATCCTACTAAGATCCAATTTGTTCTAACCCGCTTTCGAATCCTTGGTCGAACGGCAGTCTAGCATACACCGAACCCAGCAATATACCTCCTCAGCAGCACGAGAACCATGTGCCATTTCAGCTATATGGAATGGCCATGCGGCTGCGAATTCTATCGTGGTAAAGAAGACGTTCAATATTGCCCTACCGAGATAAAGGCGTCTGGGTCAAGTTGCAACACTTCAGGCTGCCAGCCAGTCTGGACGATTCCCAGGACCGATGGAGCTGCCGATGTCGATTTCAGCGACGATTGGATCCGTTTCATGACTATGCCCAAAGACCGCAAGAACCAGTTCAAGTGGCTCAGTTGCAAGAACCAGACCTATAAGCGCGGGAAGCTCGTCAAACGGGAGGAGGTAGAATGCCGTTGGCATGATGACGTGAAGATCAGACGGGAGTGGGCAAACGAACCTAAGTATGCAAATGAGAAGCACAAGAAGGTGCAGCAGAAAGCGCATAAGAGGGCGGATCAGAAGGAGTTGGCTAAGTTACAAGCACAGCAGCTAGAGAGGCAAGGACAAGGATGTGTCCTGCAGTAGAGGAAGCGGTGATGAGAGGCTGAGAGCGATGCAGGAAGCTAGTGCTGGGATCCAGTGGTATCAGGAGTGGAGGTTCACAATGACGTGCGTTTGGAGGGCTCGGACCGTTCGGTGGCTGGTCCATCGTATACGTTGATAAATTCTTCTGCTATCTTCGTCAATAGGTAAAAAAAGGGAAGGAATTCATTTCCACGAAATTAGAAGACAAAGTGTGCCCGCAATGTCAGAGTCATTCAGCCCGGTTAAACCCTTTGCTCTCTGTACCTCTATAACACTCTATCCTAGACGCGTAGATATCACTGTGCGCTCAGCGTCTTCTTCTTCTTCTTCGTCTTCTCGTCTTTCCCCCTTTGAGCGACAAGATCCATCACAGCGCTTCGCTTGACACCTCGGTCAACATTTCGCTCAACTCACTGGTAGCTTTGAGTATTTGGCGGTCTACCTGTAAAGCGAACATCCAACACTGAATTCGCTAAAAATCTCCCCAACTCGGCGTGTGAATCTAACCTACCAAAATTATCGGTTTTCAAAGCCTAAGCTTCAAAGCTCGCATATTTGCCAGAGACCGAAGCCACAAACCCTACCACCTTAAAGACAAACATATCTTCGACTTGCCTCCATGGACTCTGTTCCCGTTGAGACCAACATACCGACTCTGCAGTCAAGAGTCACCAAATTCGTGTCTGGCCTACCAAACCCTGAAACAGCAAACTTACGAGACGAACAAAAGAGTTGCCACATCTGCATGGAACCCTTCACCGGTGAACTCCTACAAGAGCTGCCAGTACTACTCCCATGCGGTCACATTTTTGGGAAAGACTGCATGATAAAGTGGCTGTCGTCGGACGGAGACAGATCTCCAAGGAACTGTCCCATGTGTCGCGCTAAGCTCTTCCCTCAGTCGCCGTTGTCAAATTCGGAATACTGGTCGGGCCAGTCTGGGGATGATATGAGGATGAGGCGTCCCATCAGTAGGATGGCGGACTGGGGGAATATGTATCTACCTGGTGAGATAGGGGAAGCAAACCATTTGATGAGACCGCTTGGTGTGACGGTGGACGAAGAAGATTCGGGGCTTGCGATGAGACCTTCGTTTGGATTGGCGGCCTATGGAAATACGAGGCCACCGTTTGGTGAGAGGATGGCGGAAATGACAACTGAGAGGCCTCCGGTTGGTTGAAGGAGGATGATGGAGATTCCTGTTCGGCGTTCCGAGACAAATCGCTCATCTGAACCTTCTTGGCCAAATCCAGGTATCTGATGAAAAGGTGGAGCATGCTTAACTCAAGGAAATGATAGATAGAGTAGGAAGGTGTGCAACTGTCGATGAGAGCGGCTTGGATTCTCATACAATCCGTAGACGATTCTCTTCTTTAACGATATTCTTTGCAACCACACGATCTGTAAGGAACGCTTTTGTACGAGGTCAAAAAGTCGTTTTTGTATTGAAAAACGGTGGAAAAGAACATTCAAATGCCACAGCTCAAGATCGAGTAGCCGGGAGTCAGTGCGCTTCGGCGGGCTTCGGCCCCCAGCGTTATTCGCTCAGGCGCAGTAGCCGGGCTGTCAAAGATACGAGTACCTTACCTTGAACAACGAAGGAACATTCACGTGGTACTGTGTTTGAAAGGCTTACGGTCATTGGTTTCCTTACTGACCGACTTTGTTTCAATTGTCTTCCTGCTAAAAGTTCGTTCTTTATTGCTTAGGCAGGCGCTGACTTTGGGTTGCATTGCATTACAAAATAGGCTGTGCAGTTTCGCGACAATCCCTTGTATCAGCTCGAATTGCTAACTGTATAGCCTCGTCTTCCTGCTCGTCTTTCTCATCTTCTGTTCCATCGGAATACTGATTGTTATCCGCATCATCGTACCGTCTTCAAACGCGATCACTCCTCATCCGTAATTGTGAGATCGTGCGTCTAGGGCAGGTTCCTATTCATAACGGCGACGACAAAGAGGTACTTAATATACACCTTGAGAATATTAAGAAACAATGGTACCACACCCACACAATGGTAAGGGGGGTAGCACTTGGTAATTTGGGGAGTAAATTGTGGCCCAGCAGGGAGGCTGGCCAATTTTTCCGACCCTAAGGTAGTATCAGCATCATGCATGATCAACGAGCTCTTAGGAGGTGGCCGGTCCAAGGCACAGCCTCAAAGTATTGCCTTGTAACATGGTGCTGGAGCGCGGTTAATAGCTGGCACTTCCTTGTCTTTGGATTTCTCTCTTCCTAGACTCCAAATTGCGTATGGATGGTTTGAGTAAATTCTTTCATATATGCCGGGCTCTCGCTCATCGCCAATCGTTTGACTTCCAATCGAAAGAATGAGCAGCAACACCACTTGCTATAATCCGGACGGGGCTATAGCGACGGGTGATTATGCCTGTGGTTTCCCCAATCTGTCCACTTGCTGCGGCTACGGTTGGGATTGCTTGTCTAATGGACTTTGTCGACAGCATGGAACGACTGGCTACGCACAAAGTACTTGCACGGATCCAAGCTACGAGAATTGCCTGTCATTCTGCAACCAAAGTCAATTTGACGGCTTTGGGGAAGTGAGTCGTTGCGAATCCAATGGCAACAGCTGGTGCTGTGCGGGTGCTGCAGGACAAGGCCTTGGTGGTCCCAATTGCTGCGATACCAATCTCACTACCTCACTCGCGCCGTATCCCTTCTCCACGATCGACAAATCTGGTCAGTCAACGGCGGCTAGCTCCTCGGTACCTTCTAGTACCACTGTGATGACTTCCATTTCCTCGCGCACAACACTCAAATCAACATCCTCGCCCTCCATAAGCCTCGGTACCTCCGCACAGTTAACAAGCCAGACCTCCGTTGTAACATCGACACAGACTGCGGCCACACCGTCCAAAACATCCACGAGCTTGCCTGCACCGCGACCTACAGACCCAAGTCACAGTTCGAAAACGGGCATAGAAGTCGGTATACCCATTGCCATCGTCGTCGTCCTGCTCGCAATCCTTGCGTTCTTCGTCTTTCAGAATCGAAAATTCAAACAGCGTCTCTTTCAATTGCGGAGCCAGATGGGAGAAGGTTCGCTAGGGCGGGGAGAGGCAAGACCTGAGATGCAAGAGCGTGAGGGAGGCGCCTTGGGAGAGCTTGATCTTACTCACTACGAATTGACTCAGCATGATGCGCCAAAGCATGAGCTACTCGGGAGTGAAATCCGTGAATTATATCATAACGGCATCCCGGCACATGAGCTGGTTGGGGACAACTCTCCGAGATGAGGCTTGCTGTGAAGATTTTGTGAGAGATGCACCAAGAAAACATGAACTGGAAAAAAAGGCTGAACGAGCTGGATTGCAGTGTTGCAGAGTAGGAGAGGAGAGGAGAGAAAGGAAGAGAAAGGAAAAGATGAGAAGACAAGAGGGGATGTTTGTTGGAGAAAATTGCTCCGTGTCCCTATCAGAGATCATATCATCTCTCACCTTGAATTCACGTAGGTTCGGATCTTGAACAGCACATCATACAGCGCATAGATATCTCCTCACCCACGTCACCATGGCTTGGTCACCTTGGTTGCCACGTCAGTGTCCGTATCCGCAGGTCACTTGTTGTGGCCACGCCTACAAAAGCTTTCTTGCAGTCTTGTCAGACCTTAATAGATCCCTCAGAGTTTTTGAAAATTGAATCTCCTGGCATTTCCAGGCTTCATTTCACCATGGAACCAAGCGCAAAAGAAATTCTTGAGGTATTGTACCAGGAGCTTGACCAGTCCCTTCGAAGAATATGGGAAAAAGACAAGCAATTGACCACAGATTTAAAGTACATCCATCTTGACTTTGTGAGTCAATACTCTGCCTTCAGGCATACCTGACTCCCGACCGACATCCCTGATCTAACCATGTCATCAATAGAATGGGGCACGATCCACGTGTAACGAGATCGAGACCATGCATGGGCAGCAGTTGGAGACCTCGGAAGGACGTATTACCACGTTCAAGGAAGCCAAAAAGCAAATGCAGAAGGCCAGAGACGAACTGAAAGACCTCTTCGAGCTGCTCCTTGTAGACGGTTGGGCAAAGGACCCAGAGGTGGGCGAAGAAGGGGAAGCGGGACTAGTGCATCAGTTACCGGAGGGATAAAGACATGGAGCTGAATTGATCGACGATCTCCGGAGAACCGTAAGATACTCACAAGTCTTCTGTTGATTTCTAGTTGTAAAATATTCGTACTAAGAAAAAGACTTCAGATTCAACCATGTCCAATCTACTAGGGTACTGCCTTCACTTTGACATTCTATATTCGATGCTGTAATCGGAGCCAGATATGTGCCAGTCGTGCATTGCCAGTGTCCCTGTTCGCTCATACTCGATACGGCTAGGTTGGTTCAGCCTCTCTGAAGAGTACCGAATGTTGCCTAGTGACATTCAAGTCATGACCCGTCGCTCCCTCCATTGCGCCAATTAAAATTCTGTTTGCTCGTGAGATGGCAGAGCCAATGTCTGTAGTTTCCAGCGTTGCATCAGTAGCTGGTCTTGCAGACGTAAGCTTTCGTCTGGCCGCCTCGTTCTACAAATCCTTCCGTGCGGTAAAAGACGCGCCCAAGAGCATACAGAGGCCTTTTGAAGAGCTAGAACATTCTCATAGTCTTCTACTAGAAGTCAATACAGTCATAAAGAGCGACAGCGTTTCTTTTCTCTATTACGAAAGATGGTATCTCTGTCGATAATCTACAGTCTTTACCTCAAGAATATCAGGCAGAGCTTGCCAGATTCAGAGGATTAAAACAACTTCCCAGAAGAAGCGGAAAATGATCTCCACGACATTGCGACTTATCTTAGTGGGTCCGTGATCAGCAGACGATCGAATGACACTACCAGTCCTTCGAGACACTGGGGCAACGTATCGATGCTGCTCTCTCACTGACCGGTCGATACAAAAGCCCACGATCATGAAGCAGCCAGCGCCTAACTCTGTATCGGAGACACGATTTTGCCACAAGAGAAAGGGACGAAGCATTACATACCCAGGCCATTGTGGTTCGTGATCATTTGAAAACTTCCGTCACCAAGACCAAGAGCTTAGTCACCACCTAGTTCAGCACTATTGGGAATAGCATCGAGCAGGTCGCGTCTCAAGCCGCCCTGAAACATGCTGAGTTGCAAACAGAGGTACGTCGTGGTCACGACAGCATTTATCACCAGGTTCTAGTGACCGGACAGCAAGGGTCCCGAAGATCAAGACATCTGCAAAAAGAATTCCGTGACATGCGGTCCTCAACGCGTAGGACGCAGCCGAGAAATAGTCGCAAGCTGGCTTTTCCTCGCTGCACCTTTCACTGGGGGAAGTGATTTCCTACTCTGCGCTGATTCAGCATTCGGGCTTGAAGCAATGATGCTATCGCTGATGCTGATGGAATGGAGCTTGTACGGAAATTTGCGGTCGCGGTCGCAGATAGAGATCTTCGAAGATGGGGTCAACCTTTTACTCAGAAAATATCAGAACCTGGTTACCTTCTGCTACGAAGCCGCAGCGATACGAATCATGAAAGCTCTAAAGGATCCAGAGCCAAGAATCAGGAGCCGAAAACGCTTCCGAGTCACAGGTCGTTATCCAACTATTATTCTGTAAGTATTGATAGCTTGCCAAAGTCAGGATCTATGCAAGGGTATGGATGGCGCACATTGTCTGGGATAATTTTACGCACCAACAGGAAGACATCTCAGAGCCGATCAGTTTCGTTGCATTCCGTTCGAAATCTCGAGCCGTGGCTCCAGGTCTTTTGGCGAGCGTGCGACCTCGGTCACGGATCTGACCCAGGCCTCAGAGGTTTTAGCTCTGAAGTTACGGATTATATCGCAGAAATGGACAGCAGGAATCCGAGGCTCCGCGTACGCTCGTCCCTTTTTTGATCAGTCACGGAGCAGACATAGAATGTCCAGCTGGGATCCATAGAGAGAGTGCAATGCTCCGTGTAGCACAGTCGGGAAATGCGAGTAGTTTGCTCTGTGTTCAGGTACTCTGGGAAACGGCGCTGAATACAAAGCGCAAGATGGCTTGGGGCGCGGTCCGCTGCATCTAACACTCAAGATTGATAGGAGATATTTTGACTATGAGGTACTGCGTATATCTATGCGAATTATGGAAGCACAGTTGGTCTGCCCAAGCCGTGCTGAATGTTCGATACATGGTACTTGGTAGGGAGAAGCAACTTGAAGAAGAGCAAGGACGGAGGGGAACTCGGCCAGGGCGGAAAGAGACTAGCTACAGATTGTTGAACTTCATGAATGCTTCAACCGGAAGAGTTGTTTCCCTCATAGGTGCGACTAGACCATTGTTTAATAGGAGGTGCGATTGAATGTCTTCAAGAGATTGGCTGACTACTTTGGGAAGAATGGAGAGTTTTCGTCTTAAGACTGCATCCTTTAAGAGACTGATACGTCCGCCGTCAAAGGAACTCGCACGGATCTCCATTTCAGGCAGTTTTGCCATCAACGTTACAACGTCACCGTACTGCAGTGGTAGGACCCGGGACGGGACGCCCGTGACCCTGATGAAGGAGGTTTTTACGGTCGCGGTGATGCCAACATTGGCGAAAGTTAGTATGCGGACGCGCCCGTTGTCTTTGCGCGGAGCCAAGTTCAACAGCGCCCAGATGATCGCCAAGAACATGTCCTTCCTCTCACGGAGAGAGCGACCTGGGGATAGCCGTCCATGATCCCAGGAACACTCCGTTAAAGTCCGAAAGCAGCGCTAGCTCGCGCAGAGCGAAGACACATACCATCATGCATGCTATATCTGGGAGGACGGCGCCGCGATTTCGGATAGAGTAGTGGAAATCTTCGTTTGGGAGGTCTGGCCAGATGTCCGATAGATTTGTGGCCGCCGGTGTGATAGGGTTGAGGTTCGCATTCGTTGAGACAAGAGATGTGAGAGTCGCAGCCTTGGACAGAGATAGCAGGCAGAAGAGGATATAGCAGTACCGCAGATGGGGGTCCACGGGTCCATGGCAGCTCGGTGGAAAAAGGAATACTCTGCTTTGGTGTGTTAGTTTTAGGGCTACTCACTGATTCATACACCAAAACTATGAATTCTTACCGAATCATATCCTTAATTACTGAATCATACCCCAATGGAGTATGATTCGGTAGTTCCCTATTCATGGTGAAAATTGCAGAGGAGAGGATCCGCGCCCTGGCCCATCCGACCATGGATTTTTGTCCGACCGCATTTAATGAGAGTTCTATCAGGCTAAACATATTGGATGAACCCGAGTGGACGAGATTTGGACTCCTCGAGGACCAAATGTAGCCACCAAACCCTACCATACCACCGTTATCAATAACCGAGTCGACGACCATTACCAGACGCTCAGTGCGACCAACCAGTCAACTCAACTCTTCGAACCTTACATAAACCTTGATGGGCAACTCCGCACGCAAAGCTCGCTTCCTCCACCGTGACGCAACAGTTCCTCACCGGGCTTCCCAAAGTCCCCCTTGGTGAGTTACCCAGAGACAGCACATGTATGATCTGCCTCAATGCTTATGGCAACGGATCGCTCGACAACGGTGATATCGCCGAAGGCCCAATCCGCCTACCATGCGAACCCCACCTTGGCTCAGAGTGAATATCGATTTAGCCATCCCCCAGCAAGACAGCCCAAAACTCACGTCCGTACCGCCGGGCGCAATCCTTCCCCGCGCAACCTCGCCCATCCATGGAGCACGAGCCCACGGGCGACGAGGAGCCTGACAGCCCCACGCCAGGAGGACACCGTGCTCGATGACAAGAAGAATAGGACGGATCGGGCGGCCGGTACAGGCGCCGGAGGAGGGCGAAGCATGGGAGGATAGTGACGATGGGTGATACATCGAAAGAGATTTTTCGAAAGAGGCTCGCAAAATATGTATGCGCACTTCTTCCAGACAACCGCAAAATAGTACGAGGAAAGCCTTCAACGCGCACGCGCCATCGTAGCAAAAGTTTGGCAATCGCAGCCACAGGACCAACGACCAACACCGCACCGAAGCGAGGGACCTCGCGGTCGGTTTCCAACGCCGACGGATCCGATCACGGAGTTGGGCAGGGAACAAGAAGAGGCGCTGTCCCTCGAGCTTGGGAGACAGGGAGCTTTCGCGAAAAGTGGTGATCATCCTGCCTGCGCTGGTCTGACTGGTCGCGAAAGATGGCGGTTGCATCGTGAGAGGGATGGCGAGGTTTGGAAGGCTGGAGTTTGGGCTGGATTTGGGGTTGACTGAATGAATGAGATTGTGAAGCGAGAACATAGATGTGCAGCACAGGATGTTGGAGAGAAGGAGCTGGTGTTAACGCAATTCTTCTTTCGACATCTTCCGGAATGAAGAATTGTATCATAGAGATTCATCTAAAATAAACGTTGTGCTTATCAATGATCTTCTGTCAAACACCGACACTTGCGGTCAGGAAAGGGTAAAGTAGAGCTATCGCACGGTAAAAATACTCATAGTAGACCAAAGGTCAGCCATGCTTGTAAATTTCCATACTCCGAGTAACCATAAGCCCCTTCGTACTATGCATGCCTTCATACTTTAAGTAGAAAGGCGTCCTTGTTCATCGTAACGGTCCAGAAACATCCTGTCCGAAACCTCCATTCTTAGTCCTCCAGCTTGCTTCCACCCGCTCGTTGAAACACTTTCTTGAATCGTTTCGTCATCGTCATGCCTTTCGTAGCCTCCTCCCTCGAATCGAGAGAAACTTCTGTGCCCTCGACATAGGGTTCCAGCAGCTTCAGGCGCGTCTTCTCGGCCCACTCGTTCTTCTCGGCCACCGTCCATCGCCCATGAAGGCTCCCCCCTGTCGTTGAGTTGAATGCGGTGACGTCGTCGCTGATGATCACGGTCGCTTTGGTTAATGGTAAAACGCGAAGCTGCAAAAAGGATGCCAGAATGGACTCCAGGACCATGACTTTATAGGACGCTTGTGCGTACCACGGATTGTGGGTGTGAATGTTCATTTCCAGACACAGGTGAACGGTGCGGAGGCCTTCGAGTGCACGGATGGAAGACGGCTCCAGGGCGCTCATCCAAGCAGACCTGTCGCTGGCGCGGTTGGGAGTGTCGACTGACGGTCTGCTCAAATGCAAGCTTCTGATCATCTTCTGTTGTTTTGGGTCCAGGCCGGCCAAGAACTGACCAAAGGAGAGTGCATCGTCGAAAGAGAAAGTATTCTTGGCATACAGAGTGGTGTTGCCTAGGTGATACAACTGTCGACAGCTCGCAAAGAGCGCAAGGTGGAGCTTTTCCAATTCTGTGACATCAGTGGGGTCGAATGGACCGCAGCAGCCGCAGTACAAGTGACGTGTAGCGTTCCTCTCAATTTCATATTGCGGTGTGTGCACCCATCCGGCGTTGCTGATTGCTTCGGCGTAAGCGGCATCCTCGGTCTTACTTGCATTACAGATGGCGTGGCGAAGGCCTGGCAGAGGCACTGGACCTAGATTGTTCTTGCCGAAGCCGGGAATCCTCTGGCGGCTGTGGACTTTGCCTAAGGCGTGTAGAGTCACGCAGTCTGTTCGGGTCCGCTTTATGTGGATGAGGTTGCCGTTGGCACCTATGGCGTAGGAAGCTATGATTTCAAGAATTTCGAGTGGCAGGCACAGCAAAGTGGATTGCAAGGAGTTCTGCTGCGTTCTGGTATGGTCAGACGCTATATAATCATAGAATTAGAGCTGCAATGAGCTTACATTGTCGTTGTTCTTGGATTGCACTCCTCAATCTGGATATTCTCTGTGGACTTTGACTCTGTGTTGATGATCTCTAAGAGTTTCCACATATTTCTATACCAGGATTTTCGGTCCATACTCATGTAGTAATACCGGCTCTAAATGAGACTCTCAACCGAGATCTGATGGTGTGAGGGCAGTGATAAGACTTGAATCTTACAGTTGTAGAAAGTGAAGCAACGACCTCGTGCTTGGAAATTCTGAATGGTTTATGTTTTGGCGCAATGGAAGTCGCGTCCTGTATCTATCTAATGACGCTATTATATGAGCCTCTCTCTTGTATTTTCATGTAACTCAGCTCTACTTTCAAAGTTGCAACATGGCAAGAGCACGTTACTATCATGGGCAGGTCTTTGACATGGTCAAGCAGAATGTAGCTAGGACACACAAGTCACCATACAACGCAATGAGCATACTTTGACATAGACACCTTAGAGAAGCCTTGAGAATGGGAAGGTTAGCCAGAGGCACTACTAACTGGTTTATTGATACTCAGGTTCATGCAGGCTGCTATGTCTCATTGCTACAGTTCCAAGGCTGTCTTCTTGACTGCCGGGCCGCCGTTCGCATTGCTGATCTGGAAGTTGCATGTTCGCGGACTTCGAGCGCCCCACGTAGCGACTACCTGAGTTGCGTGCCGCTACGATTGTAGGTATTACCGGCACTCAGGTATACCTCCACTTCCCCAAGATCTTGTAGACGTTTATATGTGATAGATCCAACGTCCATCGGCTCATCAATTCCGTCAGGGCGCCTCTGTAGCCGATGTCTTCGTCAACGGGCCCAATTGGCGCATCCGCGGCCTCACCCGCGATCCTTCTCAACCCACTGCCTAAGCGCTCACAGCGCAGGGCATCGAAATGGTTTGCGGTGATCTTGACCATCCGGACTCCCTGACCGCAGCCTTCTTCGGCGCTCACGCCATCTACGCCATCACGGACTTTTGGCAGCCGTTTTATAATCCAAGCAACAAAGAAAAGCTTAGGGAAGGCCAAACCACGAATGAACTCTGCTTCAACCTGGAGGTGCAGCAGGGAAAGAACATTTCCAATGCAGCCGCGAATGGAAGGACGCCCGAAAGGTATGTATGCTCGTCGCTGTCGGATGTCAAGAAGTGGAGTAGGGGAAAGTATACCTGGGTCTATCATTTTGATGGAAAAGCGAAAGTGGTCAAGTATATCAAGGACGAAGTGCCGGATTTGGCGAAGAAAATGTCCGTGCTGCAGATTGGGTTGTATGCCACGCATTGGCAGGCTGCCCCTCTTCTTGCGCCACCAAAGGTTGAAAAACCTCACCCGACAATCTCTTCTTGGGAGCAAAATGGCTGAACAGCTACGTAGCAACCGGACGGGACCTATGTCCTGTCTCTGACGGCAGATCCAGACAAGCCCATGCCAATGATCGACACACGCAGGGATACGGGTCATTTCGTCCGAGCTTTGGACCAAGTTCCCCCTGGAAAGAACGTCCTGGCGTACGGCAGCATGATCAGCTGGAAGGATTACATGACCCTTTGGGCCAAGATTTTAAGGCTCCCTGGCGGATGCTACAAGCAGGTCACCATCGATACAATTGACTGGATTGCCCCTGGTGGTCTTGGTCGCGAGGTTGCAGAGGGCTGGGCGTTTCGGGGAGAATTTGGATATGACGGAGGTGATCCGAGTATCGTGCATGGGAAGGATGTGAGTACGAGTGTTTCAGTTCTGGGCGCTGACAATGCATTCTAGCTGACTGTTGATATTCCGACGACTAGCATTGAAGACTACATCAAGAAGGAGGACTGGTCTTCTGTCATTGGCTGAATGCGCTAGTGCGAGCCTTCATTATTCGATGGTAGTGGAAGTTGCATGTCAACCGAGCGATTTCGAGCTGATTGGTTTCGTGGCTGTCATGCGCAATCGAATCTAAGAGGCCTATGCGAATTGTCGAGACATGCTTCGACTTTCACCGTAGCTTTCGTATATGCTAGCGACCATGCTCAATGGAGTATTGTAACTATCAGCAGGTTTCAAGCACCCGACGCTGGGAAATCTTCAGGGTATTCAGCGCACATCTTTGTAGCAAGCAACTATAAAATCTTAACGCAAAGCTACCAAGTATCGCGCCAGCGCTTAGTCCTCCTTTTTGGGACTAATGCTACCCCACATCTTCGTCCAAACTTCAATGAAAGAACCCAGTTCGCTCCAACGGCCAGCAGATATATTTGCCATGGCACCTAGCAAGAAACCCGCAGCTAAAGGTGGCGACAAGTCCAAAGACAAAGGCAAAGGCTCCACTAGCAAAGACGACAATGCGGGAGCCTCGAAGTTGAAGGCCGCAACAGCTATCAATACTCGTCACATCCTGGTACATCATCCTCTCCTCTCCTCTCCCCATCTCCCTGGCAAGAAACGCTGAATGGCCGTCCAGTGCGAAAAACACTCGAGGAAAGAAGAAGCCCTGACCAAACTCCGCGACGGCGCCAAATTCGACGAAGTAGCCCGCGAGTTTTCCGAGGACAAAGCCCGTCAAGGCGGCAGCTTGGGCTGGAAAGTACGCGGGTCGCTTGATGCCGCGTTTGAGAAAGCGGCGTATGACCTGGAGCCGAGCACGACGGGCAATCCAAAGTATGTGGAGGTGAAGACGGGGCATGGATATCACATCATTATGGTGGAGGGACGACGATGACGACGCATATGGCTATGGATGACGGAGAGAAGCTACGAATCCAAGATCTCTCTCTGCTTCTTCGAGGCAGCGGCCTATCTGCCTCCAGAAGCTTTCAACTTGCATACTCCGGGGTATGCGCACACCACCATGGTCAGATTTAGTGACCACCGTTCTGCCCACCTGCCCTCGCTCCTCGTCGTGCCGGCTATGCAATCCATCAGTTACGACTCTGACGTGCCACCTCTCGCCTCCGTTGTCGGCGAATCTCATAAGCGGGCTCATTAAAGGTTCCAGAAGTACAGCTACAGCGATTGGATCATGCAGCGGTGGTCCTTCTGTGATGCCATAGACCTCGCTGTAGGTATGGGCGAAATACAAGAGAAGGTCATGGAACATTTGTCGGAGGTTCGAGGCAGATGCCGATGGAGTCGTCAAGGGCCTTCCCATCAGCAACGTCTGCTGGACTTCCCTTGTCGCTAAGACCTGATGGGTGAGATCAAGCGGTATCAACGTCGTCTTCGCGGCAAGTTTACGGTTCGAGAAGATCGATTCAGCGGCTTCCGGATCGCACTGCTTGAATATCAGACCCGATCTGCCCGGTTCAACTCCAAGTACTGCAGATAGCGCTCACATAGATGTTAAACTCCGCCCACCTCGTCCAATTCCCAAACCTCTCCCCTTCGCCCTTCACATGTCCCATAGGTGCATCCGTAAAACCACCACCAATAGCACCACCCATAACACTCAAGCCCTTAAGATGCTCCACGAGCTCCGGAAACGTAGCAAACAATAATGCCACATTCGTCAACGTCCCCGTAGCCACCAGCCACGCAGTCCCTTCAGGCTGTTCCATCAACCTATGCCGCATAGCCAAGACAGCATTCGGCTTCGTAACGGGCCCTACCGCAGGCTTCGGTAACAGGGTCGTGCCATCGAGACCGGAAACGCCTGTGTGTGCAACTCAGCACGCCTCCCCCACCCCATATTATGCGACAAGGCAGGTACCATGTATATCAGCAGCGTGGACCGCGTTCCTGCAGAACGGCTTCGCGGCCCCAGGATGGACGGGCACGTCGGGCCTCCCGATCGCGGCGAGGACGCTCAGCGTGTTATTGGTCGTCTGCGCGAGGGAGGCGTTGCCGTGGACGGTGCTGATGCCGAGGAGGTGGAGGCAGGGATCGTAGGCGGCGAGGAGGATGGCGAAGGCGTCCTGAGGGGCTGGCTTAGCGTTTGAGGGAGATGGTTGGGGTTGGGGTTGTCCGTACGTCGTGCCCTGGCTCTGTTAGAAAGAGGAACTGGGCGGATGTGGACGAAGCTTCATCGGGCTTTACCGTGCTGTACCTGTGTCGCAGTCTAGCCATAAGGGTATCTGTTTCGCGCGACCGTCTTCCATTCTTGCAGTCAATGGGGCGAGAGAAGGTTACGGAAGAGATGGTGTTCGTGGGTCTTTGTTAACGGGTAGGGCAGTTGCTCTACATCATGCAAGCGGAACCCCGTCGTGTAATCAGATAAATTCTATGCTATAGCAGATCATTTGACTAACTGACTATTTAGTCTAATTTATCGATTATGCCTCTATTTTTGCTAAAGGCAGTAATACTTATCCGCGTATCATGCTTTCCTCTGGCTACGTTTTCAGCCTTTCATCAATAGCCTTCGAAACCTGGCAAGATCTGGCATCACAAAACCCTTGGAAGTAGGCAATCTACACTGGCTCCTAGATAAAGCTTTAACATGTTTTGTGTCATTGGAATGCTTCAAGAAATTTGCAGGAATTGCATGAGTAGCCGAGCCAGCTGCGTGCAACTCCCTTGCTAGAGTTAACGGAGTACCAGTTCCCTCAGTAAACCCATCAGTTCTTCCACATGTCCATCAGTCTTTCCAGCTTTCTGATTCAGCTCTACTAACTTTGGATTCCAAGCTCTCATGCACCAAGATACCATGAGCTGTCGGCTGACCAACCCTTATATCGCCCTGGTACATCACAGGGTCGTAGCTAATGTCACTTTTGGGACCGTCATTGGAGGTTAAGCGCAGCCACGCACTCCGCGAGTCCTTATTGTCCAGCTCTATATTTTCATTGGTGGTTGCATCCTCTCTTACTGTCTTCCTCAGAGAAAGGCTTTGTAGGGATAGTGAAGACCACAGATTCCTCATCATGGAAGCCGGGCTTTTTGCGCTTTTGTAGAGGGGTCCTAGAACAGGAAGGCATGCGGCCACGACCGACATATGAGGTTCGATGACCGACCAGATAGTGTTCTTGGTCGCCACATCTGAAAACAAAGTCAGGTTACGCTTTTTGACAGCAGTCTTTGTGCTCACCTATATAAGCTGTATCGGGCGTATCTTTTCTGTCATTTAGTATTATAATATAGTAAAGGCGGACCTCGGAGGCAATAATGCATCTTTTCTGGGTGTCAGTGATAAAAGTGTATTATTGCACAGATCTTACAGAAGACCGAGGAGGAATATCCCGATGAATGATAATTTTCGTTCCGAAGACATAGATAAAGTTCGGATAACAGGAAGAGGTAGGCAGACGAGGGCGGCGTCCAGTAATATATTGATTGCAGCCGGCGAACAGAGAAAAGCAGTATAAATCAACCTACCATATCAACCAGGCTCAGTCCAGCCTTTCGAGACATTATAAGATCGAAACATCTGGCCCTAGGATATCGATGCTGTTTCAGCGAGACCCCTCATGAAGTGAGTCAGCGTACATACAAATATCGACGCCAAAGCCCAGGCAAGAGTGAGTCCCATCATCACATGACAGGCCGAGTAGAAGCTTTTAATCACGAGTATGCGCTTGTACAGAATCAACGTCGATGCTTTGATGAGCGAGATCGCCAACGCGAACAAGATCGGTCCAGCAAAGATGACCTGCATAGCATGTTAGCAACAACCCAAGAGGACCGGCCTCCTTCCATCTGATGATCTTCGTATATATCGCGCTTTCAGATGGATTGTTGGCAATATGCTCCTCTGTATTACCCACCCCGCCCGCAGTAGCAGCGTAAATCAGCACTGGGGCAGCATGATATAGCGTAAGCTGTGGCTGTAAGCGATTAGTCAAGCAGAATCTATTTCGTTGAGTTACCAATGCTATCAAAATAGTATAATCGTCTGCCCCAAGCCCAGCCTTTGTGCTGCGTCGTACTTTGAAGCGAATTGCCACAAAAAGAGTTGACAATATTGATAGCACTACATGCACTGCGACCAAGGAGGTTGATAACGACGAATACATCGTTATTAAACTTGCTTAGTCGAACACGCTTCGCCCATTTGACATTGCACGGATCAAATTGCTGAGCAAGAAGTATGATGGTGTATTGAATATCTCACGCGGTGTTTCAAGCCGGGGCCATCTTTTGAGTAGTTAAGCTGAGACTGATCGATCATCTCGGAAGGAGAAACCCTCTGACGGTATAAGATGGAGTCGAGATGCCTGATTAAAAGTTTAGCTGAGCACCTCCTCCAGCCGTTACATTGCAATTGCTGTACAGGCCACAGCTTGCGATTGCATTGCATAGGTGGCACCCATGGGCCATGTAGTTGTTGTTCAATGTAAGTAGAATGATCTCAATGGCGAAAGATTTCTCGTGCCCTACTCCGTCATCAAGGCAAGAGTAGCGGGTGAGAGAAGGAGGGCTGGTATGCCTGTGACGGTAGGCGGGGTGAACATCTGCTGCGCTATTGTTAGAACCCCGAAAGACTAGCCTATCGACCAATTTGCCAAGGTCCGCGGGTGTCACGCGCGCTTTCGGGCTCCTAAAAGAGGACCTAACATATGCGCGCCGAGAAAGAGGTAGGGGATCCATATCAAACATGCACTGAGATAAGTGAGATCCCTCCATCCCCTCTAGAGTAGTATTATCCCCAACGCACTTGCTTTTTTTCTGCTTGGCGAGGAACTCTTCAAAGACATCAGACCCCGGAAACGTGCAAAGATATGAGGCGATTTTTACATGCATGTCAAACCTGCTGTGTCTTGAAGTAACTCTGCAAAAAACGGATCGGACTACTTCAATGGTCAAGGGTGTGCGAGGGATCTTCTTGCTCAGATTCTTTAAGGCAATCTTGCAGGAAAAAAAAGGGTTTTCCTGTGGTTTTCTCAAAGCAATTCTGCAGATACGGGTCCGACTGCTTCAACAGTTAAGGATGCGCGAAGGTTCTTCTGGCTGCGTTTATTGAGGCAATCCTGCAGGGGAATTTTTTATTTTTTTTCCCCAAGGCAATTTTGCAAACAGTGGCACTCACAATTTGCCGTGGTTTACTCAAGACGCTTAGCTTCATACGACATACATGCTGCTTCACCTCTTAAGGTTGAGTTGAGTTGAGGGATTCGAGGGCAAGCTTGGGGGGAGGGAAGGAGGTTTGATGCTGGCTAAGGGTGCGCTAGTAATTGAGCGCTTACCCCTGTTGCCAAGGCACCGCAGGAAAGCCCCTTAGCGTAGTTCAGAAACGTTCGCAACTCTTGCCAAGATATGTTAGAATCTATGTGCTGTTATAATCTGAGATGAACGGGCGGGTATTACTCGTTGAATACAGATTTTGAGCTCGATGTGCGTGCGTGAACCCCTTCATCTTCTTACCACAAGCCGCCATGACTTGCTCCGGACGTATACTCCCGAGTTAAAACCCGAGCTGATTCTATTCCTATAACATCAAGGTGTCTGTGAATTGAATACGGGCGAAAGTTCAAGCTTGAAACAAGCTCTCGCCGCCCCACCAAGCCCTCTTGGCTCGACGCCTGCAGACTGCCGTGAAACATTCAAAAATTCGAGTCGCCCTTGTTCTTGATGCCCAATAATGACTAAACGAATGCGCTCCGCGCTTACAAGAGCACAAGCAAACTCGACATTCAGTGACCGAAAGTGAGGATTCCGCAATTTTAAGGCTATGGAGGTAGGCTGAGCAAGTGAATAGCTTAAAAATTCCACAACTTGAAAACAAAAGGCGCACACGACGGCACAACGTAGCTGGCGCCCTCGGCGCGATCCAAAGACCAAATTACTGACTCGGCCTCTTCTAAATTGTATGCCGTCATGGGTTTCAGGCTCAGCAAATCTGGTCATTTATGAACAGAAACATAGTCAAAACAGAGCATTTATGGGCCATTCACGGGAATCAAATCATGACCAGCTGGCATGTGGAGGGACAAGAGCCGATGATTTTCTGGTAATACGTACGGTCTATGGCTCGGCCCTTAGTTCGTCATTCTTCCGTTGTGTGAGAACCGTCGCTTGGTGGTAAGGAGAAACAGAAATTTATCCTTTCAAGAGTCGGTCCTCAGTCCCTTGAAACGGACCCCGCTCTTCACGTGTGTTGCAGATATGCATGTGGTATTCGATGAAACAACAGATAAACAGGCAGCAGACATAGACGCCTATAAGGGCTCGTCTTCCTGCTCTCAAATTTGTTCTTCATAAGATCTCATCCTTTTATCTACACATACTACGGACAACAGCAACCTCAGTCTCATTCCATCTGACTCTACTCTGAAATATTCACCTCACCTTCCCTCCCAAGACATGAGTCAGCCACCAGACCCCCAGGAGGAACACTCAGTAATTGACTACCGCCCTTCAGCTCGCCCAGGGGAACCCGAATTAGATGACGAAGCCCTTCCGTTGTATTACCGAATTGTCCTCTACCACGGCGTGCTTGGTACGGGTAGGCCTCAAGTGCAAGAGCTAATTTCCCTAAAAACCGGTGGTGTCGTTGCAAGCTGCGGCCTCTTTGAGCAGCACAAAATATTGAAGACAGCAAAGAATATTTCGGAGAACAAGGATCACCCATGGGAATGGAATGGCTACAACATTGGCAAATTCCTCGCCTCGGGGCTGACGCAACCCAAAGATCTTGAACTGGTTGTCGGGCTTACGGAGGAAGAAATCAAAGGAATCAAAAATGGTGAAAATGTGGGTTTCAATCTTCCCTGCGCAAGTTTAGCCTGTATTTACCGTTAAGATAGCATTTCCCTCCCCATCATCCCGCGCGAACGAGGGACAGCAATGCCTATCGAGGTGCGGCGGAAAGATTGCTGGAAAACCGTGCCTGTTTCAAAGAACGAGTGGAGGTAGAAGAACGAATCCGGCAGGCCGGACAAGCCATGCAAGCCCCGCCAAGTCAAGCAACGTATCACAGCCCAGCATGCCAAGCATACCTAGTGGGCCAAGCAAGCTTAGCAATCGGAACAAGCAAAGGGCCAGGAAAATAAGTATTGTGTGATTTGGGGGGCCGGGTTCCGGTTCTGCTGGTCTGACCCAACACATCTTTCACTGCGATCAAGGCATGCATTGGGCGGGTTTCCGTCTACATTGTGGACATACACATTCTTTAAGCTGGCGTTGAAGGACACTCCTTTCACTGAGATCAAGGCATGCATAGGGATGAATTTGCGTCTGCATTGCGGGCAAACACACTCTTTTCGCAGGCGTAGAAGTCATATTATGCAATGGTACTGGCTCTAAGTACTCAATTAACACACCCCTTCCATTGTTGTACGCTTTGCGCTTCTCTAGTACCATATCAAACTCTTTTACAGGCAGGATATCAGTAGCATTGAACGATCAATCCGCTCAAACACTGATCATAGCAGCATGCACTAGAGATTTCTGCCGCTGTCCCACGCTCTCCCCAAGCACTCAAAATCGTAGGTGAAAAGCTTGATGCGCCAGCAACCAGAGCTGACCTCTGGGCGACTCCTCTACTGGAACCCACTTCCTTGGGGTACCCCGGGGTACTTCTCCGTGTGGCAATGACTTACCGACTGCGCTAGGCGCCTGCCCGAATATGAGAAAGTTGATGCCGGGTGGCTGCAGTTCGGGAGACGCCAACTCATGGCCATCAGCAACGGCATCACCCTTCGACACGTTGCAGCGTCTCATTCCTTGCAGCTCTCCGAAAACACAGCCCCATGAGATCTTCCGACCGTCCAGTAGGAATGGTTCGGAGTGTGTAAGGGTGTGGACCTCGATGTCGGCAAGTTCCAGCGCTGAGGGTTGCCTAGATTCTAAGGAAATTCGGGCCAATAGAGACGTTCACGTCTTTCCGAGAAATATTCAGGCGACGATTCTCTATCTTACTGGCCGCACACATCAGCCCTAGCCTGCTGCACTGAAACTCCGTCGGCTTGATTGCAATGCAAGATTCCGGAGCCTCCACAAAGAGGGGCTGCTACAAGTTCCAAACCAAATAATCTGGTGGGGCTTAGCGCAGAATGATACCTGAGTTTTCTGCAACCACTGTCGCCCATTCGTATTTGTGTCAATGTTTTACAGCATGCTTTTAAAACAGGAGAGAATCATGCAGCAGGCATAGATGCATGCAATACCTCCCTGCTCTTCATTTTGTTCTTCATCAATTCTCTACGTCTCGTATTTCTGTACTTATAGATCACAAAAAAAAAGACTTTCGCGTGATTTATTTCTAAGATACAAATATGATGATATAAAGCACACCGTACACGGAAACTATAACAATACTCTCTTTCCTTCCCCCAAGACACTCTGCTCAAAGCACCGCATTCTAGAAACCAACGCCATGAGTCAATCAAAACAGGCCGATCCAGAACACAAAGCGACCGCTTTCTACATCAGATTCAAGACCGAGCTGGCTGCCAGCGCTTACACAGAGGTCGTTTATGCCGTAAACAAGGAAAGAATGGAGAACAATGGCCCGATCGCCGCCACGAATGACCTCAAGATAGTTTGCAAGGTTGAGGTTACAATTGATTCCCTTAAGAAATACTATCAAGAATGTACATTCTTTCGTTTTTATATCTAGAATATTATTTTTATATATAGGCTGTAGCTTTTGCCCCTGAGTGGACGCTTGACAGACGGCCCAGTAGCCATGTCTAATACTATACTAGATTGCTTGGCCATCTTATTGGACTTCGTGTTGGATGGGGGCGAAAATACCAGGCAGTGCAGTTGATGAAATACGGACGATGTCGAGCGTTGCTGTGGGGCTGCAGGGTGGTTTAAAAAGCCGCCCCGGGGTGGATAGATATCATCCCAGGCTTGGTCTGACAGATTTGAAGGCGCTTCTGAGAAGATTCTGTTGTACCGGAAGGTTCGGGCGATTGTGTTCACTGATCGACAACATCAGTAAAGCTCTTGAACTCGAAGGTTGCAGTATTTACGCTTGGAGCGATGAGCGGTGGCCTGCAAGGAAGCCTCAGGCGCTGCAGCATACGAGAAGCAAAAGAATGCTACGCTTAGACAAATGTGCTCAGCTGATGACGTCCCAAGTCGATTTGATTTCGAGATAAGGGTGTAGAAATGATAGGTTCTTCTGAAAAGGGTTGAGAACGAAGGCATGCTAGGCCCAATGTCTAAGGCCTCGAGAAGTCTCAGTGAGAAGCGTACTGTGGGAGTCGAGGGGGAAGATCTCTATCAAATATGAATTGAAAGGACGATGAGTCATACGTCCAAAATTAGGAGAATATTGCTCTTGGGGGAAAAAGTTGGGGGACCCACGAATCATCTAACACGACTTGGTGATTGGCTGGAAAACACGTCGCTTATCAATAGTGCTTGTCCTCCACATTGAAGTCAGGAGTCAATCAGAGCATTTTGATCCATACTTAAATTTCACAGGCTGAGATCATTTTTCTGGAATTGTTTAGAGAACATAACATGGAACTACAATAACTGAACATTAACATTTCTTCTTCTTGAAGTTGACAGATAAATGATGAGAAACACTTTCAGCTGCTGATGACAGCTAATTGGGGATGGTACTCGTGGTTTCTGACTCATGGTCCCAAGAAGACCGAGGGCTAGCACATGCAATGACTTTTCCTTTGGTTTTCTTCCATTAGGGAGGTTTAGCAACATTTTTCATAAGGATTTTTCATAACCTTAGTGGCCCTACAGCGAGAGAGATAGCATAAACCTATGAACATACAATACTCGAAGGCGTTCATGAGCGCCCTTCGGCTCCACACCTCGGGCAAGGTCGTCCATAGCCGCTTCAATTAGCGTGTGCAGAAGACTGAAATCTTGCCATTGAAATTTGTCTCGCGAGTCGGATTGTACTACGTATCGATACGCATAGTTTCTCTCGAAGACTAGGTTTGTCGTATCGATACAGTAGCTTCGTAGATTAAATCATAGATCAAAGGAGTCTCGTAGGGTATAAGGTAGGACAAGAGAGTATCGTACGATACGAGGATACCTGCTAAGCTAGCTCACTCGCTACTGATTTCTACCCAGATATGCAGTATACTGGCAAATTAACTTGTCAAAGTTCGTACTTTTATAATTCATGGTTTTGCCATGAACTCTCTTACTCCCTGATAGATCATAGCAGAATGTATCCTTCCTTAGGCAAGAACCGGAGTGATAGGAAGGAAGCCATGCCTTGAGGGTTGTGGTAACACTTTGTTGAGCTGCATTGAGCCCTGTCACTACCAAGCATGCCAGCTCACCACCCAAACTCCTCCCCATGCCAGAAAACATTCCTTCCTTTCCAAACCCATCTCGTGACTTCCCTTCTAACACTCGCACCCATGCCACGGGGCCCACAAACCAAAACCGCTACCCTCTCACGGCTATCGAACGAGAAAACTTCATCGACTATGGTACGAAAATCGGGACGACCATCTCGCATCGTCTTTGCAGCTCTGGAGGTAGCATCCTCAGGCGAAGTCGAGTCACTGAGTAGCCGATCTCGCTCCTGCAGCTCGATGGAATCACTGACTTCCGCTTCTGATTTACTCTGTGGTCTGCGAGCTGAGGGCTCCGACTCCCGTCCATCGACATCACCTTGAGTGGCATATGCGTGGAAGCTTTCAGGTAGAATGTCACAAGCTTCAAGCAGCTGCTTGATGCCCCATTGAGCGTCCGCGATTTGCCGGACACTCCACACAAACTTAGGACTTGGTATGTGCTCCTCACGAGCCTTTCTCTGCAGCAAGTCAAGGTAAAGTGGTAACGTGAATGTTGCTCCCACACCACCTGCAACAAAGAGCACCCGATCATAAGTCGCAAGATCAGGAAAATAGTTTGCGGCGCCATAGGGACCTTCGAGCGTAAGGCTGGTGGTCTTTTGCTTGGCGGCATAATCAGCGAGCATTGCCGTTGTTCCGGAGAGAGCACGAGCCACAAGCTTGATCTTATTGTCGCTATGAGGATCCCTATTGGCGATTGAGAAAGGGTTAATACGGAGTTTCTGGGGCAGCGATGGAAAACCAAGGTATATGTGCTGGCCTGGGGTGTATTTCTTGGAAGAAAGAGGTTTCGTCAGCGCTATGCTGATGGCGAGTAGATTAGCTGAAGGGATCAGCTCGATAGCTGCATCAGCTGTTGCCTGCGACACATTGCGTTGCAAAATGACAAGTAGGTAGATGGCCGCTGATTCGACAATATACAGTCGAAGATGCGAGACGTGGAAGAATAGTATTGGTAGGATTGATGCAGAAAGGATAACGTGGAGATAGAAAAAGACGCGGTAATTCCATGTGCGGATCCTGGCAAGAGCGGTAGTCCCAATGAGCAGAAAGGTCGTGATGGCTGATAACCCCAGTATCACGTCCCGATCCTGAATCCTCTTGAGCAGGAGGCTCATCTGGATGTAGAAGTTCAAGTACATTGTTGCGTGGACTGAGAAGAAAGCGATGAGTATTCTCCCGAAAAGCCGGTGGTAGGGGTTGAGTTCCTCATGGGACATTCGAGTCAGATATTGGATAGGACTCCAAGATTTGGCGGCAAGCAAATAATGTACTGGCAGTTGCGAAGCCGCTACGATGCCGAATCGTTTGGTCAAGTGGAGGTAGTCGTCGCCGGTATCCTTAAACACAAGCACAAGCAGCCACATTGCCCAAAGCCCAGCAATGAGCCATTCCTGTCGGGTGTTCCATCCCTCAAGGACCTCTTCATCAAGAGACCAACGGGTTCGTGCTAGTAGGTTCGTTGAATAGCTTGTAGCAGGCTGTTGGAACCTGGACACGACTGGACTTCGATGCTCTTTGACCGTCTGAGGTTTGAACGGCCATGTTCTTGATATCAGAAGACGCATTCCGAGACATAGTTGATACATTAGCGGTAGGAGCAAGACAGAAAATTGCGCAAATTGGCCATAGCCGTCCAACAATTGGCGTCGACGCAAGTTTTGCTCATCGTTCAAGGTAACGAAATGGTAAGGGAAGCCCATTTTGCTAAAACGAATGCAAATTACTGGAGATTATGCGTGCGTCTAGTGGAATCCTAAATTACAAAGGCATTACAAGTATTGCCGGAAAGGTTTTGAGACTATACAGAAAACAATCGTACGTATAATTTTGCACATGGACAGGAGAAAAATGTCTGAAGGCGAGATACATGAAATGTCAGTCAGCGCACTACCCACCCGAACTGCTCGCGCTAGTAGCGGTTGTCTTATGCCCTAAGCGTTCATTACGCCCGTTCCAGCTAAGCCGAGTTTAGGTGTAAGTGCTCAGCCCTATGAAACTGCAACCGATGTCTGAGATCCCAATCAAGGAACCATGGAGAGCGGTCGGTCACAAGAGAAGAAAGCCTGCATGAACTCGTCTATCACATCATTCTTGTCATCAGGTTTGCTGTCAAGTGTTGCAAGAGTCCTTATGCTTTTATATCACCTCTGGTCAGCGTGCTCTACGTAGTCCTTAGTCGATTGTTCAAACACGAATACCATACTATAAAATGACACCCGCGACCCCGGAGCTCCTCGCCCTTCGTCTCCCTGGAATTACCACAGTTCCCAACACTGTTCCACAGTCAGAAATGTCCCGTTAGATTGATGCTGCTGTTAGCGCTCGCTCGGTGGTATTTGGTCAATTTCCATCCGTGGCACGGTTCTGCTCCTCCAGAATGGTAAGTACGCCTTATGGCTGAGACTGACCACAGCTCACTGCATAAAAATCCTTCCATGTCCTCTTCAATCTTGGTATTCTCTTTGAAAAGTTGGCGAATCTGGATGAGCTTTGGATTGATGGGATCGATAGTATCCACATCGCGCTCCCTCATTGGAATCATGTTAAGAGTGCCTGCTGGCATGAACTTGATCATTTCTCGTTCATTTTGGTATCCTGTAGAAGCCTAAACTGCAGGTGATATCACAAGAGGGTTCCGAACATACATTCGTTGCAGACAAGTTCTTTATCTCTTGCCATTTTCTGGAACTGGTCTTGATACTTTGTGTCCTCTTTCAGTTGGCCTTCCAAGTCTCCATCGTTCCGCTGGTTGCGAAATATCAAAGCTTTCAGTTGGCTTTCCATGAATCCTGGTGTAATATCGTCGTAAAGATGATACGCATGCTCGTTGTGATTTAACGCGTTCAATGAAGACGTGGTCGTACCAGATACGGCAATTGCTGGGAATTTCAATGAGGTCCACTCTTGGGGAGCTCATCGTTGAGGTTCCAATGGACTTGGTATTCGACATTCAGGGATTTGGACGCCTGATAGATCGCCTTGAACCTATACATAGCGCGGTCGAAATCATAAGCCTCATCCCAAAAATTGACAAAGTTCGGAACATGAATTCATACTTTGATCAATGCAAGAGTATTTTTTCTCAGTCTCGTGAGTAATGAACTGTACTATTTCTATTGGATTCCCGCTGTCTGCGGGATTCGAGCCGCTTGGAAGGATGTACGAGGCTTGCCAATTTTGGTGGCAGGTGAGTCTTTTCCGCGTTCGTTACTTTCTGCTAAGTTGAGACCCTCATTATTAATACCGACTTGTCTAAGTTGATGCCTGTACACAGATGTGTCCGAATGTACTGAGTTGCTAATGAAATCCTCAGCAATAGGAGGCAATTGTCGGCTGCCAAGGGACTTTTTAGAGCGAGTGATCATGTTATTTTCTATACTGACCAAGGCTACATTGATCCGGAAGGCAGATGCTATGGGAAGGTCGTTCGAAGCCGGGACGATCCGCTAATCATAAGCCTTCCCGTGAGTAACCCGAGTGCGGAAAATCCTATGCTCCTCGATGACTTTGCAGTAGAGATAGTAAGTCTTTTGGTTATAGCTAATATACTCAAGCACCCTCGCCGCGTTGAAGCTTTTTCTTGGAGGACGCTCGAGCTGCATCGGCAGCTGCACCTCGGCATGTACGAAGCAAGGCTGTGCCAATCTGATATTGCACGCTTTCCGCTGGCGCGCCTTTAGCGTTTTGAATTACGCCGAAATTGATGGCAGGGAATAGGACAATTGATGAGCCACTTCCTCGAGGACACCCGCATCGTTGGCTACAATGTTTACCTTTTTGAAGATCGCAAAGTGCCAAGCGCCTTCAATGATAGTCTCATAGGACACGCGAAGGTGGCCAAGAAGCGTGATGCATTGCCACAGCTTCCGGGAAGCATCTTTTGCGGTTTCATCTAATTCTGACATCGTACTCTTGTCAAACTGCAGCTCATACGCGGCATAGACGATCTCGTGCCACTGCTTCCCGACAGCTCCGATAGAAGAACGCAGTTCAAAGAGTCTGCGGAACCTTTGTTTTGTGGGGTATACGGTGTCAGTTGTTGTCATGTATGGCTCGAGACTTTGTGTGAGTCTCTGCCGATAGAACTCCAATCGCTTCTGATAGTACTCAACTTATTTCTTGAGCGTAGCGTCCTTGGTGATATTTCGATGGCGACCATTAGCCATAATGGCTCTCACCCAGATTGGAAGTACGTGCAACATCGAGCTATCAACCTCATCGAGCCCACCATTCTTGGCAACGTATATGGTTGCTTCATCGTCTCTTTCAACCATCGCGGCAGCATCAATGTGCTTGGCCTTCTCGCCTGGCGGTGGCTTTTCTCGGGACAGCGAGTTTGTCCAGGAAGGTCTCTTTCAGTTTCGCTTTCCCAGAAGCTCTGACTAAGTCTCTTGGAACATTGGTATCGGCGTCAGAGCCGTCATCCACCCTATCGTGCTTCTCTTCCGTATTGCCTTTTCGTGAGCTGAGAGTCTGCTCTTTACCTACTACAGCCGACAAGCAAGAGCGAACATGAAAACGAGCTTCGTCGAGCTCGCAACGTGGGACTGTGGTTGTGGGTCCATTTAGGCCATAGCGTTGGTGGCTGTTTGATCAGCCGTTCCATCTTTGCGATATGTATAGTAATTGAGTATTTTTATGCACTGCGTTGGTTTAATTTTTTTGAGATATATTGTTTTTATATATTGCGAAAATATTTGGTATTTGCATCGGCCATGAAGTTTGCATTCCAGCTATTTAGACCACTGGGTACATGATATTTACCTATTTCCCCTATTGCCATCGGCCATGGCTACTAGCATTTCAGCATATGATTGTCGCATACCAGCTATTTGGCTATTGAGTACATAGATATTGCAGCTATTGCCATTAGCCAGCCAGCATTGGCTTAATTGAGCCATTCGCCATTTACAGCCGTAGGCCATGCGACCATGCCACTACCATTTATACAACTTCAATTCACCTATATATTACCAGCTATCGCAGTCATAAATTTCAGTCATTTGCACTAAGCCATACGGCTATAAGGATATAGCTATTATAGTATATGGTTTAGCCATTTCAGTAAGTGCTTCTGCATGCAGCTATTTGATATTTCATTATTTCAGCTATTAGCTATTGCAGTCTTTCTATTTGCTTTTAAGCTATTGCATGTTTTTTATATTGCAGTATTTGCTATTTGAGCTATTGAGCTTTGCAGCCATGTGGCTATTTCGCTATTTCAGCTATTTAGCTATTGAGCCATGTGGTATTTCAGTTTTCAGCTATTTGAGCTATGGCAGCCTGTGGTTTTGTATTTAGCTATTGGATTATATTTCGTATTTTAGCTATTTGGGCTGTTGCAGCCATGTGGTTATTTGTATTTCATATTTGGTTTGAGCCTGTGGCTATTTCGTATTTCAGCTATTTCGCTATTTGAGTATTCAGCCATTGATATTTCAGTCAATTTAGTATTTGGCTATTGCGCCATGCATAATTCAGCTATTTGGCTACTGCAGCCGTGGATTCTCAGCTATTCCAGCTATTTGGGCTACCGCAGCCTTAATTCCCAGCCATTTCAGCTATTCGGCCTACCGCAACCATGGATTTCGCTATCACCTAAGTCCCACCATTTGCTATTCCTACCGCAGCCTTAGATGTCCCAGCCATTTCAGCTATTCGCTACCGCAACCATAATGTCCCAGCTATTTCAGCTAATCGGCTCCGCACTTGTCCAGTTATTTCAGCTACATGGGCTACCGCGCCATGGATATTTCAGCTATCCAGCTATTTGCTACCGCACCATAGATGCCTCTCATTTCAGTATTTAGGCTATCGCAATCTAGGTATCTAGCTATCGCCATGAGACTCTCACTATTCCACCTATTTGGCTATCGGCTTTAATGTTCAGCTATCCAGCTTTTGGCTACCGCACCCTAATATCCAGCTATTTCACTAATCGGGCTACCGCACCATAAGGTCTAACTATTCCGCTATTTGGCTACCGCAGCCTGAGTCTCAACTATTCCAACTATTTGGCTACCGCAGCTTAGAGATGTCTCAATTATTTCAGCTACTTGGGCTACCGCAGCCTTGGGATTCCCTACTCAGCTTCGCTACCGAGCCGTGGAGATGTTTCAGCTATTCCAACCATTTAGGCTATCGCAGCCACGGGATTCTCATATCGCGCCATGAGATGTCTCATTATTTCAGCTGTTTAGGCTACCGCAGCCTGGGGATATTTCAGCTATCCCAGCTATTTGGCTACCGCAGCCATAAAGATATCTTAGTATTCCAGCATTTGGCTATCGCAGCCCTGGGGATGTCTCGTCACTCCAGCTATCGGGCTCCGCACCTGAATGTCTCGTTATTTCAGTATTTGGCTATCGCAGCCTGGGGATTTTCCTATTCCAGTATTTGGTACCGCGCCTGGAGATGTCTCAGTTATTTCAGCTGTTTACGCTACCGCAGCCTGGATGTTTCGCTATTCCCTTTTATCCCAGGGATATCTCAGCTATCCAGCCATGGATATCTCAACTATTCCAACTAATTGGGCTATCGCAGCCATGGGACGTCTCAGTTATTTCGACATTTGGGCTACCGCAGCCATGGGGATAATTCAACTATCCCAGCTATTTACGCTACCGCAGCCATGGGGATGTTTCAGCTATTCCAGCCATTTGGGCTATCGCAGCCACAGGGATATCTCAGCTATCGCAGCCATGGGGATATCTCAACTATTCCAACTAATTGGGCTATCGCACATGGGACGTCTCAGTTATTTCAGACATTTGGGCTCGGTGGGATAATTCAACTATCCAGCTATTTAGGCTACCGCACATGGATATCTCAGTCCACTACCACAGCCATATTTCAGGCTACCGCAGCCATTGGATATCCTAGCTATTCCAGCCATTTGGACTATTACATCGGGCATGACCATACGCGTCAAAGCCTTACATCAGTGGAAGCCCCATCTGATACCGGCCATTAAACCCCACCTGATGCCAGCCATTGGTACATGATGTCATCATTGGTCTTGATGTCATCATTGGTAATGTGGAACCCCACCTGATATAGTATTGGTATATAATGCCAGCCATTGGTACATCGGTGGAAGCCCCACCTGATATCAGTCATTGGTATAAATCCTTCCCAAGGGCTGCAACTTTGTTAAGAGTCAGATTCCTACCGCCTTTTCGTCACTCACCCAGCCTACCTACGAATCAGTGACGCTTGCCTCTTAAGGCCGTTACCTGCAACATCAGTGACGCTTGCCTCTTAAGACCGTTACCTGCAACATCAGTAACGCTTGCCTCTTAAGGCCGTCACCTGCAACGTAACGCTTCCTCCTAAGCCGTACCTGCAACATCAGTAACGCTTGCCTCTTAAGGCCGTTACCTACAACATCAGTAACGCTTGCCTCTTAAAGCCGTCATCTCAACGTAACGCTTCCTCCTAACTCCCCAACCTCCCAGTCTACGTCACTTGGTTGAGATCTATTATTCAGCAGTCCTTCCGCAGAGGGGCTCAACTTGATATTAGGAGTCAGATTCCTACCGCCTTTTCGTCACTCACCCAGCCTATCTACCATTCACTACGGCACCAGACCTTCCAGCCCGTCGCGTAGTGCTGCCGTCCCTACTGCTTGCTACGTAGGTACCGTCAGATCCTCCCGAGACCTTACCCTCTTGGACACGTTTGATTAGTTTTTAGCGCTGAGGGCCTTTTTCGACTATCTGTCGTCCAGATATCCAAAAGCTCTTAGCTGCCCCGTGTTATATGCAATCAATATTACATATTACTTGTGATGGTTGTTTTTATTTGTTTGGATACGGTTCGCCGTCCCAAGCATACAAGGTTTCCGTAGCTTTTGGGTGGATCGCTGGGGAAGGCATGGTGTTTTGACAGCGCATAGAATACAGGTCATAGATTCTCCTCCCCTATGCCCGCTGTGTGAGCTGAGGCGTGATTGCAATGGTCAAGACTCACAACAGACATCGAGTACAGAAATCGTGGTGCACAGGCTTGGAGAGTTTTGGGATCGAGGACTAGCCCTTTTTACCGATCTGTAACTCTGACTCGTAAGCCGTTCGGTCGGGACAAGCTGCTGCTGGTCCGTCTGCGCAATCAGGCATCTTCCCATTCGCAGGACCGCCCTGTACAGGCGACACCTCCTCCCGCTTCATCCTCGCCGGACAAACCCGCGCACCAAACGGTCCAGCAATGACGACTTGCGGCACACCTATTAGTCTCAATGCTAACGCTACAGCTGCTATTATAGGCATCAGCACTTTCCCAAGAATCCACGGCCCTGCGATTGGTAACCCTAATATAGCACCAGTGGTAACACAACAGACCCGCGTCCACTTTTGTCATCGACGATCAGATGATGACGCCCGGTGCCAGTCTCTTAGCGCACGGAACGGGGATTACCTGTCCTGCGAGAGGAAGCGAGATGGTAATCGGTAGCAGGACGGGATCCTTATCTTTTGCTACCGTCACACCTCCCACAGTCGTGGCTCCTGTGTCCAAATGGGGCGGACCGGTGCGGATGCTTCATCGGATTTCGCCATCGATAGTCAGACCTTAAGACCCGGTGGCATCATCACGGCGCCTATCTCGTATCCCTCTAGTAGCAGCCAAGTGTGGTAGAAAGGTAGCAGTACTCTTTCAGCATCCCTATGCTAATCATCACACCCGCTACTGCTGCTGCTGCCAATCTCTCATTAGACGGAAAATCATACACCGCCGACGCATCCAAAGACTTCATCATCGCCGGTCAGACTCTCGCACCAGATGGCACCATCGCCGTATCCGGCACGCCTCGTATCCCACGCTGCAGCCGGTACAGCCGTGGTCATCGGCGCGAGCACTGAAGCATTGTCCTACGCTACCATCACCGCAGCTGTACTCACAGTCGCGTTTGATGGAAGCAATTACACTGCCGAGGCGTCTATGGACTTCATCATAGACGGTCAGACTCTGTCACCTGGCGGTGTCATTACCGTATCTGGGACGCCGACCTCGTATGCTGCGGCTGGGACGGGTGCGGGAGTTGGTACGAGTACGGAAGCTGTGGGTATTGGAGGGCTGATTGTGAGCGGGTTTGGTAGTGTTTCGGCGAGTACGAGGGTGGTTCGGTCTACTGGCGGCGCTGTGGAGGGAGGCAATTGGTTAGGAGTGGTTTTGGCAATTGCGCTGGGGGTATCACTATTTATGAGGATACAGGCATTTGAAAACTCATAAGGTATGTTGCACGGAGATTTCCGAAACCTTGCATGATCCAAAATTGCGCAAAGAGATTACTCATATATGTGCATTATAAGATTAGACATTGCCATAGCCTATGTTCTGCCGGTTATCATCCACCAATCGGCCATACCTGCAATTAAAGTCAGTCAAATTCTCCAGATGCAGATCCAGGAGACCCACTCTATCAACAACCTGAACAACCAGACCTCAAAGTCCTCATTTCTGAGCACTTTCCCCGCCCACTCCCTCCCCTGGATCGCCAATTTGGGCGCTTGTATCTTCCCATCCGGCTCACTGTTGAAATATCTCACGCTCTCCACATACTCATCCCCTTTCAAGCCCAAAGGTATGTAATGAACCCAAGGCCATAGCCACTCTTCATGCCACTCTCGAAACACCGCCATCTTATATACTAAACTCATACTCTTCAAAAAGGCGTAAAAGCGGCCGCTGAAGGCATTTCCATCAATATCGAGGAGGTATTTGTACTGCCAGGCATCGTGCTGCTTATCTGGCTTAGTAATTTTGAAGAATTCTTTCTGGGCATCGCAATCTCCCGCGTCGCATTGGCCGACGTGGGCGAAGTGGACATCGATGAGGTCTTTGAAATCTGTTCTAGGTCTCTCTTTGAGCTTCCATTCGACGAAAGAACCTGGCTCGGGACTCTGGTTCTCCAGGACCATGGTATTATCTAAGGCATTGATCTTTTCGACGAATAGTTGACGGTGCTGGCGTCTCCAACCCCCGTTCCTGGAAAAGCCACCAGTTGTAGAGCCACGCCAGTAGAGCTTGTCTTTCTTGCTGTCCCAGGGATAATCCTCGCTCTGGTCGTAGGCTACTTTATTGGACCAGTACCATGGCGATGGGTACAGGATATCTTGAAAGCTGCTGATCTTGCTCTGAGAAAAGACGGGGAAGAGGTCATGGACGATGTTGAAAGCGTTTGGGCGGTTGAAGAAACCGTGGCGGTCTTTCAAAGAAGGCGACAAGCAGATGTCAGAGAATGCGGTCTTGTTAAAGATGAAGCCGAGCTGGGAAAAGGCGAAGGCACTGCTGTCGTCTTGTATACTTTCGTCTAAGGTTCGCGCGGGGCTTTCAGGCGAGCATGACATTCGAGAATTTGTCCAGGTGGGTTGATGAGCAAAAACATTAAATCTCGTAAACTTGACCTCGTTTGGCCTTGTACCATCATCCATATCCGCGGCTCGAGCTGACCATGAATTCTTCGGCATTTTATTTTGGAAGGCAGCAGGCATTGCCACGTCTTTTGCCGTGGTTACTAGCCTGCGCAAATCGTCATGTGGCACAACCACTCGCGGTTCGTCGTGGATGTTGAAAGGTAGATCCATGTCAGGCAGATATTGGACGAAGTCTTTGACCATACCCACGGTTGACTTTTGCTGCCATTCAGACCCGCCTGCCGCGCTAACGGCTTTTCCATTCCGTATGATTACACCCAGCAGCGCATTGTCGAAACCGAGTGCCTCACGTGCCCTTCCCCGAATGACGGATGGTTGTAGAGCCCAGAATGGCAGTAAAGAGTTGTAGATAGTGTCATATTCGTCGATCAATGCCACATTCCTAGCTTTTGCGAATTCGTACCACTTATCGAAGTTCGGAGGCGGAGGTATTTGGTATCTCCGTCTGTACTCTGCGACAGCCTTCTCTAGGGTATCCGATTGCCTATTTATGACCTCGTTGAAAGCGTTCTCAGACCTTGTTATGAGCTGCCGTATGGGATGAGAGGCATCGGTCGAAGGGGGCAGAGCTGTTGTAAGCTCTGGGGGCGTAATGTCGATAGGGGCTGAAGGTCTGGATGTGCCTAGGAGGTAGAGCGTGGTGCCCACAAAAACGCACAGAACGAGGAACGTGGCCGCTTGTGGTCTTCTCATGGTCCTCCTGAGTTTTGATCTAGCATAGGTGCGGATCTCAAAGGATGAACGAGGTATCATTGGCCGTTCATTGCCTGGGGTCAGAAGAGGAGGAAGAGCACTGGTATTGGGATTCTTAGGGTTTGTCTTGACTTTGACTGTCGTTACATGCCGTAGACGCTCCTCGTAGTCGCGGCCCAGCGCCGCTCAGAAGTTATATCTGGCCGTATCCGACTATCAGATATTTGTTTTCCCCATCTTGGAGGGTCGAAATTGTAAGCGCGCTTGGCGCCGTCTACTCGTGGACCCCTGCCATTGCCAAGCCCAAAGAGATGTACCCGCAAATCTACCGAAGTTGAGCCCGACCGCGGAAACCCTCCGCTCTATACGAGTACCCCCGATACGGTAGGCCCGGACTGGGAATAGCGTCAGAGGACTGAGGCAATAAATGATCGTCTAATACGACTGTTGCTAGTAGTCTTAAATGGATGCAGGGTATCATGGTCATTAGCAGCTTTAACCAAAGCGCCAATCGTAACATTTTCACAAGCCAGCTCCTCTGCGTCGATGCTGACGAGATTGATACTCTAAGCCGGCATACGAAATTGTTCCCGGAGAACAAGAAGAGTCTTCGAATCCACCTACGGTAACCAAAAACCGGACTTCCATGGATTCGGCAGCACAAAGAGCATTCTAGATGAAAACGCGAACAGGGAAGAGTATTCTATGTCTTCCCTTCGTGCCATGCTCGGGCTGACCTGACAGTGTCAAGCAAATGGCCACAAGATGAGGTGGATGACTTGGTAACAGTAACGGAGCGGGACTTGATGACGACCTGAGTGAGAACGAAACCAGGCATCTGATATTTGAGGAGACCAGGCTGGTCTTCATTCAGCAGTATTACCCACTCGAGTTTTTGAACTCTCGTGCGACCTTGTTCTACGACCTTGACTCTAATAGACAACGCCCACCCAGCAATCAAGTAAGCTAAAGTTTAGGCCATTCTCATATGAACACTGGGTTCATCCCAGCTCTAAAAGAAATTGCGGCGGCTTCTTTCCATTTCCTTGTAGACATTCAGAGGCTTTATGGTCTCAGCTTCCGACAGGCCCGACGGGATGACGAACTCCATATCCATCGACGCGTAACTCAAATGTGCAAGCTCACGCTGCCAAGCGTTAAGACGAGTATGAGATGGAACTCGGCCCATTGTCCCGCAAATAGACTTCCCAGCAGCTGGCCTTTCAACAAACGCTTCGGAACCTTTCCTTGTCGTCACAGACCCACTAAAGTCTGCTATGACGGGTGAAATCTGAGGACTTTCGGAAATTGGGGTCGGAGGTAATGACCGGTCCAAATCTACCGTCTTTGGCTTCTGAGAGCAGATGGTTGTTCCGACGCATGGAATATCAGTCGATGTGCCGATACTAGTCCAGCTTTGGCTTGACACATTGGTGGATACGAAGATCGTGTATTTACTCCTCGCGCCGTGATTCTGGATCATGGATCTTCCATCCGCGGTACCATGAGTCATGAGCTCATAAGCAACAGGTGCAAAGGACTCGGCAAGCTCATGCGCAACCGGTTCGGAAGGCCCAGACAGCTCCGAGACTTCTTATCCCGGATCCTGAAGGTGTTGCCGCGTCGAGAAGCTCGGCTTTCCAGTGAAAAAAAGCTGCGGGACCATAAGCATTTTTCCGCTGCTTTTTTATTTTCTATGTTTCCTCTCCGTTTATTTCTTTTTTTCTTTTCGCAACACATCTCAATACTATTTACGCTTTTAGTGGTTCGGCTTTCCTTTCAGTGTTGCAGAGGTTTAAGCTCTCGGGGTGGACCAATGAAGCCATGCATGGCCATTTCCCGGACTGGCTGTTGTTGTAGATCTGTAAGGTCTATAGTGCCATGATGCCGTTGCTGGGGACTGAAGGAAAGTCCATCACAAGATCGAAACTCGAATAAGGTAGACAGAAATCGACGGTCGGTCCTCCAGTCTCAGAATTCCCTAATGTGAATGTAATTCTACTCCTTTCTTCTACAAGACTTTCATATAGTACTTCTGATGTGTCGTATTCCAGATCAGACCGAACGTTTTTTCAGATAATCTACACGCATCGAGCGGCCAATAAATGTAAGGGATGGTTGAATCAATGAAGGTCCAGATTGGCTCTGACTGAAGCGATACTGCGGAGCCGTTCGCATATTTGGCGGTCATTGATTGCAGGCCAACAACAAGGTCCTGTGAGACGTTGGGGGCTAAAGAAAAGGAGACATTATTACGAACAAGTCGTGATGAGTCGTAGCTTCCAAGTGTCAGAGATCCGACCACTCCTTTCGATTCTGGAGGCCCAAGATTAGTAGGAAAATGATGGTAAGGGCAACATAGTGGGAATTGAAGTTTGCGGCTAAAGGTGTCGGGTCAGATAAGAACGCGAACATGAGATGTCATAACTCACGGTAGATTGCACCGGCCGTGTAACCCCATGACAGACTTGGAATCATGTTTCGCGCCTTTAACGTTGTCAGAAAGGTCGCACTTGGTGTGCTGGTGTTCACTAAAATCTGTTCCTCGATGGCCCATGCCAAACAAGCCGACGTAATAGTCATCGTTATCGAAAGTAGCAACCACTTGAGAGTCTAGGTTAGGAGATCCAGTGGCTTTACTAACTCCGAGAGCTACTGTGTCATGTCCATAAGTAGCATTGTGGCTGTAGCCCAGGTTCATCTCGAGTCCCATTGAGTAATTGCCAATATTGCTCCACGAACTCGAATCAGATGAGTTGAATAGTCCGCCACGGGACATTAAGCGATGTCCCAAACAATACTCTGCCCCGCAGGCTGTCACCGTAATTATGTCCCTCACTGCACCATGTTAATTCTAGGACCGGTTAACCTGTAATTTTTTTTGTACGACATGGCCGAGTATTCATGCCGTCGTCGTCTCTTTTACTGCAACGGACGGCGGTAAGCAAATCGGCAGCGCCTCCGATATCTTTACAGCGACTTTTCCTTCAGACGAGCTCTCGACAGTTACCTGGGCGGCCGGTCAAACAGCAGTCAACTCCTTCGCTTTAGCGCCATGTGGGCCACCAAACTACAATCTGAACGGGAAACCATATCAGCCATGGTTTGCGCCGCCACACGCCCTTTTCGATCAGATGGGCGGTGAAGGCTACGGCGGCTGCGAATTCGGTTAGTGGAAAGATCACGCATACAGTCTTGTCAGCGAGTGTGGTGCAATCAACGGGCCTAATCTTCCACAGTATAGGAGAATTGCAGCAACAGCTCATGGAGGACCTCAGATGCCTGCAACGACTCCAGATCCGACTTAGAATTGAGGCTTCTTTGAGAGGATGTAAAAGATTTCGTATGCTTCCACTTTTCCTATAGTTGAGGACACTTTAGAACGAGTCTTGGTCGAGAGCGGTGAGATTGAAGCAGAAGAACCAGGGGTCGTCGCGGTATTGCTCTATACTCCAAAGCTAAATTATTTGTAACCTGCGATCAAGTTGATTTCAGCACTAAATCTGAAAGGAAAATCGTTGAAAATTCAGACCTCAAGGTAATCCACAGGGCCAGGACGCGCGCTCTGTGCACCCTATGTTGTACTTTGTCTACCACGCACAGTGGCTTCCTCCACACATACACACCAATCATGCGTAGGATCCACGGACCTCTCCACGCCTAATACCGCTCCTTCTCCGACGGTGGCTCACACGACAGAGAACCCTCCAGTACCTGCCTGTTGCAGACATCAGAATCAGACCCGCACGCATACAACACTGCCTGTTCCCACCCCCACGGCCGACGCAGCTTCAGTTTCCGGCTCCATTTCAAAGATTGCATTACGTGCTAACGAATCAGCCACGCTGCGGGTTGGAGGCGAGCCGACCGACGGAAGAGAGAGGCGTAGCGGGTTCGGGGCCGTGGGATGCCACCCCTTTGGAGCGACGGGCGCTGCATACGTTGCTGAAAGGGAACGGATACTCGTCGAACGAGACATCTTTCAGCCTCGTGCCCGTGCTTTGGGGTTGGGAGATTAGACACAGAATCGATCGAATGGTGGCTCGTTAAGTACGTGGCGCATACGCGGCGTGTGAAACCTTTTTCATCACACGAACACGAGCACCACCTGCGAAGTTGTTTAGGGTTTTGTATGCCAAGTTTCACATCATTTTTGGTATCGTTGGTGCAGTTGATATGTAACCATCAGCCCTCGACACTACACCCTTATGCCGAAGGAGGATTATGTATGACAGATCATGGCTTAGGGGTTCCCATTCTACTTGCGTAGACTTTGTGGGTGATACGTTTTGAAGTCCTCGAACGGTGCCATTTATCATCTTGTCAGATGTCAGATGGTAGACAGGCAGATATCAGTCGCCTAAGCTATATCCAAAGTATTCTCCTACCGATACAAATGTCGTCAAGAAGACATCTGCATCAGCGTCTAGAGTCCTGTATAGTTCCCAGTGCGTATCGGCACGACTCTTCGCTATCTAGCCGATTAAGAAACTTATCGCGGTTGCGAAAATACAGCCGTAAAGAGAACTTGAGTCTCCTTAGGTATCATTTGGAGGCAATCATTACTCAGATGGGGAACCCCAATGCTATCAGTGTTGGCGATAGTGGAGATGGTTGATGTTGAGGCTCGAACCGTACCAGCTGCTACTTTTGACCCTTGCACTGCACCAATCATCATGCATACAGCTCTGCTGGCTCAAGCTCGTCCATAGTTATATGAGAATACGCGCGATGATCTTCAAGATGCGATGTTGTTTGACGGAGTACTCAGTGGTATGCTGGGTTTAGGGCTGTGGTGGCGCAAATGCACTTCTAAATGCGTGCTGTGCAGAGGATGTTTGTGTTTTGTGGATATTTATATGTCGTTGGTGCTTATTCATTGAGGACATAGTCATTACCAGCAAGTTTGCCTTTCCGTTATAAAATTTCCTCAACCGCTGGCATCCCCTCTCCCATTCGTCAGCCTACTCTCATTGTCTACAGAATCCCACCCACACGTTTAATGTCTTTTATTGTCCTACTGCTGTTACTTTGTTTTGTTTGTCTTTTACCACTATTTTGCATTCCAAAGCGTCGTTAACAGTAGATTTCACCACTCAGCATAGACAATCGCCGTGTCAGTATCGAATCCGCAAGACTGTACCGTGTTTTTCCCCAAAGGAGTTAGGCATTGCAAGTCGACACCATCGTTACACTTCAGCCTCCCAACAACACTGTTAGTGCCATTGTAGACGCAATTCTCTAGATTGTGGGGACTAAATGGCCCAAGATTTATTGGGTAGTCGGTAGTGACGCCACCTTCGTACTTAGGGTATTTCTGTTCGTAAGTTGGGGTCACTCCCTCGCAAGTGCTGAATTCCCAGTCGTTCGGCGTGGTGTCGTATTCAAGTGCCCAGCTCGTGCGTACCTGCGTATAACGGCTGTTCTCGACGGCGTCACGGCGGTAGATGATGAGCGCCAGTGAGGGCTGGGCAGTGGCAGCGGTGGATGTGGCAGCGGTAGGTAGGTGTGGCGCTGGTGATGATGAAGTCCCCGTGGTGAAGGAGGTGGACGGAGAGGACAAATCGTTACCCTCATTCACAGCCAGAACAGAGCGGTACGCTACAGGATAGTCTGATGCCGGGATAAGGGCGGAGGGGATTGCAGGTGTGACGGGTTGCGCAGGGTCGGAAACCACAGCATCACCAGTGACGGAAGTGTTGACGGATTGGCCGTTGACAGATCTGTCATTGTCATATTGCTCTCGCACGCTATTGTCCGCTTTGCTGAGATAGCGTAGCCAGGCTCGAGGGTACTGGGGATATCTGTGGGTGTAAGTGATGTTCTTGTCTTTGCTCAAGGAAGAAGGCTTGGCTCAAATGTGGGCAGGGAAAGGTTGGGTGCTTACGATCCAAAATTCTTGTACATCAAGTTCGCTAGTGTATAATAGACATAGTTATCATCTTTAGAATTGTTCAGCGCTTGCTTCCTCGATGACCTGAACTCGACGGATGTAATGTAACAGGGACTCACTGTTTTTGCTGGCAAGCTCAAGGCCTTGGGGCTCTATCTCCGCTAGGAGCTTACCCAACCCTGGCCCGTAGACCTTAACCTGCTCTGGTGCTCTCGGCCAGCCGAGCTCGATAACTTGGTCATCGCCTGAACGAGTGCGTCAGAAAGAGATCGCCCCGTTCCAAGTTGTTCCTAACAGGATCAGACGCACAGCCATGAGAACAAACCACAGCAGAGCTCCAGCTCATATGCAGCCATTCATGAAGCATGACTGAGGCTAGATTTCGGATCAGCCTTGTCATGTATGAAGATATAATGCTCGCACATTGGAAGACCCTAGAAGGCGTACCTTTACTTCGCAGATTTGAGACGTTGTCTTGATACTCTCGATTGTTCTTCACGTAAGTCCACAGGCTTCTATGCGATGGCAGAGCAAACCAATTAGGACAAAACGCGATCATTGGGTAGAGGTATCCGCGTTTTTGCACTCCGTAATAAGCGGTGACAGTTTCCGAGCACGTAGCTTCAATATCTTTACAGCTGAGAATCACATATCGGTTGTTCCACCAATCTCCGACACCCAAACCGGGATAGGCTAGTGCGGCCTTTTGTAAAGTGGCTAATCGAATTAGTGAAGTGAATGTGTCACTATAAAGGAGGAATATATCATACCTTGTATGTTTGATTGAAACGGCTGATTGAGACCTGGAGGCCCGAAATAGTCGATCGCGGCTTGAGAAGTGAAGTCAACGGTGCCACTTGCGTCTCTCTTCAGTTCGCCTTTGCTTAGTGATTCTGAGGCCAAAGATACTGCGTCATTGAGCGCTTGGAGCAATTGCGTGGTTTGCGTGTTGTTGCATTCGACGTAACTGATGTAGCCTGTGGTGACGTTGTAGGTCCCATCGGCGTTGTACACTTTGCCAGTGGCATTGACAGGATTGGACAGATTGAGACTTGTCGTTACAGTGAAGCCGCCGGAAGAATCAGGAACATCTACGAGGCTGCTAATGCTGTAAACATTGTTGTCTCGCTTCTGCACAGCGAATGCAAGTCGGAAAAAAGTGTGGAAAGTTAGGAAACAGGCAGCCTTGAAGGCCATAATCAGAGGTCAATCGCGGTAGAGATTTGATATTGTTACAAAGGGAATCGCGGGGATATAATGACCTGGACAGAGATTTCCCGAAGCTTAACCCTGTATGTCGTCGAGTTGCGCAGTCCAAATTTCATCTTGCCGTCTCTGTTGACCAGTATAACGGATCCGAGCCGTGAAGAATTAGTGAAAGTGTATTTGCAGAGTAACGGGGACATGAAACGAATAATTACCATCAGCCGAAGGGTTAAAAGAAAAGGCAGGGTAGAAAGTATCGAGGAGTAAGGTCGCGCTTCTTGTAGAGTAACAACCCTTCGCAGATAGACCACATCCTGATGGGCTTCTTGTTTCTAGGGTAAGAGATCGCATTACCAAAATCAGCTCTTCAAACATCATAGAAAATAAAAAGCACCGCAACACCATTGTACCAGCGCCATTAGGAATCGAACCAATACGAACCAAATACCCCCAACAACACGACCACAACCAACAGGCGTCCGCCCCGGACGGTAATCGTATGGGATACACGCTACACTTAAGCGTGTATCCCATACGATTAAGCCAATCAACGAACATTTTCCAGGCATGAATACCTCTAACAACAATCATCACAACTCAACAACAAGCTAAGTTATGAAGAGTCATCATCCTGTGGTGCACTTATTATCCGTAATTAGTCTTTGAACTTTACAACCGAGGATTTCGTTGTAAGATTTCATTTTCGAAATTATCGCTCTGCGAAGACTAGCAATATTATCTTGCGATACTTCTTCATAAAGGACAACATTTCTTCGTTGTACTCGGAGCATTCGTGAAGCTTGTGTGTCATGTCACGCGGACGATTTGACTAACACGCTGAGGTTCTCGACATCGAGTTCGTCAAGTGATGGCATACGAGGTGTGAAGAAGGGCATGTTTCGGACAAGCTGAAAAAACGCGCATTTTTCAGTGGCCATACGATAGAAAGATGTCGCTCCTCAATCGTCGCCGTGACTCTGGATTCCTTTACCTGGACCTGGATACCAGAGTTGCTTCTAATAGCGCTTCAGGATCAAGCCTTGACTCTGATATCTGGCCGGTACCGCTATTGATTGTTGCAAATGTCTGCTATGAACAGGACTGCTTCAAGGTCCCATACTACTTACACATAACTTCTACCCTAGTTCACATATTGCAGGAGACAAATGATAGGTGTGTGATCATGTGTGAAAACCCTCGCTTGGGTCGCTGTCTCAACTTACTGCTTGCGGACTGCTTGCTTTTTTTCTTCGCATTCGGAATCTTCAGCAAAGTGCGCTAAGCCTCCTTCGTCGCGACAATGCGTTCGTGAAAGCCTTGGGGGTCCGCATCGTTCCGCTTTGGCTAGGCGCTGCGCGAGTGAGCGAATATCCAGCTGGTCGCAAATGTTTCAGGCTTACAATTTCCCAATGATACGACCTGTCAGGGACTCCGTCTTGACCCAGTAACTATTCTTACTCTAATTATCGAGCAGTAGGGGGGTACTGATCTGAAGATTGCCGGTAAAGTGATAGAGCAGATACCCTTTTTCCCCTTTTAAAATTGTCCAACCCCTATCCTGTCACCATGTTACTCCACCTGTCGAGAACATTTCACACATTGGTTATCTTGTCATGGCTTTTCCAGCGTTCATGCACGCAGCTTATAGGCTACATAAAGAATCTAGGCAGATCCGTAAATCGTTAGCTTACAGATTAGCAATCCCACTGGAGATATAATATCAGTGCTTCAGAAGAACAATATCCTCGACAACGCAACGCAACTTCCAGTCGCATTTACCGTCAAAGATGCTCAAGGCGCAGAGATGCAGATAGGGTCGACACATACACGTTGTGTACTAGCGTGTCCAACAGCGATCTGTATAGCCTGGAACCTGTATAGCCCGGAACCTGGCTAGTTGGACGTCCGGCAGTGTCTTCAAAGCATCCCAAGTGGACCAACTGGATCGCATCCTAAGGTGATCCAACTTATCTTTATCATCTTCCACCAAAGGCGTCAGCGGCATGGTCTCTATCGCCTCCGAAGCTGCAGCAAGTCTGAGCTCTCTGCCTCCAACGCTGGGTGATTTCGCTTCGTCCGGACTCACAGACATCTCTCGTCCTCGGCCAGCACCAACAATCTTGGTCGTGTTGCTTTGGTTCGGCTACTTGAAAACTGAGATACAGTAGCAAAGAATTTGATACGCATTAAAGAAAACGCCTCACTCCCTTCTTGACTCTTTAGGCTGTAGAATCCTGTTCCTGCAAGGTTGCTTTGAAACACAGGCAATCTGACATGCATCGTAGTATCATCCTGTTTCTGCAAGCCTGTACCGGCTGAAACGTTGGTCGTGACTGATGTTGGTGGACTCTCGACTGGCATTTATGTTCGGGAAAGTCCGTTTTTTGGGCCCAGTAAGTTCGCGATTCTGAGGGCGGGTGGTTCTTTCCTCAGTCAATGCAATTTTCGGTATCATATTACGAGTATGGAAAGGCATTGAGTCTGCCGTCGGATGAGGATCCTTGTACGGAGGTGCAATACAAGTTTGTTGCTTTTGAGGCTCTGCAGTGCAAATGCGCGCAACATTTAGCATACCTTGCGGCGTATCATTAGTTGTATAATGCTGTCACCGTCGAAATATGGTTTCATGATGCTCTGCTACTCTCTGTCTTCCCCGTCTTTGTTTCTGGCCAAGTAGCAAGACATGGGAGCCTCCGCGCAAGCAAACATAGCAGCTGCGCCCATAGTGGTTTCTGCGAGCGGTTCGTGGTGAGTACGCCGTTTCTCAGTTTTGGTCTCACCATATATAACCACTATTCGTATCAACTCGTATGCTAATGATTATGATCTTAGGGACGGCAATGATGGGTCCGTGGTCTCCACTCGACATCCACGTTGGCAGCACTCCTCAGCCTGTTCGAGTCTTGATTTCAACCGCCGTAGGACAGAACTTCGTCATCTCCGCGAAAAAATCTCAAGGGGGCTACATCGGTGCTGACCCTCCGACCTGCTCACAGTCACGAGATGAGCTGTTCAACCTCGATGCATCGAGCACTTGGCATGACCAAGGAATATACGGTCTTGGTCTCAAACGAAAGCTTCCGGACTATCAAGACGAGTACGACAGTGGCGACTCTGGCTTCGACGCCTTGAGTTTCGGCTCGGCAGGCTCTTCCAGTGTCAGATTTGGTGCTCAGGCATTGGCTGCCTTAGCCACGAAAAGTTACTACCTCGGCATGCTACGTGTTAATCCGCATCCCACCAACTTCACCACATCCGACGAGCCGCAGGTTGGTCCCTGTCTTCTCTGAAACAGTCAAATAATACACCGAGCTTCTCATATGGAATTATGGATACTCGGCTGAGGCAAAGTATCGTAAGGACAAGAGACGCGATCGATAGCTTATTTCCCGCTGAACGATGCCAGGCTCGAACCAATCATTTGGAAGACTGACCTTCCGGCTACGATGCTTCAAAATTCGCCCCTTCTAATGTCTATGTTCAAATGACGTCTGATATATCACGTGACCTGGTGGTTTCAGCGAAAAAATTCTGAAGACCAACACGCTCCTTTCAGAAAGCATTCCGACTTTTGCTGATTCCTCGATCCCACACATCGGATTGTCTTGCGAATCTTGCACGCTTTTTGAAGACGCCTTTGGAATCACCTATGGTGGGAAAATAGTACCTCATCGCCAATTACGAAAACGCCAATTTCTCTATCTCTCAGAGTTTCTGGACAGAAGACAACGTCAATGCCATATCGTCACCAGCGCAAATCGTGGCGATTGCTCCAGTCAACGGTATATCCGGATAGGCAACGGCCACAGGCACTATTACACCACACCCAGGTCTCAAAATCTCGACTGGAGCGATTCCAGGCATCGTCATGTCTGCCGCCTTTCTTCGCATCATCGCAGCGAGCACGTCTTTTGGCATTGCACGAAAACGCCGCAGAAAGAAGAGAAAAGCGGACTCAAAAAACAGAAAAAGACGTCGACCCTTTCAACAGGCCGAACTGGACGGGAAGGGCAAAGCCCGAAGTAGACCTTTCATCAAAGACGGAGATGCAAGGCGGTGATGTCTGCCTATCAGCGTTCGACAAACAAAGGACCGAAGGCGAAGGGAGCAACGTAAGTGCTGAACTGAAAGGAGATGCGCTTGTCGCGGTGGACGTGTGCACGAGACCAGTAGAACTGGCCGAGTTGGATTAAATCATGGCATGCAAAATTGGACGCCAACCTCTGTCAAAACAGAGCGGGCTGAGTGGTCTCAGCTGTGGATACATACTGGCTATCTTTCGTTACCGAAGGCGTGAAGTATCGCCACCTAGCTGATTGACAATTTTGAAAATCACGTCGGTGTCGTGAGGATAGTGTGCTTAGCTATTAGCATAAGGTAGCTGTTTTCCGTAGGGGTGCCTTGGCCGGTCCACGAATGGAGAAGCAGAGGTAGAGGTAGAGGCAGAGGCAGAGGCAGAGGCAGAGGCAGAGGTAGAGAGAGATAGAGGTAGAGGCAGAGGCAGAGATAGAGGTAGAGGCAGAGGCAGAGGCAGAGGCAGAGGCAGAGGCAGAGGCAGAGGCAGAGGCAGAGGCAGAGGCAGAGGCAGAGGCAGAGGCAGAGGCAGAGGCAGAGGCAGAGGCAGAGGCAGAGGCAGAGGCAGAGATAGAGGCAGCGATAGAGATAGTAGTAGTAGTAGTAGTAGAAGTAGTAGTAGTAGTAGTAGAAGTAGTAATAATAGTAGTAGTAGTAATAAGTAGTAGTAGTAATAGTAGTAGTAGTAGTAGTAATAGTAATAGTAGAAGTAATAGTAGTAAGTAGTAGTAGTAAAGTAATAAGTAATAGTAGAAGTAGTAATCATCTATAAATCTAAAAAGTAAATTTTTATACGATTTTCGTCGAGTTCGTATTATAGAAGTACGATTTAGTCTATTAAATAGACTTTATCTATATTTAACTCTTTTATTAATTTATTAGTTTAGTAACTTTAAAAAAATTTAGTAACTTTAAAAATTTTACGTAATATACTCTAATAGTACTCTAAGTACTATTCTAGTATACATATAATATTAATATATATTATTATTAATAGTACGCTATATTAGTAGTATTATCTAGCGACTAATTTTATTAAATCGTTTAATTCTATAGCTAAATTTGAGTTAGCGTTAATACTAGTTATCGTAGAATCTTATCATCGTAATATCGATTATTAGAACTTTTCTTTTTTTATACGTATTGCTGCTAAACTAATAGAACTAATAGAAAAGATTAGAATAGTTATTAAACCGGCGGAATTTTGGCTGATTTTTGAGATAGTTGCTGAATCGGCGGAATTCTTAATTTCAGCCCTATTCGCAAGATCAGCAATTTGAAATTTAGTAGAAACTTTTTAGATTAGTAGATGATAGTAGTAGAAAATAAAAAGTATTATAATACTATTATATTAGCGTTATTAGAAATCGAATCTAATACGAAGTAAATGCCTCTAATAATATAAAGTAAGGTATCTTATCTTAGGTACGTGTGACGCGTTAGTCCCAAATTGTCCTAGTGCATCAGCATGGGTTTTTTTTGGTCAAATTGATCTTGCCAAGATCCTCCGAAAGTCCTTCACGAAGTCCTCGATATTCCCTGGAATGGCTGCGTATGATTTCTCCTCTTATGTAGCGCTGTTAAAGATATAGAAATTGCTCGAAGATCAGGCTTGTCTAAGGAACCGTCAAGAGATGAAAGGCTGGACCGAGCTTTTATGCCAAGGTTGCATAAATGAGACATTGTCCAATCACCCAAAGTACTTCCAAGATGCCCGACCCTTCTTTGCTTTTGCAGACTTTCTTCATTCTGTCTGCTTTTACGGTACAGGGTCTATTCCACAGGCGTACTTCATCTCTGATGTTTGCATGTCTAGGTCTTATTGCTGAACAGCATTCCTGCTGTCAGGGCACGCTACATTGCATACGGTTCGCGAGCAATACCAGTCAAGAATAGTGATCAGTGTCATCATGGAACCAACAAACCTGCCGAGAAACGTAACGCACACGCGAGTAAGACACTGGAATGGCTTCTCGAGCGTTTAGATGCTATACAGGTGCCTCATAGATGGTTCCAACATTTCTATATTATCTCGGTGTGCTCTTCCCTGTTCTGGGGGGTGCAGATTCTTGCGAAAGGATTTGTGCTGGAGATGCTATGTCGGAGCGTAGGGCCCAACACTCAAGCCAACGGCATGACAGTGGATCAGGTTGTCTTGACTTGGTCTCTTGTGACCGTACAAGGAATTCGGAGGCTTCTCGAGACTAGCTTTCCCGTCAAGTCATCCAGGTCGAACATGTGGTTCGTCCATTGGCTGCTTGGCATAGCATTTTATCTGGCTCTAGGTGTTTCGTGTTGGATCGAAGGAGCAGGTATGTCGCATCACCCTGTAGTATCATTCGCGAAGCACTGATGGCTTTCATCAATCTTGACTAAGCAACCGTCTCCAGACGCCTTGCTCTCCGCAGAACCGATCACCTCCAACACCACCCTCTCCGCACTATCTCTAAAAGCAATCATCGGCATTCCAATCTTTGTACTGGCGTCCGGTGTACAGCATGACTGCCATGCTTATCTCGCTTCGTTACCAAAGTACACACTCCCGGTACACCCTATATTTCAGAGCTTTATCTGCCCTCATTACACAATGGAGTGTCTGATCTATTTGTCTTTGGCTTTCGTAGCTGCGCCTAAGGGTGCTTTGATCAACAGGACAATGTTTACTGCATTTGTCTTTGTATCAGCTAACTTGACGGTGAGTGCGACGACGAGTAAAAAGTGGTATGAGCGGAAATTTGGGAAAAAAGCGGTGGCTCACAGATGGACCATAGTACCTGGCCTGTACTGAGATGCAATCAACGAGCTTGGGCCAAATATTCCGCCAAGTCTTATGTAAGGAAGAGCAGAAAGTTTCCCATTCCGACCAGTTGGTGCCCTTGTGTCTTCACCTTTTTAGAATGCCGAAAGCTTTCCCAAGCTTCTTAACCCGTATCACATCCCTGAAAGTCAAACTAACCCTCGGCTCCCTAGCCGCCTGACCTCCTGCAAAAGGCGTCCTGTCTCCCAACAAATTCCAGTTGGCAATGCTGCTCTCGCCCAGAACCTCGTCAATCTTCACCTCGCTGATACCGTGCAAACAGTCCGTGTAGAGCTCCCCAGTCGTAATCAGTAGACTTCTTGGCTCTTGCAATACCCTCCAGCGTGGCATATCCTGCGACTTTTCGCCCATTGTATTGTTCTTCTTCGCCTTGATATCCAGAATAATATGCGACGCCAAGCTCACAGTTGCTACAACAGGGTAGTAGGCGTCGCCATCCTCGTGGGCGTGGATACCTTGACCGGGCAAATACTCATTGATCAAGCAATGATTTGGTGTGCCGTGTGGAGAATTATGGAAAATGCTGTCGATTAAATCGACAGGCAGGGACAGTAGGCGCGGTATCACAGGATCTTGCAGCCATGTGGGGAGGGGGGCGGCGAGGAGGGTGTTGGTGGGCGAGAGGGGCGATGGGTGGGCTTGAAGACGGCGATGGGAGAGGGTTCTCCAAGTTGGCAAGGCAGCATTGTTGATCTGGCAAGGTCGGCAGCTGCTAGTGTAGTAGAAATGAGATGCCAAAAGCCGGAGAACTTACTTTCTGTAGGAGATGTGCCTCTTCAGTCTCCGTGATAAGTTGTTCAAAGTGGGAACTTAGTACAGGCTAGCAGTGAGGGAATTAGAACCTTTGAGGGCTGGTTGTTTAAAAAAAAAAAAAAACGGAAAAAGGAGGGGTTTAAAAATAATTATATCGAATAAGATTAGCTAGCTAACTTAATAGAATTATAATAACTATAATTTTAAGAAGTACGCATTTATACTAAAGTTATTAATAAATACTATACTAAAAATAATAGATAAAGATTAGAAACTATTAATAAATAAAGTAGTTACTACTCTTTAGAGCGGCGATAATATTTATAAAAAGAATAAATAATAAATTTAAAATTTAGATAGTCTTAGACGAAGTATATAAACTAGTTATTAATTTAAGTAACTAAGATAGTAATATAAAGAAAAAGATTATATATATTAAGTATTAGATAGCTAGTTTAAGAAGTAATATATCGATAATTAACTATATTAGCGTACTAGAGCTAATTCTTAATATTCTTCTTTATTATTAAAGAAATTTCTATTATATTATTAATAATATTAAAATAAGATTAAGTATTATATAATAAGCTAAATAAGATTATTATAAAGTTATAAGACAAGATAATAAGTAAAGTATTAAAGAAGAAGATATCGAGCGAGATAATTATAATAATTAATAAATATATAAAGAGTATAAATATTATAAGAAAATCTATTAGAACGACTAGAAGGCTAGCGAGTAGCGATATATATATTATAGCTATAAATAAGAAGAAGGCGAATAGATTAAGAAAAAGTAAGAATTAGACTTTAAAGATAAGTAATAGCGCGAGAGTAATTACTAAAATATATAGTCTTTTACTTTATAAAGTAAGAATTAATATATTCGATATTAAAGATATGGCTACGATAATTAAAAGAGTTTAGAATAAGAATGCTAATACGCTAAGCCTCGATATAGTATAGCTAATTATAATAAGAGTTTATTAATTATCGAATTAGTATCTCTAGAGAAAGAAAATAGAGTACTAGAAGAAGATCTAGTTATCGATTTAAAATTATATAACTATTACGTCTATAATAAGTAGTATAGATCGAAGTAATACTTCGTATACTAGAAATATAATTATCTATCGACTATATATCCTAAAAAGAATTACTTAATATACGGGAAATACTTAGAAGAGTATTATTATAAAGAATATATAGCCGATACTCGTAAATACCCAGTTTACGAGGGATTATATAAGGCTTAAAATAAGATATATATAGTAAAGAAGAGAGAGATAGCGAGAATAAGAATAGCGAGATAATAAACTTCTTTACGATTTATAATAACGAAGGAGACATTAGCTAACTATTAAATAAGCGATTAATTAAATAACTACTTTTAGAATACATTTAATTATAAGCGAAATAAGGAATTTTTTTCGAGGCTAATATTCACGCGTAATAGGCTAGTAGATAGAGATAGAATAATTAATAGAAAAGGAATTAGAGGATTAAATCTCGAAAGAACTACTATATCGAATCTTTAGTCGAGTAAAAGAAGATATACTTTTATATTATTAATAAGGGCCTTACTTAAAAATAGATTATTCTTTAAAGTAGTAAACGAAGCTAAATAATATAAGAATGATATAGCGATAGAGGAAATTAATAATCTCGAGGATAATAGATAGTCTCTAAGTTAAAAGAGTAATAATAAGAGAATTACGATTCTCGTTAATAGAAATAAAAAGAGATATATTCGATTTATCGATAATTAAGAAAAGAAGAATACTTAGAAAGAGAATATAAACTCTATAGACTAGGCGAAGCGAGTAAGTAATATTAATAATAATATCAAGAAATAATAGTATACTCTTAGTTAGCTATTAATACTATAATATAATATAAGAAAATCTAAAATAATTATAATAGAACTCTTTCGATAATAAAAAGATCTATAATATTAATATAGTAGTAATTTAGAAGCTCTAGAGAAATACTAATATAAATACGTTATATTATCTTCTAAAGAATAGATTTAACTTAATCTATCTCTATTATAATAATATACGAGTATACTTCTATATTAATAAGAGAATATTATTAAAGTAATAATATTTATTATATTACTTATCGAACCTCTACACTCTTAATATTAAATTCGAAAATAATAGAATTATATATATATATAATATCTATAATCTCGATAACTAATAAATAAACGAACTTAACGAATTATATAAGACGCTTATAAAGTTTAAGAATAATAAATAAATTATACTAGGCGACTTTAATCTTTATTATATAATATAGAGAGAAATTAAATACTTATATCAATAAGAGAGTAGAAGAACTAATACTTATAGCGAAAGAATTCGCTATAAAATAAGTATTATTAGTAGAAATAATAATATATAAAGAAAACTATTAAATAATAATAGATCTACTATTCGTTACTTTAGTATTAATAATAAATATTATTAATTATAATATTCGAAAATAATTTCGAAAGCGAATTTAATTATCTTTTAATTTTTATAAAGCTTAAGCTAATTATTAATAGGTTAGTATTAATAATATATTAAAACTTTAATAAATTAAATATCGAGGTTTTAAGAGAGATACTCGCTAGAGCTATAATATCGAAAGAGTATCTAATTAATCTCTTTAAGAAATAATAAAAATCTTATTAATAATAATATTAATTATTAAGTAGCGACTATTATTAACTCTATTTAAGCGACTATAAAGAAGTTTACTTTAATTATTAAATTATCGCTATAATTTAAATTAAGATTTATATTAGAATATAAGAAAGTATAAAAACATTATAAATTACTAAAAAGAAGTTAAAGAATAACGCTTTTAAAGAAAGTATAAAATAAGTATAAAGTCTCTAAGAACTTTAAAAATAATCTAATTAAGAGAATTATTAGAAAGGCGTTTAGAGAGTTTATAATAGAGATATATAAGTCGTTATAAATAATATAGAAAAAGATTAAGTAGATTAGAAAATAACTTATAATATAGATATTATCTCTTTATTATTTAATAAAGATAAATAAGAATATAACGAGCTTTAGAGTCTAAGTAAGAATAGATCTTTTTATATAGAATATTCTTTCTACTATATAATATAGGAGAAATTAGATAATATTACGTCTATATAATATATTTATAAGTTTATCTAATACTTATAGAATTATTATAAATAAAATAAGAAAGATTATAAGTACGAAATAATAATATATCAAGAAAAAAACTATCTAATATAATAATTAAGGATTCTAAAGTCGTTCTTCTTATCTATATAGAATATATTAATATAAATATTATTAATTATAATATCGAAAATAATTTTAAAAGCGAATTTAATTATCTTTTAATTTTTATAAAGCTTAAGCTAATTTCGTAATAGAGTTAATATTAATAATATCTCTAAACTTTAATAAAATAAACGTTATTTTAAAGAATATATCTTCTAAGAATATAGTATCTATAAAAGAGTATTTAATTAATTTTTATAGGAATAATAAAAATCTTATTAACGATATATATTAATTATTAAGTAGCGATTATTATTAACTCTATTTAAGCGGCTATAGAGAAGTCTACTTTCGATTATTAAATTATCGCTATAATTTAAATTAGAGATTTATATTAAAATATAAAAAAGTATAAAGATATTATAAATCGCTAAAAAAGAAGCTAAAGAATAACGTTTTTAAAGAAAGTATAGGATAAGTATAAAGTCGTTAAGAACTTTAAAAATAATCTAATTAAGAGAACTATTAGAAAGGCGTTTAGAGAGTTTATAGTAGAGACGTATAAGTCGTTATAAATAATATAGAAAAAGATTAAGTAAGTTAGAAAATAACTTATAATATAAATATATCTCTCTTCGCTATTTAATAAAGATAAATAAGAATATAATACGAACTAGACTTCGAAGGTAGATCTTCTTATAAGAACGTTCTTTTTATTATTAATATAGACGAAGTTAGATAATATTAGCGTTAATATCAATATAATATATTATAAGTTTATCTAATAGATATAATTATTATAAATAAGATAAGAAAGATTATAACGTAAGTATCGTTAAAGAGAGTCTTCGAGAGAAAGACACAATCTTTAATCTAATTCTTAAGAAGATTCTAAAGTCGTTACTCTCTTATCTATATAGAATATTTAATATATATATAATAAACGACTACTATTTAGAGTACTTTAGAATATTAATAATAATTATTCTTTCGAAGTTAGATAAGAATTATTTAATTTCTAAAGAATATTAATTAATAGCTCTACTTAATACTATAGAAAAGATAATAAAGTTTATTCTTACTAGAAGAATAGCGTATCTTACAAAGATATATAAACTTCTATCGATTATATATATAAGAGGCCGTAGATTATAATTATATAAATATAATATTTACTATCTTCTAGAAAGAATATATTAAATCTAAAACTCTAATAAAGTAACTACGATATTACTATTAGACGTTTTAGATATATATAATAAAGTCTCTTATTCTCGACTACTCTATAATCTTTAAAAGCGAAAAATTAATATAAGAGTAGTTAACTAGATAGAATCGTTCTTATTTAATAGAATAATAATATTAAAAATAAGCGAATACTTTATATTAAAGACTCTTATAGTAATCGAAATTCCTTAAGAATTATCGCTATCGTCTATACTTTATCTCTTCTATAACTTAGATCTTATTAATAAATATAATAATCGCGTTAATTTAGAAATAATAGTTATCGGCTTTATAGACGATATAGATCTTTTAATAGTAGAAGACTTTATCGAGAAAAACTATAACGCTCTTTATAAAATCTATAACGAAGTTTATATAAAGTAAGCGTTATGATACGAATCGAAGTTTAATTTTAGTAAATATTAACTACTATATCTTAATAGAAAATAGAGATTTAGCTTAGATTATTCTCTATAACTTAATAAGAGATAATATATTAAGGCGAGACGCTTTATTCGCTATCTAGAAGTCGAAATTAACTTTAAACTTCTATAAAGCTATTATAATAAGAAGATTTAATCTAAGACTATTAAAAGTATTAATATATTAGCGAGAATTATCGAATTAATATAGAGTAATAATTATAAGAGTATAAGATAGCTCTATTAGACGGTAATTATTCTTATAAATAATATATTACTACTTAGTATAATATTAGCTTAAAAATACTATTAACTATAATAAAACTTATCTCTTATTATTATAAAGAATTTAATCTTAGATAAAGAGAAAGATAATTAAAGTATTTAAGATTATATTTATTTTAGTACTTAATATAAAAGTATATCTTCTATTAGTTAAATAATAGCTAGATAAGATTATCTCGAAAGCTATCTTATAAATCGCTATTAGTTTAATATATAGCGAGATTATTAAATTATAATTCGAGCGATAAAAGTTTAAAAGAAAATCTAAGAAGAATAGAAAACTAAGTTTATTAAAGCGATATATTAATAGATTTAAAGAATAATATAACGATATTAATAAGATTAAGAAACTACGCTCTTTTAGCGTCGCTTCTTAATTAAAAGCCTTTTAAAATAATAATTTATAAGATTAAGAAAGTCGTTAAAGAACTAGCTAAAAGATTAATTAATAAAAGTTATATAATAATATATATAGACGATAGCGAAATTAATAAAAAGATAAGAGCTTTAGCTATATCGTTAGATATTAATTCTACTTTTAATATCTATTTAAGCTTAAGCGATTAATATATAATATACTTAGCGAAGTTATATAATATTCTTTAAGCTCTAATTATAGTAATTATATATTAAATAAGATTATAATTTAATAGAGTTATAGTAAATATAAATAATTAAATATTAATTTAGACTATTAAAGATTTAAATAAGTATTTAAAATAGATCTATATAATATAGATAGTATAGATTATTAATTCGTTAAGATATCTCGAGATAGTAATAGAATTATATTAGATTTCGATGTATATCGATATTAATGATAATAAATAGGCGGATAGAGAGGCGAAGAAGACTATTAACTAGCGAGAGCGAGTAATTTATAATAAAAGAGTAAAGATAAATATTAACGAAATAGTCTAATTATTAATTATATAGATAAGAATAATATCGATAATTAAGATAGCTATTAGAGATTACGCGATAAAATAATAAACTATCAAATAGATTAATAAGAAGCGAGGCGATATTCTTAGAAGAATTTAATTAATATCGTTAAAATAAATATAACTTTTATATTCGAGAGTTAAGCGCGCTAAGACGTTGCTAATAATATAAATAAAGATCGAGAAAATAGATCTTAAGGCCTTTCTTTATAATTAATAAATATCGAATATAGAGAATAAAGAATACGAGTATAAAGCGAAGTAGACGACTCGATATATTCTTTATAAATATAGGCTATTTAGTAAGAAGCGAGGAATATAATAAATTAAAGAAAGAAGAAAGATAAAAGAGAGAGTTATTACTTATAAGAATATACTAATAAAACTACGCTACGCCTCTATAGCGACGGACTTTATAAGAAGTATTAGACTTATTAAGTAATATTAAGCCCTTAATAAGAACTAATAATAAGGATTTACTAGAGTAAGCGGTTAAAAAGAAGAATACGATTAAGACGAAAGGGCCTTAGCGATATAGAATATACCTCTTTTTAAGGATTAAGTATTTAAGACGTAGAACTATAACGGTGACTTATATAGCCTTATTTATTTGAGATTATATAATTAGCTAAAAGGATCAGATAGATTACGTAATTCGCATAGTCGGCCACTAGGGGAAAACTTCAAGGGGAAAAAAAAAAAAAAAAAAAAAAAAAAAAAAAAAAAACCACCCCCCAAAATAAAATAAATTTTACAAAAAAAAAAAACAAAAAAAAAAAGGTAAAGGGGAAAAAAAAAAAAAAAAAAAAAAAAAAAAAAAAAAAAAAAAAAAAAAAAAAAAAATTTTTTTTTTTTTAAATTAAAAAAAATAAAAAAAAAAAAAAAAAAAAACATTCTCTACAAAGGGGTGTCAAGCATCTGCATTTTTGGGCGAGTGGTATTTGCCTACGTCTGGAGTTCCGCCCACTTCCTCGACGACTCGTTCTGTTTGGAGGATTCGCCACTATGCAGCGTGCATCACCGAGTCGCTCATTCCTCTCTGCTCACTGGCTTGATTCACCGCCAGCACAGTCGATTTGCAGCCACACATCTTAAGACAAGTCGAAAAGAGTTTCCCCCAAAACTCACGACGAGCATCACCGAACCCCACCCCCATCAGGCTGTGATACGATGCGGCACATGGCTCGTGACACATATTGGGCTGGGCCCCTAAAATTCCTTGTGAGTAGACGATGCTGCGGTCGCAGATATTTACTGACCATTTCTTCAACCATTACAGCTATCCTTCATGGATGCTGCTGCAACCGCTGCCGGCTGGCTGTCCTTTATGGTCACTGCAGTCGGGCTTGGTTCTCTCATCACTCAAGCGAGTGCTATCCAGGACCGTTTAGATCCATACCACACCTCTCGGACTGAGGAGCACTTGGGAAATTGGATCAAACGTCAGCCCAGGAAGGCATGGAATCGAATTGCGCAGCCCACACCGGTCGGTCCTTTCATGTATGCAAAGCTCACTGATGGGTTCTGTGGTTTCAATGTCATCGCCGTTAGCAGACTCCCGCTGGAGAAGCCTGGAAAAGCCAGCTGGACCGCTCTTCTTGCGGTTTTTCACCAGCGAGCACCGTCTCCAGTCTACGGGGCAGACGCTAAGACCGAACTTGCTGCTGAGCATTTGGAGAAGAGGCCGACTTCCTGCACAATTACTATTGAACCCGATTTGTGCCCCCGTCATGAACTACAGTCATGGGCATCTCTGCAGGCTCGTCCTCTCACACTTCATGGTTCGACAACGTGCATCGTGATCTCCCGCACTACGCTGATCACGATCTTTGCTCTCTGCAATGGCCGAACAATGTTCCGCTACAGTGACGCTAGCGGTCACCGGGCCTCGTATGCCTCATATTGTGGGCACTTCTATATCGAATGGCCTCTGGGTGCCGCTGCCGTCGTCCACTTCCACCCTCACGACTCTCATAACACATCGACAGACGTCTATCCTTTGACGTTCCGGGTGCGAGTGAACAAATGTGTCCAGATGATGGCCGGAGTCATCACTTCAGCTGATGGGACGTCATTCCAATGTGCTTTCCCAGGTCGAAAGCCACCTGGAACCTGGATGTTGGAGTATCAACGCAAAGGATTTCCAGGCGCACATGGAAGCCGGCATCTCTACAACTTAATGGGTGGTAAAGTATACGAAGTCGACTTTCTCTTAGCCCGACGAATGGATGAAGAGCGTCCGTCTGGTGCCATTGAGCTTCGTTTGCCGAGTACAGAGAAAAACATTCAAGTATCAATGCTCGTTCCAACGATGGAACAAGGAATACTGGAACATACATTGGATTGCTTGCCTTGGTCTTCTCTGTCGTGGTCTATCCACCGCGGTCTTCGCGACATTCTTGTTGCATACGCCAAACCGACAATGGACGAACTCCGTCCAAACATAGCATCAAGGCTTCGTGAATTCATCCACGAGCAGCCACAGCGGCTTGAAGCAAATGGATGGTCGGCGGAGTTCGTCAGAGGGGCTATGGCTGAACTCGCTGCCAGCTCTGTTCTCGCCGGTAGTGGGAACTCTGGAGACTCGGTGAGAGTGGTGACAGATGCCGCGTTACTTCTCTCAGACAAAGATCCGTCAGTACTAGACGAGACGAATTTTTGGAGAGAGGAACGACACAGTTTGAGCAAAGGATCGGCGCTATCAACGAGTGCAATCATCGCGCTTACGAAATGTTTTGTGTTGGAATGGAGCAATGAATTCGATTATCAGATGTACCATGACTTACCTCCGGAGCTACTATTTCATTAACCTTGACCCAAGACATCTGCTCTTTCTTTGGCGCCAGCATACACTCATCCTGCTTTGCAACTATGATGATGAATGAGGATCTACCTACTAGAAAGCAAGGGTTCCGACTTGTGTTCACGCCGAAGTTCCCAATCGTGGACACGTCCGGCCTACTTTACGTCTTACATCTCATGGCTCCACTGCGGGCACTGTGATCTCGTGTACACGTTCATTAAGGTCGAATGATGTTCGGTAGCCGTAATGCCAGCCTATAGGTTCCAATCATGGCGCGAAGAGCGTCGAGACCCACCATCTCCGTACCATGTGGCTCAATCAGTATCCCTCACACGCAATTTCAACTCATCGTCCCCATCACAATGACCAAGGCACACTTATTGCATCGAATCTATAGCCTACAGCAAAAGTTGCTGAGGTCGGGGTCCAGATCCATTAGTTTAGCTCGCGAGCTCGCTAATTTGCTTGAGGCTGGCCTATCTTATGAAACCATCCACAAGCTTCAGGATTCTTTATTACGTATCTCTTCCCAGCATTTGAACATGCTCAGGTTTGCTACAAGACATTGAGATTTCCAAAAGAGCGCACATGATTCATGACATGGTAGGATATCAATATCAGTAATGGTACAAGGTATTGATTCTTCTATCTGTCTGCAAGATTGTACTACGCCAAGCCGACTGAATAGAGCCTGATAACATGATGCAAGGCTGGCGATCTTGCTATCGAGCTACTATCCTTCTGAATCCACCCCGTGACAATCCAGCTCGTTGAGACGCGTTCTCGGACAATATTCAGTCTTTGTAGAGAGACCTATGATGATCTGAACCAAATAGAATCACGGTCGCAGGTATCATTCATTGTACGCCTTCTCAAGAGAAGGCTAGGATGCATGTTCTTCTATTTTCTGCCTTCCATGATGCTTTCTCTCGCTGATCTTTTTCCCCCACGTTCTTTCGATGCCAGGCTGGTTGTCTAATCAGGTCTAATTCCTGAGAGCATTTATATACATCAGCTCCTCCATCTCCGCTATTGAAGATCATCATGAGCCCAGAGGCATCTTGGATCTCCCGTCAAAACGCTACTCTTTCCAAAAAGATTTCATCTCCAAAGTGATCAGGATCTCGTCTCTCAAAAGACGATGTCCGCCCCATTCAAGCGGTCTCATCGAATCTTCACAGCGGTATCCTTTGGGCGCAGTCCCGCAACATGCAGCGCTCTGTAGTCAAAAAACTCCATAATCGACTGTTGATTGAAAATGATTATATATTTCCATGACCGCAGCATATGTATATCTCCAAATCTAAGCGAGAGGCTAAATCCTTCAAGAACATTGTCAAGTTAACGATAGACTGGACCCTGCCTTTCTGCGTCCTTGCTGAGGATTTCACGATGGCTTGCATGAGGCACGGCGTAGAGTCTTATTTGTCCTATATTACAATGAGTTGAAGGGCGCAGACCAGGTGAAATTTCAAAAAAATATTCTGAGATGCACCTTTCTTTGACTACTTTCTCGGCGTATCTGAACTAGGCTAGCGCTCTTGTAAAGATGGCCAGTCTAACGCATAGCGAAATGCAGTATCTACTTGCACACGCCTCAGAGGACCGGGGTGCAAATGTCATCGCCGCCGTTGCAACATGTCTTTGCCTTGCGTTCATCGTGGTTGGGTTTAGATTGTTCGCTAGGAGACTGAACAAAACTCCTTTGAGAGCGGATGATTGGATGATGCTTGTCGCGTTGGTGAGAGCGCACCCACGAGATCTTTGATCAGCATGAAGTGCTAAAATGTGCCCCCATCTCTCAGCCGCCTACGCAACCTCAAACCTACACTTGGTCCGCTTCGGATTGGGACGTCACTCAAACACCCAGTGTGTCAACCGCGAACGTCGAAACAGCCACGGAAGTCCTCTACGACCCGGCGATGATCACCGTTAAGTTCTCTATTTTCCTTCTCTACCACCGCTATTTTCCCGCGTCAAAAGTGCAACATCGTCCTCTGGACCGTTGCCGCTTCCATCTTCTGCTTTAATATTGCGGGCACTCTCGTCGTCATCTTCCATTGTTTACCTATACGCTCAGATTGGGATTCGAGTATCAAGCCCCGTTGCGTCAATCTTGATGCCAAGCTCATCGCCATTGGTGTGCTGAACTCCATTACGGATTTTTGTACTTCAGGTTTACCCATCCCGTTTCTATGGCGGTTGCATAGCTCCGTGATACATAAAATCCAGCTTGCGGGTATGTTCTCGCCCAGGAGGATTGTAAGTATCAAACACTTCCTTACAGTCCCAAATGGAGACGAAAAAAGCACGAACCATCATCCCCTCACCACAGCTTCCAGATCCAAAGACCCTCAATGACTACCACTTTGACGCCGCACCCCCTCAGCGTCTGCATAGCCAGTATCGTCCGCGTCATCGCCGTCAGCAGAATCTTCCCCACAGACGGCAGCTGAGTAAACACCTACCCGGCCATCTGGGCCTTTGTCGAAACCTCCATCGCCATCGTCAGCGCCTACCTGCCCAGCACTCCGTCGAGCATACAAGTACGCGATCTACGGCCCCAAATGGCTCATCAAATAGTCTTCCGACCAGATGTCTGGCGATTCGACAGGGATCGGGCTGACGAAGTCGACGTCGCCTTGGCGGAATGGGCAGGTGGCGAAGGAGCGGGAAAATTTGGCCGGTTGGAGTCCGGTGGGGAGGGTGGGGAGAGGTTGACGTCTCGTATCCTTTGACGCAAGATCGAAGATCAGACCTGCAAGGATGTTACGTTCAAATCAGTTTTATTGTCAAAGTTGCCATGGTGCTCTACTTTCTTTTGATCGTCTACCCCAGTTCCTGAAGATGTTTACTTAGCAAGTCCTCAACACAATGCATGGGTTGGCAAAGTCTATTCTGGTATGAAAGTCCTCCTACGTAGACCGTACTCAGATATCTCGGTGCCTTTTCGGCAGAACCAATCAATTAGTATGTCTTGCCCACATAACGACCAATCCTCCGGGTAAACCGGTCGGTCTCTTATTCGCTCTCTTCTCTGCGCCTTGCGGGCCAGAGCATCGACAGTGATATTCTGGAAAGTATGCCACTCCTCAGGGTCTTTGCGGCTCCAATCAAATTTGACAGGCAACTCAGGGTCTTTTGAAGGGGTCCACAGCCTCGCTGCGTCGCCAGCTAGGATCTGCATGCGGAGAGGCCCATGGCGAACGGAACGCCAATGATTGGCCCCACCACACACATGAATACCGCACGAGCCGCTGAATCAGGGCAAAGCCGATGTGTCCTCGCGTGCTTTGCCTCTCTTAGTGGCCGATGCAGTACCGAAGTGGGGGAGTACCCCGCTCGGTGGATCTACTTCCACACCCACACCACAAGACCCCGTTCTTGCGAATGCGTCGATCTTACTTGAGTGTATGTGGGGTGATACAGGAGGGAATGCTTTCAGTTAAGTAGGCGTAGGTAGATTGTCAAAGATGCAACGAGTCTTGCAGAAGTCGGAGGTAAGGGTCTTCTTCGAACAGCGTCAGACTTGTAGTTGAAGATGGCAATGCATGCAAGTACCCAGAAGCTATCGGTGACCTTGGAAGCAAGTACTTACCTTAGACAATGCAGCCTCGTTCCAGGCCCTTGCAGGGAAGCTCCACCACTCTACTTTACCTAGTGAGGCTTGGCATCCCATTTTACCCGCAATCCATAGTCAGCTCTCTCGAATCTCAGCTCTGCTTCTTCTTCTTCTTCTTCTTCTTTTCCTCCTGCTGCAAACCCTCCGTCGTTATTCAAGTTCCCTCCATTCGGGTCATTGCTAATCAAAGGGATTGCGTCGTGTGCTTTTTTGGTCATCTTCCCAATTCACCACGTCCTTCTGCGGGGTCATCTGCACCCTTTATCGATAGCGATAGACGATAACGGAAACGCCAAGCCCGGCATCCGCGAGACAACTACCAACACACCCAAGGCTGAGATAAAGAACAGCGAAGATCTTGTGATACCGCCTGCTGGCATCTCCCAATTGCTCATGGGCCCCCGTTGAGTTGTGGGTGTGCCTGTTTTGCTTCCATGTGCCCATTCTTGAGTCTGTCAGACGGATGCACGGCTGACCCGCTTTTACCCCGCCAGGCCCACACTGTAAGCAGCGAGTACTCAACGGCTTTCAACGTTGGCAAGAAACGCTCGTTGACAGACGAACACATTGCGAGCTTCGCAATCGCGCTAAGAGAAGCGATTGGCCGGCAGCGAATACATCGAAGCTCCAGCAGCTACAGGTGCAAAGGGTGCCGAGGCTGACCGGACCACTTCATTAAACACATCTTCGTTATCGGAGCTCTACAATATATCTCAGGTGATTTGGGACGAGATGACCGAATCGTCTGGGATGATGACCTCTATCAGCACAAATGGAGCACCACTGCCAGGGGGACCGCTTCCGTTCGAGCAGCCACCCAAGCTCAAGGGTCGCAGGCGTCTCTTGCAGAGCCTGCAAAGGATGTCATCTTCTCAGTCGCTAGCTTCGATGCGCCGAGCTCCTCCCACTTCCTATCCAGGTGGAAGCAAAGGTTCAATGTCCTGCGTATCCTTATCATCCTCCAACTCCAGACACGGCCATTCGTATGGGAACTCGTATTCTTCCACCCGGTCCGGTGCTTTCTCGACCGCACCAACTTCAGTAGCAAGTACACCTGGTCCAGAGAACCAGAATTTCGATTCCGGAACTCGGATTCGATGTCTGGACAGTGAGCTTGCTGGTCATGCTTCACCTATGCCGAAAAGTGTACCTTTACCGGCAGACATGCGGGCGGGCACAAAAGAAGCAATGTCCGCTGTCACATCAGGGATGGCCGGTGTATTTGAGGATTATTTCTCGAAGCCGATAGTTCGTGTAAAGGAGCTTCGCAAGAGGAGGAATATCAACTTTTGGGGTGAGATGCCTCAAGAATTAGCAATGCACATACTCCAATTCCTGAGACCGAGGGAGATCGTCAAGTGCTCGGCAGTCTCAAGAAGGTGGCATAAGATGTGCTTTGATGGACAGCTCTGGAGTAATCTCGACACCCAGGAATACTATCAAGACATACCTGCGGCTTCGTTGAGCAAAATCATGGAAAGAGCTGGACCTTTTGTAAGAGATCTCAACCTGCGAGGCTGTGCACAGATGCCGGAAAGCTGGGGCAAAGACGGCCAAAATATAACAGACGCTTGCAGAAACTTGGAATACTTCTCTCTCGAGGGCTGCCGTATTGACAGGAGCTCAGTGCATTACTTCCTTCTTCGGAACCCACGGCTCATGCACATCAACCTCTCAGGCATGAAAGGTCTCAGTAATTCCGCACTTAGGATCATCGCTCAAAACTGTCCACAGTTGGAGCATCTCAACATATCTTGGTGCCAGAATGTTGATTCAAGAGGTCTGATCAGGATCGTACAGTCATGCTCTCGACTCAAGGACCTACGAGCCGGAGAGGTCAAAGGCTTCAACGATCAAGCACTCCTTCTTGAGCTATTCACTCGCAACACTCTTGAAAGATTATTCCTTGATCATTGTGTCGAGCTTGACGATGAGGCCCTTCAGGTACTGGTTCAAGGTGTCGACCCTGAAATCGATCCTTTGACTGAACGGGCTGTGGTTTCGCCTCGAAACTTTCGTCATCTCGATCTCAGCCGATGTTCGCAACTCACCGACAAAGGCGTCAAATGCCTGGCAGGCAACATGCCGAGTCTCTGTGGTCTTCAGCTCTCTTTTTGTGAAGAATTGACCGATGATGCCCTTACGGGAATACTCGATTCAACTCCACATATGACCCACCTGAATCTGGAGGAAGTCGACCACCTTTCCAATAGCACCCTCCAAAACCTCGCTAAATCTCCATGTGCTCCACAACTTCAGCACCTCAACGTCAGCTATTGCGAAAACCTAGGCGATAGCGGCATGCTCCAAGTCATAAAGTCTTGCCCCAAGCTTCGTACTGTCTTTATGGACAACACCCGCGTCTCGGACCTCGTCCTGACAGAAGCCGCAGCGCAAATCCGCATTCGTGACCGTATCAACCCTTTGGCCACGAATGCTCCCCCAACCGTCGGTCTCCGTCTAGTCGTCTACGACTGCCAAAATGTCACGTGGACCGGCGTCCGCGAGGTTCTCTCCCGCAACACCGAGCCCAACAGACGAGAAGTCGTCTCTCTGAAATGCTTTTACGGGTATCAAGATACTGTCAATGAGCATATGAAGAGGGTGCTGAAGGGTGAAGCGAAGGCCGCAAGTAGGTTGGAAAGAAAATGGGCGGATTACATGGTTGCGAGTGAGGAGGCTGGTGCACAAGGAGCTGGGGCCAGGAGAAGAAGGCGGAGGTTAAGGGAGGCGGCAATGGTGCATGCGGATGAGGAAGAGGGAGGACCCAGGAATGGAAGGCGAAGGGCGAGGAGTGGAGGGTGTGCTATTATGTGAGAAGAGAGGAATGCTGCAGTAGGGTTTGATGGTACATGTTGAGAATAACGGAACGAAACGACTATACGCATTGATGGTTATGGACATGGACGGATGGCTGGTGGGTTACTGGCGTATCGAGTACAACAATTTCCCATTCTCTTTTGCTTTCTGTTGACAGCTAGGAGATTGATACGGGACTTCATCGAGGTACATTCATCGGCGCACCTGTCTCCACATCGTTTCATAGACAACGTCACTTTCAAGTCTTAGAAATCATGCTCATGACATACAGATGTTTCTTGCAAGCTTGAAGATCTCGAGATGTTGGAGAGCCAGGCGATAGGGGCGAGACGGCCAATTCGCCTCGGCTAGCCCCCAAAAATTAGGGTTGGATGCGGGGCAGTTTTGACTTGCATGTGACGCTCGAATCCAACCGCTCGAGGCGGGGCAGAAAGCTGGTTTTTCTTCCGCCAATTTTTCTACTTCATAACGTCTGACAGGACTCGTTATGAGCAGAAATCTGTGAGAATGGCGGCAACAAGGCAAGAAACATTTTGCACGGTCAGTCAACCCTCTTCCTCGACCATTGGGCGAACATCGCGTCTGGGAACAGAATTGACGTTCTCTAGCTGCTCACGAGCGATGCATACCTGCCTGGTAAGACTGTCAAACCTCTTCAACACAATCAATACTGAAACGCCGTGTCAGGTGCCATGGTTCTTGCACATTCATTACGAGACAATGGTACTAAGAAGCAATTGGCCATCCTCGTCACTCTCGATTCTCTATCTGCCTCAACGCTTGAGGAGCTCAAAGTACATGCCTAAGTCGCTTCCAATGCAGATAACCTTGCTAACGCTTGTTTACAGACAGCATACGACCACGTCATACCCGTCGACCGTATCACAAACAAGTCTCCGCAAAACCTTTACCTCATGAACCGACCAGACCTCATCTCCACCTTCACCAAGATAGCCCTCTGGCGGCAGACCCAATTCGACCACATCGTGTACATAGACGCAGATGTCGTAACGCTACGAGCACCTGATGAGCTGTTCAATAATCCTCCAAGCTTTGCAGCTGTACCAGACATAGGATGGCCGGATTGCTTCAACAGCGGTGTCCTCTCGCTGAAACCCAACATGGGCGATTACTACGCTCTACTGGCTCTGGCACAACGAGGAATAAGCTTCGATGGAGCAGATCAAGGGCTGATGAATACGCACTTCCGGGATTGGCAGAGATTGAGCTTCACATACAATTGCACGCCCAGTGGGAACTATCAATATGCGCCAGCTTACAGGCACTTTCAGAGTCAAATAAATATCGTGCACTACATTGGGAGTAACAAGCCATGGTTGATTGGGAGGGAGCCAAAAGAAGCGAGTGGAGTGTATGAGGAGTTGCTGGGACGATGGTGGGCGGTCTATGACAAGCATTACAGGACCCCAGTAAGTTGTTCTTGACCTGTGTGAAATGCACGCCGTTAACGAGCTTCAATAGACAACAGCATATGTATCAGGCCAAGCACCGAAGCAGTCAAGGATCGTACAGCAATACGTAAAGGGCGAAATGTCAAGCACGGACTACGGTTTCTCCTCGGTACGGTCGCAGGTGGACGGACTTGAGGAGCCAGAAGCTCCTGTTCATACTACCGAGCCGTCGCTGACCGATAAGACCAATCTAGCTGAAGCTATACAGCGAGGAGAGGTCACGCCAACACCTACTGTACAGCAACGACGCTTCTCAGTCGACTGGGACCCCATACAGTGAGCAAGACCAGCACAGTGACCGCTGAAAGGATACTGACGATACTGACGATGCACAGCAACGCTCCACCGGCTCACTCCCGACCTGAAGCCGCCAACTTCCCCACTGAAACTTACGAAATGTCCGCAGATCGCAAGCTATTTCAAGCACCCAAGAACCCTGAGCCACCAACGGACATGTACTATCAAACTCCCCCAACCGCGTCAGCAAATGAACGTCCTAAGCCCATCTTCCCTTGGGAAACCACCGCACCCAAACCTACCCGTGTATTTGCAGATGACGCTCCTCGGCCCGCAGCACCCTCAGAAGCCACACCCTCAGTAACTACCGACGATGACGACGACGAAACCCAAACTGAAACAATGTCTCCCCTAACCCCTACCATGGATTCCAACGACACCGAACCATTCGCTAGCTACACTCGAACCAACGCCTGGGACGACGTGCCTGAAATCGAGCGATACATATCTCAATTACCGCAAAATCGACGCGCCAAAGTACAAGTACTCCTGAACAACGCCACTCCCACCGGTGGCCACCAAAGAAACGTAAGCGGCGACGAACCTATGTTCTCCCCTAGTATCCAAGATCCATCACAGCAGCGTCGCCCTAGCATGAAATTAACAGACTTCCCATCCGAAATCGAACGCCCCTCCCTCCCCGTGACCCCAGCTCCAATACGTCGTCCCTCATTCTGGGGCTCGGAGCGCGATGCTGCTGGCGACCTCCCAGGCGCAGAAGGCGTGCCCGACCAGAGCGTGTGGGATCCTGCTGCCAAGCTCGCCGAGCTCCAGCGCCGGCAGTCGGAGATGCTGGCAGAAGGCCCAGCAAGCCCTGGGCGGTTTATTCCGGACAGAGAGTTACTTGGATCGTCAAGTGCGCCGTTGACCGAGGTCGAGGAAGAGGAGAAAGCAGAGGGGGTACCTACAGCTGGATCGACCCAGGGTGCGATGCCAACAGCTTTCCGGACTGTGGACTTTAGCAGGGGAAGTGTATCCCGAGCCCGTGAGGTTGGTGAAGAGACGGTGACGGCGGTACCGGCTGAGTACTGAGAGCCCTAGATACCGCCAGCCTTTGGTGTTTCATTTCATCTGCATCATTTGTTGTCATTCGAGCTGGTCTGTGCAGATTCCAATCTTCGCTCTCCATCCTCTGCCCGTGCAATTATCCTGTTCTCCGCCCTGCTTTTATTACTTTGGCCGAGGCGTGGGCTTTCGTGAGCGACTCACATATGAGCATCTGTTATCATATAAGTTCAGTTTGGCTGGTGATTCTTTTGAAGATACCCTAATTAGCAGCAATGAAGACAGATCGATCCACGCATGTAATGCCTCTGTGATACCTATTTCGTGTGAGTAAAAGATGCCGTGGGGCGATCCAGGCTTCTTAGCAATTAGACGATGAGTCGCTTTCTATATGCAGGGAAGTTTGGTATCGATTTCACCCTTGCCACATCCATCAAAGGAAGACCTCGATGTTGATCTCCAACGTACTAACGGGATACCTCAACTCGAATCTCTCCAACACACTCGGATGCAGAATGCCAAAGGTCCCAATCACCCTCTCCTTCCCTCCCATCCTCAAGTGTATCGCCGCCGCATGCCCAGGCAAGAATGTCTTATCGTCCACCTCGCTAATCCAATACGCGCTATCGCCCAACCCTTTGCCCTCCAACCCCTCCTCACTAGTCATGAAAGCGGACTTCAACATGAGCATGACGCGATCCATGAGCCCGTGTACGATTTCGAAGCCGCTGTTTTTGGAAAGGAAGGCGGCCGCGAAGTGGCGCTCGTTGCGGCTTTTGCGCTCGAGGGCCATGTCTTTGAAGGCTACGTCGCTGACTTCGAAAATTTTGATGGGGACGCTGTGATGTTTGTTTTCCCGTAACGTCTTGAGGAGACCGGGGAGGAGGGATGTGCGGACGACCTGGTATTCCGCCGTTTTAGGGTTGGCCAGTCTGACGGCAGTGGTACCGTCATCGACGCGATTCAAGTGCGCAAAGTTCTCAGCGTGGGAGCAGAGAATGAGAGGTAATACTTCTGACCAGCCTGCCATGGCTGCCTCGAGCCGTACGATATCGCTGAGTTTGTTGATAGCGAGGGGCTGGGCGACGGTGCCCGAGATATTGGGGAAAGCTCGCGGGAGATTGTTGAAGCCATACGCAATGGCGACGTCTTCCATTATATCGGCTTGATGCAGAACATCTGCGCGAGTGGGTGGAACGTGCACGTCTATTAGGTCTTCGGAGGCGGAAGATGGAGAAGCGGTGTAGCACATCCTCCTCAATAGGGAGCAGATGTCGGAGGCAGAGAGAGAAAGGCCGCAGCAGGAGTTTATATATGAAATTGAGGCTTGTGTTTCGCGTGGAGTGAGGTCGGGAACTTGGCGGGTTTGATGGTTGTGTGGGGATCTAATCTGAATGGGTTCGACCGTGAAGGGCTCCGAGGTGTACTGGGAGAACATGGTAACGATGATGTTGTTCACTATCTCGGCTTTCGTCTTGTCGGTGGCTGTTATGTCGATGAAGACGTTGCGCGTTTTGAGGCTGATTTTGGAGTGGTTGGAATTGATTATTGGAGGCATGGAGCAGACTGTTCGGTTTGCGTCAAGGATGACTGGGTAAACCGGGGAGTCTTTGATTATGTGTAGGTACCGCGAGAGATGTTTGTCGTTCTGATAATGACGATCAGGTCTTATGGTCTAGATCAGTCCATGCCGTACATACCTCATAGAACTTGATCATTTCCACCGCGTTCATGGACTCGGTTTGGTTCAGAGGCACAAACTGTATTTGTTCAGGCGGCAACGCCTCGTACGTGAACGGCCCTCGTATAGTGTCCAGGTCATGCGTCCCGATTGCAACAAGCGTCCTTTGTCGAGCTAAATTCTGGTGTAGCTTATCTTGCAAAGCAATGAAGGACTCATATCGTGCTTGTGTGAATTTGATATTGCGTAGGATGGCCCCGGAAACGTAAGGTCTTATCCTTGACGTCTATTTTGGATTCAGCACTACGTTCTTAAACTCCACCCAAATTCGAACACTGACCTGCTGATGTGCTGTGAGACATTCCAGCTGTCCACCTGCTGGCGCCGCCAGCGCGTACTGAGGCGCATCTCGCTTTCCACGGAAGATGTTGAGCATCAGAGATATTCCCTCAAAACATAGCATGTCATATCTAGCCAAGAAATTCAGCCAAAGATGTTGAGTGAGAGCCCTGCTGCCATTCTGACCTGTTCGCGGGTATCTCGATCTTGAGCTGCGCCGGTTCTTGTTTGCCATTGATCACTGGCCGGTCACTCGTTGAAGTCTGATCGAAAGCTTAGCTCAGGATATCGTAGCAGTGATAAAAGTGCGTTTTTACATCTTCATCGAGTTCAATCCCTTAGAGTTGTCAGCAAACAGTCTCCATTGTGCCCCATGGCTCTGCCTACCAAATTCAAAACAAAGCTCGTCGAACTCTTCTGTGGTGTAACTAGAAATATATTGTATCAGCATCCAGATGTGCAGTCAATTAGTTGACTGAGGCGATTTACCTACTCTTGACCAAGAGCTTCGAAGAGCGCTGCCTTGTCGACAGCTATGGTAGGCATATTGGCGCTACCTGGAAGAAACCGAAGCCTCAACAGTGAACAGGTACTTATGCGGCAGCTCTTGGATTATGCAGCGGGCTCTTCTTGTTGAGCTTGAGTCATGGCCGTGCACAAAAGTCCAGACACAAAATCCATTTGGCGGTAGGGCTGCAATTGCTTGGCGGCAAAGCCTCGTTCACAACATCCAGATTCTGTGCTCAGGGCCAGAACAAGCACAAGCACAAGCCCATGAATAAACACGCTGCAGACAACATTTCCTACACCAATTGCCTGCGACCTGAACTGAAGCTGGGGTATGATACAAGCTCTCAATCCAAAAGGTCAGCGCGAACTCTTTGATCTTGCAGAGCATATACATCGCCCAAGTCTTTTCGACGAACAAGTCCATTCATGAGCTTCCGAATGGGAAAAGAGCTACGCCAGAGCTGACACTGCGTCCCATAGTCCCTAGAATCGTTTTTAATGCCTACACCTAGCAGCAAGTAATCCCATATTCGATAGCCCGAGCAATCACCAGATTGACACGACCTGTCACGAAGACTCGGCCACCCCACTCAGCGATCAGGACTGTAGATCTGGTTATACAACAGTATGGAGGACCAGGGGCAGAACGATCCTCTCTTTCCAATCGCAGTTTTGATCGATGAGCTCAAGGTAAATCGTCTACCTACTACATCTCTTGTCTTGGCATCTAAACGTATAACCGTCACCAGCACGACGATGTTCTTCTCCGTCTCAACGCCATACACCGGCTCTCAACCATAGCTCTAGCTCTAGGCGCCGAACGCACAAGAGATGAGCTCATACCATTCCTTGACGGTCAGTGTCCTTAGAGGTTGAGACCGTCGCTCTCACCCAACGCCTTACTGACTTCGCTATAGAATCGGTAGAGGACGAAGACGAGGTCCTTACAGCGCTGAGTGAAGAGCTCGGAGGTTTTGTGGAATACGTTGGCGGTCCAGAATATGGGCACGTGCTCCTATCACCTTTAGAGAACCTCGCCGCAATCGAAGAGCCTCTGGTGCGAGAAAAAGCTGTCGAATCTCTCAACAAGATATGTAAAGAGCTCTCACAGTCCCAAGTTGAAGACCACTTCATTCCTCTCACTGTGCGCCTCTCGAAAGCCGACTGGTTCACCTCAAAGATCTCGGCAACTGGACTTTATAATGTTCCCTACAGCAAAGCAACACCGCCGTCTCAGGAAGGACTTCGCCAGCAATATGGACAGCTGGTACATGATGAAACTCCTATGGTTCGACGGCAGGCCGCGAACAATCTCGCGAAGTTCGTAAAGGAGATGTCACCACAGATAGTCATTGAAGAGATGATACCCCTATTTCAGCATTTGGCCGGTGATGATCAGGATAGTGTTCGGTTGTTGACAGTGGAAATATTGATTTCGATTGCGGAAGTTATACCCAAGGAGCAACAGACGAGTCATGGAACACTTCTAACAGCTTTGCGGAGTCTATTTGAGGACAAGAGCTGGAGAGTGCGATACATGGTCGCAGACCGCTTTGAGAAGGTATCAATCATTGTTGCCCAAGATGTGAAAGAGAAGGCTGACTTTGACTCGCCACAGATTGCAAAAGCTGTAGATGAAGAAACCGTGACCCGCGATTTGGTCCCTGCATTCGTAAAGCTCCTCAAAGATACCGAAGCTGAGGTCCGCACTGCTATTGCTGGGCAGATTCCAGGTCAATGAAATCGATATTCTATGCCCCGGGATATGACGTGCTAATGTGGCCCAGGCTTCTGTCGATTACTTGATCGAGAGACGCTGCTTAACGAAATAATGACTAGCATCGAAGACTTGGTGTCAGACACCTCGCAACATGTACGTGCGGCATTAGGAACGCAGATTAGTGGTTTGGCCCCTATCTTGGGCAAGGAAGAGTAAGCAATCTGTGGATGGCGCCTTTCAAATCATAATTGACAAACCTTAAGGACCATTGCACATCTTCTGCCAATGTTTTTGCAAATGCTGAAAGATGAATTCCCTGACGTTCGCCTTCACATAATCTCGAAGCTCGAGCTAGTCAACAAAGGTCTGTCTTCTTTTACCGACCAGTATCTATTACTGGTGCTGATATTTTCTAGTCATCGGTATTGAGCTTCTGTCTCAGTCACTACTTCCGGCCATTGTACAATTAGCCGAAGACAAGCAATGGCGCGTCCGCTTAGCCATTATTGAGTACATCCCATTGCTCGCAGGCCAACTCGGACAGGATTTCTTCGACGATAAGCTGAGCACGCTTTGCATGAGCTGGCTGGGTGACACTGTTTTCTCGATACGGGAAGCAGCCACCAAAAACCTGAAGAAGCTGACTGAAGTCTTCGGAGTTGGGTGGGCGAGCAACGCCATCATCCCAAAGGTCATCGTGATGGGCAAACATCCGAATTATCTCTACCGAATGACCACATGCTTCGCCATCTCGGTATGCATACCTTAAAAACATCTCACTCTCGATCAATGCGGCTAACCTCTTCTATATAGACACTCGCACCAGCTATAGATCTAGAGGTCATCGAAAAGTCCATTCTGCCAATGATGGACAAACTCGTATCCGACGACATCCCAAACATCCGCTTTAATGTCGCCAAATCCTACACTGTCCTCATCGACGTCCTTAAGCATTTGCCCGCCCATGGTACTATCTTCGATCTCGAAAAGTCAGGTCAGACGCTACAACCCTCTTCCGCCGGTCAACATCTTATCCAGCAGCAAATCTTACCGAATCTGGAGAAATTACAACAAGACGAGGACGTGGATGTGAGATATTTTGCGACGACTGCGGCAGGGAGCGTGGGTGATGCTATGGCAACGTCACCTTAGTTAAGGAATGCGAGGTAGCTTGTTTTTCAGGGCAGGCAGGGTTCTTTAGACGCATTGAGGAGATACCTACATAAAATATTGATCGGATTGTTCTGTGCACCGTGATTTGTGCACTTGCAAGGGTGTTTTACCCGTGAGAATAATTGCACTGACTGCTTGACCATAAAAGTGGCCATTTTACGGGATGTTTACCATTACCTTTACGTGTTGCAATCCATCACGATGGGCATACTGTTTGTCACTATTTCCAGCGTTGATGGGCTAGCTTCTTCTGTGGCTATTTTGCCTTGAACACCCAAGTACTCTACTAGCATATTACTACCAGAAGCTCGGCCTTAATGCGCCTTCTCTTGCGCATTTTACCAAGGTTTCGAAATGTTCGAATGGGTCTTTACTCTTCAAAATCCCTTTTCGTTGATGCAGCTCTATGACAGTGGCAACAGCAATTGAATATTGGTTCCAGCATTCAACTCTGACGGTAACATACCAGCATGCTAAGGTACAAGACCACGACTTCTCCATCTGCTCCTCTACTCCTGACCATAATCTTCCTTCCCCTCCTCTGTTCCCTGCTCCTGCTGCTCCTGCATCCTCTGCTGCTCCGCTGCCTGTTGCGCTGCAACTGCCTTCGCACCATAGTCCTGGCTCATGGGCTGCACAACCGTCTGTTCTTCCTTTGGCTCGATGATAGTGACGGAGTCTGGCAGGGACTTCTGAGGACCAGACTTGCCTTCGGGATCGGATCCCCGCATGATCTTGACCTTGATACCCAACACACCTTGGCGGAGAAGAACGTGGCGGGTAGCAGAATCGATGAAGTCTTTGGCAGGTTGACCGGAGTGGATCATGAAGCCATCCTATCCTCCCATTAGCATGATTCCTCGTCACCATACAAGACAAAGCATACTGTAAACTTCATGCTCTTAGCCCTGGCAGCCCTCAGCTTCCCCGAAACCACCACCTCACAACCCTTCGCTCCACTCTCCATGATGAACCGCAGCACACCATAGCAAGCTCTCCTAACAGCCAATCCATTGAGCAACTTGTAACGGAGAGATTCGCACTGAGCGACAGCGGAAAGACCACGATTTTGGACCTTGGCGGCGTAGAGGGAGACAGAGTTCTCAGGGAACTTGAAGCGTTTTTGGATAAGAGAGGTCAGTTCGCGGATGCGGCGCCCTTGCTCGCCGAGGACTTCTTGGGTGTGTGTTGCGCGGATGACTATAACTTGGTCAGAAGGAGAGTGGAAAGGCAAGGGACGGGAACAGGGGCGTACTGATGTCAGTCACAGTAGGCGTGACGCGAACCTCGACACCAGAGTATCCTTCCTCTGCCAGCTCACGCTGGAAGAACTCGTTCAATTCGGCGTAGAAAACACCATCTGCCACGAACTTCCTACGCTTGGAAACAGAGGCCCCTGGTACAGAAGTCATGATCGCGGTGCTGTCGGAAAGTTGAGGTTGACCGAGGACGCTGTCGTTGAAGTGTATCGAAATTGTTAGTGGGGTTGCCGTTGTGGAAACTCTCGCTTGGGAGCCAAGCCGCCGCTAAGAACTTCCCTTTTTAAGACCAAGGCTCAAAGGGAAAGGGAATCGCGAACTACGTATGGAATACTTATAATTTGTTTGAAGCCAGCTATTTGAATCAGAGGTTCTTTGTCTTAAGTCTCTCCTCTTCCCAACATTCTAGTTGGTGCAGTAAACTTCTCCAAACCCACAAGCTCCACTGTACTATAATGGACAGGCAACCTTAGGTTGAGATGGAGAGAACACGAATTGCGAAGGTGGCCTTCAGCTTTATAACCTTGCTGGAGACAAAGCTTACCATCTCCAGGTAGACGACGTCAGACTCGTCCGCAGGGGCGAGCAAGTTGAAGGAAATCTACATCTGACACCCCACCACCTCATCTTCTCGCATACGCCTCCTACCGCAGAGGAAGCTAACGCTAGACCGCGAGAACTATGGATCACCTATCCAATCATCCATACATGTACTCTACGCCCAGCTCCACCGGCATCCCATCTACCATCTTCGATACGGCTACGATGTAGGGACTTGACTTTTGTCTGCTTCTGCTTCGCAGATGAGAAGAAGGCACGAGACGTGTATGATAGCATCAAGGCGTGGACGTGCAAATTGGGAAGGATAGAAAAGTTGTACGCATTCAGCTACCAGCCGCAGCGGCCAGAGAAGGAGGTTAATGGGTGGAATGTGTACGATGCAAGAAGGGAATGGAGAAGATTAGGTGTTAGTGAGAAGAGCACGGATAAAGGGTGGAGGATATCGAACATCAATACAGATTACGCGGTATGTTGGTAGTATCTGGGGAACCCTGAGCCGAGTCTCACAACCGTCTAGTTCTCATCAACATATCCTGCTCTTCTCGCTGTGCCGACATCAATCTCCGACAATACCCTCAACTACGCAGGCAGATATCGCTCGCGTGTACGTCTACCTGTATTGACATACCTACATCCAGTCAACAATTGCTCCATCACAAGATGTGCTCAGCCGCTGGTGGGAGTTCGAGGGAACCGAAGCATCCAAGATGAGAAGCTTTTGCTTGCGATATTCTCCACTTCGCATTCAGATCCCAATTCTTCAGAGCCGCCTTCCAGACCTCGGAGTCCTCAATCTCTTCGATCGAGCGAAGGTGACATTGGATCACAAGGGTCGGATCCTCCTCCCACAGATGCTGAAACGCTGGAAGATGAGATGATAAATCGGACAGCAAGCGAGGACAAGGATGAGCCAAAAGTGTACGGTGCGCAGCAGCATAATCTTATAGTCGACGCTCGGCCCACTGTGAACGCTTTGGCGATGCAAGCTGTAGGATTAGGCTCGGAAAACATGGACAATTACCGCTTCGCAACGAAGATCTATTTGGGAATTGACAACATTCACGTTATGAGAGACTCGCTGAACAAGGTTGTCGATACACTGAAGGAGTCGGACGTGACGCCCTTGGCACCAAATCGAGAAGCCCTGGCGAAAAGCCATTGGCTTAAGCATATCGGCGGTCTACTTGATGGGGCGGGAATTATTGCTAGACAGGTCGCTCTTCAACATTCGCACGTCCTCATACACTGCTCCGATGGATGGGATCGAACAAGCCAGCTCAGTGCTCTAGGTCAGCTCTGTCTTGATCCTTACTACCGTACTCTCGAAGGCTTCATCGTTCTTGTAGAGAAGGACTGGTTATCATTCGGTCACCAATTCAATCATCGATCTGGGTTCCTGTCGAGCGAAAAATGGTTTCACATCGAGAATGAACGAGTAGGCGGAGATAGCAACAAGCAGCCGAGCTTAGTCGGACACAACAGCGGCGCGGGTCAGGCTCTGGAGAATGCCTTGTTGAGCGCCAAAGGTTTCTTCAACAAGGACAACAAGAGCAAAGACTCTATCGTCGATTCAGATGGCGAAATGCAGCCGTACGACATGTCTCCGACCTCTAAGAGAAGCGCTGCTCCAGGCAAAGGAAGTGGAAGCGACAAAAGCACCACTAAGGTCAAAGAGACTAGCCCAGTCTTCCACCAATTCCTCGACGCTACTTACCAACTGCTCCATCGCCATCCTACTCGGTTCGAGTTCAATGAACGCTTTCTCCGTCGCTTGCTTTACCACCTTTATTCTTGCCAATATGGCACTTTCCTGTACAACAATGAGAAAGAGCGTGTTGACGCCCGTGTCAGTGAGAAGACACGAAGTGTTTGGGACTATTTTTTATCCCGAAAAGAACAATTCATAAACGAAATATACGATGCAACGATTGACGATAATGTCCGAGGTCAAGAACGACTGGTTCTGCCAGGGACTGGTGAGCTTAGATGGTGGCATGAACTATTTGGCCGGACTGATGCTGAAATGAATGGTCCTACGAGGACCACGAGAAACCGAGCTCAGGGTGACATCCTTGTCGATCCCACAGTGCTCACCGGGGTTGAAACAGCTGATAATTCTGTGGGGGCCGGAGCACCAGGGAGAGTATTACCAAATGAAGATGCTTCCTCTTTGTCAGTCTTGGCTGCTGGACTTGGAGGGTTGGGCATTAGCAAGAGCAGAGGGAATGAGCCATCGAGCCTGAAGCGCGAGATGGAAGTTGAGATGCAGTGATGGCTCTCGCAAGTCGCAACTCAACGAGACTAAGGTATTCCGAAGCATTTTAGCATTCATAGCGTGCCACTTTACTTCTACGTTGGGATCCCCAATTTAACCAAGTGACCAGAATTGAAAATGTGCTTTCCAAGTCAATTGTGATGCCGTAAGGAGAGAGTGAGCGGCCCCTTGAAGGCTCGTTGTATCATTAAACACTAGCGGTAATTTTACTCGAAATTTTAGCGAGCTTGGCGCACACGACAATTCAGATCTCGTGCTTGCTCAAGCATGAACTCAACTACTTTTCTTCTCAAACCATTACGCTCTTTGAGGATCTCCGACAATTCAAACTGACCACGAACACTCAGTCAAGATGGTACACCTTCCTCCATCCTTCCTTGCATCATGGGGAGAATGATGTGTGTGACGTACAATGGCACAAACCCGTAGCTAACTCCTACTCCCCCTTCCAGTCGGACGGAGAAGAGCCCACCTCGCCCACCCCAGCCGAAGACCCCGAGACCGTCGATGTCGCCGCCGACGCGCCTGCCGCCGGTGGCAGCTCTCAGATGGTGAGTTTTAGCTTCCCAATCATCCTCTCCTACTGCACACCCGAAACCAACTTCACCCTTCCTTCCCTTCCCTTCTCTCCCTCCACCCCGTCACGTCTCAACTTCCCACCTCCAATCCCGCCCCGAAAGAAACCCTCCAGACTAACCCCCAAACCCAACCCCGCAGACCACCCTCGAAGCCCTCAAAGGCGCCCTGAAGCTCGCCCTCATCCACGACGGCCTCGCCCGCGGCCTCCGCGAAGCCTCCAAAGCGCTCGACCGGCGCCAGGCGCACATGTGCGTGCTGAACGAAGGGTGCGAGGAGGAGGCCTACAAGAAGCTGGTGGTGGCGCTGTGCGGGGAGCACGGGATCCCGCTGATCAAGGTGCCCGACGGGAAGATGTTGGGGGAGTGGGCCGGCTTGTGTGAGTGGTCTTCCCGCTGTCTCTTGGCTCCGTGACGAAAAAATGGGGCATCGAGGCTGATTGCGGTTTGGGTGGAAACACAGGCGTGCTCGACCGCGAAGGCAACGCCCGGAAAGTCGTCAATTGCTCTTGCGTCGTGGTGCGGGATTGGGGCGAGGAGAGTCAGGAGCGGTCCATCTTGATCAATTACTTCGCGACCGAGCAATAGAGAGGCATCCATAGACTCTTTGACGGTTGGTTGGTTGGTTGATTGGTCATAGAAGGAGATAAAAGGCCAGTCGCCAATGGAGATGGTCTGAGACGGAGACAAATCTGGTGGATGGGTTGAAGTGGTTGAAAATAAAAAATGCAAAGGCTTTGAGATTTGAGATTCGAGATTTGAAGGAGGTTTTTCTAGATCATTTCTCTTCTTCGATGATGCTTTACCGAGGCTGCCTGCATAGATGGCAAGTAAAATGGACTTTGTATTCTACTTTCTTGAAATACAGCTCGCTGTAGCCTAAGGTCATTTTACAGATCATGCATCTGGCTTTGCGTTTACACCTACAGATGGACCTACTCTGACATGACCTAGTTACTCTTCACTGATTATGAAAGAACAAGCCTTCTTCTAATGGAATGAAATACATAGTTGCAACCCTCAGTTAACGGCATTGAATTCGAGAGAGCTTCAGAAAGCATGGCTAAGGTATAGAGCAATATGTACAGCACTCGTGCCCGAGCTCAAGCGAGAGCATGATGTACATAAACGATACGGTATCACAGGAGCCACAGCCATCCAACGCTGACAAGTACGTCATAACCAGCGACGCAAGCGTAGTACCAGCGTAGCATTCCCCATACCATCATTTCACGCCTCATCCATCCTCACCGATACCTCTTCCTCAGCGATGCCCGTTCGTCATATTTCCGTTCATGATCGGACTCGCCGCCGCTTCCTGCTTCACAACCTCTTCTCCACCACTGACACCAGGTCTATCCCATGTAGCTCCTCTCCCGAATGGGAATTCATGTAACACCATTGCTCTTGTACCCAGTTTTATGCCAGCGAGGTGCTGATGTCTCGGTACAATATCCATGAACTCAGATAGCTTGATCCAGAAGACGTGTTTCAGGTCAAAGAACTTAGGGCGCGTTTCTTCGTCAAAGTTGTAGACTTCGGTAGGGGAGAGAAGAGAGGGAGGGATAGCTTGGGACATAGGATTGCGTAATTGGCGCCAGAGGGAGCCTTGGTGGTTCATGGTGGCAGGGAAGCGGGTCCAAGCGGTGTCTGCGGTGTGTATTAGGCTGGCTGCAAGTGTGAGATTAGAAACGAGACTTACATTGCGAAAGCTCCAGATCCTTGATGGCCAACATTGGCGCAGCCTGGATATTCGCAATCCACCTCTCCTCCGCCATCTGTGGCTCACAACCAGGATTCAGCTCCTGAGTCGTGACTGTCCGCAACGGTAGCCATTTGGCAACCTCCTTCGCAGTCCTTGCATCCTCCAGACTTAGCTCGGCGGCTCTCCTCAAGCCATTGGGTAGGGATTGTCGACGAAGTCGCTCAGCCTCCTCTTGTGCTTGCATGCGACGTTTGCTCTCACGTTCTTCGAACTCTCGGCGCTTACGTTCTTCATTTTCTTTGCGTAATCGGTCCTGCTCCATTTTCCGTTGCTGCATCTCCTCGTCCCGCTTCTTCTTGGCGATACGGTTCTCCTCCTCTTCTCGCTCCATTTGTTGTTGTCGCTGGTCCTCTTCAGCTTGACGTTGAGCCTCGAGGCGGGCGTCCTCTTCATCCCGGGCAACGCGGGCTTTTCGTTCAGCTTCCTCCACCTCAGCTCGAGCTTTCCGTTCGAGCTCTGCTTCAGCCTGCCGTCGCTTCTCAGACTCTATTTCTTCAAGTCGCTCCTTCTCTTCCTGTGCAGCTTGGCGCTCACGCTCACGGTCTAGCCTTTCTTGACGCAACAGATCTTCTTCCACTTGTCTCTGTGCTCGCATATCGTCTAGATCTGGTTGTTGTTGTTGTGAAAGCGCTTGATCTATACTGTTCACAGGCGAGATAAGTGTGGAATGTATTCTAGACTCGGTTGGAGATTTTGTCACAGGCGAAGCAGTATTGCTACCCATAAATGCTACCGGCGCCGTACCTTGAGACACAGTAGGAGATGGGCCGGCTGTAGGGCTCACGATCATGTTTGCTACCATCGCCGGACCCGGTCGAAATGAGCGATCACGATCTTGGTCGATTGCGTTGCCTTGGGAGTCAACTCGTCGTTTCTTCTTTCTGACCGCCTCTGTCGTCCCAGGTAGATCGGTCTTGCTGGCTCGTGGGCTAACACTCATACGATGACGCTTCTTCCCAAGTTCGCTCTTGACATTTGTCGGCTCTTCGGACGATGCCTTGCTGATCTTCGCGGTAGATTCGGAGGCGTCACTCGACTTCCTCTGTCGCCCTGAGATGGAGTCACCTGATTTGCGTCTGGTTGAATCATCCCTTGCTTCGGCAACTTGATTCGCCCTCTGTTTTAGATCTTGGTCAGTCTTGAAGTCGTTGCCAGACATCAATCTGCGCTTAGGTTTTAGACTGTCTGCACGATTGATTGCAGGACGTGCAATGTCACTATTTGATTTCCTCTCTTTGTGCTTAGGCTTCGGAAGTCCCAAAGCATCTGAGTCTCGATCCGACAGGATGGCTGAGTCTTGTTGCTTTTTGAGATCATCTCCCAGATGTCTTGATCCTGTTCCCTTGTGTGAAGAATCCTTTCTGACCCCTTCCATTGGATCATCGTCTGGTGAAGGCTTAGTCTTTCGTACCTTTCTCGAGTCATGCGGAGAAGAAGACGGCTCAGAAGAATGCTTATTCGAGTCGGCTCGCTTCGGGCGGACCTTGCGTGGCGAGTTGTTGTTGCTCCTACGGCCTCCATTTGGTCTGTAGTTGTCATACGCTTCTTTCAGAATATCGTTTTCTTCTTGCCATTCTGAGCCCTGTCTCTCTTTCGATATCTCGTAGTACGTAAGATCTTTAAAACGCCGACGAGTTGGATCGAAGCCAGGCTGGCTCAACAGCAACTGTATCACGCTGATATTGCCCCGGCCAATCGCCGCCAACATTGGAGTGCTATAAGCAGGCTTATACTCTCCTGAGCGTAAAGGTTCAGGGTCCGGATCCAGGTTCCCAATAGCCATCATCAAATTGAGTACCCCATCGTGTCCACCACGCGCTGCCGCAAGGACCGCTTCAGTATCGACCTTGGGACGCATCTTGAGAATGTGATCCACGATAGTCAGATCTCCTTTTCCAGCGGCATCGCGAAGTCTCTCTGGGGTTGGGTTGACCCATAAAAGTGCATCGTCGGTCGGTTGGCTCCTTGCCGTCCTTCTTCTTACTCCTAAGGCCGGGGGTGGTGGGCTCCTCGTGGGACTGGCACCTGAAGCACCCGTCGAAGATATTTCAACATCTCTCGAACCAGTACTATGCCTGTGGTGGTCCTCTGAGGGTCTTCGTAATCGTTCTTTCTCCCTCTTGCTTGCCATTAGGGTTTCCCGTATGTCCTCCGCTTCCTCATCCTCGGCGGGGATCAATTCCAAAGGCTCTTGTCCCTTCGCATTCTTTTGTCTTGGGTCCAGTCCCGCCTTGAGCAGCAGCCTTACCACCTCTAGATGTCCGTTCTCAACCGCGTCGATGAGAGGCGTGTCTTTGTCGATGTTCTTGGAAGTGGTGTCGCAGCCAGCGTTCAAGAGAAGTTGGACGACCTCAACATCTCCCTCGAGGGCGGCAATCTGTAATGGTGTGTTTCCGGCGTTGTCGGGAACATCAATATCCTGCGGTCTTTCCTTCAACCATTTCTCTGCTTCACAAGCATCCTGGGCACAGGCCCTGGCAAGTAATGTCCGCCCACTCCGGTCCCGGTTCTTCTTACTTGATATTGGCATCTTAGCTAGTGACATGGCATGGCCGTCGGCGGAAGTGATCTTCTGCAGGTGATGACGACTGTGAACGGAGCTGCTATCATCAGAATCAGGGTGAGTATCTTCAGAGGCCTTTCTTCGACGCTCCACGTGTAAAGGCGCTGGGACTTTTCTTCGCTTGGTCACGCCGTTGGGTTGAGAGATTGTTGATTGTATAGATTGTGCCCTGTGGTTGTTACGTGCAGGTGGGGATTCAGATCGATGAGCGGGTCCGTCATAATGTGTTGCACTTCGAGTTTCGCGTCGCTTTCGTGAATTGGCCAGTCCAGCTTCTCGATCACTCTTCCCTGCTTGGTGACGACTGTGGCCGCTGTCACTTCCACTCCTTTGTTTCTTAGCCCGTTCTTCCAGCTGTGGAGCGACCTCTTCAAACGGAGGAGATGATCGCGATCGATCGGACGCACTTTCAGTTGCCTTAGAGGAATGGACTGCTTGAACTGGTGATGAAATGGTAGAGCTGAGGTTGCTCGAATTTCCGGTATCTGGAATATCACCACTCCCATTTGTTGGTATCGTTCTTTTCCGTTTCAACGATGGCTTACGGCCATTGTTTTCTCTACGTCCTTCACGCTGGTCTTCTCGTATTGTTGGGAGGTTGTCCGATGGCCCATTGGCTACAGGATCTGCTACGCTGGCCTCTTCCAGCTTGATAGCCTTCCTCGTCATTTGTTCCTCACCCTCCTCTTTTCCAGACAAAACCACCGTCTCTGCTTCGGAATCGCTCTTGTCCATTGCCGAATTTCCATTGCTGCGGTTGATAGGCGTTCCATTGATATGTGCAATAACAGGAGACGGTGCGTTATCTCGAGGGTCCAAAACCGCTGGAGCCGCTGCTACATTGTGGGATTGCTCAGCCTGGTCTGTTTGTGTCACAACCTCACCAGAGTCGACAGGCTTCGATATCGCCAATGGATCATCGTTCATATCGATCTCTCTCTGTATCTCGCCAGAATGAATCTCATGTTGGGCCGTTGTGCCTTCGAGTCCCTGTTGCCTTGTCCTATGCGCAGACAAGCAACCAACCGGTTTTCCCTTTCCAACGTGAGGCTATCGATGCGCTCAACCGACAGTAATCTTTTATTCAATCCTAGCTTCGAATGGGTTTGGCGACTATGTAAGTTGTTCCTTTCAAGGCTGCTTTGAGGTTGTGATGTTTGCAATTGATTGTTGAGATTCTCCGGTCGCAATTCTTTGGGGACTTGCCTCTGGCGGAATGGGGGCGGCAACTTTTGCCGAGTTTTTAGCATGAAACTGAGGGGCTGCTCCCCCTTTACTTTGCCAATACAAGCTGGATCGCAGCACTCTAAACACTCCTACAACAAAATCATTACTAATATCACGCCTCGATCTTCTTACGCGGGCAGTCACTTCCTGTTCGACTGGGATACCCGAAATGCACGACTCTCTCCAATATTGGACTCGGACAGCGCACACCGAACCAGAAGCCCAAGCTCTTGCAGTTTGGATTGGCCTCGAAATTCCCCCAAGGCACCATGCGTGGCTTTCAATCGGGCCTGGGAAGAGGAAGCTCTAAGAAAAATCCGAGATCTCAATAGGATGTGCGAGGAGCAGGGCATTTGAATAGCATTTGGAACATAAAGTGGAATGCATAGGATCTTCGGCATCGAATGCTCTCCTGGTATCAAGCACCAAGCGAGAATGACTCCCCGCTAGATCTGAATTCTTGCCAGTCGAATGGAGAATTGGAACAGCCGGACAAGAAGTTGCAGTCAAGTCGGTACACCCTGGTTGGACATTAGGTATTTGATGTATTCCAGAGCAATGAACAGTCCCGCCAGAACAACGGAACAGACGTGTGTCGAATGGTCACTCTGTTCCGCAACACCACTCCAAGGTCCAACAATATCCTGAGAATCTCAGCTTGCTCTACACTCAAGGCCCCATTACACTTTGTCCGCATGTTTTCCCGCACTTCAGCCTTTGACCCATCTCGGAATAAAGGTCATACTGGATCACATGCTTCGCTCTTCCTGTCTCCTCATCAAAGACCTGACACCCTTCTGTCGCAGCGTTCGGGGGAGCATACACTTAGCGTGTCAGCTCCGCACACAAGTGCAAAAAGCATAGCGTCTGGACTTACGATGCAGAGATACGGCATATTCCTCGGGGTCAGGATTCATGATTTTGTGAAGCCCGTGCTATATCCTGTATCAGCCGGCTTCATCAGAATGTTCCCAGCCGACACGACTGACATTGTCCGAGATATAGGCCACATCATCTCGACTCAACAGTGTTGATTTTTGAACCTGCAGAGGCGAATGCTGCCATTCTTCGGTCACCTTTCGCTCTGGCCACTTGTATTGTGTCTCTTTCAATGATCCTTGAAGGATTTTCATCACGCAATGTGATCCAGTATGATCATGTACCGGGCTTTCCTTGCCTGGAGTCCAGACTAAAATGAGCTGCAACATCATAGTCAGATCTGCTACGCCTGTCATCCCACGTGCCAACGTACGATGTTACACTTGCCGGCACCGCGTTCAACCATGTTCCTCGTGAAACACAGACCCCCATCCCCATGAGCGTATTTCGCCCAATCCAAACGTTCTGAGCGATATTCTTCCATCCGTTGGATTACGGCGTTCGGATCGCAGATTTCCGAGAAAGCTAAACTCTGTGCTGTATCCATGTACCCGCTGAGCTCCTGGACGAGGCTGTGGAATCCATCAAGCTTTTGACCTTGTGCGTTCGTTGAGGGCTTTTCGGCGCTCTTGATGATATCAGTCATGTTGAAGTCGTACAACCTGTCGATAATGCAGTTTCAGCAGCTCGGCAGATTGGAATAGCGCTGCAATGGTGCTATGAAAGGACCAGGAGTCACTCTGTTATTATATCACTGATCATTTGCGAGTAAAGTGCATTGGTGCGCCTATGTGCATAATATAGGTTCCAGCTAGCAGATGCGCTGTGCAGGATGGAAGGGGGAGATTAGCAGCAGAGTTTCCAAACGGCAAGAGCCGCGGGTATTCGTATTCACTAAGGATTTGCAATCTTTAAAATCTAATTCCTATAGTTTATTATTTCACAACAATATAATTAAAAACTAGAAAAAAAAATAAAAAGAATATAAATGTAATTATAAGAATATTTTTTAATAGTCGAGCTTAGATTAATAGAGTTATATAATAGTTTATTAAGATATAACTATTAAAGTTTATTACGCTATTATATAAATTAATTATTATTATCTAAATTTTAAAAACATTTAAAACTATAAAAATTGTATTTTATATTCTCGTAGAAGTTTTATTTTGGTTTTTTATCATAATGTTATAGAAGAATGAATTATAAAGATTAAGTTTTAGAGATTGTAAATCCTAGACTCCTAGTAGATTGCAAATCCTAGTGAATACGAGTACTCGTATATACCCGGAAGTGCCCAATAGAATATTAAATAAGATTTCTAGAGCTTTAAGAATCTCGTAAATCGCAGTTGTATTAATAACGTTGTATATTAGTGTAATAAAATCTATCTGAATTCTGTAAGCCCTACGCCGCGGTAAGCCCGGGGTGAGTTTTCGGGAGGGTATCCCCCAAAACTCACCCCCGGATTTGTCGGATTTAAGACCGTGCATTACCAGGTATCGGGCACTTCCGGGTATATACGAGTACTCTACCCGGTGCCAATCTCGGGGATAATGCCTTGATGCTGTCAATAATTAAGTAGGTACAGTAGGCACGCTTGACATGAAGAATTACCCATTCTTTACATTCCCTACAGTCAAACATCGATATGAATTTTCTTGCTCTATCTCCTAGCTACATAAACAATTTTCTTGAGATGGGAGCTTGGCTTGTCGCTTGGAGGAAACGATTTGCGGTTTATGCCAAGCCTGTCAGCAGGAAGTAGATTATGGTATACGATGACTGTATGAGGCAGCTGCACTATATAGCTGGCCCATGCGTATTCGCAAAAGATGATACAATTCGAGGATCACATCACTTACTCGTCTCCTCAATGCGTTGCCTCTTTCTCGCGTCCTGGCAAATGTATGTAATACTCACTAGTCGCTCATCTCGGCGATAGAGCTTCAATCACTAACAAAAATGAAAACCTCCATCCTCGAACCCATCCCAAATATGCAAAAAAGCTCAGGCAGCAAGCTTGGGGATCTTTTTAAGGACGAAAACCCCATTCATACCACGTCCCCCAGGGCACCACTTCCCAAGGATAATAAGTTGCGTGGATGCTCTCGAAGTCGTTCTTTCCATAGACGTTTCCTGTACCGAGATCAAGACCATCATTTCACAACCTCAACCACTCCCTTCGTCGTCCCGTTCCTCGTCCACCGGACCGTCCCATTCCTCCCTCCACCAGCGTGCACCGCATCAGCACCCATCTCCCCAACCCCGACCAACCCCGCCACGCCATCCCAAATCCGGAACTCGCTCGCTCTATACCTGCCCCTCAGGTAGAGCCCATTGTACAGCCCCGCCGCGGCGCCCTCCAGGAAGCTCCAGGTCAGATGCCGCCCTTGGGCCGAGCGGGCCGCGATGAAAGCGCCGTAGCCATGGTTGTACACGAACGGGTCCTGGGATGCCGGGAGTATGCAGTCGCCTGTGGAGGCGATGGTGGAAGTGATGTGGTCGTAAGCCGAGAGGATGGTGACGGACATGACGGCCGGCGGGAGGGGGGGACCGAGGATGAAGTGGATGGTGGTGCTGCGGTCTTGTCAGTCGTTTGCTACGTAGGTTCCTCACCTGGTTACCTGTGTGCTTACGTCGTGCCGGGGATCGGGTAGTCGACGATCTCTACGGCATCAGGTCGAAGGTCGCTGGAGGGTTGAGGATGCCTGTGGATTTGTAAGGGAAATGATTCAGCGGTCGTGTTTGCTGAAGCTGGGGCTGCCGAGCCTGTTGGAAGGTTTCGGAGCCAGAGGAGAGTTAGGAGCACGATGAAGACGTCCATAGCAGAGGTTGACGGTTTATGGAAGATTGAAAAGGTTTTAGTATTGGCGGCATTTTCGAATTCAGTGGTATCATAATTGGAACAAATTGATAAGAGACTTTGTCGGCAAAACAGGTGGACACGCGGCTGAAAATTGAAGCTTTAGAAATCAGGTTACAGCACATTCGAGACGTAGGGAATGGTGCAGATGAGAACTTGGCAAGAACTTTTGCGCTTGGTTAGTATTTAAAGAGAGATGGAGGACGCGGGACAGTGCCATGCATCAGGTGAAGTGCGACGGGAGAATTGTTCCCGAGGCGGTTGGTTTTCGCGCTCCACCAGAAGAAGCAGGGCTCTTCCTCTGGCGAGCCGTTCCAGATATGTCATAATAAGAAGGCCAGTCGCATTTGTGGGGGTGCATATGGTACAGCGAACATTGACATCCGCACTCCAAACGCACAATGAAGCATAGAAACTCGTCGGTTGAGCATGTGCTAATCAAAGCCTATTGACATCCGTAATCTAGCGAGCACAGCGAGTGATGAGCATCTGAGCCTTTTGCCTTGGAACATCGGCCATCAGCCATGAAGCCTGCAGCATTCATGATGAATGAAAGGAACGAGAAGTGGTGGCTGCATCACTCGAGGTATTTCCAGCGGTCGCGAGGGTGCTCCGGGCATGCATTGCGCATAGAGACAAGCCTCGCTCAACCTCCGTGGCAACTTTCTCGAGCCATACAATCTTTCATTGCCTTAGCTACCCTTTCCAGCGAAATGCCACGAAACTTCCGCAAGAACCAGCTCTCAGCAACGTCAACGCGAGCGCAACCATCTTCCAATTTCTCTACCATTGGCTTCCGCGAGGCGTGGGTCTTCAGCTGGACCTGTCCTTCATGACTGAATGTTTTCACCACAACAGATGCAGCAAGGTCACTCTTGAACACTACATCGGCAATACAGATATACGCAAGGTCAGCCTCTGGCATATTGGAATGCTGTAAAAATTCAACTGGCATCACTTGTATTTCTGACTGTTTGAACAACTCTAAATTTTCACCTGAAGCAGACTGTATGGTTGGACACTCTGCCATGGAGAAACTTAACAGATCTTTGAGGAGAGCGGCGCGACGCGTGTGCATGGACAAATAATCGAGATGCTTTTGCAGCTCATCATCTCAAAGCGCATGCCAGAGCACGGAGAGAAGCTGCACTAAGGTGATCTTCTTGGTTTTGGCCCACTGTTCGCAGATCAGTGCAAAAGGATCGCCACTCCCAATCTTGGTGGCTGCGGAGGTGATGACTGCATCCAGATTATCGACCGCGAGATTGGCATGGGTGTCTAATTGACAGTACTGTCCACGAAAAATGCTGTACAGAGGGTAAATCCTCTCAGTATTCCTTTCGCTTACAATTTCTTTGGCTATGTGAAGCCTGCTGGATGTTTTATTGGGGGCAACTTCGAGACGTCGATTCCAGATGCGAGACGGAACCACTTCAAGCAGTCTTCAGGTGTGGTGGGTAGGCCCTCAACGAAAAGTTTTGGTGGGTTGTGGACCGAGATCAAGTACTTCATGTCCCGCCACGCTACCGGTAGAAGGTTGGACTTCCTTGCTGCGTTGTATAGGTGGGCGGTTGACAATATGGTCTTGTAGGTCATTGCAAGGGCAACCCCCAACTATCGACTTTCCATTTCAATCCATAAGTCACTAAGCCGCAAAGGATGGGATGATGTTTGAGTAGGTAGAATGGTGGCACATCAATTCCTTCGTCTTGGGCTTCTTTTTTGATAGCTTTTTGACCGTCTTTGTAATGAAATGTTTTTGACCCAGTCGTTCACGAGGCTAACGAATGTCAAAGTCCCACCGTTGTGTTTCTGGTGCCAGCCCTCTCGTCGACTATGACACTTCCTTGATGATATCTGAGGCAGCAAAACTCTTCCGGGAGGAATTCTAAGTCGCGAGACATGTCTTTAGGAGCAGAGAACTCTTGAAACATGTTTGATGGCCCACAAAACAGCATGAATGGGGAAGAATGGCCTCGGAAAGTATAACGTACTCGATTCTCGGAGGTATTGCCGCATAGTATCCGTCCCCTGACTACTTGCGGCGGTGAGATCCTGAAGTCCGTAATGCATGTATGCTCACAGAAGCCACTTGATATCCAACATAAGCTGGATAGCAAACACAAGCCACAATGAGATGTGTTGATTGGTCTCAAAGTCTCTGAAGTAGCGTGTGATCTCGTGCGTCGTCGGAGGCTGGATTGTTATATCCTTGTTGAACACAGACGACTCCGAGCACACAAGGCTGATGAATCTTCGGTCCTCTTCGAGCTTGTCTTTCGCCAACATCTCCTGGCGCGCGCTCTGCTCCAGTCTAAGGTATCGTACCCGTACCAAATCATCTGACGGGCCTAGAGACTGTACAAATCCTCTTCAGGAAAACAGGAAACAGGCCAACTGATTCTCTCGGTTTGCTCGTAAGTCTTCATGTGAATATAGTTCCCTGGATTTCGCGATCCGTGATACCTTCCTCGCAGATAGGCGCCTGAAAGCAGTAGATGAAGTCCATTTCGTCAGGGGCATCAGGCCAATGCTTGATCGAATCTAGGTGCTCTTTTGTGCTACACTGAATCATGTAGAAAGCCATATTAGTCAATAACGAAGCAGAAGAAAAATTCGTGCGCACTGCTCGGTACTCTGACCATGTCTTGCGTATGACTTCAAAAATTGCTTCGAGATCTCAGAAAGATACAATGGAAGAAAACAGAACCTCATCGTAGAGAGATGCCATGTCGTAGACTGGCTTCGATGTACCCGTACTGCTGGTTTTTGGTGTGATGGATACCGACAATGATGGACTCGGGCTGTCGACCGCATCGTTGGGCTCTTCGAGGCTCAAGGCTTCGAAGATTTTGGCTGCTACCTTTCCCTTTGGATCTCTGTTCTCCTTTTCATCGCGCCTCTCTTTTGGCACTTCACGGTCTTGTCGGCGTAGGATGTCTTTGACTTGCTGAAGGACGTTGACAGAATGAAGGTGGCTTTCATTCTAGGCCCGTGATACCCCAGCTCCTTGATCCACCCAGCGGGAATACTCCTTGCGAAGTGAGATGACATTATCAAGAAGAGCAAGAATGCTAGAGGGCGCCTGGATCGTTTGCTTTGCAGACTTGACAACGATCTCTGCTAGTTAATAAAGTCTCGGATTGGTATAAGGTACATACTCTCTTCTGTCTAGGCCGAGGCGTTCACAGCGGCTTAACCCGCCTTCTTCTTGGCCATGTTAAGGAGACTTTGTCCACAATTCTGTACAGCTTCAATAAGCCATGTTGTGAACTTTGTGATGCCCGACTTATAACGCTTGTAAGGTAAGTATTGAATCAGAGGTCTGCATCCATGATGATCCTTAGCTCGCCCCAGCGAGTAGGCTCATTGGCTATCGTGGTTGGTCGCCGTTAGAAAGTCACAACTAAAGTGACCAGGAGAACAAGTCTGATGGATGAACTTCGGGGTTTTCAGCAAGGCTAGCTATTCGGCTCTTGGCAGCGGAGATAGTTTACCCCCCCACCCCACATTCTTCAACCTTCTTCAGACTTTTTCGAGAAGATTCATAGAGAAGTATTACGTGCAGCAGATACTCAAAATGGCGACCACTGTGGATAAGGTGCATGTCATTTTTGTGAGAAGGCGAGCCCCTTTGCTAACAGGCTCTTGCACAGATCAAGGACATCGAGGCCGAGATGGCCAAGACGCAAAAGAACAAGGCTACGAGCTACCATTTGGGTCAATTGAAGGCCAAGCTCGCCAAACTGAAGCGGGAGCTTCTTACACCACAGTCCAGCGGTGGTGGTGGAGGCTGTAAGGAACACCAAAGGTCTGAAGAGGAAGCCCGGTTCTAACTGCTGACAGCTGGATTCGACGTTGCCCGGACGGGCGTTGCTAGTGTTGGGTTTATAGGCTTTCCATCCGTTGGCAAGAGTACGCTCATGAGTAAATTGACGGGGCAATTTTCAGAAGGTCGGGCGTGCTGCGAGATGAAGGGAGTGCGGGCATGCTAACGCTTCTGCAGCGGCTGCATACGAGTTCACTACCCTGACCACTGTACCTGGCCAAGTCCAATACAACGGCGCTGCTATTCAAATGCTCGATCTCCCGGGTATCATCCAAGGAGCCAAGGACGGCAAAGGTCGAGGTCGTCAGGTCATTGCTGTTGCCAAGACGTGCCATCTTATTTTCATTGTCCTCGACGTCAACAAACCCCTCACTGACAAAAGAGTCATCGAGAACGAGCTAGAGGGTTTCGGTATCCGAATCAACAAGGATCCGCCAAACATTGTCTTCAAGAAGAAAGACAAGGGTGGCGTCAGCGTCACGAACACGGTCCCGTTGACCCATATCAGCCATGAGGTTGCTCTTCCTTCGCACGCTGGTAGAGCCAAGCTGACGTTGTCGGGTAGGAAATCAAGGCAGTGATGGGCGAGTACAAGATCTCATCCGCTGATATTGCCATTCGCTGCGATGCCGAGATCGATGACCTGATTGATATTTTGGAGGCGAAGAGCAGGAGCTATATCCCTGTGATATATGCCCTCAACAAGATCGACTCCATATCGATCGAGGAGCTCGACCTAATATACAGGATCCCCAACGCGTGTCCCATCAGCGCTGAGCACGGCTGGAATGTCGACGAGCTGTTGCAGCAAATGTGGGAGAAGCTTCAGCTCCGGCGTATCTATACGAAGCCGAAAGGCAAGTCTCCGGACTATAACACGCCTGTCGTATTGAGGAAGAACGCTTGTAGCGTCGAGGATTTTGTAGGTGATGCTGTCTTGTTCATCGGTCTGTGCTGATAACAAGTCAGTGCAATGCTATTCACAAGACTATCGTGGAGCAGTTCAAGCACGCGATCGTGTATGGACAGTCGGTGAAGCATCAGCCGCAGAGGGTGGGACTATCCCACGAGCTTGCCGATGAGGATATCAGTAAGTGTCCAAAAGAGCCATCCGTGTCTCATTCTCATAGTTGCAGTCACGATCATAAAACGATAATAGTACTGAATGAGACAATCGGACGGGGGATTTGCAGTCCAGGAGAATAGTGCCACAGTCCTCCTATTGCCCTCATTGCCGAGTCAACAAGATTCAGAACCATGAATCTAAGACGAGCGTGGCAAGGGCTGGGCTTACGCTCCGGAAAGTTGCCACCCTCGCCGAGTGGCTCTTACACCCAAGGATGATGCCAACAAAGAACAAGACTCCAGATCGAGAGTACCGAGAATGTGAGCAGTCATTCAGGAAAATGGAGCGCTTTGACCATCCAAGGTTACATGATCCCTGAAAAAGGAGATGGCATCAATCATAGTCTCACTGCAACACCCCCTAGGAAATGAAAACATCGAGATCTACTTGTCAGGTCAATATTGATGCTGACGCAAGACCAAAAAGCCGTTCCCACAGATTCGAGGTCTGCGTTTAGCGATGTTGAAGCCCAATGTTCGTCATCGTGATGCCAAGTAATGCTGTTTCAGAGCGAGGATTAAGATGGGCATTTCATCAGAAGGAGCCTCATTTTCTCTACGATCATTGCAATCTCCGCACGATCTCCGCATGATCATCATTTCCGATGTACAGGCAACCGCGAATGACCTCCATTTGAAGCGTTGCACGACATACAATTCGACACGAGGCAGGAAAGGGAGCACTGACGTTTTATGTAGTCAAGCGGAGCAGAAGACCATTTCGAGGCAGTGGATTTTGATAGCGGGATGGGCAATAATATCGACCACTCGGCAGATATGGACACCCTGTTCTGTTGCTGAGTGGCTTTTGAGCAACAATAGCGGTATTTGGTACTGTGAATGTGGCTTGCCTAGGTTGGACTCTGAGACCGCATGGTAATAATGCCTCTAACGGCTCGACCGCTAGGTGCGGATCAGCAAAAATCAGGTGCCGCATCACGGCCGTTCAACAGGCTTTGACGCCCAAGTCCCCCCGTTATTCGCCTGAAAAATAGTCACCTGGTCAGAAAAGACGGAGAATTCAATCCGAACCCATGGAGAGGATCAGATGACAGTCTTTTGGCGATGGCCTATGGAGTCTCTACCAATCTACCAACGCGCGAGTTTAAAATGCAAGTGCGAATTTTCTTTTTGCGAGGCACATCCCACGCCTTATCCCAGAAAATTGCGAGAATGATAACGAAAAGGATTTAGCAAATCGATTTTGAATTCGTTCGATTTTGACTAAGGAATATCGCATTAATCCCATTCGCCCAAGAGAAAAGAAGGCTGGCCAACGGACAGGGCTGGATAACCCAGTCGAAGGCAGGGCTTTGGTAGATCATTTTTTCCAGATCTTCACCTTAAACCGTAACGAGCCGTCAGACTGACGGCTTTTCCCCCTGTTGGACACTCTTGACCATTTTGACTTTATTGAGTCCCGCAATTTATTGAGGTTTATGGGAGTGGAAAGGAAGAAGTGAAGAAATGAAGCAAAGAAGAATAGAAAGAAAAGCCGGTGAGATAGCCATAGCAGCTGAAGGAGAGGGATATTGCGAGCTGGGGGTTGCTCCTTGCTGTTATACTTACTTGGGACACGGGGTATTTCTGGTACTAGCAAGGTATGTAGGATGCAATGAAAATGTCGGGGGGCAAGCAAAAAGACCAAATACACAAGTAGGTAACAATAATGATCCAGGTAAAAAAGGGTAAAAAAAAAAGGTAACGAGGGAAATAACATGAAGCGATTTTAGGAGGGCCGAAAAGTGATGGATTATTACCCGCCCAGTTGCATATAACCTACCGGTGGTACTAAACGTCAAACCGCTGCTAAACAAGTTAATCAAGTACTTAGGCACGTAGCCTCCCATCCCCCACAAACCTCAATATTTACTGCTGCATAAAGGGATACACCAACACGTCGATATTTGTGTCAATCTTTTGAAAGAATTCAGGATTCTTGATTTCTGACTTTTGGATTGCAATTTCACGGGATATTGCGGTTGGTAAGCCAAGATACAGACAGCCCGAACTGCCCCGCCATCCGCAATCTTTTAGGGGAGAAGGGGAGGGGGGGGGGGGTCTTTCGGTCAAGTATTCGCGCATGGGCATGAATACTTGAATTGGACTTTGTACTGCACTGAGAGAGACCTGGACTGACTTTGAAACACATCCAGGTACCAGCGTAGAACATTCATTCATATCCATGTCCATCTTCGCATTCACATCCACATTCATTCATTCATCATTCATTTAATCTTTGCCCTGGACCATCATCATCATCATCATCATCATCATTATCGTTCTCTTCCTGCTGGATTCCTTACTGTTCCTGACCTTGACCGCTCACACGGCCTTTTCCATACGGATGCCGGCAAAGGTTCGCGTTCGCCTTACTATCAAAGTACCCCTGGTGCTGCATTAAAGGATCCAAAGGAACACCTCGGCTGCATGCCCCGCCAAACCGGACGTACTCGCGACAGAACAACTCAACCTACGCTCCGACTGCCCGCCATATCAACATGCACGACTCTTACGCCGTCAATATCAAAATGGAACAGCATTATGGCCTTCACCACGACGATGATTTTGCCACCGCTGCAATGGTCCAAGTTGCCCCCGACTCCCCGCATCACTCTCCGCCAAATGATTACGGCGACTTCGACTTCTCAACTTCGGTACATGCTCAACTGGATTCAATGTACAACCGGCCCTTGCAATCTGCATTTCCCACTCCCCAGCCTTTGCATCCCCTAATCACCATGCCGCAATGGCCTAGTCAGATCACCAGTCCATCGGAAACCAGCAGCCCTCCACCGGTGGTACATCTACAGCCCAGGCCCATCCTGCCACTTTCCAAAACCGTTCCGACCATACCGAAGCTTGCCACTGTATCACCCAAAGAGAAACCAACGCAGTCCTCATCACGAAGAACACTCACAGATAGCGATCGTCGGAAGATGTGCGAGTATCATAATGAGAACCCCAATGTAAAGCAGACAGAAATAGGCGGTGAGTCCAAAATAGACGGAAGAAATGGATTTAGCTGATTATTCCTCCAGCCATGTTTGGTGTCGAGAGGAGGTTTGTCAATACATTGCTCTGTCATGAGCGAACCGTGATGCTAATTCATTCCCTTTCAAGTACCGTCTCCAAAGTCTTACGAAATAAAGACAAGTATCTCGTTCAAGAAGAAGGCAATCGATCTCCAATACGAAGATCCAAAAGCAAATTTCCAGATATTGAGCGAACGTTATCCCAATGGGTAAAGAACCGCATCAGTCAGCGACTACCGCTAGACGATAGCACCATCAGAGACCAAGCGCGGATATTCGCGACGACAGTAGGCAGCTCGGAGTGTCATAATCAAGTAAACGATCCTGCTTGGCTGGAACTATTCAAACAAAAGAACCATCTGCCAGGTGCAAAACCAGGCGAGATCAAAGACGAGAACGATGCGCTTTGCCCGGAGACCAAATCTGGCTCGCAGACACCCAATGGCATCTCACCTGTCGGATGGGATGGTCTGCCCATAAGTCCGCCAAAGGAGGAGTTCAACGCCCACAGTCCAGACAACTACATCGACTCGAACAACAACTACGGCCACGCGCATTCGCAAAGCGCAACATCTCTTGGCAGCTGCTTCTCAGAGATCTCCTCTTTCGCCGGCGACTTCCGCAGTCCCACCTCACCTTACTTCTCCCCAATGTCAAGCTGCGGCCCTTCGCCATCCATGCCCGCTCAAAAAATGGCCCGTCTCCCACCTTTAGCACCCGCAGGCGCGTTGCGACGTCGACAGACCGTCCCACTGATTTCGTCGGACTCCTCCCCGGACTCGACAACCTCCAAACCCCTCCCCCAGTCAATGGCATCCTCCACCCTCGACTCCCCCCACGACGAAATGGACATCTCCCCCCTGAGCGCCACGGACCCCTCCCTGCACCCCTCTCGCTCGTCCACCTCGAACCCGTCCCCCCTCTCCATGGCGCCCCCCTCCAGCATGACGCTCGGCTCCAGCAACCCCGGTTCCGCCGTCAGCGCCAGTCCCCTCACCTCCAACAACTCCCCCTCGTCTCCCCCTTCGCAAGACGAAGCGCGCGCCGCCCTGTCCACGCTCATGACGTTCATCAAGCACCAACCGAACGGCGCGGTCGACCCGCACGATTATCTCGTCATGGGCAAATGGATGCACATGCTCAAGCTGGAAACGGGAGAACTGCCGGGGGGCATGCAGGCGATCCATCAGCAACATCCGATGCAAGGCAGCGAGAGGGCGGACGGGACGGTGCCGATTGGGAGGAAGAGGAGCGAGCATTCGCTGTCGTGATGATCTCTGCGGGGGAAATGTGGGGGGGGGGAAGGTGTGTGTCGATGGTTTGTTCTATCATAATTGGGAGGAAGTGAGCATTCGCTCGTCTTGACCATACGTTTTTGGAAGGATGTATTGTCGCGTCTTCTATCATGTTCGGGAAGGACGGTCCTCGCATATCTCGCATCGGTATATTTCGCATCTGCAGCACTCTCGCTAAAAAATTCCTTTCGTCTCCCTTTTTTTCTTTTCTTTTTCGGGGAATCATGTCCGCAGCATCGCCATGGATGTCTCGGGCGAGGGGAGGATCAGGGACCGGAGGGGATCCCAATTCAGCAACACTGGTTGTTTCCCGAGGCAATGGGACGGAAGGAAGGAAGAAGGAAGGAAGGAAATCTTTTTCCCACAGGCAAGGGGACAGACGGGAAGGACATTATACACACACACGGCAGGCCGAAGTTCACTTATCATTATCATTCTTCCGGGACGGGGTGGGGGCGGCATCATCGATGGCAAGCAAGCAAGCAAGGACGAAAGAAACACAGAGAGGAGAAGAAAAAGACCTAGAAATACCCTAGCCTCACGGCTTTGACACGACCAAGTCGAGGAGCCCCGCGGCTGGATCTTGCGCTGTATGTGGAGGAGGCGGCATTGTTTTAAGTCGAACCATATCATATTCGTTTATTTCTTGGGTGGGGGGAGGGGAGGGGGGGGGAAATGGGGGAGGCATATTGTAATTACGCGAGGGCGGGCACCGTGTATGTAGCCGCGAGCTTGGCTGAGACAGAAGTGACTGTATGACTTGACCGAGAGATGCATCGGTGGTATTTGTCATGAATTTGGATTGTGGATTCCCATCGTGGTGATGTCTATATCTCGCTCCCGAGCCTCTCCTGCCGCAGCTCCTCTACCCGTCGCTCGCTAAGCTCTGGCAGGAGGCGGACCACGATCAATTCGAGAATTGCATACCCAAGGTGCTTGTTCAGATACCCGTCTCCCCAGACATCCAGCTCGCCTTCCACCTCGGCGACCCAGTCCTCCGTGTCCTCACCGCCGAAGAATCGCTTCCAGACGGCCGTCGGCAGCAGGGAGAGTAGGGAAAGGGCGCAGGTGCGTTTGATCTTGCTGATGTCGCCGGCGGAAGGAGCTGGAGGAGCGGGCGGCGGGAGACAAGAATTTGGAAAAAGGGTTGGGCGGAGAGTGCGAAGCAAAGTCGGCAAGAGTTGTGATGGTTGAAGGTGCGTGTGGAGGGAGTGGTGCATATACCTGTCAAAGCCAACGAGCGTCAGAAAGTACCGATCAGGAACATTGAAAGCTCGGTTAGACGGAGAGTCGTTAAGACCGAGATGAACGCAGTGGACGGATTAGTGATGATGCAAAGATGACTGAAACAGGCAGGCGCAAGACGTGGGAAATTGAGGTCTGAACTCGAGACGGGGAAAGGGTCGGGCAGCCTTGCAGAATGCGTGCTGCGCAGGATTACTTTCTGACCGCCTTCTCCTTGCCTTGCACTTGGCGCCGAAATGCAGATGGCTTGAAGATGATGAGCGGTCGGCGGGGGGGGGGAGTGATGCGAAATTAGGGCTTTTTTTGCTGACGGGCCCCTTCGGCCGATCATTGTTGATCATTCGGCAGTGGTTGTCTCGTTAAGCTGCCGGGCGATTGAATCAAGCTTGCCCTGATTGACACGCCAAGCAACAACAACAGCAACAACTTTTTGTTTTTTGGTTGCAAGGAAGAGTGCATCAATGGTGAAGATACTTTATCGAGACAATATATCTAACCAAACAAGAGAAACTCAAGGGGTGTGAAATGAGGAGAAAAAAGATATAATATTTTAATGTCAAAAGGATAAAATAAAATAAAAAAAGCACAAAAAATAAAAAAGAGGCTAATGGGAAAAGGGAAAAGGGAAAAGGTGTGGTAGCGAAAGCGGTAAGTGCGGGAAGAGTGGGGAAAGTCTAGGCTCTGCTTTCGCTCGCCTTGTGTCTTGGCACCTTGGTAGGGAAAAAAAAAGAGGAAAAAGGGAAAAAAGGGGAAAACGCACGAGGAGGGAAAGAGGACTGAAAGGGGGACTGAAGGAGGACTGGAGGAGGACTGGAGGAGGACTAGAATGCAGGCCTGATTTTAGCTTTGCATCGTCTGTCCTCAACTCCTGCAACACGATAACGGGGCGAGTGTGCTACCATTCCCCGCGCATCTTAGCTTCACCTCAAAGGGTAGGCCAAAGCAGTCCAATGACTCCATACATGCGCGTTATGTCCGGATGCAACCACAACGAAGTCAGATGACTGAAAACGCATGCGGACTCATATGCGCTTCGGCGAATTGCAGGGATCCACGAGCCAACGACAACGCAGAAGAGACTTGTACTGCACTTACTGGTCGAGGATGCCGTCGGTGGCGGCCAGTCCAAGGGGACCGTGGATCAGCTGGTATTGAAGCAATGCCAGAGATCCAGAGAGCCAGGGCTTCCGTGAACGGAGATCGAGTAGAACGGAGATGACGGAGAGCACTTGGAAACTCAGCATCGGCTGGGGCCGGTCCGATTTCTCTTCCATGCCCCATGATTCGCTCCACCCTGATGTCTTTGCTGTCGATTTCGTGCGCATTGGTCGCGAGGATGCGGTAATGAAGCCGATCATGACAAAACGTATTGTCATGAACGTCAAGAAGCCGTATTGTAAGATTCGCCAGAACGCAGACGAGAACGGGGATCGTCTGTCGTCCTTAGTAGCTTCCTCGCTCTGGCCTTTCTCCGCAAGGAGGCCAAATTTCTCAAGACGGCTCCTGGTATCAACCTTGATCTCTTCACCCGTAGCTTTTGGCTCTATCCTCGCTTTGACCACGTCGACAAGCGTGGTGATGCCGCCCCATAAGAACCAACCTTCGCAGACCTTGCCGCCGATGGAATTGCCCAGGATGCTGTCTGCAATGACATCGGCAACAAGGGTCCGTAGACACGCATTCTCCAGGTCTTCCGTAGGTAGTAGCACGGCTAGTGCGCCCTGCACCAAAAGCTGCCTGTATGCTGCTTCATGCTCCTGCTGCTCGGTCGCGGTCGATGGGACAGCCGGGTCAGGCACTGGCGAAAGTGCTGGGTGAGGAATCAAGCTGTGGTATATGACATGAGGGTCCGTATGTAGGGGTGGTAGATGTTGCGATCGATGACTGACTCGGTATGCTGTTGCCCTGTTAGCTGGAACTCCTGCGCATCAAGCCTGGAACTGCCGACCATGGATATGACCTTCAATCAATTCTGGTATCTCATCGAGTATCAAGCCCTCAAGGTCGACGGTCCTTAATCTGCTCTCCAACGCTCTTGTGCAATGAGCCACTATCCGTACCACCTCCTCCACGAAGCCTTGATCCGGGGTGATCTTCCCATACCAGCTGTAGACCAGATCCTTGACAACGACTGCAATAATGGCGTAGAGCTGCAGATCCACATCGTTGCTGCTCGTCAACGGAGGTAAGAGCTCGTCGATGGGACGAGGCTCCGCGTGACTCTGGGGGCAGAGCACGCGTCTTACCAAGGCGGCCGTCGCTTTGTCCGAGACATCAGAGGGCCCTGTTGACCGAGCCGGTGACGATTGTCGACTTCTCGAGGAGGGCCTTGAGCGTGGAGGCGGTGTTGAGGTGGATTTTGCCGCTATCGAAGTGCTACTGAATGTAGGGATGGCTTTGGGGCGCGGCTGAAGATTCGATGGGGGCCGGAGAGAAGGTTGAGTCATCATGGGGCATGAGGATGTGTACAAGGCATGCTGACTGCCTTGAGTAGTTTAGCCAGAGACCAGAGACTTTCCCATTGACCGACCTTGGGAGCGAGAAATCTTCTCTCAGCCGAATCGCAGCCTCGCAGCTTCCCTGGATTTAACCTTGGCACTCGCTTAGTCATCAATATCGAAAACATTTTGCCCAACCTTCCATCAATGCCAACTGCTCTTCGATACAAGATAGCATGATACGAATTGTGTATATTTAAATCAGTCTAGAAATCAAAGCATGTTGTGGTTCCTGGAGTGTCGTCTTCGCATGACAACAAAAACAAGGGCAACACTTCAATTGCACAGACCCATATTATTGGCGCTATGTCTCCAAGATTTTGTGATCAGGATTAGAGACTACCTTGGCTATGCTACGAAGTGAGAGATATAGCTATCTAGCTGTAAGCTTTGTCTAACAAAGATACGGTCCTGTATGCCCTCTCTCTTCTTTCATCACTACCAATACCTACCAACCCCATCGACCGCCACCGGGCCCTGCTGGAAAGGCTATGTGCGCCCATGCGTTACCCCAACGCCCACCATCGGCACTCCGGTTTCGTCTGCCTGCCACAAGCTGGAGTTGTAGCAACACTCCTGGCGCAGACAGAACGTGAGTGTATCTGCTTCTTAATCTCTCTCAATCTCCTTAACCCGGATCTTCGCCGTAGGATATTTGGAAGCGGTCACGATGCCGTTGACAGCAGCAAGACATCAGGTCGAAGTCGTGGTTTTCAGTGGAAACCCTAGCAGCTCCTTCTCCTCCTCCAAAAACAACACTGTCGGAAGCGGCGAGATCTTACTCAACAACAGCAACAGCGCCTTTCTCATGGACTTGCTTTGCTATTTCTTTGATAGCAGGAAAATGTGTGGGTGGCTTGTGGAAATTCGTGTTGACCTTGATTGTGCGGTGATTGAACTTGAGCTATCTGAAACTTGGACGACTTTTTGCTTGGGTTTGTCGGTTTTCCCAATTGGACCTCGAGGCAAGTACTACTATACGCTAGCGCGGGAAAATCTTGATGAATGGACCGTACTTCAAGTCCCAATACGGCTTGAAATTGCTCTCCTTTTGACTCTAGTTGATGGTAGCCATAAGAGAGCGGGCTTCGCGCTATTCACATCGTGCTCCTCTTAAAATCTGATTGCGCCAAAGGCTATGATTGATATCCTGGGGATGAGATACATGTCATCAGGTCCTCGAAGACTCTTGTGACATTCAGTATTGCAGGGTTTATTCAAGCTTACGATTCCAGGGACAAATCCTACCACCGGGCCAGAGAAAGCCAATCGAGCGGCAAGAACGAGAAAAAACCTCCCGGTGTCGCAGTAGCTATGGTCCTTGACAATGTCTCTTCGTCCCAAATGTACACGGCCCAGTGGTAGTTCAGGACCGGATGGCCTAGGGAATCGTAGTGATAGAGGGAAGACGCCTGCTTTGGACTGCTTGATGGGAAGCGACACCGTTGTTGACTTGCCACTGGAAAGCCTCCTTGCAGGGATCGTTGTTTCGTCACTGTCCTATACTTGAGATCCTGGGCTGGGCCCTGATACATGTCGAGCCAAGACTTCACATCGTCAAACCTCAACCAGTCTTGATATTCTTTTCTGAAGGCCGCCTCTCTGCTGTCAGGGCATGAAGTTATTGCGGTTGGAAGAATGCCGCCCTCGGGGATCTGGACAGGAGACCGAGAATGCACATGGTCCGGTACATGTACAGCTCCTTCCTTCCCCTCCCTCGGCAACAGCAATCTCCAGCCCAATATTCCCTGCAGTATAGTCAGGGCTAGCTCGCCTAGAGTGGCGCAAGCCAAAGCTGATTCTGTAGGCCAGCCACCACGATGAAAGTTTGCGTTGATACTCTCCCACGTGGCTGACAGCGATGGGATGCTGCATGCTGGACTCTCTACTCTTCGTACCGATATTACTGTCCCAGAGCCTCACAACTCCTTCTCTGCAACCGTTCAAGATAACATTTGTACACAGCCAATCCACGACTGCAGCTTCTCACAGGCCCACAGGCCTTTATTGGACTGGCCGCGACTCATAGATGCATTCGACTTGGCTTTCTCTCAGTAGCGAACAGTCATTGGATGCGGCGACAGCAAGGGTGCAAAATGGAGGATTCTCGGAAGAGGCTCGGTATGTCACTCGCGTGGGGTACACAAATTGAGAGGGGTTTTTTGGCAAACTCATTAAATGGCAATGAAGAGAGGGCAGATGCTCTGCCAAGTGTTGATGCCAGCAGCACGCGAGAAGGGAAGACACTCATTCAGGTCGCCATCGACTCCTGACATGGCCGTTTTCTGAACGGAGCGTACGATTGGTGACAATGGCATCACTTCCATGTCTTTTTCCATATCCACTCAAGACGATTATGATACTCCGAGTAACTTCGTCAGCAAAATCTGCTCCAAAACCATCCAATTTCCCTCCTTTATATTTTTGATATCCCAATTTCCGTATCACCACCTTTTGGTCTGAGAGATCATCCGCTATCCTTCCTTTGTCTTCTTTGATATCCTAGTTTCCGTATCACCCTCTCCTGGTCTCTTCTCCCCCGAAGCCCCTGCTTGCCTCAGGACCGCTGGGGACGCTGGGGAGACTTGCTGTAGTCTTGGCCCTTCTTTCTTCTAGTTCTCCGTGTTTGTAGATCACAGTTCGTCCGTCTGCAGCATCGGTAACCTTTCCACCATTGTTTCCGGAAAAGTGCTTATCTGCATCTTCCTCCTCCTCGTCAATTCCTTCTCCGTTCCCATCCTCAGACCCAGTGGTTCTGGGGACGATGCAAGAGATTGAGGTGCATCTCGGAGATCTTTGTGCGGTATCTATCGAGTCAAAGGTCCAAGGTCAACATCCACAGCTTGCTCAAGGGTGGTGAGATCGGCGCACGTCTTGAAAATGTCAAGCTTCATGCAATGATCGAAGAGCTTCTTCAAGTTCGAAGGCGCCTCAGCATAGCGTGTTTCAGTGGCTGACAGGACCCAAGACAGCAGCTTTCGAAGTTAGAAACCCCTAAGAGTGTGTCATTTTCCACATATTCTTGCCCAATTGACTGTGGCATCTCATTGGAATATTATCCCACATCTCTTCCAAAAGACCGGTGCTTTCACCGAGAACAGCAGCATCTTTCCGCAACGCCTCATTGATCTCTAGAACACCATGGCACTTCCGGGGGGCTATTCCTCCAATGACTTAGGCAGAAGACGGGTAGTATGATCTGTAGGAGATAGAAGACACGTTGGCCTTCTCCTCGGACGCTGCGGTAAATTGTGGCTCGGCCCACAAGTGTGGGATTCGACGGAGCAGTCGATCAGGGCACTGCGGAATATAACAGAGAACACAGTATCACGATGGCCTTTTCGCCGAGGCCTGCGATGCTTCGCCTTGCGTTTCATCATAAAGTGGCTCGAGCGAATCGTGTCGCAGTTATCAGGCGTGACTTCCTTGCAGGCATTTGCAGCTAGCTACATGTAGAATAGCGGCTTGGCCTGGTGGGAGTATATGTCTGCAGCAGCCTTCCTGCTTCATAGAATAATCAACACCTCCTACCCACCAGAACTCCTCTTCTTCAAATCTGTCGCCGTCGTCGATCGCTAAGGGCACTTCTCGTAGCACTAAAACAACACTCCCGTGGTCTTAACAGTTTTCAGTCGCAACTCCGCCTCCCATCCCGCTCCATCTCTTCCTCCATACTGTTAAAATGGAAACCACAGCCCCGATGCACGTTCGTGAAGGATAGTCCGCATCATCCCACCTCGATGAATGCAATATTCTGACTGTGTTACGTCTAAAAGAATCTGGCCTTTGTTACAGGTATTCCCACGGATCAAGATCAGTCTCATTACTTCCGGATCTAGTCACCAGACATCTCAGGAACCTCAGGAACCAAGGCATTTCCGCCGTTCATGTAGGATAAAACATTGATGTGTGTAATTATAGCAGACATCCGACTCTCGTATTTTGGTTGTCATAGAAGCGGATCTATGCAAAGGAGTCTACTATGCGTCAAACATTATGAATCCCTGCAGCTATGTTCCCTCACTGTCGTCACTGATTTGATGTTCAAAAACCATTGACGGGGAAATATAGTTAGGGTGGAGGGCGGCGTCATCTAATGCTTGCTGCTTAAACAGTGCTTTGAAGACAGATCGCAAGGCCACTTGTCAGCTTCGATCTTGGGTCACGGACAGTGAACGTAGGAAGTCGACGCTCTTGCGTACACTACTTGCTTACTCTGGACCGCAATGCAGAAATGGCGAAGTGATGGAACCATCCTTTGAGATCCTTCACCAGCCTCGGAAACGACCTCGAATGTTTCATGTTTCTATTTCTGCCTGGTGAGGATTCAAGGTGAAAATATAAGTATCTGTAGATTTCCTCTGGTCTTTCTCATAGAAAAGCATATACATAAAGGAAGATATCGAGTATTCACGAGAACCAAGACACCTTCAATCAAAGCTTTCAGAACCAAAGCAAGCAGAACCAGCACAGCCCAGAACCCAAACGCCCAAAACCGAAAGCCAAACCCCAACACCACAAAATGTCTTACACCATCGTATCAGGCGACAGCTTCTGGTCCATCGCTCAAGCCCACGGTACCACCGTCGCTGCCATCGAGGCCGCAAACCCTGGAGTAAACCCCAGCTCCCTTCAAGTCGGCCAAGTTATCAACCTCCCTGGCGGTGGAAGCTCGGCACCCAGCAACGGCGGCGGTTCCAGTGTCGGTGGTGGCTATGTTGCGTACAGCGGCCCCGCTTCCAACTTCCCTGACCCAAGCACCTGGGCCAGCTACGACACCCTCTGGTCCCAGAACTCCACCCTGATGGCCCTTAACGACAGCCCCAGCGAAGTCGGCTTCATCAAGGCTGCCATCGACCAAGTCGCCCCCGAGTCCGGTATCGATGCCCGCGCTATCCTTTGCGTCATTATGCAAGAATCCGGCGGCAACGTCCGTGTCGGTACCACCAACAACGGTGTCGGAAACCCTGGTATCATGCAGTCCCACGCTGGTGTCGCTTTCAACGCTAGCGACCCCCAAGGCAGCATTCTCCAGATGGTTCGCGACGGTACCGAAGGTACCGCGTCCGGAGATGGCTTGAAGCAGTTGTATGCGAGGTACAACAACTACTACGAGGCTTTCCGCGGCTACAACTCTGGGTCTGTGGACCAGAACGATCTCAACGACCCCGTTGGTGCTACGGCTACCTATGTTCAGTCCGTTGCCAACAGGCTCATGGGTCATCAGTGGTCTGGTATGTAAGGGTTTCCGAGTGTTCATCATTCTGTGCGATAGGACGAAATTGTGTGGGTAATTTGAGGGGTAGGGCGGGAGTATGTGGGTCGTTTGTATTGTATCAGGTTTGGATAGGAGCATAGTGTTGTTTAGCAATCTTGTAGATCAGTCTTGCATTATTACCTGTCATTTCAACATTGATCTTCTTGACCTCACGATTGAACTGTGAAGAGAAGGAGAGTGAATAAAGACGGAGAAAGAACTATAGAAATGTTTTTGGCGAAAGTGAAAAAAGGCCCACCCCTTTGCTGCGGCCGCAGCGTGGGCTGCGTTTGCCGCGGGTGGGACCATTGAAGGGTGAGGCCCTCACAACCCTAGGTATCGGCCCAAACTTCGAGCAACCAGGTTTTTGTTGGGGGTGGAGATGGGGGGCTCGCTCGCTGCGTGGGCAGCGCCTGCGGCGGGTGGGGGCGGTGGGGGGGTAAGGCGCCCAAAATCCTCGGGCTTTGGGCCAGAAAAATAGAAACACCAATGGCCTTCAGACAACCAGGGTTCTCTTGGGGAAGGGGAGGGGGGGTGAATTGGGGAAACGCTGGGAGGGACGGTGGGGAGACCACTGTGGTAGACCAGACCTAAGATACGAGGGTTCAGTACGTGCTACTGACTTTGCACGCACCGGAGCCACACATACCACGGGAGGATATCTACATATTTGCGGACCGGATCAATCAAGTCGCCGGACTATTTGGTCACGGATAGCTCAAATAAATCAAAGCCTGTCATTCAGAAGTGCAGCGAAGGCTTGATACGAAGTAGAGCTTAATTACAGCGATAAGGCTACCCTTTGTGAGGCACCAAGCATACAAACTTGATTTGACGACATGGTTCAGCGCTACAGGCCATCACCAGCCCTCATGCTTCAGCAACTGATATACCCTCACTACAAACGTTCCGATGCAGATGGTAAGCGAGACCTCTTAGCATTCCTGCACGAAATTCTACAACTTACAAGTCACGACGACAGACCCGAGGCTGAGCGAACCACAATTACATACAGACATTTCCAATCACATCTTCGTATGAATCTCAATGCGCCTCACGGGTTGGCAGCGTGTAAAATTCAGGGGTTCTGCCCGAACACCAAAAAGTCCCTTCTTACAACCTATCGCAACTCAACAACGAGGACACCCACGAAAAAATTTATAGTTTCGCAATTGTTCTACTCAAGCAGATATCGAGCTTCACAGCAGAATATTTTACTGTAAAGCTTATTATTAAAAAGTTGATGCGTGGCAAAGGTATAGCATTTTTGATGTTCTGCCAAGATATTTTACACGCAAGGCGCCAGTGGATGGTATACAGAAATTCATTAAGCAATTGAAGGCTAAGAAGCGTGCATGATTCGAGGCATCCCAGTACTTAGGGAGGAGAAGAGACCCTTATCCCAGCGATATCACACTAAATCGCCAGTCTTGTGAGCGGAGAGCTCCCCAGTCCAGCCCCCAGCAGCATCTATGCCCGCCTTGTAACTCCGCTACGTCTCAAAAGACTCCACAGCCCAAGGCGCTCCTAGATCCATAAGAGCGGACCACGTTCGCTAATTACGATACTCCCGTCCCCCATGGCTACTACGAGGGCGCTAGATGCCTCCCAAGGTGAAGGAAAGGGATGACTGTGATTATGATGACGACTACGATCACGATGACACCAAGTGACGAAGCATAGTGTTAGGTAAATGGCCTGCAAATTATGAAGAAGGAACTAGAGAATCAAGGCTATTATATACGGCAAATCTCCCGCATCTCCCGCATCTCCAATGGCCTGTGCAGCGACGACACTGCCTTTTTTCTCGTTTTGTGGGCACTATTACGAAAATCCGCTGGACATTGCATTAGACTTCTACTACTGTAGCCAGTACTTCTTCCTCTTGTACACAGATTACACCCACCATACACACGAATTGACTCTGTCTCGAAATCTCACATTACACATGGGCATTAGAAACCAGTGTCTAGCCCTCCACGCGAGCGACCGCCCTGGTCAGGGTGGATAGGGTAGTAGGCGGTTTAGCAGATGCGGACGAAGATTTGGCCCGCGTAGGAGTCTCCGCGCCTACCGCCACCGCCGCGTTCCGCCGAACTCTCCGCGCGGTAACGGAGCTCGAGGTGTGGACCGTCGAACTCGAGGAAGTACTTGACGAGAACACCAGAGGTTGGACTCTTCGTGATGTGATGGTGGTCGTCGACACAGAGACCGTGGGACTTGGGACTGTGCTCAGAGTCACCAGTACTGTTTGGACTTTCAGTGAAGTGACAGTGCTCGACACGGGCACCGTGGAAACGGTAGTCGTGCTTGACGATACCACTAGGGGTTGGACTCTCCGTGAGTATATGCTTGTACTGGAACTCGAACTGGGGACTGTGGAGCTTGAAGAGGGTGGTGCTGTTGTTGTTGCTGTTGTTGTTGGCTTTGTACTGGAACTCGAACTGGGGACTGTGGAGCTTGAAGAGGGTGGTGCTGTTGCTGTTGTTGTTGGCTTTGTACTGGAACTCGAACTGGGGACTGTGGAGCTTGAAGAGGGTGGTGCTGTTGCTGTTGTTGTCGGCTTTGTACTGGAACTTGACCCGAGGACTGTGGAGCTTGAAAGGGCGGCGCTGGAAGAGGGCGTAGAGGAGACCACGAGCGGTTGAACCTTTCTTGAGTATATACTCGTACTGGAAGTCGATCCCGGGACCGAAGACGCTGTTGAAGTAGGCGTGGGGGTTACCACCAGAAGTTGTACTCTTCGTGAGTATGTGCTCGTGCTCGAAATTGAAGATGAGCTCGAAGACTGCGCAGAGGTTGTTGCCGCATAAAGCTGAACTCTTCGTGAGTAGATACTCGAACTCGAACTCGAACTCGACTCGGTGTTCGTGGAGCTTGGAGTTGGGCTCGAAGAGGGTATAGATGGTTCCACGTAGGGTTGAACTTTTCGTGAGTACGTACTTGTACTGGAGCTTAAACCCGATTCCGTGGAACTTGAGGTTCCGCTTGGAAAGGAGGAGGAATTTCCAGAGACCGAGGATGAGCTAGAGGTCGGTATATCGTTGGACGAAGGCGCGCTGGAGGAAATAGTAGACGATGTGATGGATGCTGCAGCGCTTCGAGATGCGCTTGATGATGACATAGACGCCGGGATAGCTGAAGAACTAGTCGATAGAGGTGAAATTGTGCTGCTCGGAAACGTGCTGGACGGAGTCAAAAAGCTTGCAGTTGATGTCGAGCTTGCAGAAGCCAAGGACGTGCCAGATATCGGCATCGATGTTGCAGGAGTTGAAGATGTGCTGAGAATAGACGTAGAGCTCAAAGGAGTTGAAACTATGATGGATGAAGGCGTGGAGCCTGCAGCAGCGGAATACGTGCTTGACGTTGGTGTTGAAGTCGCAGGACTCGGACCAGCGCTGGAAGAGAAAGTGAAGGTAGCAGCAGCTGATGAGGTGCTGGCAGGCGTAGAACTTCCAGGTGTTGAGGACGAACTGGCAGACGCGGAGGTTTGCGGCACCGCGATCTCTACATTTATGTTGCGATATTGAGAGCTTGAAGACACCTTTGATGTCGACGACGTAGAGACTGAAAAGTTCGCAGACGTGCTGGTAGTCGCAGAATACCCAATTTGTGAAGACGAGCTCGATATGGGGATGAATGTGCTCGAATCACTATAATTTGGTGTCAAGCTGGGAGATGTACCAGACAAAATGGTATTTCCTAATGAGAGAGTGGATATAGGCGCACTGGAAACGGGAGAGACGGCAGAGGATGAGGACGTACTCAAATCACTTGGATAGGGTGTAGATGTTGTAGAACCAAGAGACGCGCTGAACGGAGCTGCGTTGCCTGCTGATAGGGTGGAATTAGATGTGGCGGCAGAAGACGTGTCCGAAGGAACAGTACTATCCGGGAACGTAGTAGAGCCAGAAGATGCGCTAGGAGAAAAGTCGTTATCCAGTAAGATAGTGGTCGTAAGTGTGAAGGTTGCAGAAGCCGAAGAAGTCTCGGGAGAAGAAATTGCAGAGGAACCACCAGATGTAGGGGCGTCGGCCGGAGGGTCCGTGGATACATCGGAGGATGAGATGGCGTTGGGGTCGCTGTATGCGAGGACAACGACCTCAGGAATCCGAGACGTGCTGAATGTTGACGTGTTATATGTTGAGCTAAGATATGTACTTGAGACTGAGCTGCTCGAGCTGAAACTTGACGTCAAGGTTGCAAAGTCTGTACTCGAAACCGATATGACGAGATTTGTGCTTGACGACAGGCTGAGCTCTGATTTTGATACCAGGCTGCTGAAATCTGTGCTCGAAGTCGAGCTAGAATTTACCTTGGATGACAGGCTGCTTAGGCCTGTGCTAAAAGTCAGACTAGAGTTTGCACTTAACGTTAGGCTGTTAGAGCCTGTATTCGAAGTTGAACTAGAGTCTGAACTTGATGTTGAACTGCTAGCAATTGTGTTTGACGTGGAGCTAGAAGAGGGGCTTGGTGCTGACGTGCCAGCGTCTGTGTTTGATGTGGAGCTAAAAGCATTGTTACTCGAAGTCGAGCCGAGGCTTGTGCTTAATGTTGAGCTGTTGGTGTCCGTAGTCGAAGTTGTGGTGCCGGGGTCAACACTCAGAGTGGAGCTGATAGAATCTGTACTCGCGGTCGAGCTAAAAGCAAAGGCAAGGGCAAGTCCAACCGCCATAGCAGCATCTGCACTTGATGTTGAGCTGCTAGAAATTGTGCTTGAGAGCGGACTAGAGCCTGCTAGATCCGAGGTCGAACTAGATCCAGTACTGGTAATTGAGGAGGACCCATTTGAAGAAAGGATACTCAGGGTCGACGACGTAATGGGAACGAATTTTGTGCTAGAAGAGGTGCTTCCTGGGTCTGTTGTAGAAGAAGTGCTCAATCCAAGGCCTGAGCTAGAAGCAATGCTCCCCAAGCCGGTACTCAATGACGTAATTCCCTGGTCAGCATCGGAGGTGCTTGAAGAACTGCTAGAAAGGGTTCCCGAGTCCATGCTAGAGGTGCTGTTCTTCAAGGTTGGGCCGGACATAGGAATAATGCTCGATGTCGAACCAATGCTAGAAAAAGCAGTGGTTTCGAGAGCGGTACTAGAAGAGATGCTCATGGGCATTGTAGTATAACTCGATCCGGAATCTGTATTGGAAGAAGACGAGATGCTCTGGCCGAGATCCGTGCTGGTAGAGGAAGAAACGCCCGAAACAGGGTTCATACTGCTAGAGGCCGATGTGGTCGAGCCAGGATCCGGAGTGGAGGAATTATTTGTGCTAGGAGCTATCGCTTTGCTCAAATTAGGGTCTGCACTCATCGATGACTTACTCATGCCAACACTCATACTAGGAGTGGAGGGAGAAAAGGTGCCGGAAACTGATGTTATGTTTACTCCGGGACCTGCATTCGCCAGGGTACTAGATAATAATAAAGTACTCGGTGTATCGCCCGTAGTAGAAGCGGTGCTTGAACTGAGACCTGTGCTCGAGCTTGATGAGCTTAACCCATTTTTTGTACTCGCGAAAGAGCCGGAAGAACTCGATATAAAATTCATGCTAGAAGCACTACTTGATGCTAGACTTGCGCTGGAACTCGATGGACCTGATCCAGTATTAGTACTTGCGATAGTACTCGAAGGTGATAGAGTAGTCGATATAGGATATGCGCCAGAAGTGCTGTTGAACGCGACAGTTGCGCTGGAAGCTGATGTGCTTGATCCAATGTTTAGGCTCGAGGGGGCTACCGACGAGCTAATACACCAAGGGTCATCACGTTTGCAGAGGCTCGCCGAAGCACTGCTGGACGTCGATCTAACGCTTGATCCTAGATCCGAAACTGAGGAGCTGGAATTCGAAGAACCCGTGCCAGAAGAAGCACTCGATGCAGGAACCGAACTAGAAGAAGTTATGGAAAGTGCCGTGGAGCTAGATCCTAGGTTCACATTGGAAGTAGAGCTACTAACGCTTGATCCTAGATCCGAAACTGAGGAGCTGGAATTCGAAGAACCCGTGCTAGAAGAAGCACTCGATGCAGGAACCGAACTAGAAGAAGTTATGGAAAGTGCCGTGGAGCTAGATCCTAGGTTCACATTGGAAGTAGAGCTACTGGAACTTGTAGCGGCGCTAGACCCGGGGTCCGTGCTCGAAATAGTGCTGGAGGAAGTGTTGGACGAATGGCTGCCATAGATGCTGAAACTGGAGCTAATAAGTGATGCAGCGCTAGATCCGGGACCCGTGCTCGAAGAACTACTGGGGGTAGCACTAGAAGGAGCGTTGGAACTAGTACTTGGAGAAGTAACCGAAGAGGTGCCCGAGGAAGTTTTCGATTCCGGATCCGCGTTGGAGGTGGTGCTGGGAGTAGTGCTTGGAGCAGCGCTGAAGAAAAGACCATTGACAGTCTGGGTAACAGCGGCAGAACTAGCGCTCAATCCAGGGTTCGTAGTAGACGATGAGCTTGGTTGAGAACTGGAAGAACTGCTCAAAAAGGTGGTAGATCCTGGGCTTGTACAAGATGATGAATTGGACAAAGCGGTCGGAAAACTGGACGACGAGGTGGAAGAAAAACTCGAGAAAGCTGTTATTCCAAGATCAATGTGGGAAGATGTACCTGATATTGATAACGAAGAGGTCATCAACGGAGAGCTGCCAACTGAAGAAAGGCTACTACTCGACACAAAAGACGAATAACCACTGCTAGTCACAGACCCCGATGTTGTAGGAGAAGTTGTTGAAGAAAAGCTAGCGCTGCTACTGCTACTGCTTGAAAGCTGACTGCTGGTTGACAAAATACCGCCGCTTGATGGAAGGCTGCTTGATGGAAGGCTGCTTGATGGAAGGCTGCTTGATGGAAGGCTGCTTGATGGAAGGCTGCTTGATGGAAGGCTGCTTGATGGAAGGCTGCTTGATGGAAGGCTGCTTGACGGAACGCTGCTTGACGGAACGCTGCTTGACGGAACGCTGCTTGACGGAACGCTGCTTGACGGAAGGCTGCTTGACGGAACGCTGCTTGATAAAAAGCTACTTGATAGTACGGTGGTGCTTGATAGTACGGTGGTGCTTGACGGAAGGCTGTTGGACGGAAGGCTGCTCGATAGTACGCTGCTCGATAGTACGCTACTTGATAGTACGCTGCTTGATAGTACGCTGCTTGATGAAAGGCTGTTGGACGGAAGGCTGCTCGATAGTACGCTGCTCGATAGTACGCTGCTTGACAGTACGCTACTTGATAGTACGCTGGTTGATGGTACGCTGGTTGATGGTACGCTGGTTGATGGTACGCTGGTTGATGGTACGCTGGTTGATGGTACGCTGGTTGATGGTACGCTGGTTGATGGTACGCTGGTTGATGGTACGCTGGTTGATGGTACGCTGGTTGATGGTACGCTGGTTGATGGTACGCTGGTTGATGGTACGCTGGTTGATGGTACGCTGGTTGATGGTACGCTGGTTGATGGTACGCTGGTTGATGGTACGCTGGTTGATGGTACGCTGGTTGATGGTACGCTGGTTGATGGTACGCTGGTTGATGGTACGCTGCTCGATAGTACGCTGCTTGACGGTACGCTGCTTGACGATAAAACGCTTATGCTGCTACTGCTTGATGACGAAGAGATTGCTGAGGAAGAGCTGCTGCTTATGGCGTTTGATAATATGCTGGAGGACTGACTATTCGTCGAAGATAAAGAAATTGTTGGGGATGGAGTACTGGAGCTTATTGAAGAGCTTATTGAAGAGCCTGATACATGACGGAGATTTTGCGATGAGATTGGCGATGAATTCGGCGGGTTGCTGGAAGACGTACTCGAGGAGAGAATTGATGCGGCAACTGAATATGAACTTGATGTACTTGGAGGTGTGCTCGAAGAAGTGCTAAAGGAAGTCCCCAAATAGGTACTTACTACCGTGCTTGAGGACGTAGTTAGAGAGGTGCTTGAGGAGATAACGGTGAATACACTAGATGAAACGCTAGACGGTGATGACGACAAGCTTGAGGAACCTGACGATAGAGTCGATAGTGATGATGAAGGCGTTGAAGTCGAAGACGAAGGCGTCGCTATGGTGGAACTTGACGTGCCAGAACTTGACGTGCCAGAACTTGTCGGCGTGCTAGAAGAACTTGCAAGTCCACTTGATGATGAGCTGAGTGATAGTGTAGACGAAGGCGTCGCTATGGTGGAACTTGACGTGCCAGAACTTGTCGGCGTGCTAGAACTTACCGACGTAGCATAATTTGCCGCCAACTTGATAGGAATTGCCGACGTGCTAGAAGAACTTGCAAGTCCACTTGATGATGAGCTGATAATAGATGATTTTGTTGAAGACGACGAGCCGCTAGATAACGTGCTTGAAAGAGTGCTGGTGGTGGAAGATGCGGTTGTTGATAAGGGACTAATGGACGAGGTGGTTGAAGAGCCGCTAGATAACGTGCTTGAAAGAGTGCTGGTGGTGGAAGATGCGGTTGTTGATAAGGGACTAATGGACGAGGTGGTTGAAGAAGAGCTGCTAGCCGTTGTAGTGACAGAGCAAACAGTAGAAGAACCCGTTGTCGAACAGGAGGTGTTGGTAAAAGAACCTTGCCGGACACCCAAGACACGATCATTATAATTGTTGCTGGAAATCTTCGCGGTTGAGTTCTTCAAGTTGCAAAGATCATTTTCAGTAGCCCAGGCCCATGCTGTACACGTAGTTCCATCGGTGAAAGTATAACCATCACAAAGAGATGCGCAGGCCGTTGCACTTGCCTCGCTGATTTGTATGTGGTAAGCACTGCCATCATCTTCAACACTGGCATCACCACAATAGATCAAGTAACTGTCATAGGTTGTACCGGCCGCTGCTGGACATACAAGACCGCTGGAGGAGGCCGTGCCGGATGATGATGTGCTCGAAGTAGTAATACTTGAAACGGTTGTGCTCGATGCTGTTGTTGCCGAAAGTACAGGCAGGGCCACGGCGGCGAGGGCAAGAAGAAAGCTGAGCTTCATATCGAGTCGCACCCAATATCAAAACCGAGGGTCTTCAGTAATCTCTTACGGTACAGTCGTAGCCTGAGAAGATGACCCACGCTTGAAGAGCGCGTTACTCTTAAGAAAGGCGGACGGCTATCACGGAAGTGGCCAAAACACCCCAACATCATCATAAATGATAGAGAACGGTGCGGTTAGAACGCCGACACTGAGATACCATGGATAGATTCGAAGCTTTCCTGTCAAGGATCTGTGTCACTGAGAAGAGAAACATCAATGTCTACCAGAGACGAACGCCACTCGAAAAGGAAGAAGCCACATCAAACTTTATAACCGCCTCAAATGGCCGAAGTCTAGAAGCTGAGAACTCACCAAAAGTCTATTGTGAAGCTCACTCAATATGATGGACACTAGGAAGGAAACAGTGGACAGGCTCGAGACGATGTTTAGACACACATGTTTGACACCGACGTTCAACCCCTCGTCTTTGTCAGCGGAGACGAGAGACGCAGATACAAGCAGTGTTTTACAGGCGCATTAGTTTCGTCTCCTAACTCCATGTCCCTTACGCAGGTCATGCAGAGATTCTCACCGAGGCTTTCCGAAGAAGTGAGAACAACACTTACAGTTGTTTTTAGAATACCCCTGTCTATCCACAGCAATTTCGTCGTCTAAATCAACAAGTACGACAGAGCAACGATAAGCGCCACAATCTGGGCGTCACTGAGATGGTGACCACTAGAACGATCTCGTTGGGGGGACGCTTCGGGGCGCGAAGGTCCGACACCGCGGAAACCTTTGAAACTTTCCTTGATACCATTTTCCCTGTGCGGACATCCTGTGAGACCCGTCGGGAATCGCAAGAACCCTTGGAAGTAGAAGGCAAAAGCTCGTAATTAGGAAGATGTGGCGTGTATCAAGGGACCAGAACCGGTCGAATGACTCAGCTGACGACTTCTTAGTTTCTCAGCGTGAAGAATCTTCTGGTCAAATTAACATACTTTCACTATTGGTAGAAAGGTGTGAACGCGAACCATGGTAAAAAGATTGCGATGCGTTGGGTATTGTGATGGAAGTGGCAGGAGATATCCAATCTAGCTGTGTTGAGATTAGTCCATAATTTTTTTCTCTAAATTGTCCTACACGTACTCGTACGGAGGTATAACGGTGCGCAAAAAGACTTTATGGACAAGACCTCTCCGGAGGTTATTGTAGCCATTGCGTCTAAACATTAGAAATAAACACTTAGTTTGAGTTAAGCTCGATAGGAAGAAAGTAAGATGTATACAACTCCCATGCCCCTCTACCTTAGAGAGCCGGACTTTAGCTTCTGGTAGGCCGATGTCCTAGGAAAGAGTATGCATCTCTGTATGAATCCATTGGAGATGAGAAATTATTAGCTCTTGAAGCGCTCAGGTTCTCTCTGAAGTACCCCCCCCTCCACGCCTCTGCCGGCCTTTCCGACGTGCACTAATGGTGTGAGACATATACGAAGGTACCGTTCAAGTTTGCTTCCTCCATATCCTTGCATCTCTAATTTAAGTCTCAGTTTGTATATTCAATGATCCTCCGTCTTCTTGAAGAGATGGTGGTAGGTTCAAGCTTGGTCAACCGTCTTTATCGAAGTGAAACCTGCCGACATGAGACCGCTTCCCTGGCATAGCGGCATTGCTCACTCCTGGCACCTAAATCTGGTACAGATTACCGCCACCATTAACCCTGAAGCCCAACTGTACTAGCTTGCTCAGGAGTCCCATGAACGTTACCGTCTCGGCATAGTCATACGCGTCATTCACGATACTTGCATACGCAAAGCTTCCGGTGCCCACTTGCCGCAGTGGGTTTGGATAATCTTGTGTTTCGCCACCCTCTCTTGTGTGTGTGAACTCATACAATTCAGTGATATAATATATTCACAATTGAAATGGTTTGGAGTGCGTGCATACTTTCCGAGGCCCATAAGCTCTTAAGTCTTCTAAAATTGTCTTGGAGTTCAAGTCAATGCCCCCAAGAAGCCATGCTGACCTCGAAGTCTGCGTAGCTGGACGGTTAGATCATATACAATCTGCATAAAGCCCAAAAATATTCTTACGAGATATGATGGCAAACTCGTCACCGAGGCTTTTCCAGAGACATATACAGAATACACGTCATCTTCAACCCCAAGAACGAGCAGTGAAGCCATTGTCACTACCACTACATCAGCAATCGCTACGAGCTCAGTGCCCGCCGCGACCCTGTCACAGGCGATGATCATCTACCGTCGCGACGTCTGTGTTTCAGATCACGGTGCGTCCGAACGCTCAAGCACGGCCTTCGAATACGACATCATGCCCGGCCAGTCCGTAGAGACATGCGAGGGCAAAGCCAGTTACCAAGCCCCAAGATACCAGCACCGGTACCCACAGTAGAATCGTGGCGTCAAGAGCAACTATCCGATCAACATCGGCCCCTTCAACCCCCACTGTCTTCAAGGCTGCTCGTACAATGGCAATTACCAAGTAGTCGGGAAGCTGAACTGCCCTCTTTTGGGGGCGTCATGCAGTGTCCCCAGAGCAACTGCAGGGATATGCGATCTAGGTACTGACACTCCGGTAGTGTACGCGGAATGGTGATCCGGTGCCTTAGATGTCTATCCACCAGTTGCATGTATCTTCCCATGAATAAGCCATCACTTATGGACCCCAGCGGCACCGTCGCCACACCAATGTAGCACTATTCAAGACCGTACAAAAATGATTTCTTCAGACTTGTAATTGTAAGAGGTAGAAAGGGTTTGAGGAAAGAGTGTAAGGCTTTCTTAATGGCTGTGCTGCTTCGACCCAAGGTCTATCTTCCTCGTCACTCACCTCTCCCAATAAAGAATAATTGCCCGGCAACCTCACATGATTTGCTTCGATTAAGATGTCTCGAGCAAAACATGGGTGTTGAAGAGACAGAAAAAATTGGTGCAAATATGCGCAGAATGATGTATGCCAAGGCTCACTTTTCATTGTGACTCTTGTGCTCTATATGCAATACTTGGAATCACAATCGGATCTTAGTTTTCCAATTTATTCCATTATCTCGGAATGTCGAGGACAAAAGCCCTCCCCTCTTCCGAGAAATTCCATTCCTTTAACAACGCACACGCTCTGAATCTACACAGACACACACAGTCAATTCCACGTATCTCCTACCAAATTTCCAAAATATTACAACCACCTCTACAGGTATGTTCCACAAACACCTCGACCAAGCCTCCAAGAGGTACAAGGAGCATCCCAACGTTGCCGCGATGTACACCAGCCTCCCCAAAGACAAAGAACACAGACCGCAGCGGTAAGTCCTGTTACTAACCACCATTGAACTCCTTCTCCTGACAGACACAAGAGCCCCACCCCAAGACTACCCTCCCAAAATCCGGGATTTCGCCTACGATAAACATGAATCGGAAACAAATACCCGCGACTTCATCGCCAAATTCGCCGACTTCGGCTTTCGAAGCCATCACAGGCGAGTCAACAACGGAGATCTGCTCTCGAAAGCCGGCGTTCTCGGCCACAAAAAAAAAGAGGCAACTCCAGGATGCTTCTGTCGATCTCAAGGCACAGTTTCCCGGCTTTTTCGACATGGACTACCATCCACCGCAACGCCAGGAGCGTCCAGTATCGGAGACGACCACCACAACGACCACGAATTCGGTATCCTCGGACCTCTCCGGTACTACTGACACACCTTCTCTCGCCACTAGCTTTACCATGGAGTCTCTCGAGGAGGGAAGCAACGGCAGAAGACCCCGAGGCATTCGTGACAACCCGCTTATTCTTGCTGTCGCTGTTTGTATGTTGGAGTATATGAATTGATGGGGTTCAGACATGGCAGTGCCGCGGCTCTGAAGCTGATTGGCAACAATCGTCCATTTTAGAGTATTTTGATGGCGTGCAATGCTCATGTACTTGGAGAGACAATAATGAAATGATTTTTCCCCCATCAACGCGCATACATGAACCACCTGACTCGAATAAACCTAACAATGAGGCATGAGTGCAGAACATTGCCAAGAGTTGACTTATTGGTTGCAGAAATTTAATTGCAATATTATGTTGTGTGCTTTAATAATCCAATTTAGAGAAGATTTTCACACAGAACCACTCGCCTCCACGTCCACACAATCATCCCCAGACACTCTCACGCACAAACCGCAACTCCAAATTCTCACCATCCAACGAACCATCATGCCTTTTTCGGATCCCTCCAGCAGCTATTCCCAATACGAAAGCTCCTCATCCGGGGATCCAACGCCTGTCCAGTCCATGCTCGACTCTGAGATCTCCAATACCACAAACGATTCAATAATGGAGGCGCTGACTCCGGAACTGTGCAAAAGCGATGAAGATATACAGATCCCGGAGGACAAGTTTGCACACAGGATACAACCCTTTTCCGAACCATGTCTGATCCTCTGTCACTGGATGCTATACACGTGGGGCGCCGTGGTAACTCTTGGATGTCTGTATGCATTGGGGCTTGGAGAGGGTCAGATGCAGGGGCGTGAGAATGTGTGGGTCGATATCGCTGTTGGTTTGGCTCGTTGTCTTCGATTCGGTTTTCTTCCAGTGGGACTAGGTCCAGGCCATGATATCTTGGATAATTGATGAACTTTGACAATTCCTTCTATTTCTTCTCTTTGCGCACCAAGCCTGCCTTTTCTTTCCCTGAAAACTCCAAAACCGTCTAGCAGCGATGACTCTATTCCAGCAGCTTCACACGCACGCTGGGAAGCTGTTCATTTTCTTCTGCGTCATAGCTTTCCTATCTTTCTCCCATCTTCATGGCCTACCCTCAACAACTCTGGGGCCAATGGCAGGCGGGGATGTCGGCTCTCTCATTCTCGGTTCTCCAGGCTCGACGAGCGGCCGAAAATACCCAATTGAGTTTCTGGGTGAGGATGCCAGGCGAAAGTATACCCACATGGTCGAGAGTCAATCCAAGTCATTGGAAGCGGCCATTGCGGGCTATAGAATGAGATATAACAGAGAGCCCTCATCCGGGTCTGATGATTGGTATCATGTCGCCGTCAGACTGAACGCTACTATCAGCGACGAATTTGATACTGTCATGGCCGTGTTTGAGCCCTACAGGGGTACCTCTGCACGCGAATTGGGTGCGAGAGTACGAGAAGCATTAGATCTAAGGCTTGTGAAGAGAAAATGTTTGGTGTTCGTGTCAAAGACCATCAATTTTTAGCTGTCAACGAGTAAACTGGGTCGAATCGTATGCCACAGTCGAGGCATAGGTCCTGAGATCATGTAGACTGATTTTTAGTATGAAGTTCAATTATGACATGCTGAAGACAGAATGCAACCGTTCCTACTGTTCCTTCCAGAATGAAGTACGCTTTGGACGCCTTCGACCAACCGAGAGTATTTGTGGTTTCTACTCTCGAATAATTTTTCGGGGAAAATATTATCCCACAAAAGGAAAAAATGTTAAAAAAATTGAAAAAAAAATTTAAAAAAAAAAAAAAAAAAAAAAAAAAAAAAAAAAAAAAAAAAAAATTTTCCTTTTTTTTTTAAAAAAAAAAATATTGACGCCTTCGACCAACCGAGAGTATTTGTGGTTTCTACTCTCGAATAATTTTTCGAAGTCTCGATGGGCTCTTCCCTTTCAGATACGCAATACCGACGGCAAAGCGATCTAGTATGCCCCCTCGGCTCTCCAGTACGTATTTTCGGAACCCAGATTTTTTCCTTTGGGAGCAAACCTTGAGTCTTGAGACATCCCGGGAGTCTATGCTCTCGATACATGTCCCAAGGCTCGATATACCTCCTCGAATGGGCAACACTGACTGCGAAATTGTAATCTAGGCTCGCTTGCGCCTCTCCTCCAGTGCATTACAGCTCCAGTTCATTACAGGAGAACGCGACCGACGAAGAAGATCGGCTTTCATTCCCACAAGATGTCACCCGCACCAGGAATGTCTGTGTGCTACCGACAAAGGAAGCTAATCCTTGGTAGACATGTATCTCCCGTGGACGGTGGCGGTACGATCTTTAGAATAAATTGCGCTGATAAGCGTGACCTGAGCCGAGTCGGGTTGAAGAAAGGGGCAGCGTTTGCCTAACTGGAAGGGATGATGGCGGTTAAAAGCACAGCTATCGACGAGAGTATAGATAGAATTGTATAGAAATAGGAGAGATGGAAAAATAGCCACTTTCTTAACATGTCGAAGACCTTTACGAGTGGCGAGTACGGGTAAATGGAACGATATGTCAAATACTGAGTCAGACATCGAGAGATCCAGATCTGGTACGTGATGTCGTCTGATTTTCCTCGTATTGAATCATAAATGGACCTCGAGTGATATCGGGGATATTCCGTCCATGTATTCGAAGTACAGTTCAATAGAAAACCATGCCACACTCTTCCACGACTTGGAACAATTGACTGTGAAATTCAACGCAGAGCTCTGGCAAACACCAAGGCGTCAAAGAAAAGGCAGACTGCTCTTTGATCCCCCGGGCCCTGCTATGCCTCATTGCAGTTTTGCACGAGAGTTTCTAGGGGGAAGTAGCACTCGGCACTAAGCTGACGCGTGCGACGTAAATAAGCAGCAACGACAAACGAATTAAGCTTAAAGAAGGTCCTTCTGATTGGACAGTAGAGCAAAATTCGCAGCTGGTGGCAATCATTACACGACAATTACACTATTTGTAGCCTCTGGGTACCTACGCAGCCGAGAGATATTCAATATTGTTTGAAAGAGCACATCGCGCGAAGATTGTGCGTCGTTTCGATTATTCCACAGTCCCAACGGCAATAGCATTGCTCAAGACTTCCCTGGATCATCAACCTGCTCCTCATGAACAGTGGACGGCACCATGTTTTTTCTCGTGTTCTCCAGTCATCCTCATCTCAGAATGCAATTGTAAGGGTATGAAGAATAACGGAAGTGGCACGAAGAAATTGCTTTGGCCCAATGCGATGTTCCAAACAAGTCCACCGCTCAGTCACGATTGTCGATTTTCAATAACGCATTTATATTTCTTGGTGGAAGGTAGAGCGTACGTTATCCACCTCAGAGTATTCTCCTTGCTTTCTAAGTGTCTGTCTCCCCTCGTTTCGCGGTTTTCACTTCTTTAGAATGCAATGCTCTTTTGTCCCGCTGTTGGGCTCCTTTGTTTAGTATTCCATACTGCAAACGGTTTCCTCGTTAGCATTTACCTCGCCGCCAGCCAGAGCACATCGACTCAAGCGAATGCTACTGCGGTTTCCTCTCTCGCCGCTGGCGTATCCTCCTTGCTTGCAAATTAAACGAAAGTGAACGTTTAAGAGTCGTCCTTGTTGATATTTCATGGCAACTCCTCAATGGTTGCAAACTCCACAAACATGAAATCTGATGCATATGCAGTATAGGAACGCACCACTTACGATATCTGGACTGTCATTCCACAGGACGTCAATGGTAATAACGAAACCTTCAGCCAACTCTTAAGCATTGGCCTTGATGAGTCCGAGATCTTTGTCGTGGGCGTTGATTCCGGGCTGTCCGATGTCGATTTTCTTGAAGTAAAAATGACGGAGGGAATGCGTGTCAACTTCAATCCAGACGTAGATGCTTCGTCGTTGCGTTTCGTTCTCTCCACTTCTCACGGTTCTCCTTGAAGATTTATGTCGACTTGGTGGGTACAGCTTATTTGACAGGCTGCCTACTGTTGCCGCCTTACCAAGCCGTTTGCGGCTATGTCAGCCCGGGGAGTCAGAATCAAAAACGTGACGCCACTTGCGCGTATGGAGTTTCGTCCAGCGGCAGGCTCTCCTCTCCTTCTCTATCGCCAGCATCGGCTTCACGAGCACCAAGGCTCATAACCCCATGTTCGCTTTTATGGCGACATTCAAGAAAGGGTTGGCGGCGGAGGATCTCTGTCAGACGCACTCGGCCTTGCATATCACTGACGACTGCCAGCCGCTGAAAATGAAGAGCATCGAGCCTGGCGGCGGATCGGGTTCGGGCGGCAGGCCGGTGTGGCAGGGGGGACCGCCGTGCGAGCCAATCGCGATGACTTATTGTACTATGCCTGGTTATGTGCAGCTTGAGGTTGCGCAGGATGATAATGTCCCGGATTGGTTGGTGAATTTCTGACTCTCTCCTGATCCCCACCTTTTGTCCTACTTCCTACTTCCTGTCTCCTGCCTCCCGCCTTCCCTCTCCCTTCAACAGCCACCCATGAATACAATATCTCCCCAAACATAACACAGTGAGAAAGGGGAAAGAAAGGAAAACAGAGAGAACAAGGGAGAGAACAAGAACATGAGGAACGAAAGAAAAACAAGGAGATGAAGAAGGCAGATTGGCTAACACTCATCACCATCTATCCACAGACGCTCGGAATCTCCTACGAAGTTCTCGGCACGGGATTGGCCGAGTTCCTATGCGATACGCTGGACGACCTTGTCGAAGACTTTCTGGCCAAGGAGGCGCCGGAGCTGGCGGCCGAGTATCCGCAGGTGATTACGTTCACCAACAGTACATGCAAGGATGTGTTGAACAAGTTTCTTGAGTGAATTTGGAATCTGAGGTTTTGTAATGGTGGAGGAAGAGTGAGGAGAGAGGGGTAGGATGCATGAGAGGTGAGAAGGCTGGAAGAAGAGTGGAGAAATGGCGTAAGGCGTTGACTCGAGAAGGGGTAGACGGAAGGGGGTAGAAGGCGAGTATTGTAGAGGCACAAACAGAATCCACTTCTGAGAAGAGTGTGGTATAGAAGAGGGAATCAAAGGCATTTGATGTGCTGTTGGACATATGAATAAGTTGAAGAACCGTAGGAGAATGTTCAAGCGTGTTGATGAGATAAACATGATTGTATCCTCTTGGTGATGTACTGCACTACTCACATCCCAATACCCGCCGGCGATAGAGAGATGCTGTGCTGAACTGAAAGCCCTTATATACTCGCAGCAGGTGTTGAGTGGAATCAAAATTTTCTCGTTTATGCCGGCTCTCCTTTCCGAACCAAAGCCTTTTCAACCATTATCCGGAGTGACGGACAATAAGCTTACGGTAATTTAGAGCTAGATCTGAGTCGTAGCGGCCTGGAATGTCAACATATTCATTCAATCCTGGCGTTGATGAAATTCAATGTCTCGACTTGACACCGAAGCCTAAACACCGAATACTCTTCCCCTCACAACACGCTCAAGAAGTCAACACATACGCTCTCGACTGTGGCATCGACACACAAGAAAATTCACTTGAAGCGTACTCAAGAGTGCTTACACCCTTCCCCCCTTTCGAGTACCAACCTTAGTATCAAATCAGTCGGCCATGTTCCACCAACAACCGCCTTCGACGGCTCGCACAACCAACCGAAAGAAAAGTCACCAACATCACGAATCCAAGATATGGGTACGCCTTCCAGCGAACGAGCAATGCCTCAAGTGCTATCCAGTCCGAAGGCCGTTCCTTGAGACGGCTTTCGGCAAATTACCGCCAGAAATTCGTGCCAACATCTTCAAAGACGTGCTTACAGTCGGGTCTCTATCACCGCTGAAGGACCGCATATCGGTTCCAATGATCAAGCCCCAACACAGCCCACAACCCCAGCTCCCAGGATGCCCAGCGGGGCCAGCATCATGTCTTGCCCTCCTACAGACATGCAGGCAAATATACCACGAAACTTCGCTCCTATTCTACACTCTCAACACGATCCATCTCGCCAAACCTCAAGACATGCTCTCATTCCTGTGCCATCTCAGAACAGAGCGTTGCGGAAAACTTAGATGTTTGCACCTCGGAGACATGCTTGTGCCGGTGCTACGATGGTCTCAAACTTGCCTGGATGATCTTCGATCTCAGCACGGTTTGCCCGAACACACTCCCGCCCAGCGCGCCTCCTTAGGCAGGATTCAGATGCACCCGGACGCCGAGAAAGCAGTGCAGCTGCTCAACAAGCACGGCAACCTCCGGAAGCTGTATCTGGATATGAGACCTTCTCAAGCTCTGGAATACATCAAGCTGTGTACGCAGGTACCCGGTTTCAAGAACAGAGAAATTGTATTTGCGTCTCCAACCCGTTGGTCCGTGATGGTTTCGTCTACTTGGGAGGTGTCGTGGTTTGATACGTTTCTTGAAAATAGTGTGAAAGATCCACTCCGGAACAAGACTTACTATGCGTACTGGGTAGGGAATGAGAAGTACCGTGTCGAGGTGGACATACTTCCGGAGTTGCCAGAAAGGAGAACCAACGATGATGCTAGCTTGGGTTATGATCGCTCTATGGATGGTGAGGTTGGAGACGGCAGCGGTGTGAGTACAGCAATAGAGAGTCTCAGTCTCTCCTGAGCTTCATTTGCTCAGCCAATGTCCTTGACGGAATGCGCAGACAATAGAGGTTAGCCAAAACTCTACATCTTAATAAAAATAAGTCCCGCTTACGGTAATCCTGATGCTCGAAGTCGTCAAGACTATCTGTTGTGATACCCACATTGTAGAGGATGTTCACTATTCCATGTATTGTAGGGAATGGACCAATGAGGCTTGGCCCCGCCGCCGAGTCGTGGCTTTTTAGTAGACTACCTTAAAGAACGTACACGCCTCCATTATTCACAATCTTTGAACAGCGATTGGTTCTTCCTGGGCCCATGGGAAGAAAGCGCATGTGTCGCTCTGTTCAAGCCTCATCCTGAGGCAAGAGAAGGCAGGAACGGCCAGGCGCAGCACCTGTGACAGCAACCCCTACAACGTCACGCTGGCCTGAAGACACCAATGCCTTCACGCGTTGTCCAGCACCACACGCGTGAAAAATCCCCGCCATCTGATAGTGAGAGGTCGTTCGTATCAGCAGCATCAGAAAACACGTCGAGTTGCTCTAACAAAGACTCTCCCATTGGCCAATCGGCCGCAGTAGCGCTACCTTCACCACCACGTCACTCAGCAATCGCGCCCGCCAACTTCACATCACTTACTTCGCCTGAGGCTACAACCAACATCTCCGACTCTTTAGCTGGGTTACAAGCACATTCGCCATCCTCCTCGACAGCGCCTCCCCCATTTGCCCCACCGCTTGGATCTTACTTCGCCCAGCAGCCTGGTGCTTCGGGCACCGAAGCTCGATCCCCACAAAATAGAAGGCCACCTGCTTCACGATCTAGCCATGGCATAGAGACGTCCTCAGGTCCTCCGCCAGCTTTGATCACTCGGCGATCCTACAACGCCGAATTTCCGTGGCGGAGTCCTCCAAGCGACTCACGAGCCATACACCCACCTATGGTACACAGCGCGAGCATTGATTCGATTGTCAGACAAACACACCATACTGCAAATGAACGTATCGAACCTAATACCTTGGAGAATGCGCGCTCAGCACGACCAGGGAAGTCCTCGATAGTGGAGGGTGGAACAATAGCAATGGACGGACGCTATGAAGTCCAGTCCGGAAGTGAAGAAGATCGAGATTCAACACTGCGTATCAATGGTCATGAGGCAAAAAGCGGAAGGCATACTAGGAAGGAAAGCGGTCAACAGCAATATCAATCTTCACAAGAAGACCTCTTTTTGAACCTGGCACGAGCAGACTCGGTAGTTGACGATGGGCCAGAGCCGTCCAACAGGAGCGAAAGAAGACGTTCTCGAATTCGAGTTTCAAGTTTGCAACAGCCGCGCGAATCTCGACCATCATCTTCACACAGGCCGAGTACCAGCGTTGGGGGCCTTGGCCAACAGGTCTCACGGATGCAACATGACCACTACGAGTCCTCCTTCAACTCCTCATTCCACCGTTCACCCCAGAAGGACTCGCCCTCCTCTTTCAGAGATTCCTCAGCCAAAAGCCGATCTTATGCGGTATCTGCACACCCCCTCGACCAACCGCACCGCACCAGTAATACCAGGACATCATTCGGAGGTTTAACACGAGACGGCCTGGCGCAAGACCGATCGCCGGAGCTGCCACTAGGATATGGAAGACGACAATCTATACGTGAACCATCCTCTGGACTGGTGGGCCAGGACTACAAAAAATCTAATTTGTCCTATACACCCAATGACGATGGCGATTACGAGTCTTCATACTTTTCAAGGCTTCAAGACCTGAGCGGAGAAGCAGATGAAGACCCTCAAACGCCCCATGCAGAAGGCACCGAGTCTACAGTGTCCACAACAGCACCCTCAACTGTCTGGGATGAGCTGGAAGACATGAAGTCCAGAATACGCAAGCTTGAGATCACTGGGAAATTACCTGCCTCATCAAATGCAGCGATATCCAACGCTTTTCGCGAACGTCCGCCGACTGCAACAACAACCATGACTACCAATTCCTTGTCACCAAAACGTCGCCACGGGAAAAATGTCTCCCCAGAAGCCTCTACGGTCAAAGTACCCGAAGTTGCGAACGTACATCCACTCCTGCATGCCGCTTTGGCAAAGACTGAACACGCAATCAATGCGAACCTCTACCAAGCTCTGGAGGCTACAGCATCAGACGCGCTAGCATTGGCGGCCATGGCAGGAAGTGCAAGCACACAAGGTGTCTCTCCTAGCGGAGCATCGATTGCTGGCATCTCCAGTGGAATCGACCGGCAATTGCGCAGAAAGGCAGACAACATGTGTCGAAGTCTTACCGAACTATGCATTGCATTGGCAGAAGAGACCCCAGAGGCTGAAATTGCCGTCAGCAAAATTCGATCGGGAAGTAAGGACGCCAACACGGCAGCACAACGTAATGAACCCGCTGTGCAGGACCTGAGGTCTTTTCGTGCCACCAGCGATGAACCAGAATTCAGATCAAGCTCCAGGGTCATGAGCCGACTGGAAGCTCGACGTACGAGCCTTGCGCTTGGCTCCAGTCCCCTTGGTCGCATGGAGTCTCCACAGGAAGCTCCTACGCCCACTCAAGCAGTGCCGCCTGCATCAACCAGATTGGATAGGATGTCTTCGGTGATCCACAGCGGTCTCGCTACTGATGATCAAGGGGATACTCTAAGCAGCAGGAGGCCGCTGTCTCGAGCCACGACGGAAATCAGGCAGATAAGACATTCGCCGCAGACAAGAACATCTCGGGAATACACATCCCAGCATCCAATGCCCAGCCACGCGCAACGATCTCCTTCCGTCCAATCATCTCTACCTACACGGAAAAGCTACTTTCCTCCGAGCTCACAGTCTCCACTCACGCCTCACGTGCAGCCGGGAAACAGAACATACCTTGATCGTTCAACACCGCCGTCCTCGGCAGATAGCAGCCGTTTGGCAGAAGCGAGGCAACGGAGGATCGCCTCGCTTGGCCAGCATACGTCTGCAAGTCAATCGAGGATAGGCATTGCCTCCGGAAGGTTGCGGCAGCCGAAGGTAGAGCAGTAATGTTAAGGGTACGACTCTCGGTTTGGACGGGTAGCCTCCTCTTCTTGCTCGTAGCAATTGGAGTAGGGGGTTCAGAGGAAACGGAATGCGAGCGCGGTGTCCAGGTGTCGGGAATACGAATCATTATGGTATTGGCGTCTAGAGAGGAAGCTAAGGCTGGCGGGGCCAAATGCAAGAACGGGGTTGCCTGGAAGGCAGGAAAGCGATATATCGGTATCAGGTCGTGAAGCCTTGGCGGATTTGCTTTTGATCTCACCGAACAGATTATTGAGATATCTGATACAATATAGAGCTACAATAACACCTTCTAGTCGCAGCCTTTGATTTTCGATGATCAATGATCATGCAGTCCTACTCAATGCTCATGCGCTTATCCCGGTATCTGCAAGCTTGGTTATCTGAACCCAGGACATGTAGCCCCTGCAGTAGTTTCGATGTTTCGCAAGTGCCTGCATAAAAGTCCGGCATCATAGACTACTCATGCGCCAGCAAATGTGTTGTGACTTGTGAAGAATCGGAAAGGAGTCCTGTCACAGGACTCGTTGGGTTACCGAAAATATGGCTAGGGCTACATCAGATTTTGACTCGTACTCTACTCTTCACCGCCTACAGTCACATTCTCATTTTCCATTACCAGAATGTTACCAGAACTTCATATGCAACACCCACACCCAATCTTCACCCTCTCTTCTTTCATTCCAAGAACCTGTCAAAAAACAACACAAGGCTGCAAGGTGTCGCTCTTTCCCCACCTTGACACCACCACGCAAATATTTAACATACCAGCCTTTTCTCTTTACAATTCCTTCTCTCCATTCAGTTCCTCTTCTTCCCCATACCCAAAGAGGCTCCTTCAATCCAGAACCTCATCGTCTGCTGGTCGTTTCCATTCAACCAAAGCGGGCACTTTCCGCGACATGTCCAACAGCCGAAAAGGCAAAGGCGCCTCACGGGAGGTTGATATTTCGAAGAGTCTTAGTTATCTGCTTAGGCATGGGGCGAAGTCCGAGGGCATTCAGCTGGATGAGGCGGGGTGGGCTAATGTAGCTGATGTGGTGCGTGTTTGATGGTCTTCTTTTTTTTTTCGTGCAAATTATATGGTTTCTGTTGAAAGGTCCTTCTCGTATCTCATCTATGTATCTGCATCTTTTTCGCTCGAACCACTGAATCATGTTGTCCGTTACGATTGTTCCCTTTTGTCTATTACGAAAGAAACGAAAGGCTGTCAATAGCATCTTGGGATTTCTCCTCATGTGTGCTATCTGTCTCCCCTCATACTCGAGAACCTCTACCATCTTCACAGATGCCTCAGAAATACTAGTACTCGTTCCTACAATTTTCCGAAGCCCTATCTATCTCCATGCATCCCAACTGACCAACCCGTCCAGCTCCTCTGGCGCCGCATTGCCTCCTTAAAAGTCGACCTCGCCGAACTGCAATCCGTCGTCGCCACCAATGACAAAAAGCGCTACCAAATCGAACCCGACCCCGCCGGTCCCCTCCGCGCACCCTCCGCCACAACCAGCACCACTTCCATCTCCGACTTGTCAAACTGGCGGATCCGCGCCACCCAAGGTCATTCCATAGCGACCGTCTCCAGTGAGCATATTTTCAAGCCCATCCTGCTGACCGATCCGGACTGTCCGGAATTCGTCGTGCACGGAACGGATAATCGGCCCTGGAAGGATATTGAACGCAGCGGCGGGTTAAAGCCGATGGGAAGGAAGCATATCCACTTCGCAACCAAGTTGCCCGATAAGATGCCGCCGCTCAATCGGGATTTTCAGTCCCGGAGTAAACCGAATAAGGAGCCGGTGGATAGGGTTGTTTCTGGTATTAGGAATACGAGTACGATTGTGATTTGGGCCGATGTGAAGAAGTCTTTGGAGGGCGGGGTGAAGTGGTGGAGAAGTGAGAATGGCGTTGTATTGACTGAAGGTGTGGGGGAGCCGAAGATGTTGGGGTTTGAATGGGTCAAGTGGGTGGAGGTGAGAGGGGAGGGGAAGATTTTGTACGGGGAAAAGGTGGAGAGTGAGGAGGTGGGGGAGGTGGAGGAGAGAATGGATAGGTTGGGTGTTGGGTTGGGGGATGGGGGAGAGGCGTCTCGAGACAAGGTGGATGGGGCGAAGGCGCCTCAAGGAGAATTGAATGGGGAGGTGCTCCGAGAAAAGGAAGCCAATGGGAATGAGAAGCTTGAGCCGGCTGCCCCGTTGAAGGATAAATGGGATGATTGAGATCAGTGGTATTGTGATATTGGTTTACATTCCTGGCTTTTTGTACCTTTACCCCCATTCTATGAATGGATACAGCTACGGACCATGTTTCTTCAGGACATCTTTCTTTTCGGTTGAATAGTATACCTAAGGATGAATCTGCTAAAAACGGCGAAGTCAGCGAATACGTAAATCAAGATCGCCTTATTGTACCATGTAATCCTGGCTGTCGCAAGTCTGGAAGAAGTCAGGAAAGAGGTCCCCCTTTCAGGGCTTGTGATCAAGGCATTGGCACACTGGCATGGCTACGGTTCTCTTGATCTGCGTGATTAGAGCAACATCATTCGGATGGTAGATAAGATCATCCTTTGGCCTTCACGGAGGTTGGAGAATAGGGGTCATTCTTTCCGCTTCGGCAGTCTCCGGCTCTCGAATGACGATTCGAATGATATGGCTACTGGGTTCGTTCCAGGCTTTCAGTACGATCATTCTTCAAAGAATCCACCGTCACTCTCCTCGTCCTGCTCCTGCAGCGGTGCGCTCTTGGACGATTTAGATTCGGCGCGACCTTTCTTGCCTTCGCGTTCCGGCCTGGGTTTCTCCAGGGCAAGTTTGGTATTGCCTACGGGTACACCGGTCGCCAATTTCCCGTCTCGTAACGCCTCTAGTGTTCCGTCTGCCGTACATCGTTCGACCACCTTCCAGATAGCTGGTTTCTCTGTCACCAATTTTTTCGCTGCTGTTTCCACACCACCGGCATCCTCTCGGCGTGGAAACAGGCTCTGATATTTCTCGGTCAGAGGGTAGTAGATTGTATAATTGACATCGATCTCCGCATCATGCACCTCCCTTTCGAGCTGCTTGTGTTCGGCCGCATCGGGCGAGGAGGCATCAAGACGTTTCGTGAGCCTTTTGTGGGCCCTGGTGGCTTTCTGGCGCTCTTGAAACATCGGCGTGATCAGCAAACTACTTCGCCAAGCGGACGCGGCTTGCTCAGAGCTAGGAGTGACCCACCAAAGAACCGCACCATGTGGTATTTCTTGATGAGCTCGTTCTTCCGCTTGTCTTCGTGAATCTTCTCTACATCTTGCTTGTAACCAGCCAACGCCCGCTCCTTCTCTATTCGAACGCCAGCGGGCAGGTGGTCGGAATGCTCGAGTGCACGGGTCAGGTTTCGTATCTTCGACTTGAGCTGGTTGACAGAGGCGGATTTGATGGCGGGGATTGCGAAGTCGTTGGATTTTCGACGCTTGGAAGGGTGATTGGGGGTGCGTGGAGACGCTGACTCTGATGGCATAGAGCCATCGTGATGAGGGCGCTTGATTCCCATGTCCGTACTTGTTATGATAGTCTGAGTCCAGGTGAATGGAAATTTGCTGCAGGAGATCGGAGTTTTTGGTGGGGCTTGCCGTAACATACTTGACGCTAAAACAAAAATACGAGCACTTTTTTTTGACGGTCAACAAGCCCTAACACATCATGCGGCTGCGTCGTCCGATTGATGCTACCAATGATAACACGAGTCTACAGAACTAATGTTTCTAGATAATGGCCTAACCAATGCATCATGTTAGCCTCACGGCTTTGCCAGACCGACCACCTTCTAGGATCCGGCGAATAGTGTCTAGGTACAGATGCAGAGTTGACAAGCAGCGTATGCCGAGATGGAGACTGCGATAAGATGGTCTGAAAGCTCGACCTTGTCAGAGCAGCGTTTCCTCATTGCAGATGTTAACGGTCGCTCTTTCAAACGTTGTAAAATCGATAATTATGATCGCACAAAACTTCAGCATCAGGTACTCTCTACGTATAGCAAGGTCCCTCCCTTTCGTGCTTTTGATTGGGCGCCACACGATGAGAGACTTGCGGCTGTGGGACAATGGTCTGGAGAAGTCACAATCTTGCGGATTGATGATGCGGTGGCCAACATTCCTCTACCTGCAAAGCATCAACGTCTTTGCAATGCTGTCGCTTTTGGTAGGACGGGGCTTCTGGCTGCTGGCTTAGAAAGGGTGAGGAACGATTTCAGTCTCAACATATGGGACGTCAATCAACGTCTCCCAGCAGTCATGTCTCCAGGAAGCAGGAATTCAAAAGGATTTGTCGAACCTTATCGTAAATTTGCGAGCTCGGAAGCAATTTCAAGCATCAAATTTTACTCTTCACAGCCTGAGGTCTTAGTTGCTGGGATCAAAGGAAGAGGCATTCGAATCTATGACTTACGGGAGAATACCGGGAGCCCTTCGCTGCTTTTTCAGACTTCATGTGTCTTCAATATTGCTATTGATCCTCTGGATGAAAATTACTTCGCTTGTGCTGGGGTCCCGAAAGACACGACCATTCAGATATGGGACCTTCGTCATGGCTCGCCGTATACTGCAGCATCTCTAGGATCAGGTTCAGATCTCAGTACACCAGCGGAAGGCCCAGTGCTTGAATACAAGGAGGTGTTCAGTACCGCGAACGCATCAACTAAAGTGCCAGTCGATCCCACAGGTGTAATGTTATCAAGTATTTGGAGTCTGCGATATTGCAAAGGTAAGACCGGCTGCCTCGGCGCTCTTGCAAGCAATGGAGAGTTCAAAGTCTTCGAAACCAAACACGAATATTCTTTGTCGATGAACCACTATGAGTCACGACCGCACCCAGACTATGACGTACCAAATAAGAATGACCGATCCATCCTGACCAAGCGCATTCACCATGTCGAGCTTGCATGGGATAATAAGCGAAAAGGCTGTCCGGAGAAGGAGAGAATTGTCGCCTTTGACTTCACCAATTTGGCTGGCTTCAAGGGTACGCCTTGTGCAGTTGTCCTTCGTGGCGATCATAGTGTTGGTATTGTTGAGCTCAACGGCGCTGCCTCAGCTCTCGCGGTCTCGCCGTTTGGCAACGTTGTTGTCAGTAAAGACAACTCCTCAAGTTCCACTAGCGAATCGACTCCTGAGGCTCGTTTCTTGAAAAATACAATACGCAGACTAGAGCCTCTAAATGAGGATACAATGTCCAATTCCTTGTTTTCAACCCGAGGCAAACACGGCAGTTCCAAGGCTGGAGAAGCGACGGATACTGCAGACACGAACGGTCGAGCCGCCGTTGCTAGGAAACCTCAGTCAAGCCGCGAGTCCCATGAGCAGCTTCTTGAAACTCATACAGCCGACACAAAGCTCAGGATAGAGGAAGCCTTGGCTCTCTTCACTATTGCTCGTCGCCGCGGCGTCGAGGGCTACCTGTTCGATTGCAAAAAGAACATCGAAATCTTGCGGGATGACCGCTGGCTTCAGAGACTCTGGGTTTGGATTGACCGTAGGTGAGCTATTCGTAGAACCGAGTTGTCGCTGATTTGAAGTAGGAGCGAAGAGCAGTGCTAAAGACAACGGCATGAGCACAGAGGCGCTGGACCTCAGCTTCTTTGGTGTTGCCAGCATCTGGAACAACGATCTGGGTAAGCTAATTGACGGCTAATGATAGTGGCCTTTCTAACTTTCGATCAAGATTCCCAAAGAGGTCCTAATAAGCTTAGCAAGCCAACATACCCCAAAGACGTCGCTGATGCTGTCGAAACACTGTGCGATAAGCTCGATCTGCCCGAATTCCGCATGGTACAGTCCGCCGCTCCTAACCACCGCCGGTTGTGTCTGTATACTTGCGGCCTGGGGCTTCCATACCAAAAGCTCGAAGCTACAGTTAAAGACTTCGTGCGTCAAGGACAAAATACCAAAGCAGCTGCTGTCGCAATCATCCACGACCAAGCCAAGCTAGCTTTTCAAGCATTGAGAAGTGGTAACGCTTCTCCGGCGCAAAGAGAACTCTCTCTTGCACTGGCTGGATACAATAAAGGAGTAATCGATGACACATGGGAAGAGACTGTCCGTGACATCAAGAGTGATCTTGATGATCCTTACGCCCGTGCCATCCTTGCACTGGTCAGCTATGGCGACTGGCATGACGTCCTAGCAGAAACTTCACTTCCACTCCGGGACAGAGTTGGAATTGCTTTAATGTACTTGGATGACGATGAGCTTACACACTACATCACTGATAACGCAGCAGAGTGCATCCAAGAAGGCGACATCGAGGGCGTCGTCCTAACAGGTCTTACGGAGCAAGCAGTTCCCCTCTTTGAAAATTACATCCGCAAATTCTCCGACCTTCAAACCGCAATCCTAGCCATGTCCTTTACCTGCCCGAGCTACTTTACAGATCCTCGCGTCGACCTCTGGCGGCAGACTTATCGCTCCCAACTCAACAGTTGGGGCATGTTCATTCAGCGCGTCCATCTTGATGTTCAATCTACCAGGCTCTCCATATCGCTAGGTGGCAAACCAGAGATACGGCCACCATCACGCCAGGTCAGCATTCGTTGCAACAACTGCGACCAAGCACTGCACCGCAAGTCCAGTCGTGTCCTCCCACCAGGCTCCTTTGACAGCTTCGGTACCCACCAAGGCTCCATCTTCGGCGACTCCAAATCTGGCACCGTCTGCCCGAAATGTGGGCGTCATATGCCTAGCTGCGTAATATGTATGCAATGGCTCGGCATGCCAGACCCGCACTCCCGCGGCGCTGTCGAAGAGATCAAGAAGAATGCAGAATCAAAGAAAGATGGGATTGCAGAGAGAGATCCATTGGAAAAGTTTTTGACGGTTTGCAGACGGTGCTGGCATATGTCTCACGGTGCGCATTCTCGGGAGTGGTTTGAGGGGCGATTCAATGAGAGGACGCAAGAATGGATTGGAGGCCATGATAAGTGTCCAGTGCCAGGCTGCGATTGTACGTGCAAGGCGATTGATGTTGGAGTCGCACCAGGCAGAAAAAGGAACATGATCGACCTGAACATCTCGGAGAATTGGTCGTAGGGGAACCGAACGAATACGAGTCTCTAGGCGCCTTTACGCATTATTCCCCAGTCTGTCAAATGCCTTTCATATGACTACTACAGCGTGGCTGAAATCTGAGACCTCCCTGAACAATGATACTCTGGGCGCCAAGTTGGCGTTAAAGCGGCCATAAGAAAGAGCGCTTGGTAAATTCATAACGATCATCATGGTGATGGCAAGAGATCGTGAATCCATCCTATATGAAATGGAGCCCATGCCACCCATGAGTTCTGGCAGCTGTGTGAAGATTGGTTCATGCCATCCACTTACCTCTGTGCTAGTGACAGAAAACGACCAAAAGTCCAAGCTCTGGAGAAGCTTGAACCCATCGGCCGACCATCTCTGCATTACAGCGATAGTTCAGCAATTGATGTGCACTATCTATCACCGGCAGATATTAACTGGCGACCTTCCAAATCAGGAGCTGCAAAGCCACTCGTAATGACATGAACAAGGATTTAGCAAAGCAGAAGCCACAACCTAGAGAAGAGAGAAAAGATGCAGAAGAAGGAAAACGAAGAGTCCCTGAGAGAGACAAGCCTGGTGTGCATGGTCCTGCGCTGACAGAGCGTAAGTAATGAGGCTGACTAGCCAATATTGAGATGATTTGGTTGGGCGGCGCCCTGAGAACCCTAAGGAATACGATGCTTGTCGTATGTTCCTTCACCTTCATCTCGCGGGTATTGTTCTCAATGATAGCGCCAGCGCTTGGCAAGATGGACAAAGTCCTCGGCATAACCTTCGAAGTTGAGGCACGAATAACCTTCTCTATCTTCGTCCTAGCCTACGCTATGATTCACTTGAATTTTTGGCCGGTTTTATGCCCTACAGCTGAGTAATATGTGGTAGAATAGCTCGCATGAAAATTGGGATGCAGATTTGCCCAGACCGTCTTTCGATTTCTCAGCGGAATAGGCAGAAGCATGCCCTTGGCTATCGGCGGTGGTGTCTTGGGGTGGGAAATCTATGATGGTAATGCCTTGCTCCTGTAACCAATACTGACCAGGGATTGCTGGCATCCAGATCGGCGAGGAAAAGCAGTTGGTATGTATAGCCTCGCCCCACTACTTGGACCCGCTGTTGGACCGATTGCTGGAGGTTTCATTGCCTAAAACACGATTTGGCGATGGGGCTTTTGGAGTACTCGCATCGCCGCTGCTCTCATCCTGGTCTCCGGTATTTTGCTTCCTCCAAGAAACCTTTCAGGCCACTCTCGGAAGAGAAGGTCAGACCGCTTGCGAAATGAGACAGGCGCATTGCTTTTGTGAGTATCGCGTAACTCCAATATCGCCTTATTGTCACACGCACTGCCCGTAATCACAGCTCCAGCCGATTTGGAATAATTTCTGATCCAGAATTTTCCGTGTCGCTAGCCGGTGGGGTCTTGCCTTGAGGGATGGAAGGGACTTCAGAGGCTCCGGCTTCGGGAGACATGATGACATGGGTTACAGTAATTGTTCAGGGAGGGAAGAGTACATTGAGATGAAGTAGGTAGTTCACCTTGATACTCGGGTAGGAGACTTGCTTTGACGGCTGTAGCAACGACCGGCGACTTGCCGCAGAGGATAACGAGGATAGATTCAGGCATATTGTATGCGGGACTGTGCAGGAAATTGCAGTCTGGTGGCAGGAACGATTTACTGCAGAGCCAATGGATTATCAGGAGAAAAGAGTGATTTCCGTGCGATCCCCTTGAACCGAGCAACTCCGAGGGTGACGAATCTTTCTTCTCGGTACCTGATAGCAAGCGACAGTCTGCTATTCAAACGGATTTAGCCCAAGGCATGTCAATTACTGGGCCACTGGCAAGGCACTGAATAGACGATGCTGCCGACGTCTTGTTCCAGGAGTTTTATCTTCATTATAGAATATAGGTAGTTAGCTTACTGTGAAATGAAATAAAACGAGAGGCACTCGATTGTGGACTAAAGTAATATGCATGCGTGGCCGTGGCTTACTTTAAAGGTAGTAGGGATCAGAATAGACAAAGCGGGATGTCGAGTGGCGCTAGAAAGGGCGGCTCAACTATAAATAAACCTGAAACTGATCCTAGTACCCGTGCGATCTAGCTCCGGCATTTCACTTTTGGGGGATTCTTTGTTCTGTTCGCTGCAGGGCAGGTACAATCAGCTGGACGCCTGCATCTTTTGCATCTTTTGCATCTTTGGACAGTCATTTAACACGGCAGCTCCAAAGCAGACAATGATGCCACCGACTTTTGAGGATTATCATATTGTTCTGCCGTCGCCAGAAAGCATGATGGCTTGGGACATGATGGGAGAGAATTGAAATGACTGGCATGAATAGTCGGAGACTCGAGACGAATATCAGACTCGAGACGAATATCTCAAACATCAGCATCCTTGGACATGATTCACTACTTTACGAAACCCCCTATTGTATCCCATTATCCCATAATCCCACTCGGTTGCCATTTGCCATTTGCCATTAGTTACTAATAATATAATATAATTATACGGTAATAAGTGAATATTGTTTGAGATATCGGCGCCGTGACCAGGCTCGCCACTCATCTTCCCCCTCTTAAATTTCTTTCAATCCTGCCCTCGGACTCGACCGTTGGACATGGACGTCACTGCTCACCCCCTTCTCCAGACCACCACCTTCTCAAGTAGGTAACAGATCGCTTCTCCCACCCTCCAAAGCCTTTCCGCCCGACTGTCTTTCATAGTAAGGTATGTAATGTCGAAAAGTGATAGGGTGCATCTTGTCTGGGCGGCTAAAGGGACAAGGCGCAGTGATTGGTTAAAGCCGAAAAGGACGAAAGCGCTGACTTCCCCACCAACAGACCTTCAATCCTCATTGGCCAGCTGGAAACCACACGGCGACAAGAACCTCACCCTCGCCCTCTCACTTCCACCGAGCCTCTCCATCCTCATAAATTCACTCTCCACTAGCTGGTGCGCCCATTGACGATTGGTACACCAAGAACTCATCGCCATCGATCCCAGGCGCTTAGGCATCATCACCACTCCGCCTCAGAACGAACCTCACAAGACTCCCAGCGTAGGAGGGTGAAGAGCAGATCAAGGGTGGGAGCCCAAAGGCAGACACAACTCAAGTCGCCAATCACACATCCAGGGAGAGAGGGGAAGCCAGCGCTTCGCTGATAGTCTAGGGTTAGTCTTTCATCTCATGCCTGTGGACCTCTGATTGGCTTGCCTACACTGGACTGTTCTTCATGCAAGACACACCATTCTAGATCAGCGGCAAACCTCCCATTTCTAAAATTCACATCTTCATCCACTTTCCCAGGCTTGCTTGCGATTTCGCTCGTCTGGCATGGCCCCATCACCATGATGGCCTCTGTGATCTGTACTGACGTTATGTCTGTAGTCGACGGCCTTCATACTTCGCTTCCCGACTTTCAAACGAGCCGTAATAGTAATGTCTTTCCCTCCAAGGGAGCCCTTGGTCTTGAGGTAGCATATGGGTCTCGCCAACACTATCCGTCAGCAAAGAGGTGCTCACCAACAAACTCACCAGGCTCAAGTATGCCGGTGGCAACGAGCTCACAGTCGCTTCTGGCATCCTTACCTTCGTTTATGTCTGTGTTTGGAAACGGCCCGGACAGGTTAGAAACAAATGAAGGTGACGCCGCGGCGACCACTTCACAGGGCAGGACTTCAAAAAGGCCCCTAAACATCGCCCAACCTGCTCCTCCTACGATTCGTCGAGACTCCACCTCGACCTTTGAATCCACAGAGTCCTCTCCTACAACTACGATATCGACAGTGGGGTCTTCTCTCACAGAGCCTTCGCCTCGTTCGCCTCCCGAGACACCAGACTCCTCCTCACCTCTTACATCATTCAAAAACCTGAGAACGAACTCGGTACCGAATAATCAAGCAGAAATGGAGTGCAGAGACCCTTTCTCGAGCTCATTTCCAACCTTACCCGGAGTGGAGCGCGCAGATTCACCAAACAAGAAAATGCGCAACATGAAGAACTTGTCGGTGAATACATCTGCGTCAAATCGCACAGGGCTCCAGCTTCCAAAATTAGGACTCTCGAACCCGCCACAAGCATCCACCAATGCATTCTCCGCTCCACCTACACCAGCATTCATTGTTCCGCCCAAATTGCCTAGAAAAAAGCCAAGCACTCTCCCACTCATGATCACTACCCCCGATTCAAGCACTTCTGGCCAGGATCGGCCGAGCGCAGCCCTTCAAAGCCCATCAGATCCACAGATTCGGACATTGCGGTTGCTACGAACCTCGTCAAATGGCGCGCTATTCTCTCCAACCGTCGCCCCTGAGGGCGGCATGCGATTACCGCCGTTCGCCGCTCCGGCGACGTCTAGCCGCCCCTCTACTACCGGTGGCCGGATAGGCAAAGTACGACCGCCGCTCAGTGTTTCGCCTCTGTCTTCGTTCGATAACCCAACATCTTCTCCAATCACAAGGCAGACACTCGATCATGTGCAAGAAGAGACAGACTATGAGCCTCCGCTCTCTCAAGAAGTCAAGTCGCCCGCATATCCACAAGGGCCCGTGTGCATCTATGATCCGCACGTGTACCTTTATCTCGAACCCAGCCATGTCGAAGCGCGAGAATTCGACGTCATTCTGAACGTTGCGCGAGAAGTATTGAACCCTTTTTTGGCAGCGGTAGAAAAGGACGCACAACCTCGAAAGGAAGGAGCAGAGATACAAGGAGCTCCGAATGCAGACAACGCCTACCTCGCTGGCCGAGATAGCGTTCCAGAACCGCAGACTGCGGTCTCGGAGAAATCCTTCGCCTCTGCACTTGAGGCGCAAATAGAAGATGCTTCAATGACGGCGCCGGGCACACCAAAGGCATTCAGGCCGGAGCCTGAATACATCCATGTTCCTTGGGACCACAACACCAATGTAGTGGATGATTTGCTCAGGTTATGTGAGCTCATCGACAATCGAGTACGGCAAAATAAGAGAGTATTAGTGCATTGCCAGTGCGGAGTTAGCCGATCAGCAAGTCTTGTTGTTGCATACGGACTATACAAGAATCCGCAGCTCACTGTGCAAGAGGCCTATGATGCAGTCAAATTCCGAAGTAGATGGATCGGGCCAAATATGAATCTAATATATCAATTATCGGAGTTCAAGTCCAAATTGATCAGGACGCATCCCATGGGAACAGCAGCTTGGCATTCATGGCGAGCTCTGGGATCTGGGCGCTCAAACCCAAACGCCACTGTGAATCCTAACTCAGACTCTGGCCTACCGTCCTCCTCTGGACTTCGAAGTCCGCCACAAAAGTCATTGAGTGCACCATCCCAGATAGGACGTGATACACGGTCCAGCTCATTCAGTCCACCCAGCTCAGCTCAGCTTATGCCAACCTCTTCAGGCGACATCACACCAGGTCCGTCATCAGCGCCGCCAGATATGCAATGGTCTCCAGGCCAGAGGTCGCCTGCGCTTGAAAGTGACGCCGTTTCCTCTTATGCTCAACCTCTCCCTACCTCGGCATCCCCCCCAAACATCTCGGATTCAGATACCGAAATGGTACTTTCGCCTTCAACAATGGAACGCGAAGGCATCGAAGAGAAAGAAGCACCAGCGCCTGTGGGAGGGGTGGCCAATGACCTGCAGGAAGTTGCCAAGGATCTAGCCAACAATGAACGCAATCCCACTGACATGTCCCTGCCGAAGATGAACTTTGGTCCTGAGATTACAATGTCACTGCCGTCATTCGATGAATCATTCGGTGAGAAAGAGGCAGTACCTGTGGCAGGGATGAAACAGGAACTACAGCATGAAGCAAGCGATTCGGACAAGACTCCGGACAACAAAGAAGAATCTGCTCCAATTTCTCCGCCAAGGTTCTTGGAATTGGTTACCGAAAATTTGCGCTTCCAATCACCCACTAGTCTCGCAATCAAGGAGACAGGAATGACGCTCTCACCCGTCCTGCCAACAGCCACTGTATCAGCACCCTCCCCCACCCTCCCAGCAGGCTTCAGCAGCCTCTTAAGCCGACGCCAAGGCCCTCTCGGACTGCGCCAGTTACCTCTTCGCCAGGGCCAATCTCCACCACAATTGACCACTGCCCAGCCATCACCGCGAGCAATCGATCCCGACGTCCCCCAGACTCCCTCACTCCTCTCTCCCCGAGCTGCAGAGTTCACAGCTAGTCCCTTTCACCGCACTTCTGCTGGCGATCTAGCGGGCTCGTCGGTTTTCGAACAAGGTCTCATGAGCCCGGGGCTAAAGGAGGAGGATCCTAGGAGTCCGCATCAGATTGGCGAGGCCCCGATTACGAGGAGTATCTTCGATATGATATGAAGATCGCTCAGGTTGCATCAACATTTTTCTCCACCACCACCACCATAGGCGGCTGGGGGCACGCTACACAATGTGCCCATGAAAGATCACGCATGAGACATGATGCTCTACTACCGGGATACCATGACTACGAAGCCAGCTATCGACAGCTCCAAAGACTGTCACCGCAGCTTTCACGATCCAGAGGGGTCATCATTCGGCACACTCCAGCCCAGCTCGAGGGCCGTCTTCCCTGCGATCAGATGCATCTTGTCTCCGCTATATAGATTCAACCGGCATCAATTAGCCAGCATGGCCAGCCCTAGCACCACAATGTTGCGGAAATCCCCGGGATGAAGTGCATACGAGCGGCTAAACCCACCCTCTATCATCCCCCTAGCTGTTCCGTGGACATTTCCGCTGAGAGATGAGAGGCCGGCGAGCAGACGTGGGGGGATGGAGGTGGGATGAGGATGTCCCGCAACAAGGTGACAGTGTGTTGGCCCGATTCAAACATGAAGCGCATTGACGATACCTGCCCATGGTCGGGACATCATCATGACCCTCGAATGCATACAGCGTTCTACATATGTTTGCATAGTTCAATGCCATTTGTTTTTCAAAGCAGCATCAAAAGGTGCAGCAAGCGCATATGATGGTGACTGATGTAACATTCCAATCTTGTTTAAATCGTCCACCAGAGAATTGACCAATCATCTTTTGTTTTATCTTGTGCCGTGGGTATCGATGTAAACGTCTAATATGCCAATGCCGAAGCCCTATAATATCCCGAGAGGCCCAAATTCGCTGTCGCTTCAGAGGAAATGAAAATGCCAAAGATTCTCTGCACCGGGTGCAAAGCAGCAGAACGTTCGTATCACCGGCCATGCAATCACGTTCGCCCTCTTCCCAATCCATCTATCGCCTATGCCAAAAACCCACACGTCCCGTCACCATTCTCCTGAACCATTACAGGTCACCAACCTCCCTACACCATCCGGCATCCCTAACTTGACTAATAGTCAGCCTCCTGTCGACATCTCTATCCAACATCTGTTTTATTAATTCAATATTCGCGGCCGACATGATCCACGGTATGCGTAATTCGTGATCCAGTATTTCGTCAATGCTGTAGAAGGGGTTTTCTTTGTAGACGAGTGTATAGAGGAGGATGCCGAGGGCCCAGATGTCTTGTTCTTTGCCGCGGTAGGATTTACCTTGGAGGACTTCGGGCGCGGCATAATCTAAAGCCACCGTTAGCCATGTGGGATAGGAGCAGGTCGAAAGGGAGAAAGAACTTACCAATTGTCCCAACAAAGACATCAAAGGGTCCGTTCTTGATGTATGCCGCGCTACCGAAATCGATGAGCTTGACTTTTCCTTCGCCATCCAGAACAATGTTCTCGTCTTTAATATCGCGGTGTACAACGAGTGCTTTGGTGTGTAAATGATGCAATGCGTCCACCACCTGCAAGAAAATATTTCGGCATTCAGCCTCATCCATTGTTGATCGCATCTCAATGTAATCAAAGAGATCCATGCCTGGCAAACCGTGCGGTACCATTTCGATATAGTAGTTGACATCATCTTCGAAAAAGTCTGTCATTTCGACAATGTTGGGGTGTCGTAACTCGTCTCTTCGCAGGTAGTCGAGGACGTGGATTTCCAGTGGAACTGTTCCAAGGCGGCGGTCTCGGGTCCATGTATCGACGAGGATGCGGCGCTTGGTCACGTATTTGAGGACGACTTTCTTGCCATTGGCTTTGGCGTAGCGGGCCAGTTTGACCTGGCCATACGCGCCTTGGCCCATATCTTCGAGAACGACAAAATCTGATATCTTCTTCTTCTTCTTGGGCAGATCCTTCGCCTTGGGAGTGGAGACACGAGGTACTGGCTCTATCACGACATGCTTGGACGGACTCTCGGAGATAGGCTGGGATGCCGCTTCTTTGATTTGTTGTGTGAGTGACGTTGTGGGGAAAGTTTCTGGCTTGATGTCTTCTCGGTCAATCTGCTCTGGAGTAATCGACCGGCTATTTTGACCAGGAGAGGGTTGGTGTGGCGTACCAGGTCGCGAGAGGTTTGGTGTAGCTGAGCCACCAGGAAGAAGTGCGGAGTGAAGCTGCCGCGAATAGGTAATCCATAGAGCATATACAATCTCCGAAGGATCAAATTCCTCGCTCGCCGAATCGCTGTCTTCGCTCTTTTCCTCGATAACAGCATCATTGACCGTGGATCTCTCGCTTCGTACAACACGCATTTGCACGTCAACGTTAATCTCTGACCCATCTCGATGACGAGCTATCAGTCCTTGTGGCCGTAGAAATATGGCTGCAGCATCTTCGTTGCCTTCACGTAGAGCCACCAGGGCTCGCGCTCTTCGGAAGCTGTGCTCTGGTACGACAATACCATCAACCAAGTTCACGTTGTCCTCCTCGATCAATATTTCAAGGATTTTCTCAAATTGCGGTATCAGCTCGCTGATCTTTTGACCACTGGGTTCGGCTTCGCCGAAGAGGGCCGCTGCGAAGACTGAGTTGGAGCTCATGACCGTTAGGTTCGAAGCAGAGACGACCACGATACCGGCGATGTGTGGGAAGCTCGAGACCCGCAGTGTTTCGTGGTCAGGCTCCATGGTGACCGAAATAGGGATGTTTATGCTGTCATCACTTCTAGCCGCAAAATACTGAACGGTTGTATTACTCGCAAAGCCTGTTCTACTCGTGATTGATGAGCCGCTTGAGCTGCTTTTTGTAGGCATGTGTGGGATCAGATGCTGTAGTTCTGTTCCAGCAGAAACGTCTGACTTTCCCCAAATCACGTTTGTAGCTCCTTTGGATCCCGTCACACGCAAATCCGCATCAAGCTTCAGGGTGGCAATATCTTCCGCAATTTCCTCCAGCACCCATATGAGACCGCCTCGCTTCTCTTTGACCCACAGGCTTGCAGCTCCCGTGGCTCCGTTGCGCTTTCGTATCGGCACAATATCCCCACACAATAGAACACCCCGGGATTTATTCGCAGGATGATATGGTGCACCTCTTGACGTCTTCGTCTTCCATTCGTCAGTCTGAGCCCTTTGCTGCCGCCATGGAGGCTTGCTGAGAAGTTGTGCAGTTACACCCCTACCCATCTTGACGGAGGTTGTTGATTTCGGACTTGTCCTTGCGCTTTTGCTACCGGCTTGACGCGCCTTTGCCGTCGCCTCTGCGCCCGGAGACTTGAGTTTCTCTTCCAGCCACGCCCTTCGATCTTCCCTCACGACCTCGAGCATGCTCAATTTTTTAAACTCAACTTTCGTCACTCCAAAGACTAGGCATGCAAGGTCGTTTGCGAGGAGAATCGTCCAGGGGGAGGAAGTCTCTGTAGTGAACACAGCCTGCGCAGCGGGTACCCATCGGTTGTTATGCCCGTGCACCAAGGAAGGGGTGTTCATGCCAGTGTTAAGAGCGTTGACGAAGCCTGCCAATGGCGTTGGAGATACAAGGCTTTCATGAGCACTGTCGCTCGCCTTATACGGCTTTGCAAGCGTCTCCACAAGCCTCGTTTGTAGGTTCAAGAGTGACAGGTCTGTGTATGTACGCTTCATGCCGGTTGTTGAAACCTGAGATGTTTCTAGAATGGGTGAAGCACTAGATGGTGATTCAGGTTCCACTGGATCAGCAGCTGAGGCTGCACTAGCTAGTGAAGGCTCTGGTTGGCTTGATCCAGGTCTTAAGATTTCATTGTCTCCCGTTTGCTGTGAGCTCTTATCTACAGATGACCGTATTCTAAGTGCTTCTGGACTCGTAGACCGCGCGAGAAAGGCGTTTTCGAACACATTCTTTTCAACATCAGCTGGTCCGGTCATTGGGCCATGGAGTTGCCGAGCATTCTGATTGTTTTGTGAGTCAGAACCGAGAATGTTCGCCCGCACCAAGAGATCCACCATGCTCTGAATTTCCACATCACCACTGACTTTGGCCTGCGCGGTCATGACACCCGGATGGTTTACACCAAAGCCTAGTCGATCACGCATAAAATCTATAGCTCTTTTCAACACACTCTGACGATTGTGGAGCGCACCTTCGGACTGGTGGGTGAAGGAGAATGAATGCAGAGATTCGGAAGGAAACCGTGACAGGTCTTCTCCGAAATTCAGCGTGGGTGAAGAAGGTGCACCCCCTGTGAATCCTCGAGAGGTGGACGAATCCACTGTCATGGAGGAAGACCTTGGAGGGAGTGTATAAGAAGTGGATGGTGATGAAGGGTGCGATGGTGCTCGAGAAGCAGGCTGCTGGCGTATTCGCCGCAGTCCTGATATCCCAAGTCCACGCTCGTGATCTGACATGATGGGGGATCTGGCCGTTGGGTCACCAATGGCAGATCCGGCATCAAAGGAGACCCGTAGTTTCCCATCTTCTGTTGGTCGTCTTGCACCTGTGAGCAGGTCCCCAGTACTTCTGTTTTTTGGAAGCTTCAGTACATCCAGTGCTTGTTCTGTTCTTTCCTCCTGTAAGACGACGTGTCGTATGCCCGAGTCCGCTAGAAAAGACAAAGCGTTAGTGAACAGAACGAACGAAGGTGGTAAGCTTCGTAAGCAAACTGAGAAGGTAGTTGAATGTGCCGATTTGTTGCTCCTTCTCATCTAGCATATGTAAGCTGAGAGACGTACCATCAAGGTGCAAGTCCAGCTCGGTCATGCTTCAAAAGATAAAAAGTGCGTCCCCTCTGGCTCAGATGGTACGCGAGCGCTGCTTGCATACAGCGTCCGCTACCTTGGCCAGAGAGATGCAGATTTTTTAAGGTTGCATGAATCCCAGACGGGCAGGCGCGTGTATGCAGGAAGAGACAGCTCTTAAGCTCGCGTCAATGGAAAGTGGGGCTTGTGAGGCGTTAAGCATACACCAGCTGAAGCATACACCAGCTGGTGCATAGAAACAAGCGTACAAGGTATCTATTTATTTCGCAAATTATCTATATGTTTGAGTATTGGGCGATTGTATATCGACAAAAATATTGAAAACCATAAATCGTTGGGCGGAGGGTCTCCGATATACGTCAGCGGTTCCATGGCTTGGCGTTGTTTGCTCTACAGCATGACGATTCAAAAGGCAATGTCCTTGTGAGAACTGAGAACCCCGGTTATGCAGCACTTTTACGCCTTGTTATTTTCTTTTACATAGAGAAGTGCAGTCATGATGTTGGGTAGCATTCCCTCTGGTAGCAATTGGGTCGATTGCCACGTGAAAAGTAGGATTTAATGCCTATCTAATTGCCAGCTTTGCAGCTTTCTAGCCAGCTCCCTTGCCACCGGACGAGGTCGATAGAGGAAAAGGTACAGGCTAGTCAAGCAGGTGAGGAAGACAACCCTGGCTGTATCAAAGCATGGCTGTCGAGGAGGTCTCATAGAGGCTGCTTGTGGAGCTTGGGTGTGTGAAAGGAGTGGAGGAGCATAGATGAGATTGGTATCATCGCATTGAAAGGACGTAGAGTCGGAAAGATTGGTGTTGAGCAAGCGAGTTCATCAGTCGTCAAAGCACGCCGTGAAAGCCATGATGATTCGTGAAGGTAGTAAAGGATCATGAGGTCGTAATAGTGTGTCGTGAAAGGACGTGTCCATGGCAGAGAGTGAAGCGAGTCAACTTTTGGTAGGGATGGATAGAAGTGTAATGGAAAGGAACTGTCGAGTCGGAGACGTGGGATGCGAGGGTCGGAGCGTGGCGGACGTGCACCTGGCTATATGCAAACCAGAGCAACCTTGATGTTCACGGTGGAGATGACAGCTCCAGTACTGGATCTAGTCCTGAGGCTGTTGGCTTCTACGCATCTTCTCGGCCTCAAGGTTCTCATAAAGCAGATATAGAGCTTTTTCATTGGCTGCGGCGCTGCCCATGATCGTGAACATGCGCTCTCCGGTCTCGTCGTGGGGGGCTTTGGCAATGGATATGCGGGCACCAGAACTCTTTCTGATTTCGCTAATCTTGCTTCCAGCGCGTCCAATTATGCAACCGACCATGTCGGAAGGAATGCTGATGTTTTGCGTCTGAATCTCTTCGCCGTCTTCTGTCGTAGTAGGAGGTCCACGATTTGCCGCATCAGAGTTTGAACGGCGGTTGTATGAGCCTCCAGCGTTGTTATCGCTAAAGTCGGCACCGTTACCAGTGCGATTGAACGAGCGATTGCCATTGTAGGGTGGCGGTGCACCGACGGGAGCACCGGCCAAAGGACCTCCACGACCGGCCTCTGCTCTCACGACAGGGTTGTAGAGAACAGTCCCTGTCCCGCGTTGCCAGTCATCGACCAAGCATTTTCCAATCTCCCAAGTAGCCTTTTGAATGCCATCTGGCGTGCCTTGAACCTCAACAATTCGCTCGGTTGACTGTGGTAGCATCTCTTTCTGGGCAACCATTCGGACACCGGAGGCATCTTGGATTTGCTTGATCTTGAGCCCTTGTCGACCAATGATTGTACCCATTTGATGGTGAGAGATGAGCAGACGAATGGCTGTAGAAACGATCATTAGCTATCATGGTAGAGATATAGAACAGCCAGTGTACGAGGTGACAGTGGCGGTATAGTATCGATATGGGGGAGCCTTACGATGTGTTCCGTTCGAAGAAATGACTCCACCCATCCCCATCTGTGGAGCACCTTCCAGCAAACCCTTGGCAACAATAGCGTATGCCTTCGAGATGGAATCTAATCCGCCAGTGACCGTGAGCACACGATCATGCACACCCTGCACCACCTTGCTAACGCCGGCTTTGACACCAGTCTCATCTCGAAGGTCCGCCACATTTTTTCCTGCTTTACCTATGATGACCCCGGCTTCTTTCGAGGACACAATGGCACGGAGAGTGAGTTGAGACTGGGCATACTCTTCATCAGTTCTTGGTGCTGGCTCTCCATCCGATCCGAGACGGTTTTCGTCCCCATTCTCAGGGCTGATGCCGACACGGCCCATGGAGTCGGCGATATCTGTCTCGGTGCGGGTTTCGGTTGCCATTTTGAAGGTGGATGGACAGAGGAAGGGTATTGAGTTCGGTGCTTTCGCTCGAGCTCGAGGGTGACTGAAATTGAAGTGATCTTGAGTGAGCAGTCACAACGGGTGGACTGCGTGCATATAGGTCAGCAACCGTACTTGTGCTGTTAGGGTCTTTATCGCCAGCTGTTGCAGGGAAGCAAACAATCGTTGATGATGAAATACCTACAGAGAGAGATGGAAGAGGGTTCCGTAGGACGAGGTGGGTATCAGACTGCGGACTCGAGAATAATTAGACCGGGCAGCTAAGGAAAGAGGATATGACAACAGTCTGAGGAAACATGAAGCTGTCGTGGGAAAGATGTTCGTACGTTCAGAAATTTTTTGGGCAAGGACGCTATTTTTCCCCCGCCAAACAACCATTATTTTTCATGCACAATCCCTGTCGCCAGTCACATTTTTTGGCAGCTGCATTCGAGTCTTACCGTTCTTCAAGGGCATTTGCTCTGCAATGCGTCGCTACGTTGATGATTTGACCTTTAACATGCCTCAAGCAAATAGGATGGGACTTGCTCGACACACTTCACTGGGCAGGCATGAAATTATTCAACCATCTTATGATATGAGGCTTGCATGCACATGAAAAGAGCCACTCGATGAAGAGAGACTATTTCGAGTCAGTCTTATTGGGTAGTACTCGATGTTCACTTCGTTACAAATACATCGAAGTCATGCTTCTACAAAAACTTCCGTCTCTCGTGCAACGATGGAGCTCGTGTTACTTCTGTGCTTCGAAAACCACTAGGTCTTGTAAGCCCAGTCAGAGATCGTGACTTTGATTATGGGCGACATACCTTTCTGTACTTTCATCTTGTCAAAAAGATCGTAACCTTCTACAGCCTCGGACATGGGCATGATCTTGTCAGACATAAACCTGGATCATGGTCAGTGGGCGCTACTCGGTCGTTGAGCTTCAATAATAGTATCTGACCCCAAAAGATGTTGCTTCTGCTTTAGCATATCCAGAGCTTGAGGGAATATCGATCGCACGGGGCATCGGCCCATTTGAATACGCAGATTCTTGCCATATGCTTGGTTGCCAGACCTGTCAAATCGTCAGCGCTGACTCCTATCATCGAGGTAAGCAAGCAGGTTGTCTTAGTACCAGGGGATCTGCAACGCGTCAGTACAATGCATGGGTGGAGGCAAATGATCCTTCGGGCTTACCTCCGCATTATGCACGCCAACGCTGGAAATAATGCCCCAGGGTCTTAGCAACTCAAATCCCATCTTCAAAGCAGGACTCATGCCAACGACCTCTGTTCAAACAAATCAGCTCCTAGCCCGGCTCCACGCTCAAATCAAGGCAAGAGATATACCCATGACTACATCGGCACCTCGACCGTCTGTCAAGTCCTTTACTCGTTTGTCGAGTCCTTCTCGATCAGTCTGGAAATTCCACGGCTCCGCACCCAAAGACTCGGCCAAATCCAATCTCGACTGTATCGAGTCCACTGCAAGCAGGTGCTTTGGCTTGTAATTCTCGGCGTTGATGAGAGCACAGAGGCCGACAGGTCCGCAGCCAACCAGCACTACAGTTGCCTCAGAAATTTGCTCCTTCGTCAAGTCTTTGAAGGCATTGTGGGCTGCAAAGAATCCGGTGGGAAATATGTCTGCCATTAGAACCAACGCATTATCTGCAATGCCTTCTGGAGCCTTCATAGCAGTACTGTCCGCTAGCGGCACTCTCACATATTCGGCTTGAGCTCCATCAAGACCGGCTGTACCGAAGAGGGCACCCTTGGCACATCTTGAAGAGTGTCCTTGCTTGCAATAAAAGCATTCCCCGCAGGAGACGGTGAAAGGCGAGACTATCTGATCGCCCTTCTTAAAATTCTTCACGTCGGATCCGGTCTCCTCAACAGTACCAGTGAACTCATGGCCCATGATAAAGCCCGTTGGGCTGGTTTGATGGCCCTGTTACTATAAGTTTCCTCGTTGGAGCAGGACAACAGGGCGGTACAGACTCTGAAGACATGGAGCTCACTGAAGCGTTGACGTTAGATCCGTCTTGTACAGGTCAAAATACTTCCTCTACTTACCTGCCGCACAAAGCTGTATATATCACTCTCACAATAACATCTGTCGATTCTTTGATCTTAGGAATAGGTCGATCTTCTATGGCTACGACGCGGGGTTCCTTGAAGATGACGGCTTTCATTGTGTCTTTGGCCATTGCTTTTCCGGTTCCTCCCTCGATTCTTGGGATTTCTAGGATCAGAAAACGTAAAACTGCAATATTTGAATCTGAGGCTCGCCATCTTTGCGTGGCAGTTCACTGCTAAAGTATGAAGTAATGGCTTCTTCGACAGCCGTTCTACCCCACACCTGGTGCCTTTCCGAGCTCTTCTACCCCGCAATCTAGGTCTGGGCCGAGGAGCTTGCGTGTATGTCCGCAGAGAAGGAAACAGTCTGAAGCTCTGCTACTTCATGAGGTCCTGCTATAACATTCAAGAATATTCTGTCGTCCGTTGCTGAACACATTGGTAGCCATTCGATAATCTGCATGTTTGGGTTCATGTCTCGATACTTTGTTCGAGATGGATTACCCGAATGCGAAATGATCCCCACGAACTTTCCAAACACCATGCTCAACGTAAGCTCGTGATTGAACGCCTGATTCGCTGGCCCCCAATGCATGCTTTCTCAGCTCTCGCAATCCAATCTCGCTCTCCACTCTCCGCTTCTCTTGTGTATGCCCCACAGCCTAGTACACCGTACACAGCAACTCTGCCTCCAGTATGAACTTCCCTTCCTTATACTTCTCACTCGGCTCGTACGCCTTGTCGTACTTCCACCCCACCGTCTCCTTGCACTGTCGGCACATTATATCCCGTACAATATGACGGCCGGTGGTCATATTCCGTTCCGTGGCTTCTGATTGAGAGATATTTACAACGGCGTTGAAGAGGTAGGCTTTGCCGTGTTGGCCACGGAAATTCTGTTGATCAAGATAGAAATATCAGCATGTCTAGCTTACTAGGATGCGAACTGCGGTTATGGAGCACAGGGTGGAGGGCCCGGGTATGGTTGAAGCGGAGAAAGAGAGTATGCGTAGAAAATGGAAGGTAATGTGGGCCAGAAAAACGTACGCGTGAAATAATAGCATCGTGGCTTGCGAGATGCGTCTTGCAGTTTTTGCAGCCAAAGATTTTGTCGGAGTTGAGGTAGGTGTTGTAGACGAGGCCCATGCTCACCGCCCTGGTGGCCTGTGGCCGGAGAGCGCAAGGTTGCTCGACTCGACCGGCGTAGGTAATCCAAGGGTTTTCGTTAGGCTTGGGCAAGATGCTGAGGCTGTAAGGTGGTGTGGTGATCGATTGAGGCCCGAGAAGTGATGGCAGGGTTGGAAGGCGGAAACGTTGGTGCTCTCCTGAACGTACGGGTCTGGCACTGAGCACTCGACTTGCTGTTTTGTATCGTGTTTGGGATTCGGGGCAAGACGTGCCTGAGAGACGTTCGGTGATTCAAGGATGCGTTTGGCTCGGCAATCAGGCTCTTTGGAGTATAAACTGGTAGGACGGTGCGCTTCTTCGATGTTTTGCTGGCTCAGATAGTTGACAGAGTGGTTTGCTGGGCCGATGATGTTTAGTGACCCGTGTAAGGTCGGTCTGAGAGTGTCAGCTGGTTGATGCAGAAGAGCAAATAGGTACCTGGAGGGGATTTTATGCAACAATTTACGCAGGTGCACTAAATCCTGCATAAGTTTCGATGTCTCCAGCTCAAGCATCTCCGTTGAGACAGGAAACATATCAGCTGCAACTCCTTTCTTTCTACTTTGGTGCTTGACGCGAGGAAGAGGTCGCAGTGATAGAATTTCTGGCGCACCTGTTTTCGACCTCTCACAAATAAGGGGTATGAATATTGCCAATGCGTCTATTTGATCTATATTTCAACTTGTACCTATCTGTACATGCAAGACACACTCATAACCGGCACAATGGCGTGAAAGCTCGTGAATCAGAGCCCTTTCTCCCGCTTTTCTCTCTCCTTCGCCACTTTCTCCCTCCTTTGCATCACGCCTTCTGCCCCCACACCCCCAAACACTAACCCCACGCCCACCCACTGCATCCCACTTAACCGATGTCCAAACCAAAGCACACTCAGCATCATTGTCAACATCTTCCTCGTTACTGTCACCGTGACTAGCAAAAGGCTGCTGAAATGGCTAAGAGTGTAGTAGATGAATATCTGGCCAATAGCGCCGCAAGCAGCGAAGGAGAGTATAGCAGATAGGATTGCCGGGTTGCGTTGTATGAAGGCTAGAGCAGCTGAGAATTCGGAAGAGCTGCCCGTTTTAGGTGAAAGGGGTGTTGGGGGAATTAGAGGCGAAATGCATAAGTAAAGTGTCGTGAGGAGGGTGGAAAGGACATTCTGAGCTACCATCATCTGGGGGCCAGAATAAGGGCGGTACGAGGTAAAGATATGGTCTTGAGTGCTGTTTGTAAGGCCGTCTAAGAGAAGATTGACGCTTAGCAGCATCAGTCCCCAAGCTGAATTGTTATTCTGTGGAGATGACTTCTTGCTCGATGAGGAGGGATGGTAGACTGTGAAGACGGCCACGCCCGCGGTCACCAGGGCCACGACAAAATATTTGTAGAGGGGGTATGATTTCCGGAATATTGTGAGGTGGAGGAACATGACAGGAAGGAGCTTGCAAGATTTGGCAAGGATAAAAGTTATATAATCGATGTGAGCAAGCGAAGCGTATCCGAAAGGGGAGGCCAGTGAAGAAGTTACTGCCACCAGGATGAGGGGGAAAAGGATTGAGCGAGTAGGGAAGACAGCAGGGATTGAACCGGACTTGGGAGCGGAGTAAAGGAGGTAAAAGTAGCCAACTAGTGCTGCAAATGTGGACTGAATGGTGTTCAGAAAGACTGAATAGGTGAATCGTTCGGGGGATGTTAAAGGGCCATAGCTGGTCGCTGTTATGCGTTCTTGAAGGACCGCCCAAGAAAGACTAAAAATAGTCAGATGGGTTTGAAATGGTGGCAGATAAGTCATTCTCTCTTACAATGAAGCGTAGATGCCAGCAACGCATATGACGAGTTGAGCAAGTCCGGCTTGCTCTTGGATCGCGGGACGAGAGGGCCCCTTAGGTTTGCCATTGCTCACGGCGGCAGGGGAGGCATTGCCATTCGCCTTGGTATTCATATGCTTCCAGCCGTGATTTGGGGTGTCTGGAGGTCCTTGTTCGAAGTCTGAAGGCTCTCGTCGTAAGGGAGATGCTTTGGTTCGCGCCATGCTGAGGAGCGGAACCACGCAGGTAAGAGATGTACTTAGAGATCAGATGTGCATAAAAATGGCACCTTGTCTTAATGCATAAGAGGCTGTGAAATAGAGAAGACAGGAAAGAAAGGAAAGCAAGGAAAGGCAAAGTGACTCTCGAAGTTCGATGTCGTCGTCGGCAGTAGCAAGTGAGATTGCGATGTGTCCATATCGGCAGCCAGGAGCTGCCCAAAAAGATGCTTGCAGGGATCCGGGTAGAACCGGATCTGCGCGCAAACGCTCAAAGCTCTCCGTAGCTCCCGGTGTTTATGCTGGTGACGGAGCTCTCCTTCGAGCGGTGGAAAAAGTCTCTCATTTCCCTCTTGCTTTTTTTCTTTCCTTACATTACTAATAGGTTATCTGATCTTTGTCTATGACACTAAGAGTCTTTGCCCTCTAAACTCTCCTTAATTGTATCCATTGAACATTCCTTTTCAATAGCAACACCGAAAGTACCTTCATACGCGCCTGTACATATACCAAACTCCAAAAAAAATCCTAGTATGTCCGAGAATGGTACTGACGCAAATGCAAAATCTGGTACGTGAAAGATAGTGGGCTATCGGGGTCTTCGCCTCCTTCCATCCGGTCTCAGGTCTTACACTGATATTATGTACCTAGAAAATCCCAATTTAACTAATAGTAAAGAAACAAACGGCCATGAAGATTCCTCCACGCCACTTGCAAATGGAGAAACCACTGTTTCGAAGCAAGACGAAGCGAAGGAGGAGCCGGCCGCTGACAGTACGTCCCAGAATGGCGTTTGATGGAAAGAGCTAACGTCTGCAAAAGATGTCTTCCAAGTCACCATCAAACTACCTCATCAACCCTACCAGATCCAGATCATGGTCTCCACACAAGAGCAGGTCCAAGACCTTCGACAATCCATAGTTGAAACCCCAGGCACTTTTCAGTACTCATGTTTTCACCTGGAACATAAAGGCGAACGGATCAATGACTATCTTGAGCTTTCAGAGGTCAAAGGGTTTACTGCCGACTCAGAATTGAAGCTGGTGGAAGACCCATATACAGAGAAAGAGGCTCGGATGCACTTGATACGGATTCGGGATCTTATTGGGGCCGCCGGGAATCGGGTCGACACGCTGCACGGCATTTCAGCTGGTCTGTCACTTCACGACACAGTATCACCATGGAAAGATCCTGCCGCACCCTCTGCTCCCACGGACAAACCAGCGGATGCAAGCCCATCCGGAGCTTCACATGCTCTTGCAGACTACACCCTCGACGGTCCTCCCTCAATGCGTACAATCATTCCTACAGACCAGGAGCAATCCCCGAAAACAATCAAATCTCTTGGTGTTTCGGCTTGGAATCCTCCACCACCGTTTCTCCGTCAACAAGGCCATCTCCTCTATCTACAGCTCACCACAAATGAAGGCGAGCAATACCAGATCACTTCCCATATCTCAGGGTTCTTCGTGAACAAATCTTCCAACAGCAGATTCGATCCCTTCCCAAGACCACCACCAAAGAATGCAGCCGCACACTCACTCTTCTCTCTGATCTCCGTCTTGTCACAGTCGTTCAGCAAGTCCTTTGACACATTATTGGATGCGAACAACAAGCGGGATCCATTGGCGAATTTTCAACTTACCAATGCCATACCTTCCAGTCCCTGGCTTGTGGCTCCTACAGCAACATCCCTCTCGTCTCATCAACCAGATCTTACGAGGACTCAAGAAACTTTTCTGCTGTCTGGAGTTGAGAATACAGAGACATTGCGAGACTGGAATGAGGAAATACAGTCCACTCGAGAGCTACCCAGAGAGACGGTCCAGGATCGAGTCTTCAGAGAGCGGTTGATATTTAAGATATTCGCCGAATTCAATGAGGCGGCTGCTCGTGGTGCAATGATGGTCGCACGTGGGGAAGTTGCGCCCCTGAATCCTACGGAAAGCAAAGACGCACAGATCTTTGTATACAACAATGTATTCTATTCATTCGGAGCCGACGGCGTTGGTACTTTTACCTCAGAAGGCGGTGATGAGGCTGCTCGAGTAGCTGTAGGAAAGGATGTCTGTGGTGTGAAAGCCGTCAATCAGCTGGATATAGCAGGCTTGGCAACCCCTGGCACCATCATTGTAGACTACCTGGGCAAGCGGTTGGTCGCGCAGAGCATTGTTCCTGGTATCTTCAAGCAGCGAGAACCCGAGGAACATCAAGTTGACTATGGTGGAGTGGAAGGTCGAGACGTCGTCGCTGAGAACGAGGCATTTGTACCAACATTCTCTCAAGTTTCCAAAGCTTTGAAAGTGAAGAAGCATGCTGTTTGGGACAAAGAAGGCAAAAAGCACGTGCTCGAGGGCAGCGTTGAAACGAAAGGATTGCTTGGTACAGACGGCCGCAAGTACATCCTCGACCTGTATAGACTTACGCCGCTGGATGTTACTTGGCTCGAGGAACATTGCAAAGATGGCAAGGTACCTACTACTGAGTCTCAATCGCAGAATTATCCTCACCGTATGACCACTCTCCGACCAGAGCTTGTGGAGGCGTACTGGAGACTTAAAATGAGTGAATATGTCCAAGAACAAGTGGAGAGTCGTAAGACCAGTGCTAAAGCGGATGGGCCAGCTGCAATAACAAGCGGTACAAAGGAAAGCCAAGTGAACCGTGTGGAGGGCATGAACGGCGAACACCAGACTGAAACGGACAAGTCGTCCGAACCGAAAGACAACACCACGGAACAGAGTCCTGAAGAAGATCGTGTAGACATTTCGGCTTTCTCTCTAACTCTCAATCCTGACGTCTTCTGCGGACAGGTTCCACAGACAGACGCAGAGAAGGATGAGTGGGCGAAGGATGAGCGCGAAGTAAGGGCTGTTTGCGCACACCTTCACGAGAAAGTCATCCCCGAAATGATACAAGACCTCAAGGAGGGAGAGGTCGGATTTCCAATGGACGGCCAATCTTTGAGTCGATTGATGCATAGGCGGGGGATCAACTTGCGCTACCTGGGTAAACTCGCTACTCTCACTGAGAATGAGGATGCACGACTACGAGCTCTTAAGGCACTGACTGTACAAGAGATGCTCGCAAGGGCTTTCAAGCACGTTGCCAATCGATACCTGACCCATCTACCAATGGCCTTCGCTACGAATTGCCTATGCCACCTTCTCAACTGCTTTTTGGGCACAGGTCTCAACGAGATACCGAAAGCACAGATTGATGACGATCTCCGAGAATTCTACAGGGACGCTGATTATTCATTTGCAAAAGTCACACCTCACAGCTTGAAAGGAGAAGTGAAGACTCAGGTCCAGATTCGGTATCAGTACGTGTTAGATGATGCCTGGACACACGAATTAAGACACATTCAACTTTTGCGAAGCATAGCGCTCAAGCTCGGACTGCAGCTGACCGCCCGGGAATACCATTTCACTCCAGAGACCCAAACGAACACCGAGCAGTCGAAGCCACAGGCCAATGGAGTTGTGGATGGGACCGCGAATCATTCTGGAATGAACGGTCATGCTCATGGCAACGCCAACGGGAAGAAAAAGAAGAAAACCGGTGGTCGCACCTCTCCAGTAACAAACGGCTCGGACACCCCAAGCCAAGAATCGACGTTCAGCCCGGGAGACATAGCAAACATGGTACCGATCATCAAAGATGCCTGCCCAAAGAGCATCCTTGCCGAAGAAGCTTTAGAAGCCGGCAAAATTTCAATGATGCAGAATCAAAAAGAAATTGGTCAGGAGCTACTTCTCGAGTCGCTAACTTTGCATGAACAGATATATGGCATTTTGCACCCGGAAGTGGCTCGAGTATACCATCAATTGGCGATGCTCTACTACCAGCTTGACGAAAAGAGCGCTGCTATCGAGTTGGCCCACAAAGCGGTGATCATATCAGAACGTACCCTTGGCATAGATTCAAATGAGACGATCCTGAGCTACCTCAACCTCGCTCTTTTCGAACACGGTAACCGCAATACAACCGTTGCATTAGCATGCGTAAGACACGCTTTAGAGCTTTGGAAAATCATCTACGGCTCCAAACACCCTGACTCCATCACCACACTCAATAATGCAGCTGTCATGCTTCAGCAATTGCAATTCTACCCAGATTCACGCCAATGGTTTGAAACATCGCTTGCCATAAGCGAGGAAGTGTCAGGAAAACAATCGGTCAATACTGCCACGCTCCTCTTCCAACTAGCGCAAGCCTTGGTCCTAGACCAAGACCACAAAGGCGCTGTCCACCGTATGCGCGAAGCTTACAGCATATTCCTTGTCAAACTCGGCCCCAATGATCCGAATACCAAAGAATCGGAGAAATGGCTCGAACAGCTCACCCAAAACGCCGTGTCTATGGCCAAGCATGCAAAGGACGTGCAAGCTCGACGAATGCGAAGAGTGGTTTTCAACCCGCGCGTGACCACCATGGGAGCCCGCCCGCAGCCTCCAGTCGGCCAGTCTAATTCGGATTTGGCTAGCGGTCGTGATATCAGTTCAAGGAGTAGCAACAGCTTTGATTCTCGAAGCATCGACGAGCTGGTGAAGATCGTTGAGGGTGGTGGTGAAATTTCCAAATCATCAACAGGAAAGAAGCGGACGACTCGCAGCAATCCGAAGCGCCGTGGCGGAGCAGCTCAGGCCTGAGAGTTCACGTTGACAGTATCCCTCGGGCATAGGAGCTTCACATGCACAACAGTCGTCCTTGGAGGATGTGAAAAGTTTGCACAGCGTGATAGTTTTGCTTTTCTTTATGTACTCTACGAAATAGCGTCCCATCTTTCTGTACAGGATCAGCCCCTTTGTGTACAGAGCCGTTATCGCTTTTCAAGGATATTGTATATGCACAAGGTCTTCCCCAATCGAGCTTTATGGGTTGGATTTCCATAGAAACGCTTTCTCGCATCAAGATTCGGAGGCATGTACCATAGCCGGGAGCACATACATAGCATTTTCTCCCGCGCAAATACCACTCATAATATCACCCACAATTGGTTCATTGGACTAGGGAAGGTGTGACTCTGACTACCAGTTTGAGTGAATTCTCACTGGGTTCCACGGAAGGTGTTCGCACTTGCCTGCCGGGAAACTCGCCGGCAATTGACCTTCGTGACGGCGTCACCACGACGCAACGAAGCGCTATACCCACTCGAGGTTTCTCTCCTTGTTTCCTTTGAACATCGGGTAAACAAATGCCCAGAAATTTAATGGTTTCCAGCTCGCTAAGACTTACGCTAGTGGCAGTGTTCCATCTATACAATCTCGTTACCTCAAGTTGTTGAAATCAGCAGGGGCTTCGACGGTAATGATTCATGTACTCGGCGATGTAGAAGCTGATGCAAGTTATTGTGGAAGGTTCATGCGTCTGTGCTGTTTGGCTATAGCTAGCTACGTCGCATACGAGTGGCTGTACTTCTGACGTTCAACGAGGTACTAGTACTAGTTGATACTGACACGTATCCGGCTTTACTATATTCAAATCTTTCTGCAACGAGAGCCTTTGTATATGTGTGGAGAATGATGACCTGTGAAACTCTAGAGCCTCTTTAGATCTCCAAGTCGACGTCACAATGTTACTCTGAAATGGTGCGTCGCTACAAGACCCGCGATTTGAACAAAAGCGCGTTCTTGCTAGCGGCTGAGATTACATGTTTTTGAGTTGAAAGGAACCGCCGTGTGACCCCACTGCATTTGACCACCTTCCTTCACTTAGGCGCAAGTTTCGGTGACTGCTTCGGAGACGTCTTCGGCGTCCCCTTCGGCGTGCCCCCCTCAATCGTGCACGCGTACCCACATGCCGCCGGATTCCCCAACGACACCATTTCCTCCGGCGTCGCGACTCGTGAGTGCCGCAAGCCGGTCTCCTCGAACTTCCCGAGCTGCTGCACCCTTGCGGCGGAAAAGGGAGAGGGCGGCCGATCCAGGGATAAGGGGGAGACCATGCTCAGCCTTTTGTTGTTCGGGCTGTATGCCTTGTCCGCGGATGATGTTTTCTTATGGCCCCAGGACGGGGCCACCATGCTCAGTCTTAATCTTTCCGTCGATGAGGGTTTGCGTTCCACGAAGGTCGGGGTTGGAGACATGCGGCTCATCTCTACCGTTTCGGCCGAGGAGATTTTGCGTTCGGTCCAGAGGGGCGGGGAGACCATGCTGAGACTGATCAGGCTCGCTCTTGTGTCGCGGTAGCTTTCGATATCGCTCATCTTTGGCGTTAGAGTTGACAATTCCTCGCGGCTGCTGGTTTCAGTGGAGGAAACATCGTTGGGGAGGCGGATACGATCGCTGTCTGAGATCTTGGCGAAGGAATTGAGAGGGGGGCGGGTGTTGTTGTTGTGGCGGTTGCAGAGGGCTCCGGACGAACGGGATGGATATGGCTGTTTGCGGATGTTGAGGAGTTGGGGAAGGGCTGGCAAGGAGGCGACGCTTACGCCGATGTTTTGTTCGAGGCTTTTGGGGTGATTAGTGGTGTTGGAAGGAATGAGAAAAGAAACGCAAGAGGTAAAGAGTATTAAAGGGTGAAGGGGTGGGTGTCCAATAGAGGACGGGAGAATTTACCAAGACCAAATGGCAACGGGAATGAGATCCCCTAAGCTGTACTTAGATACCTGCGTTAAAGATTTGCGGGATCGATTGCTTACAAGTAGGGTTCTTGCTTGTAAAATCAACGAGTGAAGTTCTAGCAATGGCGGTTACGGCGGTACTAGTCAAAGATCAGTCTGACGGAAGAGGCTCACGAGCAACTCTTTTCGGCTTACAAGAATCCAAATCCTATGACAACGAAGATAGCTATTTTTTCCCGTTGACTGACCTGTAGATTTCGGAGGACCAACATGGGCAACAGTACGCACAGGATGTCCGTTATGACAGCCGAACCTACGTTTGTGTGAGTCCATGAGACCGTGGAACCGGCTCGAAGTTACACACCGCCCTGAAACTTGGTGATCTGGGTCATATGAACTGGCGCGAAGCATCGTGCTTTCACGCTTTTGTTCCACAATCCTGGAAGCGGTACGCATTGAAAACATTGGGCAAGGAAATCCGCAAGTGTGACGATGGCGCAGAATGCCAACAGTCCCCAATTCCACCTCCGATAGGCCATCTTGGTGGCAGGCAGGAGACGGAGGACGAACAGACACACTGAAATCCTGACCAACCCTGTGCCGATAATGAGAAGCATGATACATATGTCGGTGTATAGTCCGAAGTGTTGTATCTGGACTGGAGTGAGATAGTGGATGTTTCGACCGAACCCGCTCTGAACCTGGAGGCAAGAGAATATGCTGTGAGCAATGGCACATGCCTAAGCGCAGCTGTCAGTGAAAGGTTACTGGTATACTCCAAACTGAAGGTAGCTAACAATGGCTAGCAAAATTGTGAAGTCATCCCAGCCTAGGTTCTTGCGAATGATGCCTCGAATATAGAAACGCAGAGACACGAGCAATACCGCAATGGACAGAGTCAGCCATCTGACAACGAGAAGCTCAGATGCACGACTGATATCCGGCGGGAACGGCCCTGGGGTTGATGTAGGAGACATTGCGGTGCGTTATGTTTGTCTAGAAGAGAATGAAGAGCGGTGATATAGGAGGAAGAGAAACACTGAGGGTCATAGCAATGAATAGTCATGGGTCCATGTAGACAAAACCCCTTCGGCACTTGAATAGAAAACAGAGGCGCAGCTTTCATGGCATTTTCCAGAAGGCATGATGTGCTGAAGGCGTCACAAGCTGGTATATTTGCCTCTTGTAGGAAAGCTAATCTTTGTAACCATGGTTCCAACCACCCTCAAGCTTTTCACAACATGCTTAAGCAACTATCTTTGATGATGAAGGCATTACTCAATATCTTGCTTCTACATGGGAAATCAGAGGATGATAAAAGGACGAGCAGCAGAAAGGGAGACATTCAATGACGAACTCGAGACGGCGTCAGGAGAGGCACGGGCCATGAGATACACAAATATACATGTACCATCATAGCAGGATCTGCTTGAATTCAGGGTAAGCGAAGGCGCCACAGGCCAAGTCTGGATGATGGAGGATGGAGAGTCGGTTCTTGTCTCTTCATACAAGCTTCCAATGCTCCACATCGCCACCACATTTGTTTACCTCTGGAATGTTTCCTTCCACAGAATCACATTTGGGTCTGGGTAATCAGGCAAGAAGCTATCAAAGGATCGGGTGTAAGACTTATGAACACTCGCTGACCAAAGGATTTAGAAGTATCGCTAAGGGAGGAGGCCCATCTCGTTCTGCTGCAAAAATGGCGGGCTAGCGGGCTTGGCATTACCACCGGGCGGAAGAACTTTACCCCGCATTGTTTACCCGACACCCAAACACAGAAGTTAGAACGGTAGACTCCTTCAACATACTTGTCAGCTCCATAACAGCATTGCTTTAGCTTTTTCCTTTGATGTGACTACACAGTTCTAATTGTATTACTTTAGCTGCAGACCTCGCTACAGTTGCTACGGACAGCTTGGTGCTGGAATACCTTTGCGATCCTAGAGAAACTATATCTTGGTTGAAACTCGGGAACAGCAGAGCATGAACGAAAGTGAGCTTGGATAGATAGCCTACTGACCTTCTGTGTACTGATGTCTTACAGGTGCAAAAGCTCCATGGACTTCTGCTCGATGCAATCGGCTTCTTCGCCCTCTCTCCTCCAAGATTGCTCTCTTGCGCAAGGCTACACTTTCTGAACTCAGGCATGATGAACGGAACTCTGGGATCGCCCCATCATCATCCTCCCAGAATTCAGCTACTGCGACGAAAGTTGACGTTGAATGGGAGAATAGTCCAAGACCTTGGAAGAAGATTAGGCGTACATATTCATCAAAAACGAAGGTTCGGTCGTTTCGAGAATTCGTGGACATCGATAAAGACCGGGCATTTGCAGAAGCAACGGATGCTGCAATACGATTGCCTCTTTGTTTGACGGCAGGCCAAGTCAGAGGCAATGATGAGGACTTGGCCGCCAAAGACGGTCAACATGATATACAAGGTCAAAGAGCACTGCCTAGAGACCCTCGCGGTACATCGAAGAACGTGCAAGTCTTCCACAATTCTCAAGTTCTGGGCTCTGATGGTTCGACTGGACTGGGCAATCGAAGACTCATAGAGGGGATATGCAAGGCACTCGAAGCATTACTAAGGGCTACTACTTGCGAAAAGACCAGTGACCATCGTGGAGGTCGCTCACTTTACTCTATCTGCTTAAGGCAGGTTCCTAGTTACATCGCCGAGGATCAACGCCTGACCAATGATGAGGATCTCGAAAATCACATTGACGTCGCATCAGAAGTCTACACCGACCTCGAAGCTTTTGGTTCAGTGCCAGACGGTGGTTGGGAGTCTCTCCGAGAAGTGGTAAGAGCCCACGGGGTCAGCCTAGTCGGAGAAGCAATCCAGGAGGGTCTGATTGAGATTTCTCTCTCCTGCCACATCGTTTCTTTATGTCTTGGGCTCGCCGCCTACGACGAAGCCGAATGCGTAATTGAATGCATGATCACTCTACTAAAATATCGGTCTCTTTCACCGGAGAAGAGTACAGTATTTTGCGCGGGACTCTCTCACCCTATTAACAAGTCGGCCACATCGCACCGACTCCAAACCACTCTCCTGACAGATGAGGCTTCTCGGGTTGCGGGTGCATTGAAGTATTGTGCCTCAAAAACTGGCAGGCATGGCTTTATGTATCGCCAAACGGCAGTGATGCTAGAAGATGGCATACTCCCAGTAGGCTGGATATCGAGTAAGGCCATGATCAAATGTTGGAATGGCGCGATCCGTTCGATTACACAGCAAGACGATCATGCTCGATCTGCCGCCTTGCTTCTTCAAATTGCCATCTCAAAATCATACAGGCGAGGGGTCTCGAATGCGAAAGCTAGCCCTCAAGTTCACGATCTGAGGCTCCGCGCCTGCGAACCCTTTGCTGTCCGTCCCACTCTCAGATCGTACAAGTCAAGCCGAGCAGTGGAGACGGTCGCGGAAAGTCAGCCCACTGAATCAGGAGAAGCCGGGGCGCGACCGGACGACGTAGACAACGCTTTACAGTCTACTTTCTCCAATGTTCTGACAGTGCTTTCAGCTATCAACATTCTTCGATCGGCCAAGTCGGGAATGGACTCACGTCATCCCAACCTTTTGAGCGTGGGGATACTGCGAGATGTGGCTTTAGAGATACGTCAAGTCCTTGAATTATCTAACGCCACCTCGTGTGCCAATCGCAGCTGGTCTGTGCCAGCAAAATTGTTACGTCTGCCTCTACTCTCAGCGGGACTGGTCTCGGTTACATCGAGAAAACCTGGCACAGGGATCGCTCCGAATGACGTGCTTGACCTGGCTGCACTGGCCAGCCTGCCGTCCAGCAAAGAGTCGTTGAGCAATGCGGGCTCATTTCTCGGCGAAGTTGCACGATGTTGCGATGAACCAGGATCAGGCGATGGCTTCCGCTTCGTACAGGTCATGGTCCAAGATCTAATCTCTGTCGCCACTTCAAATATCTACGATAAGCCAACTCGAAGATTCTGTTGCGGTATCGCTCATGCTGCAGCATTCGCATTCTCGGAAGATACGGGTCAGCCCAAACATCTTGAATGGGCTTTAGACGTGGAGGGTACAATCACACGCACGGTCGACGCCTCACCCAGTATTGTCGTAGACAAAACCCCAACTCGAGATGTCATGCGGAACAAAAGTGAATACAAATGGGAGGAGGGCATATGCGAATGGATTGCAAAGACTCCAGCTTTAGCACTGCAACGGCCTATCGCCGTGGAAGATGTCGATCGTGACAGCACCTACGGGGAGGCACCGAAGTTGACGCTAGTGCAAGCATTGCCTCTTCTCTCCGGATTATCACAATCACCTTGCGTCACAGACCGGCGGCTCCCTCGGCCAAAACGTAGACATTTAGGGCGAGGGGCTTCCTGTGACTCCTGTGAAATTGGGAACGTAGAAGGAAGCTACGGCAATTCCAATTCAACGGAGAAGCTATTTTTCATCAGGGAATCCCCACGTCCCCAGAAGGTCCCTCGCACGCAAATTCTCTCGAAAGTGCACGCCGCAAATGACCTTGATGAGCTTTCCACGCCAGAATCATCACAAGAAAAGCCTATTGCGCTGCGAGAGATACCAAATCTACCATCTGGTGGTAAGAAGGAAATTCCAGACCGAAAGCATAATAACAAAGTCATTGAAAGCTATAGTTTAGATATGCTACGGACGAAAAGGCATCGACTGGATACGGAGACTTTCTCCCAATGTATGGACGATGAATTGGGCTTCCCATGAAACTCGCAATGTCTGATTATGGCACTGTGGCGTTTATGGGTCTGTGCGATATGTGTGATGATGTTCATCAATGGTGAGACCGGTGCGACTACAATCAGGCCATGTATTAGGAGTCCTTTCGATGCTTCGAAGAGGCTGTGGATAGATATCAAAGTCGTGACTTTTTGATACGCGTCGACGTTCTTGAAAGATTAATGTCGCAACCTTGTCCATGTATGGACGGTGAGAAGTCAGAGGCTTGGATTTCTACAGGGCTCAAGAGACGGTTTACGGTGTAATTGGGCCAATCGCAATTCAAGATCTGGGTTCAAGCTTCACTAAGGTTTCAGCCAGTATTGACCTGCAGGAAGGGAGGGTCCGCCCGGGCGCTAGGGCCTGTACGGGGGGCGTCTAGGAGTATCATCTACCCTATCTTCATCTCCTGGGACATCAAATCCCTGATTGTGGACCATGGTGGTCCGGTGGGGCAATATGGACCGACGAGTACGACAGATTGCCAGTCACCGTGGGCTCAAGCCTGCAGATATCTTTTGGTCTCTTTTCCAAGACACTTCTCTTACACCTTCGTCTTCCTCGCTCGTCCAACTCCTTGCGTCCAACGACGCAAGCAGTGCGTGAGCCGGCCCTCCTGCCTCTATTCCTAACACGCGAGGCGCTCTCCTTAGCAACATAGTGTCTTACACGTCTTTCTGTTCTTTTACTCCTCTGATAAAGGGTAAATAGTCCAGTCCACAGACCTGTTTTTTTCGTTCCAATTGGACTAGCCATCGCACTTCTTGCCTCAAGAGTACTTTCTTCCGAGCTCCCTTGCCTCCACTCTTGTTAAGCGCCTAATACGTGCCCACTAACATTACATGAACAGGACTAGAAGCTTCCTTGAAGCAACGCTCCTTATATTCATAAGACCGACCTGCGGCCGCGGGTCGACCTCTTTTCTCGGCGTGTTTGTTTTCGAGAAATAGAGCTGGTCCTTTGTCGAAGTGGAATTTTAAAGCCGTCACTGAGGAGGAAGCATCGTCGCCTACGTAATATTCTGTTCGACAATTGATCCTTTCGCACGCTTGCGGCTGGTACTTGCGGCCGTTGACCTACGTTGGCCCCCAGACAGAGGAGACATCCAAGGCCTCACTGTTTCACAAACGACCTATACAGACGGTGATCGCCCCCCCGTAGCCAGCAATGCGCTCATGGTCGTCCTCAGAGAGTTTTAATTGAAAGGAGGAGTCTCTTGCCAGAAGCCGTTATTCATATAGTCTTTACCCGAGAAAGCTACCTCAACATTAGATCAGGAAGTTGCCACGGCGCAAGGTCCTTCACGGAAAGCCAATACTGGTCTATCCTCGTCGAAAATCACCTCTGCGCAAGGGCGTTTGCCATTGAAAAGTCTCATATGCAAGAATCTACAATCAGGAAGGGATCTTAGCCGTTCACACTGTGTAGTCTCGTCTTGACCTGAAATCCATCACAAGAGGTCACTGTCCCTTGAACCTCGTAACACCCCAGGCCCGTGCCTCTCGAAAGAAATCATCATCCAAAGTCCTTTTCCGCGCAATTTCTCCTCGGGAAGCGAGGATGGGTGGAATTGATCCGCCAGCTGTGGCTGCGGCCATCGTGGTCAACAATATGCTGTTTTCATATTACATTTTAATCGTCCTTGGAGGAATCGTAATCAGCATGATCATATATCGAATCGCCATTCATTCTGTGCAGTATATTCGAACTCTGACATGCCTCAATAACGACAGTCAACGATATTTCAAGATGCCGAATAGGCAATTCGGCTGGATCAAACAACATCTCCTCTATGCGCCGTTATTTCGCCGTCGTCATCAAAAGCAGATGCGAATCGGACCCGTGGAAACTGGTATCCTGCCGACCCGATTCCAGAGTTTGCTACTTGTGTCAATCATCACCATGAACGTCATCCTCTGGGCCTACGGTATTGAGTGGAATGGCCCCATAATCACCAAGCTGGAGCACCTCCGTAATCGCTCCGGAACTCTTGCAGTCGTCAACATGATTCCGTTGGTAATCATGAGCGGACGGAATAACCCTCTAATCGGCTGGCTTAATATCTCGTACAATACGTTCAACCTGATGCACCGCTGGTTTGGTCGCATCGTCGCCTCCCTTGCAGTTTCTCACGGCGTAGTGGAAATAACATCGATTGTTATCAGAGGCCAGAAGACCCATACCCCTGGATGGGAGTCGTTCTCGGAGACCCTGAAGGAGGTTAGGTTCATCACCTTCGGATTGGTTGTGAGTCACGACCAGCATTCACTTTTCACCTAATCTTCCCATGTTTGCTGATAGGTGGATTAGGCGCTTGTTTCAATCTGCACCATAATCCTGACGAGCTGGACGGCTTTCCGCCATGCTTTCTACGAGACCTTCTTGCACATCCACATTGCTCTCGTCTCTCTAGTCATGGCCGCTCTATGGATCCATCTGGATGGTCTCCAGCAGATGACCTACCTGAAAGCCGTCATCTCAATCTGGGTCATCGAACGTCTCATCCGCCTCTCCTCCCTCATCTACCGCAACGTCGGCCGCGGCGGCACCAACGCCGACGTCGAAATCCTCCCCGGCGACGCCATGCGCATCACCCTGCGACTCGCCCGCCCCTGGACCTTCAAACCAGGCCAACACGTCTTCCTCACCATCCCCTCCGTCGGCCTCTGGACCTCCCACCCCTTCTCCGTCGCCTGGTCCGACGCCCCGCCCCAACCCCTCCGCCCCGGCGACCTCGAAAAAGGGATCCGCACCTCCCAACCCACCGCCCACACCACCGACACCCTCGCCCGACCCCCAACCTCCGTCTCCCTCATCATCCGCCGCCGCGCCGGCTTCACCGACCGCCTCCACCGCAAAGCCCTCGACGGCCCCAACCAGCGCGTCTCCCTCCCCGCCCTCGTCGAAGGCCCCTACGGCGGCACGCACGCCCTCCACTCCTACGGCACCGTCGTGCTCTTCGCCGCCGGCGTCGGCATCACGCACCAGGTGCCCCTGGCGCGGGACCTCGTCGCGGGCCACGCCGCCGGCACCGTCGCCGCCCGGCGCGTCCTCCTCGTCTGGGTCGTCCGCGCGCCCGACCACCTCGAGTGGATCCGGCCCTGGATGGCGGCCGTGCTCGGCATGCCGGGCCGGCGCGACGTCCTGCGCATCCAGCTCTTCGTCACGCGCCCGCGCTGCACCGCCGAGATCCACAGCCCCAGCTCCACGGTCCAGATGTTCCCCGGCAAGCCCGACGTGGACGCCTTGCTGGGCATGGAGGCGAGGGCCCAGGTCGGCGCCATGGCGGTCTGCGTGTGCGGGCCCGGCGGGCTGGGGGACGACGTCAGGGCCGCGGTGAGGCGGAGGCAGGGGGGTAGGAATGTGGATTTTGTGGAGGAAGGGTTCGGGTGGTGATGGGGGTGCTTTTTTTCTTTCTTTTTCTTTTTCTTTCAATATATAATCCGTCTATCCTATCCCATCCCATCCCATCCCATCCCATCCTATCCCATCCCATCTATCTACCCACCATTTACAACTCAAAACAAGCCCTCTTTAGGCGCACAAACTTGGGGTTCCTTCCGTCTCGGCCGGAGGGGTGTTCGATTTCATCCCAATCCCATCTTTCCGTATTCTACAAGTATTCTCCCACTTTCAACCGCGGCGACATCTCAACCCCGACACCTTAATCTTCTCCATCCGCCGCCCTAAATTCTTTGCCTTTCCAACCTATGTAGCAAGCTTCTTTGCCCTTTCCACCCTATGTAGCAAGCTTCTTTGCCTTTCCAACCTATGTATGTAGCAAGCACCCTATCGGCGAAACACGGAAGACCCTGATTCTTAGCAGCGGCGAAACACGGAAGACCCTGATTCTTAGCAGCGGCCACCTTGCATTGTCCCCTTCTTCTTCTCGTGCGTTCCAGTCTCCGCGCCCTCCGAAGCCGGGCGTGGAGCTGCGGAGAGTATGTTGTAGGCGGCGTTGGAAAGTCGCCGCGCTGTTGCTACTTCTCCCACGCTGTAAGAGTAACCACTCACACGGAAAGCAAGTGATGGTACTGTACAAAGTATTGTGATAGATCCAAGCATCTCTGCCCTCGTCTCAAATGCTTCTTTCATGAACTATATACAATCGCCGCGACCTCGCTGGCTTTATCGAATGTAATAGTAACTATTCAGTGGGAGTAGAGATATAAAGTTGTGTAGTCGTGGGGTATTTCGTGTGATAACAGAATTGAAAGACGCATAAACCAGCCCCGAATGTAGGGGCATTATAAGATATATCAAAGGCCCGAAACCAGAGAACCCCATGACCGACCGAGCTGAAACGACAACCGACGTATGTGTTTTCAACAGTCGTGCGTGCTCAAAGTCCGCGTCACTCCCATCCGTCATTCCCCCTCCAGGTCCCATTCCAGGTCCAGAACGCCCGATCCCGATTTGATCACACACTGCTGAGCTTCAGTAACGCCTCCACGGCCTCCCTATCCTGGGCGTCGCTGCTTTCCAGCATAGGCGAGAATCCCATCAAGGCATGAGCAGCTTGCTGCTGCTGCTGTTTATTATTATACATTAATCTGTTTGTAGTCGGCATACTCTTCGCCATTGTAACCGGTGGCCGACCCGCTGCTCCTCTGCCTCTGCTCTTCGGATTAAAGCGTTGAGCGTATCGTTGGTGATTCGTAGGGATCAGGCCGCCGCTTAATGGGTATGAGCCTTGCCGTAATGCAGCGGCGCCGATCGAGGCCCAGTCTTCTTCGTCGGTGACGTCGCCAAGGTCGTGGTCTGGGATTTGCCTCGTGTTCGGAGGAGAAGAAGAAGAACAGGAGTCATCCAAGCCATCAAGGGACATCTTGTCCGCTTCGTGTTCAAGCACGCTGACGTCTTCCATTGGGGTGTCATACTCCTTCTCGGCATCATATGAGGCAGCAAAAGTCTGTTCTCGCGTTCGGTCTTGCCGCGTGCTGGTGATTGGTATGCGGAGACTGCCTTGGGGGTATGGCGCTTGGTGTTGGCGGGCTTCTCGGGCTTCTCGGGAGGGTTGTCCTCGTCTCCGAGCATCCCATCTGCCCCAGCCGACTTTTTCAAACATCACGTTCCCATCGATACCACCCTGCTGGCCGTCGCTGCCGCGGCCTTCTAGAGCTCCCACTACCAGTCTTCTTGCTTTCGCAGGAGGAATACCAGAGAAGCCTGGGACGGAGGTGGTCAAGTAGCCCATGACGTGACGGATGGCGAGGGGACCGTTTTCGAGGAGGATGGCGGGAAGGTGGTGCTTGGCAAGCAGGCCAGGAGTGATGGCTCCAACCGCATCCAAGTCATCCAGTTTACTGAGACCGCGAGCTGTGAGACCACGCCGGGGGGTGTCTTGAGCCTTGGCGTGCTCGACAGCATCTTCAAGATCGATATCGGAGTCCACATGGGTGGGAGCGGGAGGAGTGAGAGGCCCAGTAGAAGCGCGGCCCTTGTAGGCCTGGGGAGGAAGGGAAGGAGAGATGGAGTTGGGAGGAGTGGGAAGACCGGCGGTGTTCTTCTTGACCGGCAGAGATCTTGCGGCCACGGTAGCGAAGCTGTCTTTGCCGGCCCAGAAGTTGTCGCGCGGCTTGAGGATGTCGACGGACTCCGTCATTCCAGCCAAGGCCAAAGCGATGCTAGAGTTGGTGTTGGTACTGGTAGGAGCCATGTCGTTGATAGGTTTGGGATGGTTTTATCTCTGCTAGATGACGGCGTGTGAGTCAGCTTCGGTGTTGATGGAACTGGGCGGATGATGTGATTGAGAATGGTGAATGATGAATCGCGTTGGAGTGGAGAGCGATATCGGATTGAGTGGAATTACTCACGAGGTACAAAGAAGGTCCGGTGACAATAAGACTTGCTTATTGTAGTGTGGTGTGGTGTGGTGTGGTAATTGTTTGGGGTAGCTCGGCTGATGATCCGCGAAGGCGAATTGGAGCTCTGGAGGCGAATGGATTGTTTGTTGAAGCTGGATGTGTTTGGAAGCTGTATTGAAGATGATGTTGTTAGAAGAGAAAGATGACACTTTTTTGAAGGTGGGGATGGGGGGGAAGTGTTGGTGGACGTACCTGCTGCAGGTTCGACTGCTTGTTGTGGAACCTGTGATTAGGTAGTTAGTTGAGAAGATGGCGAAGTCCCGTCGGTCGCGAATGATTTGGGAGGCAGCTGCAACGTGGAGCCGAGAAAAGCCCTAAACCGTCCGGGATCAGCTCCTACCCTCTTCTCACTCCTCTGCGTTTTACACCCCTTGTGCAACAAATGATACAAAATAAATAACAACAATAATAATAATAATGATGATAATCAATCATTCTTTAAAGTCTTGTTTCTCATGTCTGCAAGTGATCAACTTTCTATCCTTGCGCATCGAAAATCATTCATTTGCTGTAGAGTACTCCGTATGCAGGCTTCAATCTCAGGTCTCATCTCTTTGTCTCTACACCCCCCCCCCCCCCGGCCAAAAAAACACCCTTATTCCCCATGCGTAAAAAGACCGCTGTCATCCGTCGGTAAGGTCCCCCATGATAGGAACATCTCGGTGGTACCTTTATCGACCAATGCTTGGCTTAGATCCTCAGTACCTTAGTGCTTATCGGCGCTTCTCGCTTGCTCTAACATATTTTTTTCCAATCTCGCTCTGCTCAAACTGTTCTACACGGCTATTCTGCAATTTTAGCCCCTGATCGAGCGGAGATTATGCAAGACACTGGATCACTGGATTGTCTGCATGAACTGGTGCCATGCTAAGGTCTTTTACCAGCTTGCTGATCATGTCGGGACCGCCAGCATTCCAACAACCTCCCGTTGCCATATGAAAATCAACGGGAAAGGGTCCAGTCAGAAGCGTAAGCCACACGGGCTCCGCTGGCTTATGAGATTGGCGGGAGATATTAAATATGGTGCAAACCAGTGTCCAAAAAGTCATTCCCGCCATGGAGACATCTTTCCACATGACTATTTGGGCATGGTATCTATAGACAATGTCTAATTATGATGAGAGCAGACCTTCTCCCAATTCTACCAACTATGAACAGGCAAGTAGCCGAAACAACCGGCCAGGAAGAAAGGGAACGAGGTGGTTTCACCTCAGCTTTCCTCCCTTGAGGGTTCCCATAGTAAATACATCCCCATCATCATCGCTATTATCGCCGTGACCATTCGGTCTTGAGCCTCTCCGGTTCCTGCTGCCTTCCCGCTTCTCATCTCCAAATAGCTGGACCCCTTTCCGTCGCCTGTCTGATCTCTCCGATGAAAATGGCGACGCAGAGACGAAGCCGGACTTTTGCTGATCTTCACCTAGCATCCAGGAGAAAGACGACTGGGCAAGCGCTGGGCGAGGCTGCGAGAATGGTGATAGACCAGAGGTTTTGGACGGACTGGCGACATTGGGCGTAGATGGAAGGGGTTTAACCGGAGCGGGTGCCGACCGCTGGACAGAGGAATCCACTGTTTCAGCTGTGTGGATACCTTCGCTGCCACTCTTTTCATCAGTCGCTCCGTCGCTCTGGATCTGACATGATGGCGATCCAGGAGTTGATGAAGTCAATCCCGCGTCCGTTTCAACGGCGGCGTCGTCTTTTGTCTCTTCGCGCGAAAGGTTCTCGGAAGGCAGTGGCATTGTCGGATTCTCAAGGTAGACTTGCACAAACTGCACTTTCGCTATGGCTAAGCTCAAGACATCTGCCGTCGTCTCATTTGGCTCCTGGTTCATTTCCCTCTGCTGAGTCCAAAGTTCCTCCATGGCCTTCTCCAGCAACTTTGCTAATGATTTGTTGCGACCTTCAAGATATTGAATCTTTGTAATCAAGTCTTTTGGACTGTCAGAAATAATTTTGCCGCTGTCGAGGGACCACCGAGACTTCTCCGGTAGTCGCCTAGGCGAGTTGTTGCCGGACTGGAGGCCTTGCACAGCGCCACGTAACGCTTTAGCCACTCCCCATCTCTCACCTTGATTATAAACACCTTTAGCCGCTTCGTGAATCATGCCTTCGATTCCACCCTGATGTTGCAGAATTCTAGCAGGCGATAGTCGCGGACTTAAAGCCTTCTGGGAAGGCAGCGTCTTTTGAGCCGCTGTCTGCTCCGCAGTCCTTGCGCGTCTAACTTTCTTCGGAAGCTTGCGTGTCACTGTAGTCTCAGGTGCCCTCCTAGAGTACTTAGAAATAATGTAGTCGCCTCCGTCAAGCAGGAGGTTCTCGCGCAGATACAAAGCGTCTCCAACGAAAGTAGATGGTCCGCAGGGAGCTGTGGGAACAGGATACCGTAGTAGCAGTGTCAACGCTGCAGAATAGTCTGCTTCAAGGACTAGAATAGTCAGCAACATTGATCTTCATAGTCTGCATCAGGTAGAACCTACGCTGCCATCGTATACGCAGAAGCATGCTTACGGAGATCATGTCTACCAAATCCAGTGCTGGGTCTTCGGCAAACAAAATGTCCCAAAGAGCAAGAACGTCTTCAAAGGGGAATTCTCTCCCAAACAAGAGTCGAACCCATCTGATCAGAAATATCTGCGGGAGAATCTCAATGGCTGTCAAATGTTCCGCAAGCTCAGGGTCCGCGTGGTGTAAATAGTTCTCGTGTATACGTTTACTTCGCTCCACTATGGGCGAATTGTTGAGTAAGCCTGCTGTTGCCGGCTCGTTGTTGCTACCCATCTCGTAGAACGTCTTGACGGTCTGCATGATGGCCGCAAAAAGCGTGAAAGCATCATGTTCGACGTATCTGTTGTCTAGAGATGCCAACGTCAGACCATCAAGGTCGGCGTGGTCCGGCCCTAGGCTTTGGGAATCGATAGCATCACGTGAGACGACCCAGAGAATAGGCGCTAGGACCTCATGCATGCCTTGTCGGTAGCCAATATCTCGATTGAGCTTGCAGTATATGAATAGAATATCAAGTAGCATTTTTTGAGTGTTCGGCTCCCGAAAGTACAGGTTTTCCGGCATACATCGCTCCACATCTTGAAAAATCTCGGCTCGAAGTTCCTCATCCAGGCGTAGAGTATTCCAAGGAGACTTTCAAGGTCTTAGTGAGAGGTCAGACGACTTGGTTGGTGTCGTTGCTATCAACCGCAGAGCTGAAGGACAGTATGGCTTACCGTCTCGGTATCTGTCAAAGGGTCTTCGGCTGATAGATCATCGGGGTTCTCGATATTTGTAAGGAAATGTTCTCTCAGAGATATATATGCACTTCTGGAGTCGGAGAGAGGTTTGGCCCATGCTGACTTTTCGAGACTCTTGAACAGAAGGAACGCCTGTATTCATCGTATTGTTAATAATACCCTTGTCTTGAAGGTCTAGAATCTCTTGCCTTCCAGCATATTGAACGTAGCCCAATGGCGCAAGGGCTACTCGAGCCCCCATCTTTTATCGCAGTCCTGAGGTCTGATAAGCTGGCATTGTTGGCGAGAGTGGCTTCCCATCGAGTCCTTGTGCTATCTCAGCTGTCTGTTCCCACTGTTGGAGCTCAACTACCTACTTTGTCTCTGGGATGGGCCGCATTCCTACATGTTACCAAGTCTTCAGCGAGGACTGCTCGAAGAGACCGGCACATAGGCAGCAGCGATCACATGTTGGACTTGTTGTGTTTTAACGAGTCTTCGATAGCTTAAATCGATATTTAATTATTTATATTTACTATAACTCTATTAAGTTATAGTTTTATTTAATATACGACTACTATAGTTAGAGCTTAAAGAATATTATATAGCTTCGTTAAATATATTATATATTAGTTACTTAAGCTTAAATAGATATTAAAAGTAGAATTAATATCTAATAATATAGTTAAAGCTCTTATCTTTTTATTAATTTCGCTATTATCTATATATATTATTATATAATTCTTATTAATCGATCTTTTAACTAGTTCTTTAACGGCTTTCTTAATCTTATAAATTATCGTTTTGAAAGACTCTTAGTTAAGAGCGACGCTAAAAGAGCGTAATTTTTTAATCTTATTAATGTCGTTATATCGTTCTTTAAATCTATTAATATATCGCTTTAGTAAACTTAATTTCCTATTCTTTTTAGATTTTCTTTTAAATTTTTATTACTCGAAATATAGTTTAATACTCTTACTATATACTAAACTAGTAGCGATTTATAAGATAGCTTTTAAGATAATCTTATTTAGCTATTATTTAACTAATAGAAGATATACTTCTATATCGAGTACTGAAATAAATATAACCTTAAATACTTTAGTTATCTTTCTCTCTATCTAAGATTAAATCCTTTATAGCGATAAGAGATAAATTTTATTATAGTCGATAGTATTTTTAAACTAATATTATACTAAGTAGTATATCTATAAATCTGAAAAGTTTCTTTTTATATAATTTCCGCCGGGTCTATATTATAAATACGATTTAATACGATTTAGTCTATTAAGTAGACTTTATCTATATTTAATTCTTTCTACTAGTTTAATAATTAAATATAATAAACTTCGCGTTTAATAAGTTAAGATAGTATTTATCTAGGTTAGCTAGATTTTAAAGCAATTATAAGCTATTAATTTAATAGTATATATTTAAAAATTTAAGAGACTATACGTAAAATAGGTTTTCTAGATTATTTAAGATAAATAATATTGCTAGTAATAATAATATTTATTAAAAATTTAGTTTAACTAATTAAATATATATTAGAAAGATTTTCGAGATTATTCGAGCTAAATAGTATTATTAATTATAATAATATCTATAAAAATTCTAGGTTAATTAATCTCGCTAGTAATATTAGTATTTATAGCGTATTTAAATTAGATAATATCGTCGATTATAACGACGTCTCTAGAGTATTCAATTTAGATCGAATTTAACACCTCTAGATATCTAATAAAAATCATCGATTTAAAATTTACCGCGATATCTTATCGTAATATTAATAATATTTATAATCTCTAAGATATAGATTTTTAAATAATTAGAATTCTAAGCGCTATAGCGATGCTTAATCCTTTATTAATTCTTATTTAATTCGCTTAGTAGATAAAGAGATTAATCTTTTCTATTCTATTTACTACATTATATATTCTTTATATTTTTCCTTTTTATTTAATATAACTTTATTAATTTATAAATACTTATTCTCTTTATAGATTATCTCTTTTCTTATTCGCTATAATAGAGCTATAGACGATATATTAAAGTTTAGCCTTTTTTATCTATCCTCTCTACTTATCGAGACGCGAAGTATTTATACTTTAGGCTTAGAGAGATTTAAGTTCTAGTTATTATTTATTAAACCGGTTTCTTTCTATTTAATTATTTTACGTATTAATTATTTCTTAATAGCTCGCGAGATTTTCTTATTATCTTCGAGTAAGCTTAAATCTAACCTCTCGAGTAATTTAGTATTAATAAACCTTAATATAACTTCTCTTAAAGCGCTTATAAAGTTTAATTTCTCGATAATATTATCTAGCGAATTCTTATATAGATTATTTAATTTAGAAGATTTCTATATCTTTCTTACTAATCTAAAATATATTTCTAAAATACGCTATCGTAATATATAATATATAATAAATCTTTTCTATTATTCTATATCTCTTTAAAACTTTTTAATATATTTATATATTTCTAAGAAGTATTATAATTATATAAGTAGTAAAATAATAATAAAGAGCTTATCTTCGACTTTCTTACTATCTTATTTTTTAATATAAAAATATCTAGAATTATAATTCTTTAGATTATAATAAAGAGCGGTTATTATAAGAATTATAGTATTATCGAATAAGAGTAATTAAAAATACTTACTTCTTTATCTAAATTCGAGAAATACTCTCTTATTATAGAAGAAAATTTTATATAATAATATAATTATTAATTAAGATAAGAAGTATTCTTTATTCTAGAGACTATTAGCTAAAAAAATTAATTAATCTAAATTCTATAAAATATATTATATTTTATCTATTTTATAAATCTCGACGCGTAAATTAAAGATTAATTAATAAATCGCTAATTATCGTTTTTAAATTTTTAGATGACGACGTTATATAGATCTTAAGATAAGATTAAATAATATCTTAGATTTTCTTTATTAGAGTTGAATAAAAATCGTCTATATAGTTGAAAAGCTATATTCTTATTAAAAAGAGCTCGAAGTATTAATAATAATAATTAATTAAAGATATTAATATCTTTCTCGCCTTAAAATTTATAAATTAATTATCGATACTTCGCATAAATCGAGTATTCTTATAAAGTTATTATCTCTAATCTTTTTATATTTTAATTATTACTTAATTAAGCGCGTTAATATAATATTTCGACTAAAGACTTAACTCTTAAAGATCTAGATATTTAAAGCTTTCGCTAATTATAATTATTATAAGTAAGATAACTCTTATTATTTTAAATATATTAAGATACTCTTTTTTAATATTATAATCGCGCCTTTCTCGCCGTATTAAATTATCTTAAAGCGCAATTTAATAATTATCTTTATTCGAGTTATCTTATAAAATATAATCTATATATCTTTCTTTATTCTAATCTATTAATAATATATAATTTAATATTATTAAAAATATTAACGAAGCTTTAAATTCTCTTATCTTATTTAATAGATATATTAATAAGAGGCTTAAACGAGCTATATACTAGTAATATAACTTTAATATAATAATATCTAACGACTCTATTTAGTGTAATACTTTTTAGTATTAAATTATTTATAACAATTTAGTTATTATTCTACTATATTTAGAATATATACTTATTCTTATATCGAAGCCCTATACGAAGTACTCTAACTTCGTTATTATAAAGGCGGTTTTTCTCGATAAATTATTTTCTATCTCGATTTAATATATATTTATTAATTTAGATATTTAATCGTATAATATATTCTTACTTCGCCCTATTAATTCTAATTCTTCGTCGCTAATAAGAACTATTCTAAATTCTATAATTTACATTAGCTAGTTTATATTAATATTACTCGATTTTAAAACTAACTAACTAATAATTAATATTACTATTCTTTATTCTAGATTTAATAATCTTAATATTTAATCGAGGTTTAAATAAGAGTTTTTCTATTATTTTCTATTAAGGTATTAGCTCGATAGAAGATATAAATCAAATAAGAATATATCGAGTTTACGACCTTCGCCTTCACCTTTAACTTTAAAAGAGAAATCTTTTCTAATATTTATAATAGTATATAAAACTAAGAGAGTATTATTAATATTAAAGAAAGCTTCGTTATATATAATAATTATAATTATTAATAATTTCTTCATCTTCTATAAACTAATAAAGTTATTTAAGAATTTATTACCGTCGTAATTAGATACTATATATATATTCTTTTTAGATTTATATATTCTATAACGTTTAGGCAATTTAAAATCTATCTATCTATATTCTTTAATATATCTTTTTCTCTTATTAGTTTTCTTTATTTTACTCGCTTTCTACTAATATATAATTAATAATATCTTCATAAATAAATAAACTACGATTTATATTTTCTATCTTTTTAACTTTCTTCTCTCTTCTAGCGTTTTTAACTCTCTTTATCGCTATTCTCTTTTTCGCGTTCTATTTTAAAATTTCTATAATCTCTATAATTCGAATATAGTAAGCTTATTTAATAGAATATAAAGTATTATAAGTCTTCTATCGTTATTAAAAGTTAGAATAAAATTAATATTAAACGTTAAAGATAATAATAGATAAAATATAAAAATAAATATATTTAAATAGATAGAAAAATAAAAGAGTAAAGAGAAGTTATTAATTTAAAAAGAGGGGTTATTAATTAGCGCGTTTTTAATTTATTTAAATTAAAGCGCGTCGAATTTCTATTTAAATTCGACTATCTATTTAACTTAAATATTCTATTTAAATTAAATAACATTTTCGCTAATAATTTCTATTCGAATTAAATAAATTTTCTATTAATAATTAACGCTAAGTTAACTATTATTTATTATTAAATATTATTACTCTAATTATATTTTTTTATTTACTTCTTTATTCTCGAGTATTTTTTTATAAATAATATCTATTTTAGTATATATAATTATAAATCTTCTAGTATAAATACTTATTAATAATAATTACTTCGATATATCGATAATATATTTTATTCTCTAAATAGTATTATATATAAAGTTATAATTTACGTAATTATCGATAACGATATTATTATAAACTTTATAACTATTAAAAATAACGTATAATTCTTTTTAATAATTTAAAGTTATTTTATACGTAATAGTATATTTCTACTATAATTAATATCGTCTTTTTACAATTTCTATCGATAAAATATAGAGGTTAAATATTAGCTTTAGCGCTTTTTATATTATCTCTCTCTATTTAATAAAGATCGTATATTTTTCTTAATCGAAGCTTATTAAAATATAATCTATAAAGAAAACTTATATTAGCGAATTTTCTAGAAGTTATTTAAATTTAATATTATTAAATAATATAAAATACTAACTATATTAGAGACGAAGGTTTTATATTATA